GATTCCGGTTGGTCAAGAACGTGCCGGTATCTCAGAGGGGGACTGCCGGGCAGGAGAGGCAGTCATAGCTCGCTCGCATCCCGACTCCTCAGTCTCTATCTGCTGATCGCGCCGAGATGTTTACGCAGTTGTCATGAATGGTTGTAGCGCATCGTCGTTGTTTATCAAATCCATGGAGCGGTGCTCTCTGAAGCATGCGACGTTGATGGTCGACCAAGGGACGTCATGAATACGGCTTTGCTTGATGTTGATCAGACATAGGAGCCCGGGCCGGGCCAACGCGGAGAGTAAGACGCCGGTAAGTTGCCGGAATAAACGCCGAGCGCTCGGCCCGCAACTGAACGCCGCGACGGATCACGGAATCAGGAGTCAAGCGGTGCCCTGCGGACATCGCCGAAGACACCGAGGCCTGGCCAAACAGTAAGTAGCGTCGTCCTTGGGAGCGTCGTCCTTGGGAGATGTCGTCAACTCATATGAGCAAGGATTATTTTCAGGAATTAAAGAGCTTGGAAAACCGAAACGCCAGGAAGTACCACTCAAGCGGGCCTTGCGAACGAGGCCAAAGGCGATCGAGGTGAGGAACGACCAGAGACGCTACGCATCGCGAGACGCAACGCACCTTGTGAGCACGCGTGCGATATCACAAGCGCGAGAAGCTAATCGAACGTTCAGCGCCCCGCTCCACGCTCCCGCGTTTGCCACATCCTCGCCCTCCATCCACTGTCGTCTGTCGGCGGCCTCTCACTCTCGAACACATCCAGAAAGCCCGACGATCAACATTGTGGTCCGTTGCCGAGTGCTCGGTGAGTGTCTCGCTACGTCGTGCGACACTCTACGAGCGTCTCACCATTCGTCTGTCTTCGCCGCCTCTCCTCTGCCCTCCTCTCCTCTCCTCGCCGCTCCCTCTCTCACCTCTTCTTTCTGCCCCAACCAAAGCACTCCTCTATACAACCAGATTACCACCGCGTTGGTGACGCCAGTGGCGACGCCCTGCCGCCCGCGCACGTCTCCCGCGCGTGCTAGCCCAGGTGAGTGTCGTCACTCGACTTCGCGCTGGATCTTCTCCCCGTCCTTCCCCCGTCCCCTTCATCCTCCACGCCGCCGCGACCGCCGAATACCCACGTCCTACCGTCGTCCACGCGTGTCGACGCTCTGCCACACGCGCACGTGTCACTCCCGCGATAGCCCAGGTGAGCTTTTCCTCGTTACTCTTTGCGTTGGGTCCTCAACAGATCATCCCCCTCCCCCTTTGCGACCGCCGGACCCGCCGCAAATTTCACTCTCGGTCTTGTTCCGCAAACGTGCCCCCGGTCTCGCGCGCGCGCCTCACCCGCGTGGCAGCCAAGGTGAGTACCTCGTCACTCGTGTTCGCGCTAGGTTCTGAACAGACCGTCCCTACCTTCACGCCGCCACGACCACCCGTGCTCGCGCCCCGGACCGTCAACGTTCATTCTCCCAGCGACCGTCACACCTTATTCGATCTCGCCGGCCGATGAAAATGGAACACCGCAATGTGAGCGCGTTCTTCGTACCTATATATGGTTCTGAGGAGTTTGGCGATCTTGTGCAGACGTTGCGTCAGATGATGCAAGGCCCATTCGTCGAAATGGACACCGCGGTGGTGCTTACGGTACGTATTTCAGCTTTGTTGCAAGGAAATGTGCTTACATGTGCGTTTCAGGCTATCAAAGTCGGTCTTGGGGAACGAATCAAGCAGAAGAAGAGTGGGGGAACCATAAGCTTCCCCATGGTCGGTGTCGATTCTGGCACGAGACAACCCAAACCCTAGGTTGGCACAAGGTAAGCTACGTTCTGTCACGGCGTGAGGGCTACCTGATGGAGCGTCACAGGATCATGGCGGCGGTGGAAAGGGAAAGGGCAAGAAGAGGTTGGCGAAGGGGAAGAAGTTCTGATCGGACGTGGTGGAGAGGTGAGTGCGGTTTTCTCTCGTGGCTATACAATAGTTACTTACGGTGCTGTTCAGCATGGGGCGCGACCTCATGCTCGCCCTATGCCTGGAGAACGCCGCCGGGGGGTTCAGCGTTTGGAGGTGGAACCGGATTTGTGCTCGTAACTGGCAGCGCCCTTCGTAGAAATGTTTTGTTTTGTGGTACTCTTCCTGTTCTTACAACTACGGGCCGGCGGACCGCGCGACGCGTCTCCGAGAAAACCGGAATGAGATCGACCTGAACGTCATCGAGTCACTGCGGGGGTGGCTGTGGTCAGCTAGGGACATCCTCGCTCCCCAGGAGCCCCCAGGTTCCTGGGGGCGCGGCATCGCGCGAGGTCGCGTCGCGCGCGCGCGGCGTAGGCTGGCACCATGGAACGATAGTTCACACTATCTGAGGCAGTGCTGGAATCTAGAGCACCGATGATGGAAATCAGCGGGGGCGCCGGCGGACGCATGGCACATCAAGCATTGCGATCATTGCCCTCCGGCGCCGCATGGTACGGGGACCTGAGGGGGGACGGCGCGGACGGGGGCAAGTGCGCGCGCGCGAGGGCGGGAGGGTCGCGCGCGCGCGCCACGCACTCTCGCCCACGCACTCGCGCACACTGGCCGACACACGACTTCTAGGGAAACATTCGCACCATCCTCTTTGTTGCGCGAAGCAGCAGACACGGGCCGGCACCGAGAGAGGAATTCCTCACAAGAGAAAAGGTGCGCACGGCCGGGCGAGGCAATGGAGGCCGCAGGCACTGAGGGAGGAATTCCTCCCAAGGGGAAACGCGCGCAGAAGGCGCCGAGGGAGGTATTCTTCTCCAGGGGAAACACGTGCAGAAGGCACCGAGGGAGGTATTCTTCTCCAGGGGAAACACGTGCAGAAGGCACCGAGGGAGGTATTCTTCTCCAGGGGAAACACATGCAGAAGGCGCCGAGGGAGGTATTCCTCCCAAGGGGGAATGGGGGGAGGGGGTGTAAGCGCCCGCAGGACATTCCCCCAGAGCTGAAGTGTGTTTCCTGGAGGGGCTGATAGCAGTACATAGTGTATAAAATAATCCCCTAAAGAACGAGAGGGTGGCGGAGTCGGTACAGCGCTTGAGTGTTCCACTTGTGCGCGTGTTCGACTCCGAGAGAGCACGTTTGTATTTTGGTTGGCTCCTGATATCTGGCGCCAATCGGATTCATGTGCTGCCCTTTAAGCGCCTTGCATTTCCCCCGGGGAAATGGGGGTGCGTTCAGTGAACGGTGCTCATTGTTATTCACATACTGCGGTCCCTCCGCCTGGGTAATACAGGGCGTGTGGGACGAATGGGTAGCACGCTCCGCTTCTTCTTCACAAGGAGGCTTCTTGGACATGATTGCGCCGGCCTCCCTCAACCGCGTTCCCGGTCTTCATTGGCTCCGTGCACGCGCATTCGATCACGTGCATCGCCGCTTCCCAGGTGCACCGCTGGACGTGGTAATGTGTATTCAGATGGGTACACGAGGATATGAGGTGTACTTCCCTCTTCTTGACACGACTGAGGTAATCCCTTTCGCCTCTATCCACGATCCCGAATTCAAGGTGGACAGGTGGTTTGGCTTGCGCTGCGTTCGCATCCAGCCTAGCGAGGTGAGTGTTTTAGTACGTCGCAGATTGTGGAGACTGAGAGTCATCACCTGCGCAGCTCGGCCTGTACATCAGGAAGAAACGACTTGTCTCCGGTGTTCACCGGAGACTCGAGAGCCACCGGAGTCGGCTGAGACAAGTACCCAATTATGGAGACGCCAGAGACTAGGCTCGTGGCACCCGCGCACTCCGGAGACTAGGCTCGTGGCGCCCGCGCACTCCAGAGTCATAGCCGCGCACTCGACCGAGTCGTCCCGAGTATGACAGAGAAGGTTCTATGGAGTGCTCCAGAGTAGATGTCTCTGGAGCACGTCATAGCAATGAAATCCTGAGTGCAATAGTGTACAATGCAAGGCTATATTTCGCCCGGGCACGGGCAGCCTGCTGGCAGTTGTGCCACCGCCGCCCGCATGCACCATCCTGACGAGACTCAATTCCAACAGCTTGATTAAACGAATATACTATAGAGTACGACATGTAGAGAATAAGAATGTATACCGCTCAAGGCTCATGATCCGACTCGCTGTCAGTAAGCCCGGTCCGCCCCGCCAGCTGACTGGTTGCACTGCTCATCGCGGCGCTCGAGACCCGCGTGGATGAGATATTGAGATCAGTCCCCCCACCAGCACGGCTATGAATCGGTGAAGATCGTGTCAGGAAGTTAGAATGTGACACCATGTGTACTAGACGTGAAGACTGAGTGACTTACAAGGCGCGTGAATACATGCGAGTCCGGATGTTCTTCCACGCTTGCGGGTTCGCTGCCTCGTACTCCTTGAGATTGGCGAGGAAGCCCCGGTAGTGCTTGGCATGCCCTGAGGAATCGTCACCACGGTCTCCGTGGTTGAACGTATCTGCGACCTTCTTGCCACTGCTCCATTCTGCAATATGTGCTCGAATCTCAAGCGCAGATATCAGTGGAGAGCAATAGGCTGGCACTAGACACGACAACTTACAATAGTCATCACGAATGCAATGGACTCGTTTGGAAGTGGATTGAACCGCTCGGGGTATTGGAATCCCATGCTGGAGTGGCCGTCTCCTGAATCGAAGAAGGTGGCTGAGATTGCTTCAAACACGACATTGTTCTCCGCAAAACGGTCCCGTGTTGTTTCTTCATGAGGGCGAATGTCGAACGTCTTAGTAGGCAACACACAATAACGTCAGATACGGCACTTTACAGACAGTGGACATCGTGAACAAACCTTGTGATGGAAGGTGCCTTCCTTGAGCAGCCGCGCGCTCTTCCGGGCATTCTCATCCCAGTCCCTCTTCTTTTCGCTCGTCCGGAAGCCGAAAGCCTTCGCAGTTGAGGCGCGAAACGCATAGAAGGGCTCACCACGCGTGTTCGATCTTTGTGATAGGATCTGCAACCATAGTTAACGGGTGTGGAGGCGATGACGAGGGATGGACTTGCCAGGCGGATCATTCGCTGGTCCAGCTCATATGGCGGCGCGTCTCTGTTCTTAGTATGGGACGCGTACGCCACTTGCCACGCGTCTGTGATGGCTTTTTCGGCCTGTTCGTTGCTGGGAAATGCATTAGTAGTGTACAGGTAGCAATAAAACTCGTTGATGGCGCGTTCCAGGAGGGTCTTGACTTCCGGGATGTACTGGCCGCTGGACGGACGACTCTTCGGATCCACACCTAGAACCAGAACAGAGATGTTCCCAGTGGGGCCCGCAGTGTTTGTTTGGGTGGGCCGTTGATGGGGCACTGGAGGGGACAGACGAGAGCGCGACCGCAGGCGTTGAGAGCGCGATTGCGGGTGTTGAGAGCGCGATTGCGGGCGTTGAGAGCGCGATTGTGGTTGTTGAGAGCGTGATCGTGGACGACTCGAGCGCAAGGGTGGGGGCGACTGCGGGCGAGAGCGCGATGGCGGGTGTGAGCGCACCAGGTGAGAACGCCGTGATGATGGCGGCTGCGAACATGGGCGAGAAGGGGATGGCGGACGCGACAGTGGGCGACTTGAAGGGGACAGTTGCCTTGCGCGCAGGCGAGAAGCTGGAGATGGAGACTGTGGCCGCAGGCGAGAAGGGGATGGTGGCCGCGATCGCGGGTGACTTGAAGGGGATGGTTGCCTCGCACGTGGGTGAGAAGGCGATGGTGAACGTGACCACGGGCGAGAAGGGGATGGCGGCCGCGACCTTGGTTGAGAAGGTGACGACAGACGAGCTGAGGGCGACAGTGGGCGTGAGTGAATTTGTGGGTGAGGTCGAGATAGATCATCCCGATGGGAGCGTGAGGATGACCGAGCGGGTGACGAAGGGTGGGAGCGCGATGATGGCAAACCACCTGAGAGGGATGAGGGTGGTCGCGATGTCGGTGGAGAAGGCGGCCGTGAAGAACCAGCTGGCGGCGACTGCGAGTTCCGTGGTTGTTGAGAGCGCCCCCGCGGCGGGCTCCCACTGCCCTCGCGATGGGAAATGCGCATAGGGAGTGCTGTTCGTGGGGCTGTTTCGTATTTCTCGCGCACCTTTAAAAGGCAGTTGAGTATACAGCAACTGTGGATACACAAACAACGTACTTTGGCTCGCATCCCATGACTGCGCCTGAATGTTCCTCCATCTGAGAGGTACTCGTCTTCGGACTCGGGTCCAGGAGACTCAGTGCCATCGTTCTTGTTCCTAGCCGGACCGTCTCGTTGCTTCTTCTTCTTCCGAAGATCCTTGAGTTCGCGCTCGAGCTGCGCGGCCCTCTTGTCTTCTGCATCTTCGTCTACGAGTGACATTGAGTTCAGTACCACAAAGCAGAGTAGTGAACTGAGATCATACCGCCTTGTTTCCGCTTTTTAGTCGGCTTTCATGCTCTATTGGGACGCTTGTTTGAGCCAGACCCTTCTTTTTCTGCCACCTATGACCAGGTGAATGGCATGAGTAATACTGTGCAAGCTGAGGTCATAGATTTGCACACACCTCATTGTCATCGGAGGGGAGCTGATCGGCGCCCCTCTTGCTGCGTGGCGGCATGGAGAAGAAGGGGGGTCGTCGAATAGGAGATGGTGGGCGTTGCAGGCAAGCCTTGAACTGCCAGCGGGCCTGAGCGGGGTGAGTCCATGTGGGCGGAGTTTCAGATATTCGGATTTTGCCGCCACTGCTGCAAGGGGCGTATCAGCTCGCAAATTGCACCACGAAGCTCAAACTCATACGGTTTCTATCCATTTCCCTCACTCATCGCTCCATATATCCTTCTCAATGCCCCGGGCACGCCGGCACATATGCCAGTTTTGCGGCAAGGACTTCCCCACCCCACAAGGGGTACTCTCCCATATCAGCCAGTCCACTGCGTGTCGATCCGCGCGAAGTCAGAAAGTCAATCAACGCGTACAAGAGCTTCTCCATGGCATACCTCAAGAACCCCCACCCTCAGATACGACTGCCACATTCCCATCCGATCTCGGATCTCCTTCAGCAACCCTATCGGATGACAGGCAGCATGGTGTCGGCGAAGCGGCCGACCAACCCTCTCCGACGCAACCCCATCCCGGCTGCCGGGTGACTGTGGAAGAGGTCGAGGATGAAGAAGCTGGCGGACTCCCTAAACGTTTATGGCGTGGGGAATATCCGGCTTCAGGTCGCGCTGGTGAACGACTTCGAAGAGCACGTACCACATTCGAGGAGCTTCTTGCTCAGAAGCACAACAGCAAGACGCCAATCGTCTCGCCATTCGCATCTGAAGAAGAGTGGGACTTGGTGAAGTGGCTCTTCACGAGCGGACTGAGCCAGCAAGCCATCGAAGAGTATCTATCATTGCCATTAGTTCGTGTTTATTCTTCTGTCCAATAGTCACCCTGTTTCTCACCTCGCGAAGGTTCGTCGCACAGCAGATCTGTCGTTTCGGAACAAGTACGAGCTGTTGAAGAAGCTAGATCAACTTCCCGGGGGCACAGCGGAGTGGATCTGTAACGAGTGGGAGCTGGTGGGCGATGAGAAGGACGATAACGGGAAGATGAAGACGGAAAATGTGGAGTTATGGCGTCGCAACCCAGTGGAGATCGTCCGTGAACTCTTGGGTAACCCTGTGTTCGACGGAGTTGTGAGGTTTGCTCCCGAGAGGCTTGTCGCGTCCAAGGATGGTTCGGAGATTGTCATCGAGGAGATGTGGACGGCTGACTGGTGGTGGGAAACACAGGTGAGTAGCATCACACCATGCGGCAGCTGGGCAACATCTCACGTACCGTTATGGCGCAGGGGAACCTCCCGGCTGGAGCCACCATCGCTCCGGTCATTCTCTCATCGGACAAGACCCAGCTCTCGCGCTTTTCAGGCGACAAGCAAGCGTGGCCTGTCTATATGACGATAGGAAACATCCCGAAGGGCATCCGCCGTCAGCCCTCCATGCGCGCAATGGTTCTTGTGGGGTACATACCGGTCACGAAGCTCGAATGCTTCAAGAAATCCGCCCGTTCCCTCGAACAATGGCGGTTTTTCCATCATTGTATGGCGAAGATCCTGGAACCATTGAAGGCTGCAGCACAGGACGGCGTTGAGATGGTCTGCGCAGACGGGTTCATCCGGCGAGTCCATCCCATCATCGCTGCATACATCGCCGATCACCCGGAGCAGTGTCTTGTGTCTTGCTGCAAGGAGAACTGTTGCCCCAAGTGCACCGTCCACTCGAACTCGGTGGCGATCCCGTCCACTGCATGATGAAGGATCCGGAATCAGTATATGAAGTCATCGACGAGCAAGACCAAGGCCTCAAACCTTCGGAGTTCGAAGACCTAGGCCTGAAACTCATTGATCCCTTCTGGCGGGATCATCCACACTGCGACATCTTCTCCTGCTTCACGCCCGACCTACTGCATCAGTTACACAAGGGAGTGTTCAAGGACCATACCGTCTCATGGGTGACAGATGCTCTTGCTGGTGGAGCGGACGAGCTTGACAGGCGATTCAAGGCAATGCCGTCTCACCCCAGTCTCCGGCACTTCAAGAAGGGGATATCGTTGGTGTCGCAGTGGACGGGAACGGAGTACAAGAACATGGAGCGTGTCTTCCTTGGCGCTCTAACAGGCGCGGCTGAACAACCGGAAGTCGTGCGCGCCGTGCGCGCGGTTCTCGACTTCATCTACTACGCTCACTTCGAGGCTCACACTAGTCGCTCCCTTGCCCGCCCCGAGTCCGTGTGGCGTTCTTTCCATGCCCACAAACACGTCTTCGCCTCCCTTGGCATCCGCGACCATTTCAACATTCCTAAAATCCACGCCGCCATCCACTACCCCGTCTCCATCCGTCAACTCGGTTCGGCTGACGGCTTCAACACGGAAGCATCGGAGCACCTCCATATCGACTGCACCAAAGATGCCTACAATGCGTCGAACAAGCGGGCGTACATCAAGCAGATGACAACGTGGTTGAACCGCCAGGAGACCATCTCGCGCTTTCAGCACTTCCTCGACTGGGCCAAGCAAGCAGATCTCACCCGCAAGGATTCGGACATGGACACACCAGGGGCGGCAGGGTGCATCGAGGACACGGACGGCGACATTGAGATGACAGACTCCGTGGGTGATTCAAACGGTGCGCTTCCCCCCTACCTTGTTGCGAAAAAACCTCCCCTTCCCGCTGTCCCCATCCGCGAACTGGTCCAACGCTTTGGTTGCACCAACTTTGTGCGCAACCTGGAAGACCACCTCAAGACCGTATTTCTCTCTCGCCCCCGCCCACCCACAGTTCTCATCTCTGGGAGTCAGACATTCCCGGTGTATCACCGAATGTCTCTGTACCTCCCTGCAATGCGCCAAGTCTCCCCGGTTCCCATCAAGGACGTCGTTCGAGCCACACCATTCAAGCCCGCTCGACCTCTCCATCCTGCGATTCCCGCTCACTTTGACACTGTTCTCGCCTGGGAGCCAGGTGTGGAACCGGTGGAAGGGCCCATAGTTTCGATTGAGGGTGTGTTCCTTGCCATGAGTCGCATTTTTGGTGCGCAAAGCTGACACTTTTGTTCTATCGCAGGGTTGCGTGTCGCTCGTGTGCGAGCGATCTTCCGCATGCCCGCAGGTTTTGGCACACACTTCAAGCACCCACTCGCCTACGTCGAGTGGTTCACTCCGTTCCGTGCTGAGCCTGACCCCGTCAATGAGCAGCAGTGAATCGCTAGAAACACCTGTTGTGAGTACTTATCGGCAGGTGCAGATGCACCTGTCGTAAGCGCCCAAAACAATGGAGGCACGGGAGTCGAACCCGAACCCACAGCGTGAATCCATAGTGATGTATGCCACTACACTATAGATCTGCATTTACCTCCCTATGTTCTCAAATTATACCACCTTTGGTATACGGCACGGACGCGTGGCGCGCATCAACGGGCCCGCTGATGCGCGCTACGCGTCCTTCGCTGTCGCTGTCCTCACTCGCTTCCTCCTGCCCCTGCTCCTCTCCTCCACCCTCGCTGCCCCTAGCCTCCCCGCTCTGTCCAGGCAGACGATAGCGACCATATGGTCGACTGTCGTCTGCTATTGGACTCCGGTGTCACCAGGTGACACCGACCTTCCCTCCTCCGACCTCCCTCGACCTCAACCTCAACCTCGATCCCGCCCTATACCGACCTTCCCGACCGCACTCACAACAAAAAACACCGCACGAGGACGTCCATACGATGGAGATCGGAATATGGGGGCCGCGGCGATGTGCCGCGGCACTTGTTTTTTGGTGAGTCCTCCGCTCCGTCCTCTTGCACTCCCGATGCCCACCCATGCCCCCTGCCTACGACAGGCCGAGGACGTCCACACTGACGTCCTCCTCCGCGCCGCTCTCCTCCGCCCGCATCGCCCGCCCTCGCCTTCCGCCTCTGCGTCGCCCTCATCGCGTCACCCTCCTCCGCCACGTCCCGGCCCTCCTCCACCTCCGCGTCCTCCGCCCACGTCACCGTCCTCGTCCTGCTCGTCCTCCCCTTCCCCATCATCCTCCTTTGCCCGGCGCCCGCTTCACCCTCCTCCGCCCGCGTGCGGCCCTCCACCTCCTCCCGTGAGCCCTCCGTGTCGCCCACGTCCACGTCGCCCATCTTCTCCGTCTCGTCCCGGCCCTCCACCTCCTCCTACCAGCCCTCCGCGTTGCCCTCCGCCGCCGCCGTGTCCACCGCCTCCGCCTCCGCGTCCCTGCCCTCTGTGTCGCCCACCATCGCCCGCGTCGCCCTCCGCCTCCTCCGTCTCGCTCGCCTCCGCGCTGCCCACCTCCGCGCGTGTCGCACGCCTCCGCTTGCGTCGTCCTCCGCGCCGCCAGCCTCCCCACGCGTCGCCCTCCACCTTGTTTACCTCGTCCCGGCCCTCCGCCTTGCCCTCCTTCGCGTCCACGCCACCCTCTGCATCGTCCCAGCTCTCCGCCTCGCCCGCCTCCGCGTCGCTCGCCTCCGCGCCCGCCTCCTACGTGCTGCGCGCGCCTCGCGCGCCTTCACCAGCGTCCCCCTCCTTCGTCCGCGGCGCCCTCCTCCGCCTCCAACCGCCGTGCCGCGCTACCTCCATGTTGTAGTAGAATATACTAAATATATTTCATCTCTCATAATAAACTAGTACGCCTACGGAAGGACGGCGGGGAGTCGGGACGACGAGCACGGGTGGGCGCCCATATGAGGTGCGTGTGCGCGCCTGGGGAAGTGGCGTGATGGGGGTGGATATAGCAACGGGGTGGTACCTGAGATCAACAGATGCATCTGCACCTGCCGACAGGCTATGGGAACAGATGCACCTGGCGATTCACTACTGTAGCGTCAATGGTATGTTCCGCGTATCTGTCTCTACAAATAATTATCGCCGCCGCTCTTCTATCATTCCTGTTACCTCCATTGTTCGAAGCTGTCATCTTATACCTGTGTGGGGACGGGAGGTTGATCGGACATGGACAACAGATAACGTACTAGATAAATGTGAGAGGTTCTTCTTGAATCCTTACCTTCGTCATCACGACTTTGTACTACTCCGTTATCTACGTGATGATACATGATTTGGTGCTCTACAACTTCTCATGTGTGCTCCGGTGGCCCATGTACATGCTCGATCTTTAAGCTGCAACGCGCTCATGAACACTCCCGGGCATCCTCCCATGTTCGCGCGAGCTAGAGAGGTGTTGCGGAAGCTCACAGGAGCTAGAGAGACGGCACAGATGCTCACGCGTGCAAGAGAGGTGGAATGGATGCTCACGCGAGCCAGAGAGGCGGCGCGGATGCTCGCGCGTGCGAGAGAGGCGGCAAGGATGCTCGCGAGTGCGAGAGAGGCGGCACGGACGCTCGCGCGGTCTCAAGATGGCCGGTCAGCGCTAGATAGCCCTCCGGAGCCGCCTGGAGCATGGCTCTGAGTGAGCGAGCACGACAGAGCGCCCAGTCACGTTCTGGAGCAAACGGTTTTTTCCTGATGTAAGGCAGACGAAGAAGGCGAAGGCAAGAACGGAGGGGACAGGCACAGTACCTGCGGTAGAGCGGAATGCATCACGCACAAAGGACTACACTCGTGTTATGCCTCGTACCATAGTAGTATCGGTTAATGTCAACGGCAAGCCCGTTCGGGCTCTTCTGGATTCTGGATCTATGGCGGATTTCGTGTCAACAACGCTTGTCGATCAGCTCAAGCTTAAGCCGGAGTTTCTAGAGAAACCGTTACCTGTACAACTTGCAGTTCATGGATCGCGTTCTAAGATCAATTGCTCAGTTACGGTTGACTTCGAGTATCAGGAAATAAGAACCAAGCGACGTTTCGATGTCGTTAACCTCGACAACTACGACATGATCCTCGGCACGCCGTTCTTGTACCAACACAAGGTTGCAATCGGCTTCAATCCAACTCGTGTGGTGATAGGATCGACACAGCCGTGTGAGATTCCTCCAGGACGCGAGGACACGGCCGTCATTCAGTCAGCAGCGGCAGACCTGTTGGACGACGAACTAGAGAAGCTGCGTTAGCAGCTAACCAAGGACGCAGCGGACTTATGCCAGGACGGGGCGCGTGCGGCACTCCCTCCGATACGAGACATCAACCATACGATCCCTCTCATTGATGAGGCGAAGATCTATGGCTGGCGGCCGTCTAGATGCCCGGATGCGCTTCGCCCGCAATGGCAAGAGAAGAAGAATGCTTACCTTGAGTCTGGGCGGTGGCGACTTGCATCTGGTACGAATGCGTCACCTATGCTGATGATTCCGAAGCCTGCACGCGAAGACGGAGTCTTGCAGCTGCGCACTGTTGTGGATAAACGTCAGCAGAACGCGAACACAAAGAAGTTAGCAGCACCGTTGCCAGATATCGACAGTATCCTGCGCAATGTGGTGAAGCATAGGTACCGTAGTATCATAGATGGAAAAGACGCGTACGAACAAATCCGGGTGGTGCCCGAACACGTCTCCAGGACGCTTTTCACGACGCCGGACGGCACTATGGAAAGCTTAGTCTTGCAGCAAGGGGATGTGAATGGTCCGACAACGTACCAGATGGTCATGAACCACATTTTCGCACCGTACATCGGCGTGTTCATGGACGTATATCTAGACGACATTGTCATCTACTCAGACACGGTTGAAGATCATTTGAAGCACGTACGAATAGTCTTTGACGTCCTGCGACGCGAGAAGTTCTTCTTGGGCGCAGATAAGATGTATTTCTTCGCACGAGAACTGAAGATTCTAGGACATGTCATAGACGAGCATGGTATCAGGATGGATCCTTACAAGGTTGATTCGGTTTTGAACTGGAAGACACCAACGAACAAGACGTTGCTGGCGAGCTTCCTCGGTGCTGTAGGATTCTTGGCTCCAGACTGCGAAGGGATCAGGATTCCAATGGGCACGCTTTCAAGCATGACAAGTGCGTCGCGCTCGTGGCTCTGGATGCCAACAGCGCAGCGTGCATTCGACGCTGTTAAGGAATCCGTGCATAAGTGGCGCAACAACCGTAGAGTGACATTGGATTACTCGGAGGGCGCACCTCCTATCTACCTCGTGACGGACGCGTCTTTGACGGGCGCGAGCGGATACATCTGCCAGGGCGCGGATTTGAAAACCGCGAAGGTCATCGCGTTCTGGTCGGGCAAGTTCAACTCGGCTCAGCAGAACTATCCAGTACATGAACTCGAATTACTTGCCATTGTGGAATCCCTCAAACGGTTTCGTCCTCTTCTTTATGGCACAACCTTCCGCATTTGCACGGATCATTGATCCCTGGAGAGCTTCATGACGCAGAAGCACCTGTCGCCGCGTCAGCACAGGTGGCTAGACATCATGAACGAGTTCTCGTTCATAGTGGAGTACATACCTGGTGAAACGAACGTGCTGGCCGACGCTCTGTCACGCGTGTACAGTGATGAGCAGCCAGGGACAGAGCGCGCGGCGTCGGAGTTTGTGGGCGACGATGGAGCGGGTGTACCGCAAACGTCTAGGCTCAGGGACATCTTGCGGCCGGTGTACACTGGTGCAGCTGCGGTGGTGGACTTCGCATTGAGACGATCAGCTCGCCTACGGGACAAGCAGAAGCAATCGGGCACTTACCGCGCTATGCATGAGGGTGCAGGGCTGCCAGACGAAGACGAAGCGACTGGTCAGGATGACACAGAACGAGTGGCTGCGAAAGCGACTCACCGGAACGATGAGCATGGGACTGACAAGGGTACGCGGCGTAAGCGTACAGCAAAGGGCGCGTCGCGCCAACCGGAGCCGAGCTCCCACGACCGGGTGACCGCGTCTGAGACCGCGTCGCCGTCCGAGCTGCCCGCGGGTGGACTGGAGGACACGACGATCGTCCCTACAGCAGGCGGACTGGGGATGGACCTGTTTGACGCCTTCCGCGGACGATATGCGGAGGATGAGTTCTTTGCGCGGGTAATGCGCGAACTCGCAGGTCATCCCTCTTACCTCAAGCGCGACGAGCTTCTGTACATTGTTATTGGTGAGGTGCCTCGCCTCTGCATTCCAGATATTGAGGTGGGTTCGCGTAGTGCGCGCGAGATCGTAATTCGCCACGCGCACTCGATCCTGGCTCATCTCGGCGCGCGCAAGACTTTGGACTACTTGCGTGTGGAGGTTTGGTGGCCTACAATGGTCAAGGACGTCAATGAGTACTGTTCATCCTGCGCTGTATGCGCGACGACGAAGTCCGTACCGGCGAAGCCGCAGGGACTCTTGCGTCCTCTTGAAGTACCACGTCGTCCCTGGCAGCACATCGGCATTGATTTTGTTGGACCGCTGCCGGGATCTTCAAATCGCCTTGGAGAATTCGATATGATCTGTGTTATAATTGACCACCTCACGTCTATGGTGCATTTGGTACCCACGCGACAGACTTACAGTGCAACAGACATCGCAGAAGTCGTTTTTGAACATGTCTACAAGCTCCATGGCTTACCAGAGCGCATCATTAGTGATCGCGACACGCTGTTTACCAGCACGTTCTGGAAACGCTTGCATAAGCTTCTTGGCACAGAGCTGCGTCTTTCGTCGGCTTACCATCCACAGACAGACGGCGCGATGGAGCGTGCCAATCGAACAATGACACAGATGCTGCGTCAGTGTGTCAGACCGGATCAAAAGGATTGGGTATCACGCTTACCTGCTATCGGGCTCGCGATGAACTCAGCACGCTCTGATACGACTGGCTTCAGTCCATTCTACCTGAATTACGGTCAGGTACCTCGCGCATTGATCTGGGACTCACAATCGGACTACCCTGGTGTAAGGAAATTCGCTGCGCGCATGAAGGAAGCCATAATGGCGGCGCACGATGCGATTATTGCAGCACGCACGAACCAGGCAGTTCAAGCGAACAAGCACCGGCGTCCTGCAGCGTACAAGCTTGGGGACCTGGTGTACCTGTCAACGAAAAATTTGTCCCTACCGCCTGGGCGCGCTCGCAAGCTCGTACCGAAGTTCCTGGGACCTTTTCGGATCACTGAGGTTATTGCGAACGGCGCGACTTACCGGCTAGAGCTCCCGGGTGAGCTTAGGGCACGTGGAATACACAACGCATTTCATGCGTCGTTGTTGCGCCCTCACATAGCGAACGACGACAGAAGGTTCCCGGGACGCCAATTCCACCAACTACCCGGTTTCGGCGAACGACCGCGTGAGTGGGCGGTGGATAGGATCCTCGGGCACTCGGGCCGGGGCGCTGATGCAATGTTCGAGGTGCAATGGTCGACCGGTGATGCGACCTGGGCCTCATACACCGATCTCAAACATACTCAGGCACTCACCGAATATTTTGAGGCACTGGGGATCCTAGGAACGCGTGGTTTGACCGAGGAACATCCACGCACAGAGGGTGAGCGCGACGACGCGACAAGGGTAAGCGCCGTGCACTGCAGCTGCATGGGTTTTAAGGTTGCGATTGGCTTCCCGACAGACTCGGTTGCCCCGCACTCACCGACCTCACTGCGCTCTCCCGCTCTTGCTACTACCTCGCGCTTCCACTCCGCCATGTCTGACAACCAACCCAACTCATTCGACTACTTCAACAACCTCTTGCAAAGCGCTCCGGTGGCGCCGGGCAGCTCGGGGGATGCCGCGGACGGTTCCAACAACCAGGCCCCGACTCCCAACGTCGGCAGGAATCTACCTCGCTCCGGGACGCAGGGGATTGCCATGTCCGAGGCCGCCCTCGTGACCTTCCTCACCTTCATGCACAACCAGACGTTGACTCGCGACAACATGCTCCAGGCCATGAGGGCTGCACAGCCCACCATCCCCACTGGTCCCCGCGCTCTCCATTACGCTGGACGTGGCCGCGGCATGGTGCGCGGCCGTGGCGGTGCTTTCGCGCACCGCGGCTATGGGCGTGGCGGGCATCTCGCGAACCGCATTGGAGGCACGCACCGCGGCAAGCGCGCTGGACGTGACCACGGCGCGGACGACGGTCGTGGATGCCGCGACGGCAGCGACCCTTACCAGCGCCGGCGCCGCGACCAGGACGACGACAACAACTACGGCGGCCCCGCTCCCCCTTATGAGCCCTCCGGCTCCGGCGGCCGCGACGCGCAGGACGTCCCTATGCAGGACGCCAACTACGACGGGATGTAGGGTCCCCAGGCACTTGGTCGTGATCCTGTGAGTAGGCCTCGTTACACGAGCCCTGGAGGGCGAGTGTAAGGACTGGGACTCACGCACCAAGTACAGGAACAGTTCGGAGCCTCGCGCATCGATACAAGCACGACGCGAGGCCTCCGTGATCGCGCGCGGGCATTCTGCTGCGTGCGCCGAGCCTCCATCTGTTCCGCTCGCGCCGGACTCTCCCGGCGCTCCCTCTTCCCCTCTCTTCTCGTTGATCTCACTGTGTTTGTTTATTTGGACGATGGCTTGATTACGTTACCACCTACTATACAGTTCCGGCCCGACCTCGTATATATAGACGTCTGCGCCGACCTGTAGTGGGTAGCTTTTCGGGATACAACTGTCTCCTACTCACTCTCGTGTGCCATCTCGCTCTTCCCGTGTTCGCCTCTCCTCGACCAGCGTCTCTTCTCGACACTCTCGACACCTTCGACGCTACGCCGAGGCGGCGACCTCACACAGCTCCTGCACCACCTTGTCCGCCTTCTTGATGAAGTCCGCCTCCGTGGCTCGTCCTCCTCCATCCCCTGCCGTGGCGAGACCTCTTACCAAGACCTGGCGTTCCTTGATGTCTACTTCCTGCAGAGCGGCCGCCTGTGATGGGGGAAGTGGCACTGGCTTTCGGACGTACGCAGGGGAGGGGCGGTGTTCAGTAGTCTCCGCTAGGGTGGGGAACTCACCTGTACCCCATGCCACCGGTTTGGGGACTGCCTCCCACTCTGTCCGGATGGTCTTCAGCCTTCCGACCTCCTCTTCCATGAGCTCCCTGGTCCGAACTAGCTCCTCCCGTACCTCTGTCAACTCCTCCTTTAGCTTGTCTGCCCTCTCCGTGTCCCGCCGTTCCATCTCTCCTGCCACCTTGTCCGCCACCAGTTTCGCCATGCTGTTCGACTGCTCGTTGTTGAAGACTACTGTGGCATAGAAGGCCGCGGCCACCACTGCCTTTTTGGCTGGGTTGTTCGCCTTCATTGTGTCGGCGATGTGACGGAGGGCAGTGATGAGATTGGCGTGGCTGAGGGGTGAGGATTTCGGGATGAGGGTGTTCTGTTCGAGGTACCGCAGTGCCGTGTTTGCGTCCTTGATGTCGGTCAGCTGTTCGAGTGTCCTCTGGAGGGGGTCGGCGGGTGTGGCTGGCCGGGCTCGAGACCCCTTTGCCTGTCCGCTGGCCGCGTCTGGTCAGCTGTCTTTGTCGTTGGGGTGTTGACACGCGACATTGTCAGTCTCCTCTTTTCGTTCCTTTCGGTTCTAGTACTAGTGGAGCAGGTATAACTAGGATATTACGGTGGTAGACCGCACGCTCGAGGTCTCCCCGGTGAGAGTCGAGCGTGGGAAAATCGCCAGAGGTGGTGGTGCGAAGCCAAGCCGGGTCCTTCCTCAATTGTCAACATTCCTTCGCACCGCCGCCCCTTCACTGCAACCCGGCAAAGGTGAGGAAGGAGTGGCTCATCGCCATCCATAAGTGTTTGGAACTCGTTCCAAATGGACCGCATGGCCCACCGGGCAGCCGGACGAAGGGTGATCTCCCTTACGCACCGAGAATACGTGTAGAAGTGGGCCCAGTTGGGATGACGGCGTAGTTCGTTCGCAGACTTGAAGTGCGCGACGGTCTGTGTCAAGGTCGTCAGTTTTTAAGCCACGTTTGACACATGCAGACACTCGCGTAGAACCACCCCGGGTCGGTGCGCTCCCATTCACGACGAACCTGCGCATCTTCTTCACTAGGTGGACGGTCCCAGGATCCGCTTGATACCGCTTCGTCCCACTGCCAAGTGCTCGATTGTGAAATTCCTAGTAGATGCAGCAGCACCACCAGGGGGCGATCGCTGGGGAGGGCTTGCCAGAGGACGTCGAGAGCGGGGCGTGAAAACCGTCTGGATGAGATGGCAAGCGCAAAAAGAGTCTTGCGCGACACGTCATCTCTGCTGTCGAGATTCGTGAATATCTCCGGGAGGACGTCGTCGACCAGTTGAGGTGCAGCGACATGAACCATCTTGATTATCGAGGTCGTGGTCAGAGAGTGAGAGGTCGGACGGTCGGAGGTCGGACGACGAATTTGTCCTGAAGCCTGCGCACCGCCGGGCAGGTGCGATGGGATCCGGGATGGAGCATGCGGTGGTGTAGTTGGTTATCACGCCTGCAGATCGACGGTCTTTGGTTCAATTCCGGGCTGAATCATTTGGGTGCGAAATGGGGTTTTGTTGTGCCGGACTGAGGTCGTACATCCTCCTCACATACGATTTCACGCTCGTGGGGGGCACGACGGCGCGCCCGGAGAACATCTCAAGAATGTGAAAATTATGTCTTGCGAGCGCGAGTGCATGTTGCAGTATATACTTTCCGGACGCGAATCCACCGACGTATTTGGCTAACGTAGTAGACCTCCCTCGACGTGCATTATATCCTGTCGCAGAAACGCCGTACACGTTGGTCCCCGCGCCCGTTCTACCATTGAACAAAGTTCATCTGGACCTCGACCCGGTGCCCGGCATTCGGAAACAACGCGCCGAGGAATGTGCGCACCTCGCGCTTCGCGTCCTCCTCCCAGCTATCCTCCCGCCAACCACGCACTTTCACCAAACCCAGCCGGAGGTCGTACACCGCACGATGCGGCCCGGTGCCGGCGCCGACAACGTCCAGCGCCCCCGCGGTGAACGTCATCTGCGGGAGGTGCAGCACGCGCAGCTCTGGGAGGGCGCGCGTGAGGTCCGGCAGCACGCAGAGCGGTGCCACGTCGTCGTCCGAGCCCTGAGCGTAAAGTCCGGCCGCGATCCGGAGCTCGACGAGGGCAGGCCACACTACCGGGATCCTTCGAAGGTCGTGTGCGTTGTAGCTCATGTATTCGCCTTTGATGGTGATGTTGACGACGCGGAGCCGCTGTAGAGGCGCGAGGGGCGTGAGGATGTCGGAGAGGTGGATGATGAGGCTGCTCCATAGTGAGCGGACGATCAGCGTGAGCTCGGTGAGATGTACGTAAGCGGCTCCGATGGCGTCGAGGGGGACGCTGAGGTCCTCGGCGTAGCCTCCATCATAGAGAGTGTAAGAGAGCGAGCGGAGGGAGGGAAGCGAGGCGGAGAGCCGTGAGGGGGGCGGGGCGGAGAGATGGCACCCATGTGGCTCAACATTAATCTCGAGGTTCTGAAGAAAAGGTAGGGAGACAAGATTTGGCAGGCCGGATCGGGACAAGGAACCGGTGTTGAAAGTGAGCGACCGCAGTGCGGGCCAGTTGGCCATGCAGGCTAGATATATGGTCCTCGGATCGTCCCCGTGCACATGAAGCATCTCCAGACTGTGGTGGTTTGAGAGCAAGGCCATCCACTCGGTATTGGCGATGGTGGCGCCTTCCAGGTTGGGGCAGTGTGCGAGGAGATGGTTGGCAACTAGGGTGTCCCAATCCTTATCATCATATGCACCGTCGATTCTTGCCCAGCGTAGCCTAGGTGAAAGCAGTGCGAGCAGTCCGCTCTCAGCTTTCCAGGATTCCCCATATGTGTACTGATGTATCAGTGCGACCCAGTGTAGACGGGGGAGAATGGGGTCGTCCTTGGTGAGCAATGCATCGAGTTCTGTCCAAATTGATGGCCTCGGCAAAAGTGGGGAGAAGAAGAGGCCGATCTTCTGCACGCAACCTGCGTACATCTTGAAGCGCATCCATGCTGGGTGCAACCGTAGGTCATGCAAAGACTTGACGTGCGCGACAGTCTACAACGAAGACGTCAATGTCTGGAATAATGTCACAAGGGACCATCAAACACTTGCATAATTCCACTCCCAGTGTGCGCAGAACCGATGTTCATCCTCGTTCAAAGTATGGGGTCTGGGCCGTGCGATCCCCAAGGTATGAAGAAGTGAGACCAAAGGGTAATCACTGGGTAGCGATTTCCAGAGGATACGGAGAGCGATAGAGGAAAGAGTTCGGCAGGACAATGCAAGCGCGAGGAGAGTCCTGCGAGACGCCCCATCTGTGTTGTCGAAGCTTGAAAGTATCCCCGGAAAGATGTCGTGTACAAGCTGGGGAGGGCTCTCGTATGACATTTCCTTGAAGGAAGTGAGACTCTGACGCACCCGCAGCGTGAGGATAGACATACCTCCATATCCAGAGTGCGTCGATGAGCAGTATCAGTGGCTCGGTCCGCGGGGATCGATGGCAGAGAGCATCGTCGCACGGACGCGTGCCGTGTCGATTGGCGCTTTGACCCAGCTCCCATTCGCACGTCGCCACCCACAATTCCTCCAGAACGCCTGCGCGCCCCTCCTGCTCCGCCCGCCACGCACACTTAGGGACTAGGTGCAGCATGCGCATCTGAGTGCGCGAGCTCATCCAGACCCGCCACGTCCTCACGCTGGCCCGCGTGATGCGACCGCACCCGACCGAATGGCAAGGGGAATAAGCTGGATACAATGCTAGGTGTACAGACGTGCGATGGATACAAAACGAGGGATAGTCCGTGTATGCTAGTGGTCCTGTCAGCGCGCGTGTCGTGCGTGACTAGCACGCAAGTGCCTGCGCGATGGCGTCGAAGAACAATTCGTTCCAGTTCACCCCGCTCGTGATCGCCTGCTCGCGAAGGAGCACGACGGCCTGGCGCAACAGCTCGGCGTCGCGCAGCTGTGGATACACCGTCAATAGACATTCAAGATAAAGCCGCAGTACTCACACGGAACGCGTCGAACGTCACATCAAGACGGGTGACGGAGAGGTTTGTCGTGCGGATGGGGCAGTTCACGTTGCGCCAGAGATCGTAAGGGAAGTGGAGTATGGACGACAGGAGCTGACTGTATTCACACCGGCTTAGATCAACTTCGCCGCCAAAACTGAAAACATGCTCACAGAGAGAACGGGCGAGGTGCGACGCGCTCGTACGGAAAGAGCACACGCACCCACTGGCACTCCTCCGCCACGAGCGCGAAGCTGCCGCGGTCCTTGGCCCAGTCCCGGCGCAGCTGCGAGTCGATGCTGCCAAAGGTGTACATCCGCCCCTCTTCGTTGTTGATGAGCAGCCCGCGCGCGGCGAGGCTGAAACAGAGCTCGTACGGATCGTGCGTGCGGAGGGGCGTGGTGGTGTACGCCCGCATGCGCTTGCGCTCGTCGAGGATCTTGGCTTCGGCCTCGGCGTTGAGCGGGCCGGGGTCGTGCACGTCGGGGTCGGAGTCGAGCTCGCCCTCCTTCGCACCGTGCTCTCCGGGGTAGGGGTGCCCGTCCTCCATCCCGTTCTCCTCTCCCCCGGAGCTGCCCGCCAAAGAGACGTACCGGTCGTCCTCCCCTTCCTCTCCCTCGTAGCACCCGTCGTCGTCCCCCCGCACGTCCGACTCCCCGAGCGACCGCTCGTCCATCGCCGTGAAGAGCCCCCCAAAGTGGAACGCGGTCCGAAACAGGTCGGCGCGAAGGACCTCGCCGGTGAGGAGCGTCGCGACGAGGTTCGCACGCAGGCGCTGGATCCAGTAAGGTGTGTCGGTGCTCCGGCGCACGCGGATGCGGAGCCCCGCGAGCGCGACGTCCGCCCACGCGCCGGCGGTGTGGCGGAAGAGGACGGGGAGGAGCCAGAGCTTGAGGGTGAGGCGGTCTGCGGCGACGTCGGCGCTGGTCGAGGTGTAGAATGCGTCGTGGAGGAGGACGGTAGCCCAGCGGGGGTCGGAGGTGTGCGGGAGGTGGAGGGACCAGGTGAGGAGGGGCGCGGAGAAGGAGAAGGCGTAGGATTTGTGGTCGACGAGGGCTTCGTATCTGATTCCGTGCGCGGCGAAGAGGGAGAGGCGGGCGATTGTGAGGCGGTGTCCGCGGACGGGGGTGTTGAAGAGGTAGGAAAGGAGGGCGAAGCAGGATGCGGCGAGGATGCTGTAGGCAACGCCGAGCGGGGTGTTGGGGACGGTCATGGCAGGATGCGTTTATGACGAGGCCATCGTGCGCGGCGAGGAAGGGGTACAGGGAGCAGAGGGGGCCGTGCGGTTGTTGACGGGTCATCGTGGCACTGCGGATGGAGCGGAGAGGTGACGCGCAGGACAGATGCCCGCGCGCAAGCCATTCGCGTTCGCGTTCGTGCTCGTCGACGACGCCGGGCCGTCGTCCGCCGCGCAAAAACGCGATCGAGCGCCGACGTTGACGTGCGACGAGCTGTGCCCAGGGGCAGCAGTAGCGCCGGTGCGGCTGCTTCGACGCTGCGCTGTGGTCCCGCCCCTCTCTCGCCTCTGCGCTCTCTGCGCCTTTCACCGAGCGCAGGGCACACTGGGACCAGTCTCGACGCGTCAAGGCCTTTCCCAGAGCACGCCGCCCCCGCGCCCGTTTCGTCGCCGCTGAGCACACCCCAGCCAATACGACGCGGCGTCCACCGCGTACCAGCTGGGCCCTCTCGACACGTCGACCCGTCGCCCACTGCCCCGCTCCTGCACGCTCGGTGAGTGCCCGCGCTCTGCTCTCCGTCCCCCACGCATGCCAATCCAACACAACCCTGTATGCGCTCCAATCCCCTTGCACGGCCCACCACGGTCGACACAGCGCGACTCCTTCAACGTATCAGCGCATTCCGACCTCTCGAGGTCTCTCCCACCACACGCGCACACCGACACCTTCCCGTCATAGGGTGGCGCACCGCAGTTAACCCGCCGCGTCATCTGTAACGTACCGCCGCCTCTAGACCTTTCAAGACCTCGCCCAACACACGCCATCGCCCGGCTGATGCACGCCCCTCCGCACGTACCACCTGTGAGCATCCGCGCTTCGCTCTCCGCCCTGTGCGCATACCCATCTAACAACACTCGCTCCCCTGATCTGTAGACCCTCGTTGCGCGTTGTCAACGAACGCCTACAGCCAGCGACAAGTAGCCCACACCGCGGTCGACTCGACCCGTCGTGACCTCGCCCAACACGCCTCCATCTCATACTAGCACGCACAGCTCGAGTTCACACCGTCCCGGCGCATCTCGCCCAGCGCGCGTTCCGTGCACGAGATGCGCTCGAATCGACTCCAAACCGTCTTGAGTCCCACAGAGCTCCACCGCTCCGTCGCTGCACACCTCTTCCGCTGTCCCATCCGTGAGTGCCCGTCCTCCGTTCTCCACCCTCCACACGTTCGTCGTCGCTTACCCATTAACCAGACCGCCACCGCGCTCTGTCAGCAAACACCCAGTCAGCGACATGCAGAAAAAGACCGAGCGTTTGACGTGCCGCGTCTCTGCCCACGCCGATCGAGCTGTGTGCAGCTGCAAAGGTGGGTGTTGTAGGTACGGCCCGTACCAAGTCGAGCCGACCCTCCCGCGCAATCGCGCCTCTCCCCGCTGCCAGACACCCGTCAGAGATCATACGGAGAGCACGTACCGCTCCTCCCAATGTGCGTTGTCGCGAGCACGTCGGGAGCGGGGTACACAAAGAAAGTCGGAGCGTGCTCGTGGCCCGCTGCTCGTGAGTGCTTCTCCCTGCCAAGACTCCTCTCTCCGACTCTCCCACCGTCCGCATGAACCCTAACAGTCGCTCACCTGATCTCCATACCCTCGTTGCGTGCTGTCAGCAAACACCCACAGTCAGCGACACCCAACAAGACGTCAGGAATCTGACGTACCGCACCTCTCCCTCAACGCCGCTCGAGCTCACGAACGGGGCGTGCGCAGAATGGATAACAGGTGTCTGAGTCCCTGTATGCGTATAGCCCTGCGCTAAGCCAAGCTGGCCTCACCGTCGTCACCCGCGCGATCGTGTCCCTCCCTATGCAAGAATCCGTCAGCGACCATACGCAGAGCAACAAGACGCGTACCGTCACTCCCAATGTCCTTCGTCACAAGCAGGCCGGGCGCGAGGGGCAGACGACGGAGCCGGCTGCTCGTACCTGCCTATCTATCTTCTCGTGCTCATGCCGAGACTCGCTTCTCCGACTCTCCCACCGTCCGCACCCCTTCATTGTACCGCATCCGTGCCTGCAATTGCGCAATATCCTTGCCGGTGTCCGCTCTCCGCGCTAACTGCGCCTTGGCCTCTGGCGCACAGGAACCCGCCCGACGGCACGTTCTCCTTTCAGTCGTCCATACCTTGGCCTCACTCAACCCTGAACGCGCGAGGCCTCCCGGTGACAGTCGGACTTGGCGACCGCTTCTGCGCCCTGTCCAAGGTAGGTGCTCAACATCCCTTCACCAACATCGCACGCTCACATCCATGCACGCAGGCAACACCCACGACACGCTCGCGCTCGACGAGCCCCGGTGAGGACCCTCGTTCTGGAAGAACACGACGCACCGGACTCGTGCCATCGTCCGGATGGGACGCGTTCCGCCGCAGCCTGGCGCGCACCCGTCACCGCAGACGTCGACGGTCGTCTCCCTGCAGGTACCATGGCCAGGACGGCGCCCGTTTACCAGGCTGACGGCAAATTCGATCGTGCGCTGTCAGGACCGCACGCGCACGCGCCCACTTGATGGTACCAGATGTGTGCGCGGCCGCCGACGCGGAACGACGCTCGCGATCATTACCAGAACTCACCGGTTCGACTCGAAAACCATGTTTCTTGGAGTGCCCAGTGCACCGCGGCCGTGCGGGACGGCCTCAAAATCGACTTCGGGAGGTGTTTTCATTGCACTCGACACGTCGGACGCCGCTGGCCCGCGCCCAGTATGACGAGCGACGCGAAACGTACACCGACACTGGTAAGTTTCAGAGCGACCTGAGAGTGTTTGAGAAAACGTGCTTGGGCCTGTCCGCTTCATGCACGCGCTGACGTCTTGCGTAACACAGCGCGCATCCCGGACGGCCGTCACCTCGAATCGAGTCGTGCGGCGCGGTCACAGGTTTACGCTGACGATGAACGGCTGCAAGTGAACGTTGACGGTTCAACTTCCTTGTCACTCAAGCCGTACCGCAGGGCGCGCTGTCCTCATCCCGCCCGCGACGCATTCCCGTGCGGAGCGAGTACCTCAGACGGATGCATTCGCCTCCCACTGGGGGCGGAAACGCGTTGGCTTGGGCTGGACCGGAATGGCAGGTCCCGTCCCGTTCCTCATCGTTCACGCCTTGCGAGTGTCCGCCATCGCCCGACCTCGCTCGCTCACACAGGAACACGCCTGCCCGCGTACCTCGACCTGTCCGGCTCTGCGTTGACCACGTCCCGTCCGCCGGCCGAGGTCCCGCTCGCTTCGACGGAGACCACCAGGCTCAGCTCCCCCGGTTCCAGTCGAGTGTCACCGTGGCTAGGTAAGCGTTCAGCTCCCTCGATCGACCAGACTTTGCCTCTGACGTCGCCGAACGACCTGCAGGATGTGGCGGAGCGGCCATTTGTCCCATCGTCAACGGTTCTTCGCCCTCCTCGGCGGGGCTCACGGTACAGTCCGCACCTGTCGCGCGTGCGGGCGTCGGAATTGCGGGGCGAGCTCGTTTTCCCGGCCCACTGCCCACAACACCCGCTCTCGTGCTCGCGCAGAACCCGTTCACGGATGGCGTCTCACGCAGGCCCATGCGGGCGTGCTCTTGATCGCTTCTGCAGGCTCGTACCACCCCGCTGCTTCCCTGCAGGTGCGGCGGTGAGCACTAGGAACGTACCGTTTCGACGGTGCGATGGACAGACCGAGACCCGCCTAGTTGATGGCGTCGCCCACGGCCGTCATGCCCGCCAATGCCGGACACATCCTCCAATCGCCATCCGACCTCACTCATTTGACTCGAGGATCGTTCTCGGTCCGTCGCTCCACGCGCTGTGGCCGTTCGCGCAGGGCTCAAAATCGGTTCGGGCACGCGCATCTCGGGCGGCCACCGCCTCGAATCGAGCCGTGCAGAGGGACCCAAGGTGTGCACCGACGCTGAACGCCTGCAAGTGGACTCGTGAGACGTTGACGGTTCGACGTTGACGGTTCGACGTTGACGGTTCGACCCGCAGATCACCCTCCCGGCGCACTCACCTCGTCCACGCAGTCCACGAAATCGCCCTCGACGCGCACGACCGCATCTGGTGCAGCTTCTGCGCGATTCGACACGGTCTGAAACGCCGCCCGACGGTCGTTGCGTGCGCCGTGCGTGAGCAACGCAGAATGGAGCGCGTACGATCGCATCCGGATGGCCCGCCTGCGCGGCCGCTCGCCCATCATCGCCACCTCCTCCCTCGCGCATGCCGCACACCTCAAGTCCCGACCGTGCCGCCGCGAGCGCACGACGCACTTGCAGCACCCCTCAAGTATGTCCATGACCCGCTGTCCACCGCGCTAACACTCCCTAGGTTCGTAGCACGCGGGTCCCGTCGCGGGGATGCCCAATCTGGCACCTGGTACATTACCCTGTCCCGTACCGTACTCGATATCGAGAGCGTGCACCGACTGACGAGCGTTAACGACACACAAACGGTACCTCACCTACTGTTGAGTCCGTTGGACGCACGTCGCCACGGAGGGACAGCATCTGGGCGGAAGAGTAGTCCATCACGCTCTCGTTTCCCGTCGTTAGCCAAGCACACGCCCAGTCCCGCGCCCGGATTAGTTTACATTCGCTCCAGCCCTGCACGCCGTTCGCGCGAGACGCGGCGTGCCACGGCCGATCCGAGCCGGACGCAGCCCACCATCCCGTCAGACTCGGTGACGCATCGTGACCACAGAATTCAATCTGGTTCACTAGACAAGAAGAGCGCGCCACCTTCGTTGAATAGCCCTCAGCGATCTCCGAGCACGCCGCCAGCGTGAATGTCGCTCCAGGACTGTGCGGTACCGTGTCTGAACTCTCTGTGCCACGTGCGAGCCCCGGGATGGGCGCATCCTCGAGAACCAATTGCTGGTACAAGCTCCGTTTTCCGCGTGAACTGTCCGCGCAGGCACGACTTCTCAGAGCTCCGTCTTGGAGTGCTGCAGGAGGTGCTCATTCATCGGCACGAAGCTGCAGTCGGGTGAACAGGAAACCGACCGACTGAAAATCGACGTCCCCGTGATGCCACCCACGGGATCTTCCTCTCACAAGGCGACGGTCCCGCATGGCATCAGCACCAGGATCCAATTTCGCGGCGGGGCTGGTACGAGTACAGTGTGCTTGCTGAGTGATGCCGCCCTCGCGCATGCTATGGACGTCGTCCTCCGACCAATCGCGCTTTCGAGTTCTGCGTCCAAATCCTCTCACACAGCACGCACGATGCCGTCAAAAGAATATATTGAGGTGTGGTCTGGGTTGCTCTGGGTCCCGGAACAGGGACGTACGTTGAATGCTCTGTGCTAAAAGGTACTGCTGCGGCGACGCACCTGGCACGGACTTTCGCGGAGCCGTTGTCGCCCTGACTCGTCTGCATGACCGAACGCCTGTGTCGAAACAGCTCTGCGTGCGCGATGGATCGGTGCGGGCCTCAAGACGAAGGTGTCACGTGGGTACAGTACCGACGTCCGGTGTGGTACCGACGTCCGGCCTGGTGTCAAGGCAGTGAACGAAACAGGGCGGGCCAAACACGCGATATGAGCAAATGATGGACTACTCACCACCCCCACGTACGTCCACGCAACACACACCCGCTGGGTGCGCCCGCCACTGCATTCGACGCGAATCCTCTGTGTCTCGAAGAACCTGGGAGGAAGGACAACGCGTGACAGTACCATGTCCTCACCGCGGACCTAGGCAACATCGACAGGCGCAGCGACGCAGCGCAAGCGTGTTCATGCGCACCCAGGGTCGAGCAGGCGAAATGACTTGCCGATCACGGACACGGGACGCGCTGCTGTAGCAAAGACAGTTTCAGAAATGACGGCATCTGCGTGGCATTGTTGCACTCACTTGGACTCCGACGGGACCACACGGTGCGGCAGGCCGCGCCCACGACACGCCAAGACACACGTCGCGCGTAAGTCTCGGCAGGTCGGCGTCTCCAAATCGCAGGAATAGGACCGGGGCCTTGGGAGCAGGGCGCAGGTGGGGCAGGTGCGAGCGGAATCGCAGAGTGCGAGGTGCGCAGATGGGATCGTGAGCTCGATGCGGATCGGGAATAGATAGTCTAAAGACGATTGCCTCGAGCGTTCCACGCGTTTGATGGCGGTGGACGGGCCAGGTCCAGCCGACGACGGGTGACGGGAGCTGGTAGTACCCCTGGACCCTGGCGCCATCGCCGCCGAGTCCAGACGCGGAACGACGGCCTGTCGGGTGGTTTCCGAAGCTCATGCAAAGCCGTGTGAGCGGTGTCCATCTCTCGCTCTCTCCCCGCCCTTCTCACTCACCAGTGCGTTTCCGCCCACTCCCTCTCGCGAGCCGTTGCGCTTTCTGACACTCCACCTCGTCTAGAATGTCCCGGCACGGGCGCAGATTCTTGAAGACGAGTCAGGTGCTTGACCCCACGGTCAGATACACGCGACACACGACGTCCATCCGCAGGCAGCTGCGCGAGAGGTGAGCCATGTCCCCTTCATGCGCGTGCTCACGCTGATGGTACGCACCTCACAGCCCGCCTCACCGGTACCGGGTTCGGGATCCTCGGCGGGAATGCGACACCCTCCACTAGCCGGGGGACTGCGGGGACGTGGGAGTCGAGGAGCCGGAGGTGGCGAGGGAGAACTGTAGCCTTGCGGTGCCGACACCGTTCGTCCTCGCATGGGGATCACGAGCGGACGAGGGTGAGCGGCGGGACCCCGGGATGGTGGAGTAAGTTGGGATGGGGGGCTGGCCGACGTCGAGCATGATGACCAACTTGGTTACAGCGCGAGATAACGTCGGAGGACGAGGACGAGGCGGAGTGTTTGCTGTGGATGGAGGCTTCGAGCAACCTGATAGACACCGTTAGCTCAGACGATGAGGCTGAGCCGCGGCCGTAGTACCGGCGCGTTGCGATGTCGGTACTGTAATTGCAAAGTCAATGGAAATCAACGCGGGATAACGTTTGAGCGAGCAGGTGAACTACGTGCCTGGAAAAGCCTCTACCGTGAACGCGTCGGTGCCTGCACCATCGGAGCTTGGCGGGGACCACCCGGGAGGGTGATATTGGCTAGCCGCAGCCGGCGCCGCCCGTCGGGAGCGGGTACTGCATATAAGATGTGTCAGAGGCCGTGTCCAGGGTCTCCCCTCCCCTCCCGTCTTCTTCGTTGCCGTCTGTTCCTCTCGTCGCCCTTCCTGCTTCTTGACCGCTCCCTTGGCCAACCCTCTTGGGGCACGCGCAACCACAGCCTCCGACGATCCACGTCTTTCGATGTTCTACCCTGCCATCAGACGCCTGCGTCACTCGTTCGTGACCATATGGGGTACGTGCTGATCATGTCCGTGAGTCGCGCTAATTCAGCCGTTATTGTCAATTTGTCCCCGCCGAGATGAGGCGCAATCCACGCACCTGTTGCCGCGCATCGGTACGCGGGTGTGTGGTACGGTATTACGACGGTCCTGCAGTGCGACGCACAACGGTAAGGCTTGCTGCATGCTGTGGCTTGCGCGGCCATGCGGTTCCCGTGTTCCGCTGGCAAGCACTCATGTACGTGTCTTATCCTGTCTTTTTTTTCGCTTCTGCTGATATCAACCCGTCAGCCTGCCGTGTTATGGCTCGACACAGTCTGCGCACCGAATTAACGCATTGCACGTGGCAATACAAGTGGTACGTAGGTGCTCACAGTGTCGGAATAGGCTAAAGGACGTCTTTTCAGCTCTGGTCGGCGGTGCATGCGCTCGAGGCAACAATATCGACCTACCCTCATGCTCCTCTCTCCGCTCTTGCCCATGCGCCTGGAGTGAGCTCGGAGATCACGTCGACCCGCGCGAGGGTTTAGCAAAGTATGGTACGTGCTTCAGTGTTTTGATCTCGTTGCGCGTTGACGAGTCCTGTACGGTACGTCGATGACGGCAATACGGCTTTCAGCGACGGGAGGGGGTAAGCGGGATGCGGGTGGACGTGGCTTACCGGCGTCGGACTCCTGTGCGCAACCGCAACCGGGGCTGTGAACAAACGGTACGTTCTGGACCGAGTGCTGACGGTCCTGCAGCGCACCACACAATAGAAACCCGCGTCGCGGGAGTCCTGTTCATGCTCCAGCAAGCGCAACCATGTGCGTGTTCGATTTGCTGACATGAACACGTCAGTCCTTCGCATTATGGCTCGACACAGTCTGCACACCGAATTAACGCATCACGCGTGGCGATACAAGTGGTACGTCGTGCTTGGGCTGACGGATGTCTTGTCAGCTTCGGTACACGCTTTCAAGATGCGTCAACAACGACTCACCTTCACGCTCCTCTCGCAGATCTTGCCTGGAGTGAACTCGGAAGTCGCGTCGACCTGCGTGAGGGCCTGGTGGAGTACGGTACGTGCTTCAGGGTTTTGATCTCGCTGGGCGTTGACGGGTGCCATACGGTACGTTCATGATGATGATACGACTTTCAGTGCCACGGGAGGGTAAGCGGGTGGATGCGGCTTACCGGCATTGTAGGCTGCGGTAGTGTGCCGGACTGCGCACAACCGCAACCGGGGCTGCAAGTGTATGCGCACAAATGGTACACTCCCAACCTCGATTTAGGCGGAGAGCTGCATGTGCTCACCAAACCAGGTTCGTTGCTGCATGGCGACGACGACTGCTGCTGCGGTAAGGAGGACGCCCGTGAGTCCGGCGACGGGTGGATGGTTCCGATAGAGACCTACTTGCTGTTTGGGAGGGTGTTTCCGCATGGCACACGAAGAGGGATCGCGGGGGTGTGTGCGTAGCACGTAGACGTAGTCCGAATGAAAGCTGTTTAGACGCCAGACAGCGATCAACGCGCGCGGTGTTGAGCTGAGTGCTCCCACGGTCTCGCGTGCTCTCTCTCGACCGTCCTCCCATCTCCTCCCCTCGTCCGTACCCCCATCTAGCACTCTCTACACCCACAGCGTCAATTCGGCACTCAGTCCACACCCACATCGGACGTCAATTCAGCACTTTCTAACGCACATTGCCAACTTAGCACTCTCTACGCACAGCACCAACTTAGCACTCAGTCCACACCCACAGTGGCAATTCAGCAATCTCTGCACACACATAGCGTCAATTAGGCACTCACTACACACCCATAGTCAAAATTTGCGCTGGTGCACGCATGGTGCGTCGCCCCGGTCCGCCGCCAAGCTACTGCCCTCAAGCGCACGCGCAGAAACGCCGTACTACACGCGCCGTTCATCTGGACCTCGACCCGGTGCCCGGCATTCGGAAACAACGCGCCGAGGAACGTGCGCACCTCGCGCTTCGCGTCCTCCTCCCAGCCATCCTCCCGCCAACCACGCACTTTCACCGGACCCAGCCGGAGGTCGTACACCGCACGATGCGGCGGCCCGGCGCCGGCGCCGACAACGTCCAGCACCCCCGCGGTGAACGCCGTCTGCGGGAGGTGCCGCACGCGCAGCTCTGGGAGGGCGCGTGTGAGGTCCGGCAGCACGCAGAGCGGCGCCACGTCGTCGTCCGAGCCCTGAGCGTAAAGTCCGGCCGCGATCCGGAGCTCGACGAGGGCAGGCCACACTACCGGGATCCTTCGAAGGTCGTGTGCGTTGTAGCTCATGTATTCGCCTTTGATGGTGATGTTGACGACGCGGAGCCGCTGTAGAGGCGCGAGGGGCGTGAGGATGTCGGAGAGGTGGATGATGAGGCTGCTCCATAATGAGCGGACGATCAGTGTGAGCTCGGTGAGATGTACGTAAGCGGCTCCGATGGCGTCGAGGGGGACGCTGAGGTCCTCAGCGTAGCCTCCATCATAGAGAGTGTAAGAGAGCGAGCGGAGGGAGGGAAGCGAGGCGGAGAGCCGTGAGGGGGGCGGGGAGGAGAGACAGCACCTATATGGTTCAACATTAATCTCGAGGTTCTGAAGAAAAGGTAGGGAGACAAGATTTGGCAGGTCGGATCGGGACAAGGACCTAGTGTTGAAAGTGAGCGACCGGAGTGCGGGCCAGTTGGCCATGCAGGCTAGATATTCGGTCCTCGGATCGTCCCCGTGCACATGAAGCATCTCCAGACGTTGGTGGTTTGATAGCAAGGCCATCCACTCGGTATTGGCGATGGTGACGCCTTCCAGGTTGGGGCAGTGTGCGAGGAGATGGTTGGCAACTAGGGTGTCCCAATCCTTATCATCATATGCACCGTCGATTCTTGCCCAGCGTAGCCTAGGTGAAAGCAGTGCGAGCAGTCCGCTCTCAGCTTTCCAGGATTCACCATATGTGTACTGATGTATCAGTGCGACCCAATGTAGACGGGGGAGAATGGGGTCGTCCTTGGTGAGCAATGCATTGAGTTCTGTCCAAATTGATGGCCTCGGCAAAAGTGGGGAGAAGAAGAGGTCGATCTTCTGCACGCAACCTGTGTACATCTTGAAGCGCATCCATGCTGGGTGCAACCATAGGTCATGCGAAGACTTGACGTGCACGACAGTCTACAATGAAGACGTCAATGTCTGGAATAATGTCACAAGGGACCATCAAACACTTGCATAATTCCACTCCCAGTGTGCGCAGAACCGATGTTCATCCTCGTTCAAAGTATGGGGTCTGGGCCGTGCGATCCCCAAGGTATGAAGAAGTGAGACCAAAGGATAATCACTGGGTAGCGATGTCCAGAGGATACGGAGAGCGATAGAGGAAAGAGTTCGGCAGGACAATGCAAGCGCGAGGAGAGTCCTGCGAGACGCCCCATCTGTGTTGTCGAAGCTTGAAAGTATCCCCGGAAAGACGTCGTGTACAAGCTGGGGAGGGCTCTCGTATGACATTTCCTTGAAGGAAGTGAGACTCTGACGCACCCGCAGCGTGAGGATAGACATACCTCCATATCCAGAGTGCGTCGATGAGCAGTATCAGTGGCTCGGTCCGCGGGGATCGATGGCAGAGAGCATCGTCGCACGGACGCGTGCCGTGTCGATTGGCGCTTTGACCCAGCTCCCATTCGCACGTCGCCACCCACAATTCCTCCAGAACGCCTGCGCGCCCCTCCTGCTCCGCCCGCCACGCACACTTAGGGACTAGGTGCAGCATGCGCATCTGAGTGCGCGAGCTCATCCAGACCCGCCACGTCCTCACGCTGGCCCGCGTGATGCGACCGCACCCGACCGAATGGCAAGGGGAATAAGCTGGATACAATGCTAGGTGTACAGACGTGCGATGGATACAAAACGAGGGATAGTCCGTGTATGCTAGTGGTCCTGTCAGCGCGCGTGTCGTGCGTGACTAGCACGCAAGTGCCTGCGCGATGGCGTCGAAGAACACTTCGTTCCAGTTCACCCCGCTCGTGATCGCCTGCTCGCGAAGGAGCACGACGGCCTGGCGCAACAGCTCGGCGTCGCGCAGCTGTGGATACACCGTCAATAGACATTCAAGATAAAGCCGCAGTACTCACACGGAACGCGTCGAACGTCACATCAAGACGGGTGACGGAGAGGTTTGTCGTGCGGATGGGGCAGTTCACGTTGCGCCAGAGATCGTAAGGGAAGTGGAGTATGGACGACAGGAGCTGACTGTATTCACACCGGCTTAGATCAACTTCGCCGCCAAAACTGAAAACATGCTCACAGAGAGAACGGGCGAGGTGCGACGCGCTCGTACGGAAAGAGCACACGGACCCACTGGCACTCCTCCGCCACGAGCGCGAAGCTGCCGCGGTCCTTGGCCCAGTCCCGGCGCAGCTGCGAGTCGATGCTGCCAAAGGTGTACATCCGCCCCTCGCCGTTGTTGATGAGCAGCCCGCGCGCGGCGAGGCTGAAACAGAGCTCGTACGGATCGTGCGTGCGGAGGGGCGTGGTGGTGTACGCCCGCATGCGCTTGCGCTCGTCGAGGATCTTGGCTTCGGCCTCGGCGTTGAGCGGGCCGGGATCGTGCACGTCGGGGTCGGAGTCGAGCTCGCCCTCCTTCGCACCGTGCTCTCCGGGGTAGGGGTGTCCGTCCTCCATCCCGTTCTTCTGTCCTTCAGAACCGTTCCCCACCAGAGAGATGTTCCGTTCGTCCTCAACCTCGCACCCGTCGTCGTCCCCCCGCACGTCCGACTCCCCGAGCGACCGCTCGTCCATCGCCGTGAAGAGCCCCCCAAAGTGGAACGCGGTCCGAAACAGGTCGGCGCGAAGGACCTCGCCGGTGAGGAGCGTCGTGACGAGGTTCGCGCGCAAGCGTTGGATCCAGTAGGGCGTGTCGGTGCTCCGGCGCACGCGGATGCGGAGCCCCGCGAGCGCGACGTCCGCCCACGCGCCGGCGGTGTGGCGGAAGAGGACGGGGAGGAGCCAGAGCTTGAGGGTGAGACGCTCCGCGGCGACGTCGGCGCTGGTCGAGGTGTAGAAGGCGTCGTGGAGCAGGACGGTAGCCCAGCGGGGGTCGGAGGTGTGCGGGAGGTGGAGGGACCAGGTGAGGAGGGGCGCGGAGAAGGAGAAGGCGTAGGATTTGTGGTCGACGAGGGCTTCGTATCTGATTCCGTGCGCGGCGAAGAGGGAGAGGCGGGCGATTGTGAGGCGGTGTCCGCGGACGGGGGTGTTGAAGAGGTAGGAAAGGAGGGCGAAGCAGGATGCGGCGAGGATGCTGTAGGCAACGCCGAGCGGGGTGTTGGGGACGGTCATGGCAGGATGCGTTTATGACGAGGCCATCGTGCGCGGCGAGGAAGGGGTACAGGGAGAAGAGGGGGCCGTGCGGTTGTTGACGGGTCATCGGGGTCCAGACTGGTGACACTGCGGATGGGGTGGAGAAGTGACGTACTTGTCAGGATTCAACCATGTCGGAAAATCCAAATCGGCCTTGCAAGCCAAAGATCTCGTAACCGGATTTTAATTGGATTGCAAGCGCGCTGGTTGGCTTGCAATGACATTGCGAGCTCTGTAGCGCCTCGAGAGGGATTGCAAGGCGCCTGAAGTTATTGCAAGGACTTACCGCACAGGAAACCATATTGTAAGGCATTGCGGCATCGTGAACGCTCCAACCGACAACGAGGGACTTAGAAGATTTCGCTCTGAGTGCGCGCCTCTCCCGCGCTCCTTTCTCTGCTTCCACCACGTCACCCCTTCGTCCTCCTCTTCCTGAGTCCTCTCCTGTCTATTACTACTCAACATGTATGGTGTCGCATTCAGGTTTGTGTCCTTTCAATCCTTTCCTGCTCTTCATCACTTATCCTTTCATCTCCATGTCCAGGTTGAACGTCGGACGGTTGTGCTGGCACCAGGATAATGTATATGCCACACACTGCCTATTCACGCGTGCTTCACTGATATTTTTTGTCTCAAGACAGATCTCGTCTTCCCTCTCGTCTGAATACCATTTAGCCACCGTGTAGAGTGCGCTCGCCGCTGCGCTAGCTGCTTGGCCATTTGTATACATGCTGAAGTAAGTCGTCTATTGCCGAGCCTCAGCGAGCCCCCATATACCATGTTATCACCCCCGCCCCCCGTTTTCGTTGTTCTTGCGCCGTCTGTACTAGTTCTCTGCGCTGTACTGTATTCTAGAAAATATAATGATTATCATTGATTATCTGAATTATAACGAGTGCACAAGCTGGTAATCGGCAAGGGATGCGAGCCGGGACGCCGTTGACAGGCTGGTCGACAGATCGTGATGCATTGATGTCGGGTAGCAATATTGCAAGACGATGAAAGACGCGCGGTTGGATTGCGAGCTAATTAGCCTAGCTTGCGAGGCCTCGCAACACCGATCGCCCTAGTCTCGGCTCCAGACGCTCTACAAGCACACCCAACGCGCGCCTGCCCCTACGCAGTGATTATATAATAGAAATGGGAGGGGATACCGAATTGGGAATGGGATTGTGATGGAGGATGGAGGGAATACTGAATCGGGACTGAATGAGAACCATGCAAAAGTTGAAATTTCTCACGGGGATGGGGCAGGCGCGCGTTGGGAGTGCTTGTAGAACGTCTGGTGCACTTCGGGCTCGGGATGTCGGTCCGTGACTTTTAGCGTCACTCCGATTTCCCCCGACGTCCGGATCCGGCATGAGGGTGACCAGCTGTGACGCAGCGCCAGAGCGAGAGCTCTGCGCGTCTATCTGAGCTCTCGCGCGTCCGTCCCCTCCGCGCGGTCCATGCACGCGCACTGTGCCCGCGGCCTGAACGCTGTCGAACTTAATCGTGGACTTGGGGAGGCGCACGCGCGCGAAGTGTGGTCAGATTCCGCCAAGAATGGCGGCCTTCAAGAGTTTTGGCTGCGTGTTGTGGCCGTTGAGCGTGAGATTGGAGGGCTTTGAATGGGAGGGTACAAGGTCAACTCGCCGAAGTCGGCGAGGCCTGTGTACGTGTCATAGACGTTCTCGGGCAGCCCTAGCATCACCCACGCAGACTGGCTGTCCTCGTCTATGATAGGTGCACTCACGCGGAGCGGGCCTCCTTGATGCTCACCCAGTTCAGCAGCTCCCCGACAACTTCCCCACTTGCATTGTCCACCAGCACTAACTTCTGGCGGGGGTCATCGCTTCCAGAGTAAACACTGTAGTTATATATTACAGAGGGAGATACCGAGCAAAGGCTGGGTGACACAGTGGTATTGACATTGGTGTGCGCTTTTTTGGTGCCAGGGTTCAATCCCGTCACTATCCATTTTTGCACCCCACATCTACGAAGCCGTGCCCAACCTGGGTGTTTGTTCTACAAGCATTTTATTCTACTGCAAATAGTAATTAGATTTAGCGGGTGCCCCTCACAACACCACAATGGGATGTCGTGGGAGGCAAAACTTAAAAGTGCAAAAATGGCTACACAGGGAATAGAACCCTGCACCCAACCAAATAAAAACCACATGCCAAGCATTCATGCCACTGTACCAATTTGGCTTTGTAGCAGACATCTACATATAGTATATGAGTATCATGTTTGTTCTTGGAAGGGACAATGACACTGAGCATAGCTGTCATTATATCCTCAAGACAAAAAGTGCTCAGCATCGCAAAGTCCAGAGCCCCGGGGTCTGGGGGGAGGTGTCCAGCAGTCCTCTTGCAGCAGCGTTACAGAACGATCGAGATACTTCAAATGACTAAGCTGACCAACTGGTGACCCGCGTCACGGACCCCCCTAAGCGAGACGAAATGCACCAGACCCTCTGGAACAGAGGGTCGTGGGAACGAGACTACGATCGCCCCGGAAGGCCTCGCGAGGCCTCGCGAGCCCGATTTGGTTTTTCCGACACATGTAGGAGTCCCGTGACCTCCGCGCTGTGGGCGTGTGGCTGGGTCTCAGGGAGCTCCCGGTCTCTGACTCTCTGTCGACGACTAAGCGGGGGTCGGGTGAAGTCGTAGCGGCTCTGGATGAATTCGCGGAGCCAGCGAGCGCGTGCGAGCTGCCTGTGCAGCCTGTACGTGTCGGACAGGACAGGCGCGCGCGCGTTTCTTCGGATTGTGTTCCCAGATGCAGAATATAGAGTCGAGGTCCGCGTAGTGAGGCAGGGTGCTGGCGTAATGAGCAAGACAATTGTGGCCTTGCACGTCGACTCGACGTCGTCGAGACACGCGTCCCATTGCCCCTCCCGGGATCACCGGGCCGGACGACAAGCGCGGATCTTGCCACTCTCCGCCATCGATCCCCACGGCCCTTGCCCCCTCCACCGAATTCTTGGGACAGCTCGTCAGCGCATGCGTTGGTCATTGCAATGTGCGTATATCCACATCTCCCTTGTCAAGAAGATGTCAACATACAAGAGCCCTCCCCGGCTAGTAGACGACGTCTTTCCGGGAATACTTTCAAATATAAGCAGCGCAGACGAAGTATCTCGCAGGACTCATCTCGCGCTTGCCGTGTCCTGCAAAAATCTCTCCTCTATCGCTCTCAGAATCCTCTGGAAATCGTTACCCAGCGATTATCCCCTCATCTCACTTCTTCATACCTTGGAAATCGCACGGCCCCGACCCCATACTGTGGACAAGGATGAATATTCTTTGTATGAATATTCGGAGTGGTTTATGCAATTTTTTGATGGTTCCTTGTGATGTCAATCTGGACACTGATACCGTCGTTGCAGACTGTCGCGCACATCGAGTCTTCGCATGACCTATGGGTGCACCCAGCGTGCATGCGCTTCAAGACGTATGCAAGTTATGTACACGAGATAACCATCTTCTTCTCTACACGACCGCCTAAGCCATCTATTTGGATGGAGCTTGACGCGTTGCTCACAAAGGACGACCCTATTCTCTCCCGTCTTCGTCGGGTCACGCTGAAACATCAGTGCGCTTATGACGAACTATCGATGGGACAGGGTGGACGGCTCGTACTGCTGTCACCCAGCGTATGCTGGGCGGAGATTGAGGGTGTATTTGATGACGAAGGCTGGAACACCACGGTTGCCAACCATCTCCTTGCACGCTTCCCCAACCTGGAAGGCGCCTTAATCGCCAATACCCAGTGGATATCCTTGCTCTCCATGCACCGACGACTGAAAACACTTCGCGCGTTCGGGAACGAGCCGAACGTCCAACATATAGCTTGCATGGCCGACTGGCCCGCACTCCAGTCGCTCACTTTCAACACTCACCCCATGTTCCGATCCCGCTTGGTACATCCATTGTCTCCGTATCCCGAACCCACACCTCTTTTATCCCTGCCTTTTCTGAAGAACCTCCAAGTTGATGCATTCGGGTACACTTTTCCAATATTCCTCTCCGCCCGGCTCCCCTCCCGCTCACTCTCTTACACCTTCGATCCCCGAGGCGGCTACAACAGGGACTTTAGAGTCCCCTTCGACACCATCGCCGACGCTTACTCGCAGCTCACCGAGCTCACGCTGACCGTGCACTCAACTTGGAGACCTGGGAGCCGCCGCAACTACCTCTCCCGCGTCCTCGCGCCCCTCGCGCCTCCACAACGGCTCCGCGTATTCAACATCACTTTCCAGGGCGAACACCTGAGCTACAACGCAGACGACCTCCGGAAGCTCCCACTCATGTGGCCTGCCCTCGTCGAGCTCCGGATCGCGGTCGACCCCTACGCGAAGGGCACGGACGACGACATGGTGTCGCTCGGCGTGCTGCCGGAGCTCGCGCGCGCTCTCCCAGAGCTGCGCGTGCTGCACCTCCCGCAGACGTTGTTCCGCGTGGGATCGCTGGACGTTGCCGCCGCCGCATACGAGCCGCATCGCGCGCCGTACGAGCTCCGACTGGGCCCGGTGCAAGTACGCGGCGGGCACGGGGAGGACGCGAGGCGCGAGGTTCGCGGGTTCCTCAGCGCGTTGTTTCCGAATGCCGGGCACCGGGTCACGGTCAAGACGGAATTTTATGTGTACGTCGACCCGTGGTAGCAGTGTTGCAGGGACGAACGTGTACTGCGTTTCTGCGATAGGATGAAATGGATGTTCAGCGAGGTCTACTACGAACATTATACGACGTTGACTGATTTACGTGCACTCGCGCTCGGAAGACATAATTTTCGAATTCACAGCTGATCAAACCAGGAATCACGTTCTTGAGAGGTTCTCTGGGCGCGCCGTCGCGCCCCCCGCGAGCGTGGGATCGTATTGGAGGAGAATGTGCAAACCGAGTCCGAGATCCAGATCCTACTAGCCGGTCAGTCCGGCACAACAAAACGCCATTTTGCACCCAAATGATTCGGCCCGGAATTGAACCGAAGGCCGTCGACCTGCGGACGTGTTAACCAGCTACACCATCGCACGCTCCATCCCGGATCTGATCGCACCGGCCCGGCAGTGCGCAGGCTTCAGGACAAATTCGTCGTCGCCGAACCTCCGTCCGGCCTCCATCTCCCTGTCCTTGACCTCGATAACCAAGATGGCTCATGACGCTGCACCTCAACTGGTCGACGACGTCCTCCCGGAGATATTCGCATACCTCGATAGCAGAGATGACGTGTCGCGCAGGACTCTTTTTGCGCTTGCCATCTCATCCAGACGGTTTTCACGCCCCGCTCTCGACGTCCTCTGGCAAGCACTCCCCAGCGATCGTCCCCTGGTGGTGCTGCTGCATCTACTGGGCATTTCACAATCGAGCACTTGGCAATGGGACGAAGCGGCATCAAGCGGATCCTGGGACCGTCCACCTAGTGAAGAAGATGCGCAGGTTCGTCGTGAATGGGAGCGCACCGACCCGGGGTGGTTCTATGTAAGCGTCTGCATGTGTCAAACGTGGCTTAAAAACTGACGACCTTGACACAGACCGTCGCGCACTTCAAGTCTGCGAACGAACTACGCCGTCATCCCAACTGGGCCCACTTCTACACGTATTCTCGGTGCGTAAGGGAGATCACCCTTCGTCCGGCTGCCCGGTGGGCCATGCGGTCCATTTGGAACGAATTCCAAACGCTTCTTGATGGCGATGAGCCACTCCTTCCACGCCTTTGCCGGGTTGCAGTGAAGGGGCGGCGGTGCGAAGGAATGTTGACAATTGAGGACAGCAGACAGCTCGCGTTGCTGTCGACCTCACGCGTCTGCTGTGCACAAATCGACCGTGTAAGCACAGACCAGTGGAACAACCTCGTCGCCGATTCCCTCGTGGATTTTTGCCCCAACCTGCAACACCTCACGATTGACGATCGCCCGTGGCTGTACTTGCTCGCACACTTCCCGCGTCTCAAGACGGTTCACTGCACCTACGACGTCACACCGTACATCGAGGACTTGGAGAGCATGGCAGCGTGTCCTGCGCTCGAATCCTTCTCGTTCCACCTCTACCGTGAAACCATCTACTACCATTCCGAGCCGCCGCCCCGACGTCCGTTCTGCCTCCCATTCCTCCACACGCTCGCCATCCACTCGGACCCATACGGTAGCGCGATCGAGATGTTCGCCTTCGTGCGCCTCCCCGCTCTCCACACACTCTCCTACACCTTCGACCCCCGCCTCTTCGAGAACGGCATCGACGTCCCGCTGGGGGCCATCGCCGCTGCGTACCCGCACCTCGCCACGCTCAAGCTCACGATCATCCCCTGGGCGGAACTCGCGCGCCAGATCACGCCCTTCTACTCACCGACCCCACCGCGGGTGAACACATGCATGGCCTTGTCCGTGCGCCTCGGGGCGGTTCTCGCGCACCTGGCGCCCATTCGGGACCTGCGCGGGCTGCACCTCACCGTGCAGGGCGAGCGGTTTGGCTACGGCGACGATGACCTCCGTGCGGTCGCGACGGCGTGGCCTCGGCTCGTCGAGCTCCGGATCTCCGTGGACGGCGCAATAGTCGAGGGCGAGGGCGAGGAGGTGGCGACGCTCGACGGTCTCGCGGAGCTCGCGCGCGGGCTTCCGGAGCTGCGCGTGCTGCACGTCCCGCGTGTCGCGCTCTCGCGGGGCTCGCGCGATGTTGTGTCTGTCGAGCCGCACCGCGCTCTGCGCGACCTCAAGCTAGGCCCGATAGGGGTGCGGGAAGGACGGGGCGGCGGGAAGGGGGAGCAGGAGGTGCGCGCGTGTCTCCGGATGTTGTTCCCAAGAGTGGAGGTCCGTACAGCCCGGTGAGTGGCACGCGTGCTGGCGGAGTAAGCAGTGGTCCAGCCTCGGGCGTCGACGGTGCGAATGGAAGCTGAGTTTAGGCGATCAGGCGCCAATCGCGTCTCTTGCTCTCTGCCATCGATCCCCGCCGATACTGTTCATCAACGCACTCTGGTAATAGAGGTATTTGTATCAGAAGACTTTACGAAAATCATAGTCTCAACTCCTTCGTAGAGGGGATGTCACATGAGAGCCCTCCCCGACTTGTACACGACGTCTTTCCCGGAATACTTTCAAATCTAAGCAGCACAGACGAGGTGTCTCGTAGGACCCTTCTCGCGCTTGCCGTGTCTTGCAGACCCCTCTCCTCTATCGCTCTCAGTATCCTCTGGAAATCGCTACCCAGCGATTATCCCTTGGTCTCACTTCTTCATACCTCGGGAATCGCACGGCCTCGAACCGATGCATTGGACGAGGATGAATATCCCTCCTCCTCATGTTCGGAGTGGCATTATGCAAGTTTTGTCCCTTTTGATCTTATTATGGGCACTGACATCCTCGCTGTAGACTGTCGCGCACATCGAGTCTTCGGACAGCCTACGGTTTCACCCAGCATGGATGCGCTTCAAGATGTACGCAAGTTATGTACAGGAGATCGTCCTCTTCTTCTCTCCACGTCTGCCGAGGCCATCGATCTGGACAGAACTTGACGCATTACTCACGAAGGACGACTCCCCTCTTCTCTCCCGTCTTCAGTGGGTCACGCTGAAGCATCAGCACGCTTACGTCGAATTCCCGATAGAACAGGGCGGACAGCTCGCGCTGCTATCACCCAGCGTGTGCTGGGTGGAGATTGAAGGTGTATATCATATCAAGGGTTGGAACACCCTGCTCGCCGACCATCTCCTTGCACGCTGCCCGAACTTGGAAGGCGCCATAATCGTCAATACCGAGTGGATATCCTTGCTCTCCATGCACCGACATCTGAAGATACTTCGCTCATCCGTAAGCGAGCCGAAGGCCGAACACCTAGCCTCCATGGCCAACTGGCCTGCACTCCAGTCGCTCACTTTCAACACCCAACTCATGTCGCGACTCCTCTTCACAAATCCGCTGTCTCCAGACCCGGCACCGACATCTGTTGTCTCCCTACCTTTTCTCCAGAAACTTGAGATATCTGTTGACCTCTATGGGTACTCTCTTCCCATATTCCTCTCCACCCGGCTTCCCTCCCTCCACTCCCTCTCTTACACCTTCGATCCCCGCGGCTACGACAGGGACATCAAAGTCCCCCTACACGCCATCGCCTCCGCTTACCCACATCTCATCGAGCTCACACTGACCATGGACCCATTTTGGAGGGCCCGGGACCGCCGTACCCACCTCTCCGATGTCCTCACGCCCCTCGCGCCGCTACAGCAGCTCCGTGTACTCAACACCACCATCAAAGGCGATTACGTGAGCTACAACGTACACGACCTTCGAAGGATCCCAATCATGTGGCCTGCCCTCGTCGAGCTCCGGATCATGGCCGGACTTTACGCCAAGGGCTCGGACGACGACACAGCGCCGCTCCGCGCGCTGCCGGAGCTCGCGCGCGCTCTTCCGGAGCTGCGTGTGCTGCAGCTCCCGCAGACGGCGTTCACCGCGGGGACCCTCGACGTTTCCGCCGCTGCGGCCGCGCCGCACCGCGCGCTGTACGACCTCCGTATGGGCCCGGTGGAAGTGCGTGGTGGGCGGAAGCGTGGTTGGAGCAAGAATGCGAAGCGCGAGGTTCGCGCGTTCCTCAGCGCGCTGTTTCCGAATGCCGGACACCGGGTCGACGTCAAGACGGACTTTGCTGCGGACCCGTGGTAGAGGACGGACGAGTGCGGCGTTTCTGCGACGAGATGTAATGCATGATTCAGCGCCGCCCGCCACGGACATTTTAAGATATCCGCAACACGACGACTGATTCGGTGTTTTCGATTCGGATTGCTATGTAAGAAAGTACATGAGTTACATCCTTCGAAGACCGGTACCTCATTCCAACGTCGACTCGCGCTTGCGGAACATAACCTCCACCGTCGGATTGGGAACCACGCTGTCGTCGATATACAAGTTCTCCGGCCGCGTCGTCGCGCCGCCCGCGAGCTTGAAGTCGTAGTGCAGGAGGATGTACGCAATCAAGACCTTTAGCTCGTTCGACGCGAAGAACCGTCCGGGGCTGCACATCCGTCGCATCGAGTCAGCGTCCACGAAATCGGCACAGAACGAGAAAGAAGCGCACCACGCGTGCCTTCCGTGCCCGAAAGGGATGTACTCGGGCGAGGTGTTGACGAACTGGTGCTTCGTCGCCTCCGCCTCGCTCGCCTCGCGCATCCGCGCCCACCGGAACGGGTCGAACGACGCCGCCCCGGGGAGGATGCCGTCGTCGAAGTGCGTGCCGAAGGACGACGCGGCGAGGTTCGTGCCCTTGGGGATGAAGGTGCCGTCGGCGAGCGTGACGTCCTTCATCGCGAGGCGGGTGAGGGACACTGCGAGACGCATGAGCGCGGCGACGACGGGGGGCTCGAGACGGGGGGCGGGAGAGGGGCTCACCGACGCTGATGCCGTTCACGCGCTGGGACTCGCGGAAGATGCTGTCTAGCTTCCACATCTTCGCGATCGCGTTCTTCGTCCAGCCTTCGGCGGCGACGATGGGCTCGATCTCAGCCCGGAGGGTCTCGACCCACTCGGGCTCGGTCGCGAGGTAGTACAACACGTGGGTGCTCGTCTGCGAGAAGGGCGCAGCATCAGTGAATGTCTGGAGCCCAGTGGAAGACGGAAGAAGCACGTACGGTGGAAGATGTGTGGATCGCGGCGAAGTGGAGGTCCATTATGCGCTCGACGATCTGCATGTCCGTTTGACGTTGCACGGGGGCCTCTTCGATGAGCCATTGGAGCAGATCGGTCTGCAACCGCCGACGAGTCAGTTCGTTAGACGAGACCGGAAAGACGCGCAATACGCACAGGCTTGTCAGTCCAGTCGTCGCCGAACTCAGCCATGTTCTTCCGACGCTCGTCGATCAGAGGTTTCAGGAAAGGATACACTTCGCGGTTCGTCCTCCAAGTGGCACTCGTAACAGTGGCGACAATACTGAGAGAGCGCTGAGCAACGGCCACCAGAAATCGCAGAACGCGAACGTACCTCTTCAGCAGGGATCCGGGCACATGCTTCATGATATCCCGGTCGTCCGTAATGGAGTTGGTATAGATGATCGCGAGCCTGAGGTACTCCTCATCGCGACCTAACCAGAGCGTGTTCAGCCGGCGCTCGCACAGCTGAAGGAATGAACGTACACAGTGGCTGTCCCACGAATACATTAGTGGTCGCACGAGCGACGGCCTTCTGCATGAATGGGAACGCGGCCACGGTCGTCCATTCTACAAGTCAAAGAACTTCGTCATAGAGCGCGCTTCCGTCGCGCCAGAAGACGCACCTGACCCCTTCGTGGGCACGTAATCCGCGAAGGCACAGGCGAACTCGGTCACGAAGTCCGGGATCAGCGCGGGAATGGCCCGCGAGAGTTTCTCCCTGACAAAGTTGAGGTGATAAGGATTCTCGGCAGCACCCCTTCCGACAGTGTGCTTCAGGCTCAAGTTCTGAAACAGTCATGGTGAGTGATGGGAAAGCTCGTTCCCTGGGAAAGCATACACACCTCCTCTACGGAGTCGAGGAACGAAACCTCATCATCAGGGCGCTTGCGAAGGTCTTCTATGAGACTCGTTCCGTTCACGACCACGATCCACCTGTCGTACGCAGCGATCTTGAAGATAGACCCCGGATACTGATGACCGATGTCGAACTCGTGAGGCGGAGTGAAAGACTAAATGAAGTCACGCACCTTCTGGTATCCCTCCATGATCAAGTCTCGTGCATTGTTCCTCCACTGGGAAGTGGATACGAATGACAGAAGAGAGGCGGTCGGGCCGCCGACAGTCGGGATGTGACGGAGCTAAACACGGGTGATGAGCACCGACAGCGAGCAGATCGACCATAGCACGCACCGGGTCAGGGCTCCAGCGGAAGAGACCATACACAACCAGAGCCACGACAACGGCTGCGCAGACGGTCTGAGGGTCGCTGGCGTCCATGGGTAGGTGGGGATGCGGGTGGCGGGATGCAGCGAGTGGCTTGCTGCGCCCGCGCCGTTGGTTTTAAGAAACAGAGCGCGTCAGCAACAATTGCTGCGCCCAGCCAAACGAAGCGTTCCCGGGCTCCGAGAAGCACGTCGTATGCGTCCCGACCTGGTCACCATCCTTGACATTTCACCTCGTTGAGGTGCCGTGTGCCCTGCGTATACGTCGAAGCACTGCGAGTCTGAAATGGCCGGTGGATGAACTGTTATCCCCGATCTTCGCACGGTCGACGTCTCCACGATTGAAGGGAAGACCGCCGATTGTCTTCCGGAACACTGGTCACAGCGTCAGTGCCTTGTCGGTGCCCACATTCAAGTTGATAATTTTGCTTCAGAAGATAAGCCGATCAAGCATCCAAAGGCCTACTCTGAGAGGGAGTTTTTGGCACCTGTACGACAGTAGAGTTATATCGCGGTCGCGTACTGTTGGCGGGTAGGCTGTGTGGAGAAGAGGCTGATGAGAGAGGAATTGGCGACGCCGGATTTCAACATCAAAACGGCATGCCACATACGAGCGTACCGGTTGTGATGGAAGGTCTAGAGCGGTTTCTTGGCGGGAGTCTTTTCTGCAGCAGAATGAGAGATATGCTGACTCATCGAGGGGAATTGCAAGTCGTATGTACTATGTGGGCTCGAGCTCGAATTCGTGCACCTGCTCAACAATGCCGCGTCATCGGGCCGTTGTACCCGTATCACGTAATAATGCGCACGGATCCCAATGGAGACTGCAATGTGCTCGTGAGGTATTCAGAGGCAGAAATGAGGTCTTCTGCACACTATATACCAGCTGTTTGGACGCTGGTGAAACAAGGGTGCGCATCACCCTCGTAATCGGCCTGGACGGATTAGTTGGCCTGTATATCGATACCGGACTGGATCCGACATCCTCCGTGACGCCGTCTTGGCTGAATATTCTAGACCACTGGCTTCAACGGTGTGAACTGCTGGTAATGCAAAAAAAGTACTGGCCGATACCATCGCAGCCTGAGGCGAATATATCTGCGCAAGTGACTCGGTCAGCTTGTACAATATGCCGGACGATGGGGATGAGAAACGCTACTGGCATGCGTCACGCTGGCGGCTGGTGGTAAAAGCGACCTACGATCCAATAGAGTCGCAATTCATTCTATGCTTCCGGACGGCCACTGGTGGGATATTTCCCGAAGAAAGATGAAGGGTTTTCTGGGTGTGTCGACGAGAACGCGCCGCGACTCACGCGAGGCTTTGTCAGCGCATCAAGGCCCAGGCGCCGGTGGTGCCCAGCCTCCGCGCCTCCCATCGACGCGTTCCTCCTTCCCGCCATCGCCGTCCATCCTCATCGATCATCCCCGCCCCCGTTCTCTTCCACTGCCATGCCTCGCACCGGGCCTTCAGTTTCCGTTATGCGTTTTCCCTCTTACTCCTCCTCGTCCTCGTCGTCCGCTGGCCACCAAACATCTTCCAACGATTGAAGATTCCACTAAATGCGCACTCGGACCCATCCGCTTCGTGTCTCTGCCACAACCTCTCGAGTCGCTCCTCACCCGTCTCGAGTCCTTCGATATGCGTACACTCTACCTCTGGTACGTTCACGCCTTCACCTTGCCGAATCTCGCGCATATATGAACTCCCTTTGCGCACTGCCGCAGCTTCGGGCAGGCGGTCCTCCAGGGCTGCGAGTACTGACTCTCTTCAACGAGTTCGCCCTCTACGCCGTACATTAAGATACGCCATCGTAGGCCCGCTTACCGCCGTCAGGAGCGGTGTCAAGCATTGACCACCGTCCGGGGGCGTCGCGCTCGCGGAGGCATTGTGGTTCGCCAGCTCGGGCGGAGCCTCTCGAAGCACCTCCCAACGCGCGTCGAAATGCTCAACAACACCTCCTCACGGGATCTCGGGCGCGGGTTCGCGAAAGAAGGCGATGCGGACGCGCGCAAGGATGGGGGCGCGGACGGCCCTATGAGGAGGAGGTAGGGCGTTCGTGGCATGGACGGCGATGGAGCTGGTCGCCCCTCTGCAGGCGGCGAAGGCTGCCGGAAAAGCACAGTGAGTGGTGTGTTTGATGAGGATTTCCTGAGTACTGTGTTTGTCGTACCCGAGGACAGTGTATACTGTTAGACATGTTGGGATTGTAATCACCGAGAAAGCGTGGAAGCAGATCATGAACCGCAAGTGCACTGCCATTTCCTGATACCTTGCTCCGGTCGACCTGAACTGGTAGCATGCCTGAACAAGATCCACCCCTCCGACAGTTTGCTTCTAGTGTTTTGAACTCGCCAAGCGCACTGTCCCACTCTCGCAGTTTAGCCTGAACCGCTTCGAGCCGCTTCCGCAACATCCCAGTGGCGCCGTCCTGCATTGTCTCTCGTCGAGCTCGCGCACACCTTAAGCTTAGTCCGCGGGCGCTGGGACCGCGGACGTCTTCGCGCTGCTCGCGCCGATCCTGAGGCCTGAGCCTCCTCTCGTTGCCACTCATCTTGGCGAGTGAGGACTTTGGCTGACACACCGACCGCCGACGACCGGTGTGGGGCCAGCGCGAGAGGGTGGCGGCGCTGGATTAACTCGCAGAGTCCGCGCGCGTGCCCCGAGCCACGCGTGCTGCAACCCCCCCAGACTGAGTTCGCTTCAGAGCCTTGTACACACCACGTGCTTCCGTCGATTACCACCGCGCTCTGTACGGCCTCAAGCTGTTACGCCGGGGCGACCATCTTTCTAGCGCCACATTAAAGCCGAGAGAAAGGCAAGTAAGGTTTTTTCTCGCCCATAGAAACCCATAGAAATGCTTTTTCTGACTGCACGTGAATTTTGAACGTTAAACCTTATAAACGGCTCCCAGAAAGGCTCCCAGAAAAATGGTGGCCACGGCATGTGTTCCCGAATGGTGTGCCGCCGTGTGGGTGGAGGCGGGCAGGCCCCGGAGCAGCGCGTTCAGGCACCAATCGAGACGACACACGTTGGGACGATGAGCGCTTGAGCGCGTCTCTTGCTCGCTGCCATCGATCCTCGCTCGGACTGCTCATCAACGCACTCTGGTCACACAGGTATTTCTATCCCAACACTACATGCAGATAAGAGTCTCAACTCCCTCGTCAGGGGGATGTCACACCCGAGCCCTCCCCGACTAGTACACGACGTCTTTCCCGGAATACTTTCAAATCTAGACAGCACCGATAGAGTGTCTCGCAACACTCTCCTCGCGCTTGCCGTGTCTTGTAGATCTCTCTCCTCCATTTCCTTAAGTCTCCTCTGGAAATCGCTACCCGGCGACTATCCCTTGGTTTCACTTCTTCATGCCTTGGGAATCGCGCGGTCCCGAACCGATACATTGCACGAGGATGCCTCCTTACGTTTGGAGTGGCACTATGCAAGTGTTTGATGGTCTCTTGTCATATCATTCTGGGCACTGGCGTCTTAGTTGTAGACTGTCGCGCACATCAAGTCTTCCCACGACCTACGGTTGCACCCAGCATGGATGCGCTTCAAGATGTACGCAAGTCATGTACAGGAAATAGCCCTCTCGTTCTTCCCACGACCGCAGACACCATCACTTTGGACGGAACTGGACGCGTTGCTCACGAAGGACGACCCTATTCTCTCCCGTCTTCATCGGGTCACGCTGAAGCATTGGTACCCTGACAGTGAATCCCGGGAAGAACAGGCCGGACAGCTCGCACTGCTATCACCCAGTGTACGCTGGGCCGAGATTCAAGGTGCATTCCATGTGGAGGATTGGTACAGGGCCCTGGTTGCCAATGAGGGTCTTACCGTCACACGGCGAGACACTCTCGCGCTCCAGTCGACGTTCGGAGGGCCCGCTTCGCAATCGCCTTGGCGTAACGGCTCGGCAGCGTGGCCCTCCGGGCGCTCGTCCTTTCCCATCCCCGCTTCTAGGACTAGACATTGCCCAACGGGAATAGTCTGTCCTCACCTCGACTGCCCTTCATCATCCTGTCGCTACCATATAGCAAAATCCGCGAACCAGGAAGCTTCGATCGAGTGACACTTTCTCTCCACTCTCACATTCCAAAACAGCCCGCGTGTGTGTAACTCCCGCATATACGCTCTATTCGGTGGCTGGTTACATTAGCTTAAGATCTCTTCGCTCGACAGGCTCGACATACAAAGAGTATATCCACAAGATCGCGCGCCATAACTCACTGCTTGAACAACGCCATCTGAGCCTTCCCAAACGCGCGCGGTGAGCACTTTCCAAGATTCTGGAGCCTCCTCTTGCTAAATATGTATACTTCTCCCGAAAGATTGCTCGCTGTGCGCAGCCTGAGAGAAAGCGCCTCTATCGCGTGCGTCTCCCTATCTAAAGATGGTCACTTGACACCACCCGCGGCTACTAAGCAGCTTCCACTGTATGCGACGGTCCCATGTGCACCCATTCCCGCGCAAATAACGCGGAGCTGGGACGCGCCTCTCGTAATGTCTTGGCTGAAACCTTCCACAGTGGGGCATACATATATCCCGGGGGAGCGGACGCTCTATGTTGGTTGCTTTCCGCAAACCTCGAGCCGTTCGTCGGCCGTTCTATCGCGCACATGGCTTTTGGAATACTTGGTGGGACCTCTAAAGCTGCTCATATAACGGTATAATTCAATCCACTGATCCAACTGAGTTCAGAACCTCGCGGAATCTCAAGCGTTCCCGGGACGGGCTTGCTCTCGGACCTGGGAATCGTCCACGGGCATCAGGTCACCATCGACGAAGCGAGAGTCCTCAAGCGCGGGACTGGCAAATATTCCCATGTTGTCCTCATCCCTCAACCTTCGGACGATCCTCGTGATCCGTACGTATCTCCTAGCAATGTTATGGACGACGACTGACTGCACATGGCGCACATCGACATAGGCTCAATTGGCCCATGTGGAAGAAAGAAGCATGTTTTTGGACCCTGTGGGTGTCATTGATCATGGTTTTCAGCTTCCGGTTCACTAAAGGACCCCGCGCTCTGTAGTGTATTTGCGACTAGCCTCGACGGCGCGTTATCGCCCATGGTCGGCCCCGGATATGTCCTACTCGCACAGCAGTTCAATGTCTCCGTCGACAGCATCACTTCCTCTTTCGGTTTCATCCTCCTCGGACTCGGGACGTTCATGTGGGCTGCTTCTATCTTTTACGCTCGAGCCTTTATTTACCCACATGCGCCTCTAGGCTAGTACAGAATGCAATGGCCGTCAAGTTTGGTCACCGAATTGTCTATCTTGCGTCGGTATTCCTGGTAAGTCAGATTTCCTTCTTGGCCCGACGTGCGACGACGTTTTCCCAGATGCTTGTCTCATGCATCTGGTGCGCCGCAAGCCCAAATCTTGCTTCCATCCGTGCATCTCGCCTCTTCCAGGGCTTTGGTATGTCGGCCTTGCAAAGGTCCGCATTTTGCCTCCTAGTTGCATGGCGACATCGGACTCATTGACCGCATTCAGTCTAATGGCGTCCACCATGGAACAGCTCTACTGGTAAGCGATGTCCGACACAGTTCATTCGCTGTCAATCAAGTTGTCTTTCCAGCGTACATGAGCGTGGGTCTCGTTCTGTGATTTGGAGCTTTGCGATTATGGCCGGCATCACTCTGTGAGTCACTACAGCAACCACATCCGCACGCAGCCGTAACGCCGAGGTTCTGCTTTGAAACGACAGGGGACCGCTCATCTGTAGTTTCGTCATCCAAAACCTCTCGTGGGAGTTCGGGTTTTGGTTCGTCAGTATCCCCCTCGGACTGAATACCATCATGGTCTTCTTCTTCGTGCCCGAAGTATACCCGCACAACTTGTTGCAGAATTTCCAACGCTGACCGATGTCTGTTGACAGACGACTTTCGACCGCGAGACTGCGCTACGCCAGTCCAAGAAACCGGAAACTGAAAAGATTAGCCTAGAGAAGCCTTCCCCAGACGCGGACGCGGACAGCGCCGAGGCAGAACAACTTTCTCCCTATCCATCGCCGCCAAGTTACGTGTCGACCCTAAAGATTTGGAATGGAACTTTCACCAACGAGAGCCTGATTACGATCTTTCTGCGCCCGTTTCCGTTCTTGCTGTCCCCAGTGGTGCGTTCCAACGTCATTTATGGGCGGCTACGAGCGCGCTCACGAGCGATGACCGTGCAGACGTGGTTCGTGTTCCTGACGCAAGGATTGCAAACCGTGTGGCTAAGTAACTTCTATCCCCTGAGCGACCCCGCTATCTGCCTAACGCATGCCGCAGGCCTCGTCCCTCTCTGCTCCTCCACAATTTTCACGATCGAGTACGGGTTCAATGCCTCCCAAATTGTATGCCGACTTCCTCGTGCGTTTCTGGGCCATGCATACTCAATCGTGGACATCGACAGGGCCTGACGAACCTCGGGGGGTTGGTGGGGATTGTGCTGGCGATGCTCGTCACCGGTCCTCTCAACGACTGGGGCATCATCTGGATCTCCCGGCGCAACCGGGGCGTGTACGAGCCCGAGTTCCGGCTCTTCTTCCTGCTCACCATGCTCTTCGGCGTCTTCGGCTATGTCGGCTGGGGCGTCGGCAGCGAGCACAACATGCCCTGGATCGGGGCCGTCGCCTGCATCACGTACCTACGTCCACCGCGTTCCCAGGCTGTGAGTTGGCTGACGCGCACATCGCCCTGACAGGATGCTCAACTTCAGCATGGTCGTCTCCGGGTCCGCCTCGGTGACGTACCTGCTCGACACGCACCGCGCGAACGCGCTCCACGTCTTCGCGCTGAGCAACTTCGGGAAGAACATGATCCTCTACGGCTCCACCTTCTTCGCGAACGGCGTCGTCCAGGCGCGCGGGCCCAAGTTCGCCCTCCTCGTCCTCGGCGCCGCCCAGGCCGCCTGCTGGGCCGCGAGCGTGCCGATGTACGTCTACGGAAAACGTGTGCGCGCGTTCGTGAGTCCATTCCACCCCCTCCCCGTTTCTCGAACGATTGACCGACCCGGCGTGCTCCGGGCCAGATCGCGCGCCACCCGGCGCTCTTCCGAGGCGACATCCCGGCCTCCGCGTTTCCCGCGCCGGTGCGCACGGACGAGGCGGGCTGAGCGGAGGGCGCGCCTTACGACACGCTCGCCGCCGCATTCCGTACAGACCGCGCCGGCTCCAATCCATCTCTGTCCGTAACCATCACGCCTCCCAAGCTAGCAGCACGCGATGAATGCGAGTTTCCTAGCGGGTACGTATTTCTGTGTCGAGGCTGCTGGGGGGGTGGCCGCCCTTATGTACGTAGATGCGCACGTCGTGCGAGCATCGCACCGTTCTTTCCGTCGTCGAGGGGCGCGGACACGGTTCAAAAGTCGTATTACGCACACCCCTTCTCGCGAGGCGGAAATCGGGCTTCAACAGTCCGATCCCGCGCGCGACTCCACTCCCGCGACCATCGATGCGCCCAGGCTCATCCTTCGGCGCGACGACCGCACGCACATCGCACCCGCCAACGCCGGCACGGAACGACTCCTAGGCAGGACTCGCGACTCGCGACTGGAAGTTGGAAGTTGGAAGCATCGCGCGAGCTGGGAGCTCCGGTAACGCCGCCGCGCGCCAGCTGCGCACTCGCCGGTTGGCGGCCGCGACCCTGATCCACGCGCGGAACGCGGCGGCCGTGCGGCGTGCCCGGGCTCGAACGCGCCCGCCGCCCGGGGAGAGCACCATCTGGCATCTCGACAAGGGCGCATGTCGGCCGGTGAGGAACGACGACCCTGCGCATCGGGCTCGGGTGGGTGGAGAGATGAAGATGAAGAATGTATTGTACGAGGAGGTCGGGACCGAGGCTGAGACGACCGAGGATGGAGACGAGACCGACAGAGGAGATGGAAAAGACGCGACGGGCGGGGGCGTTAAAACGTGGGCGGCGAAGGCGAGGGCGGGATGAAAGGAAAGGCGGCGCGCGAAGGTTACACAGGCGAGAACGGCCCAAAGTGGCGCGGAATTCAAAGACAGCGGTGGCGTGATGCAGGGGGGCGGTGTGGAAAGAAGGAAGGTCAAAGAACGGACTGCGGGCGCGGTGGAGGTGAGAGAAACCTGAGGGTCGACAAGGGTGGGCGAATGGAGGACCAGGGACTGGGCAGTGACGATGCGAGAGCGCAGAAGAACGATACGACGGAAGAGACACCGGAGCTCGGAAGATTACGCAGCGTGGTAGGAACGACGAGGCCCGCGGAGGCGAACAAGAAGCAATTAGTAGATACAGGCGGGCCAAAACGGGGACGGACGTGCAGAGCGCTGGACGAGGGAAAGCACGACGGACGCGGGCGATGAACGGGACTAACGTAATACAACTGACGAAGCGTATGATAGAGGGGTTCCACAAAGCCAAAAAAGAGAGTGGAGGAGGACGCGAAAGAGCGGCGGGTGGTGATCATACACGGACGACCGCCCAGATAAACAGTGCTGGACGGCGAGGGCGACATGGCATCTGGGTATGTCGTGCCGCGGACTGTCAAAGTAGCGGCGCGCAGCACTGAAAGCAGCGGCTGGCAAGTTCCGGTGCGGCGTCGGGACTCGGGGGCCGGGAGGGTCGGAGGGTGCAGGTCGGAAGCGTGATGGCCAGGGACACGAGCGAGGGGCGGGGTGGAAACGTCCGAGCGGAGAGCGGCGGGGCCTGGCCGCGGGACTCGGGGAGGTCGGATTTGGAGCGGGGGAGCCGTGCGGCCGGCCCAACTACATCAACGAAGACGACTTGAGGTTCGTCGTCAGAATAATGTCCCGAACTGCACCACAGGCGCGGGAACGGACGTCAGCCTCCGGGCCATTGGTGATCTCAGGGGAGGGGCGTACCGTTGGATATAATCGTGTGCGTCTTCCGGGTATCCGTAACGGACGTCAAGTGGACTGGGAGACGGGCGGGAGGTCAGGACGACGGAATCGTATACGGGTGGGGCAACGCACTGTACAGGTCTCTCGACTTATTCGGCGTGAGGCTCTGGTGCATCGCGCCGAACCTGTTGCGGAAATCTGCCAGCACCAGACGCGTCAGCAGTTGACGTTAAAGTTTTGGCAACAGAGGGCGCCAGGAACTCACACTGCGAGACGCTGTCGTAGTCGTTCGGGCGGTCCTCGTAGCTCGGCATATGGCGACTCAATCTGACGCCGCTCTGCAGCTTCTTCTTCAAGAGGTCGCACTTGTTCAGGAAAAGCACGATGTTGACGTGCGCGAGCAGCTTGTTCTCGATCACGTACTTCCAGAGCGTGAACGAGTCGTGCAGTCGGTTAACGGACGGATCCTGTGTCGCCCCCAGGACGCGATCTCAGCTCAGCGGCCGACCGACAAGGGGGTGAGACGCACCTCGGCGAGTGTCTGGTCAAAGACACTGATCGGCGCGAGGAAAATAATGGCGTTCACTGCACGTTCCCGATCTCCCACCATCAGCCCGAGCTCCGAGCGCGTAGACTGTCACGGATGACTGACCGTCGTCAAAGTACGGCGCCCACGCCTGCCGCTGGTTGCGCGACCCACCGACGTCGTAGATGACCCACTCCACCCCGCGGAACTCGGTGGACTTGGACAACGAGAACCGGTGCTCGACCACGCCCGTCGTCTTCAGCCGCGCGCGCAGCACGTCGTCTGCAACGCAGCCCGCCTGCCACTGTTAGTCCCGCCCTCGACTTGTGACGAAAGGCCACTAACCATCCGTGGGGAAATACATCTTGGCCGTTATTCGATTGATCTCGTCCAGGTAGCTGTTCGCAGGCGACACGTCAGCGCTCGCCTGATAGCCGGTGCGCCCGCGTGGCCCTCCACATGGACGAGGAAGGTCGTGATCCCACGCCCTCGCGCCCGGGCGCAGAAGAGAGAAAAGGCGGACTCACAACCCGGAGCTCTCCTCGAGCCGGACGCGCTTCTCCGCGAGCGCCGAGCGCACCGTTGGGTCGCGCCACAGCTCCGTCATCACCAACGCCGACTGGTTCAGGAGGTGGACCGGGTCGTTCGGGTCCTCCCACCACCCCTCGAGCTCGCCCGAGTTGGCGTGCTTCGCGTTCGAGAAGATTCCGAGCGCGAGCCGGCCTTTCCACCGGTTGCCCGGGCGCAGCGCGAGCTCGCTCCCGCTGGCTGGGCTCGTGCCTGGCGACGTCGGCGAGCGCGGGGAGGTGGTCCCGCTCGTGTACGCCGACGCGGACGGCAGCGATGATAACTGAATGGACGACGAAGGGATGCTGATCGGAGGCGGGCGCCCCGGGAGGTGCGGGCTGCTCGCGCTCGAGAAGCTGGTGAAGGTGCCGATCTGCGGTGCCGATGCGTACGGCGACGACGACCCACTCTTGGACGCGAAGGAAGCGTAGGGGTGGTTGCGCGCGTCCGAGCTGCGGACGGGAGGGAGGTAGTGGCGGGAAGGTGAGTGGCCTCGCGCTCGTCGTTGTCCTCCGAGTCGGCGAGGACGACCATGAGGCGCTGCTCGAGGTCCATCAAGGGAGCGAGACGCTGACGGTAGTATTCGTAGTTGGGCTGGGGGTCCGGAGGGGGAGCCGGGCCAGAACCGGTGATGATGATGGATGCGCGCTCGTTGGACTCTTCCTCCTCCTCAGCAGCATCGTTCTCTTCGGGCGCGATGACCTCGAGAATGCTGAACAAGGCAGTCGAAAGCTTTCAGCGGTGCCGTGGTGGCATAAATGGGGAGCTGCAACACACCGGCGGATGGAACGGATGAGGTTGAGGTAGATGACGAAACGCCACGCTATCCGTTCCTTGTGGAAGGCGGTCGGCGTGTGGAGCAGTTGAAACTCTAGCAGAAAAGAAAAGTGTCAGCCAGTGGGCAAGAAAGGTAGACGTTCTAAGGTGATACATGTAGTACACGGCGCGAACACTGCGTTCGCGCGGGCCTTGGGCCGCTGGCGGGCTGGACAGCGCTCATACCACATTGCCAGACCTAGCCGGGGTGTCTGGCCAGACGATATAGATGGGGGTCCAGCCAGGTGGCGCTCGGATAACTACACCCAGCTGGCCAGAGGGTGAGCTAGGTGATTGTCGCCTAGCCCACCTTCTGACTATATGCGAATCGCCTAGCCCACCCTCTGGCTAGATGGTCTGGTCGAATGCAGCCAGGCAATCTGTTCCGCCTTCTGAGCAGGGGACCCCTTGCATACAGAGAGACCGAAGCAGCGTGCAGGGTTCGTAAGGAGGTGGATAGCCAGTGACGGTGACGAACAGTGCCAGGGAGGGGTAATAAAAATCGGCAAGTGCGGCAGTGAGAAAGCTGAGCCGGTTGAAATGCCGGGGGTAAGAGTGCAAAGCCGGGGAACTAGCTGGCGGACGGAAGGCGCTTACGGATGCTCCGATCTGAAGGCGGACGGAAGGCGATCGAAGTAGGGAGGCAGAGTGCGACATATGCGGGGTCGGGAGGCAGAGTGTGACATATGCGAGGTCTCCAGGTGTGTCCCCATGGTCTGGGCTGAGAAGGGGGTGCAGGGAAGGGGGTGGGGTGGGTGTATGCGCGAACCTTGTACCGACAGCGCAGACATATGCCCCGCGCGGATGAACGGGAACCCACATGGTCTCCACCGCACCCAGGGATCGCGCAGAAGACGGTGGTGGCGACGGCGCGCGCGACGCGGAGGCTGTTCAACGGGAAAAGGGAGTACTCACGCTTGAGGGTCGTGCTCTTGCCGCTCTCGCTCTGGCCGAGGAGGAGGACCTTGACGGCCTTCTTGCGGCGGTGTTTATCTTCGCGGCGGAGCATACGGTCGATGTCCTCGCTCCGCTTCTTCGCATCGTCCTCGCGGCGGAGGCGAGCGTCGCGCTGCTCGGGCGTCTCATTCGGCGGGGGCTGAAGGGCGGCGGTGAGGGGGTCCGAGTTTCGACGCGCTATGTGCCCGGAGAAGGACGCGGTAGGGTTGAAAGGTGAGGTGTGGGCGGCGCGGGGCGGTGGGGGGCGGTGGGACATTGGGCGCGCCGGGATGGGGAGGCGGGGTGAGGAGGCGGGGACAGGGAATGGCGAAGACGAAGGGGAAGGCGAGCCGCCTTCAGCGCGGGCAGCGTATGTGACAGCCCGGCCGGCGCTCGCCTACAGAAAAAGTCGGGCAAGGAACCTCGCCGGCCGGCCCGACTCCTCCGTCCTCCGACGCTCTGATCCGGCGGCCTCGCTCACACCGCTCACTGCTCTCCCTCTCTTTCTCTCTCTCTCTCTCTCTATCTCGGCCGGCGTGCCCACCACCGTCAAAGTCGCTGTCTTCTCGGGCTGCCAGCTCACTCGCCGCCATCCCGCTCCTTCAAAGGCGCGCATGCGCACGACCGTGCGGGTAGTGTGCGCTTCGAACTACGCGCGCCGATAGCGGTCTTCTAGAATCACATAGCGTATGGCGAGCCCAATCGATCCATCCGCACTGAGCACCAGACTCACGGCTCCGCTGCCGGGGCCCCTCCGTTCTCCCAAACGGTGTATAGTAAGTGGTCTAGTACTTCCGCCGACGCCTTCCATTGACGCTTGCCATGGCCCTATGTTTCTTCCACCGGTGTGACTTGCTATAGCGTCGGGCTCCATATGACCTCCACATTGCACGCACGCGGCCCCGCGCGCATTCTACATGCCGCCGCACTCGTGCCCGCGCCCAGCATGCGCACGCGTGCACAGTCCGAGACGCCCGCGCACCTCCCTCCGTACGCACGGCGGACGCCGTCTGCCAAGGTCCGCGAGGCTCTCGGAGGACGTGACGTGCCTGGCGGGCGACCACCAAGGCACGTCCGTCCTCGCTCGGCCTCCCGCGCGCGCCGGCCAATCGCGCGCCGCGTCGCGCGTGCACCTCCCATCCTCGCGTTCTGTCGCGTCTGCACTATGCACCCTCGTGTCGGCACCTTCTTCTGCGGGCCACTCGCGAGCGTGGATTACCTTAGCAACCGGAAAGCAACCGCGCATGCAATACGCTAGAAGGCGCGCGCACTGCCGTGGACGCGTTCTCTCAAGGCCTGCGCCGGTACTCCGGGCTCGGCTCGGGATGTTCCCGGTCCCAAGACCCCCGACATCTCTCCCAACTGTAGGTCTCAGCCGAATCCGGACCTCGGTGGTCGATGCCTATAGGCACCTAGGCGTTTTCGGACAACCACCGGTCCCTAGCCCGCCGACGCCTGCCTAGTTGGCACCGTAAAGGAGCTTCAAAACTCAACTAAGATGCTGATGGGTTGGCGCCGGATGTCGTCCGCGATCCGGGCGCGCGACGGTCCCAAGTAGATACGCCAGGTGAATTAGGGATCGTTCCGGTTTGACCACCCCAACCGGAGGGTTTTAAACACACCGAGTGAACTGTTACCATATATATAGAGCGCAAATGAGCATGTCCTGGTGTCATTGAGTCCCGTTCAGAGGGCATCGGGCGCTTGAGGAAGATGTCTGGGGTCCTCCGGTCCCACGCCGAACGTGAGTGGCCCGCCCTGGCGCTTATCCTGCTCCCCGTCCTTCCCCGGACCAGCTGGTGTCCCCAGCCGCTCTGTACCGCACCAAATCCTCCTCCGCCGCTGCCGCCGCCCGTGGACGGTGCTGGGACCAAGCTGTAATAATTCTATAATATCTATGGGCGTTTAGAGCAACGACTCAAGTTCACGCGCAAGCCGTTTTGACCCTTACCAGCCGTCGTTCAGCAGGGCCGTGTAGAACGTGTAAGCACTCTCTGGCCACTGACCCCGCGCTCACTGCTCACTCTCACACCACGTCATGCAGGCACGTTTTGCAGGTCGTCCGACCGCGGCGTCGCCAGGGTCCATTATAACGCGCCCGTAAGCGCGACTCCGGATCCGATGCTGCACGGGATGAACAACTCCGCTCCCGGTGCCACCGCGGGCTTCTTCCCCGGCGCGCATTGTCAGGGGCAGGGGCAGCAGTGCTCGCGCGCATTCGAAAGAGAAGGGTTGGGCTCTAGGCGTGTGGGGCTGCGGGACATGGGGCTGCCGGCACGGGCGTGGGCCGAGGGAGATCCTTTCCCGCCTTCAGTGCTGTCTCTGTGTGGGCGCACATCTATCTCGTCGGCCGCCACGATCGCAACCGCAACCACCGCAGTCTCGCGCACAGGGTCAGAAATGCAAAGCATGCACAGTCTCGTGCACAGGGTCGGAAAGTATGCGTCGCTGCAGCAACAACATGGACGTTTATGCACAGACGTCTTCGCAGAAATAAGACTCCCCACACCCATACTCACACCCATAACGGTCGTCCCGAGTGCTTCCCGAGCCCCACGGACAACAAGGCGCTGCGCACCCGCCTCCGCTCGGCTCCTGAAGGCCTGACCCCCATTCAACATGATGTTCGGACGTCCTTCCGAATGGGCACGGCACTCCCTTCTCGCGCGGTATCCCCCCGAGCTTGAGCTTACCTCATCCGGCGACCTAGACTTCAAGGACCGACGGTGCGGGCATCCTGTCGTCATTGATTGAGACGCACTGTGCCGGGGGAGGTGCGCCGAACGGCCAAGCTTTCCGCCTCCGGCGATACCATCCTCCGCAGCCTCGACCGGAGGTGCGTCGTCCTGCTCCGGCCTGGGCCCAAGCCCAGTCTGGTGAAAGCCGATTGAAATCGGCGTTCAGTATTTCACACCTCCGTCCCCGTGCAACCACCGCACGCAGCTTCGCCGGGTCGTGATGCTGATGATGACCGTGGCTGTCCGGGAGGCACCGAGGCTTCATTGAGCTTGGGAGCGGCCCGTACAGTAACACGGAAGGGCTTCCCTGTTCGAGATACTTGGCCGCCACGTCTCATCCGGGAGTAGGTCGCGTCCGGGCAGGGAAGGTGCTGCGGAGGAGTTCTTCGCGCAGTGAGAAGACCGGGCATCAGGCGTGCGGTAGCAGGGAGAGCAACGGGCCGGAAGATAAAATCGCATCTTCTTGTCTCTAGAGCGGACGTCTACCCTTCGAGACAGTGCGTGAACCCGGCACGGACGGTCCGCGGCCGCTGGAGTCCAATCGCGGCGTTTGGGCGGACAGATATGACTGGAACGGTGCTTCGCAGACGGATGTTTGCGCGGGCGTGTTCCTGCCTGCGGACCCAGGTCTCGGTGCATACCTTTCTAGGTACGTATACACATACGAGGGCGTCAATGCCGTTCACATAAACCGAGCAACAACGCATACGTGCACGGATACAGTGGCTTCGCTCGTCAGAGCGTGCTTCGAGACCATGGAGACCGCGCGAACTAAATGTCAACTCGTGCAGCACGTGCTGGACGCACGTTCAACGGCGACGCTCGCCGACCCTTGCATTCAGCCGAGCCCTGAAGGCCTGACGGGCGAGTCGGCGACTCGACAGCCCAGCGTGTCACCCGTGACGGCGACCCTGCGAGGTCCGCCGCCGCCGTGACCGGCACTGCACCGAATCCAGCTGCAGCGCGGCCGGACCGGGCCGAAAATATTCTGCGGCGAACGCTCCAACGCGGTGGTGGTGGGAGGGTGCGGGATGCCGTCATCGCCTCCGCCCGACGAGCCCCCTTCCAGAATGGCTAACGCCTGCGCGGGCCACCGTCTCGCGCGGTGGGGACGCGTGCGCGCGCGCGTGCGGCGGCGTCGCACTTGGGCACGAGCGTATGCGGTCGGCGCGCGCGACCTCTGTACACGAAACACAGCCACTGCGCGTGGTGCGCGCGCGCGACGCGTGGTTCAGCGGGCACGTGCAGCGCGCCGCGCGCCGTCAGGGTCGGCGGGCGGACGCCGTCCAGGAGGCGGTCACCCAAGTCCAGGGAAGGGGTCGCCACGCGGCGGCGGCCGCAGCGCTCGTCGCGGGTGGAACACCATGCAGAACACTTCGTGGGGAGCACAAAAGCCACCGGTGATAGACAGATGCGGGTGCGCCCATCGGCCTCCGCTACAGATCGAAGTCGAATGGGACGGATAAGGTGCGCTGACCCTGAGATGCGCCCACCATGAGCGCAGCGAAGATGGGACTCGGAGAGCGCGATGGCGAAGTCGAGACGCCACCGCGGCGCGGTCTCACGCAGGCCAGCGGCAGACGCAACGTTCGTCCTCCCGCGTCTGGCGACAGGTGAGGCGCTGCCTCTTGGTGGCGCGCGGGCCTGGAAGGGAAGAGAAGACGATCGGTGCGTTCCATGCGAACGCACGGGAGGACCTCCACGGAAGCTCGCGGGTGGCGCGCGAGGCCGGGCGGTGTCCGCGGGCAGCCTAATCCTGGTCCGACGTCGGATCTGGGGTCGTGCGGGCTTCACTTCGCTCGTGGACGGTGCGGCCGGCCACGGTCGAGGGAAACGCGGGCGCTTTGTGCATGCTGAGGCGCGCGGACGGCCTCCGCTCAGGGCTCTCGTCGGGACGCACGGGAGCAGCTCGCGACCGAGGCGGCACGTAGTCTGATACGTGAGCGTCATACATAGGAGTAGCCTAGTAGTCCGCTCACCAGATTTGTGTCCAGGCGTCTCGGCGTCGCAGTGTTGAACGCGCACCTGGACGCTCGAATGGTAAGCTTGACCGCGAAGATGCATCGTTATTCACATGGTCAGGCACGAGTGCCCGACATATGTACATGTCAGTTCTGGCATGTCCCATTTATCGCCCGCGAGGGCAGAGTCCTATGGTGGGGGGTACGTATTGCAATCTATAAGACGGGGAAGGCTGACACATACCGAGAGGATGACTTGTCGGCCTTCCGATCGAGGAGGACCGGACGGACCGGGGTGCATAGGCCAAGAGTATGGTACGTGGCGCGCGTGTCGGGACAGAACCGCAGGAGCCTGGTGGAAGTTGCTTGACAATCCAAGACGTCGGAATCGAATCGAATTTGCTGGAGCCGCGCGGGGCGGGGCGGCTGTTCACGTCGTACAGTCAGCGGCGCTGAGGAGGATGCAATGAGGATACGAAATAGGTACGGAGCGCACCGCTGGAGTGAGTCTGCGCGCGAGCGTGGGGTTGCCACCGAGAGGGGTAGCGAGGACGGACACGGGGATCCAGCATGGGTGCGGGTGCGGTTGTCTGTGGAATGATGGGTAAGGTGGACCGGGGCAAGTTCGGGTATGTGGGAGGGGGCGCGCGCTGTCTAGGAGAGCTTGAGGAGGGCTCCGAGGGATACGGTGAGGCGGTCGGTGGTGTCAATGTGAGTGCGGTAATATCCGGTCCAGCGATATGTGTCGTACAGGTCGGCAACTTCGGTCAACTGATTGGTATGCTGAGATGAGCTGTGGCATCACGAAACGCGCGCAAGATAGAACGGTCACGATCTCCAAAGCGCCTGTTGATCACGGCATGAACTGTTTTCGTCATCGATATAGCGCATGATCATGGTTCGTCTGGTAGACGAAACGTGATCAACTATTGTCATGAGCTGAAAGATTTCGATCATTTTGTAATCTGCCTGACAATTATTAGATCTGTTAATGTGCAAAGGATCGCGGGCACACTGAGTGCAGAACATTAGATGGCCTGTGAACGACCATCTGACGATCGGCTGCTGATCAAGCCCCAGTGGCTGGGAAGTACCAGATACCACGTGATCTGATGCGCGTCGCAGGCGTTTCAGGCTGCTCACCGCAGTGCTTCAACGGCTGCCTCTTCTCTATGGATCAGGTTGCCTTTCTGCATGAGCTAAACCCCGACTCCGACAGCTATACAGCACCTAGTCAAGCATGAAGGAGAAGCAAACAAATTTATATTCGTTACTTTACGAGGCACAAGTACATAGTATTATATACTACGAACAACGACACAGACACCGTGTATGTAGGCACACAGCCTCATTCAACCGTTCGCAATGCCGGAAATGGGGATGACGTGGTGGTGGGCGAGGTGGACGACGCGGACGCGGGCAACCGTGCAGGTGACATGAATGACGCCGGCGATGCGGGTGAGATGGACACGGTGGGTGACCACTGACGCAGGTAACACGGGCAAGATGAGCGATGCGGGTGCACGGCACCAACGGAGATGTGGCCGACATAGGAAAGACAGGCGAGGTGGAGTTCCACAGCAGGACATGAGGTCTTGTCCATGACACCACATAGGGACGGCAGCGGCATCGATCATGGAGATCAGACGTACGAGGTGAGCAGGACAGTCGAGGCGGGCCAGGCAGTGGATGACGCGGGCGACGCAGGAGCAACAAGGACGAGGTGGGTGGTGCAGGTGACGTGGGCGAGGCAGGCGAGATGGGACAGGCGAGCGAGATGGGCGAGACCGACGAGACCGACGATGGACCAGGCAGGTCAGGCGAGCGATATCGACAAGGCAGGCCAAGTGAGCGAGGTGGGCGACACGGGGGAGGCGGTTGACGCAGGCAATGACAGTGTACGTCGGCCATGCCCATCCAGATGATCTCGTTGAGCACTGTGCTGCTTAGTACGTCGACGTGATCGGCCGACAGATCTCCCCCGCGAGGGATTGCGAGCGCGAGATGCGATGTGGACGAGATAAATGACCGTAGGGGTGAGGTGGGAGACTCAGCGTATGTCGTGGGTGACATGCCCGTGGAGGTGACGCAGGAACGGCGGCGAGGCGGCGAGGCGGGTGACGTTCGTGTGGTAGGCGACACAGTCACGGCCAGGCGGGTGGTGCGGGTGACGTGGGGGAGATGGGCCAGGAGGCCAAGACGGACGAAATGGACGAGGGGACGAGGTGGATGACACAGGCGTGATAAAGTGATCATCGGCCACACCCGTCGTGACCTTGAGGATGATTTTGTTGAGCACCATATTGTCCAGCACTTTGGCGTGCTCGCCCGATAAACCTCCCCCGGGAGGAACTGCCGGGACCAGGTTGTGCGGGAGCTGCGCAACCGACATCAGTTCAATGTGCCAGCACCTAACTTCAAACTCGGGCCGGCGCCTGATTCTGCCGGCTGTACGCACCGCGATCGCAGTACTTGTCCACACTCCTTCGCCCCACCTCGTCGTCGTCCGCCTGCTACAGCCGTGCGCCAAGCCTACCGAGGCTGGGTTCGCCCTGTGGGGTATGCGCGTCTTCGCGCTCCGAATCGCTCGCGCTGCGGGGCCCCCAGAGTGCCGTCCCTTGACGTCTTGCGCCCGGCGTGCCACCATACCATCTTGATACCCAGGGAAGACGCAAAGTGGATGAGGGGGGTGGGGAAGGGTGGGCACAGGGCCTCAGGCCTCAACGGCCTCAACATTGAACGCATAGGAGTGGCGAGGTGGTGGGAGAGGGCAAGGAAGACGCGATGCTTGAAACGTTGTAACGCACGTGCGCGCTTATCCAGCCCGTCTCTCCTTCTTCTCATGTCAACGCCTGCTTATTCGTTCGTTCTATACACCAATAGCTGCACTTCTTATCCTAGCCCCCAACAAAATGCCAGGTACATTCTAGGGGAGTCTCAACCTTAAATCCGCCACTGTACAGTACCTCAGCCTCACGGTACTCTCCGCCGCCGAGTGCTGAGCACGGACAACCTGTCCTCAATTCCTCCCCGTCCCCATCCTCCCTCTATACCACCGCCGTGGCCGGCACCTCACGCAAGGCGCCCCGACCTGAAAAGCGTACCGCCGATGTGCCAAACAGACTCACACCAACGGTAACACGACTCGCAAGCAGCCCGCACGGAGACACCATAGCCCATCGGCCCCCTCGAGTACGCCCCTCATTATTTCTCTGGCGTCTTCCCCCTCTCCCCCCCCCTTCCCTAGTCCTATTGCGTCCATCCAATTACGTCCGCGCACACGCTATGTGAAGATGCGTGCAACTCAGACGACCCAGACTTTCAGCGCCCAGTGCCGCTGCCCTCCGTATCCTCAAAGTCGCTATTGCGCATGTCCTTCACCGCGCCGCGTTTCGACCAGCTACCATGCCCATCGGTTCTCATCAACGTCCTCATCGCACAGGCACGCCTCGTCCTCGCGCGCACCGCCTGTCGCCCAAGATCCGCGCTCGCGCTCCGCTCCTCCGCACTTCCAGCCCCGTTCTCTTTCTCGCTCAAGCTTCCCTTTCGCCACCGACGACTTTCAACCCTTAGCGCGACCACGGGTTGCCCCGCACATCACCGAGCCATCGTCAAGTATGGTAGAGACCCGGAAGTACGGTGAGTAATCCTTTATTTCTCGCATTCCGAATAACTGCACAATATCATTCAGCGTCGCCGTCACCGCCATGCAAGGCAACATCATGGTCCAGCACTGCGATTTCTCCCCAGTATGTGCTGGTTTGCTCATGCGATCTGTCCGCCTGTGAGCTGACGAACGACGACAGAAATATTTTCTCGTCCATTGTGGAGGCACACGACGACGTCATGGGTGCTGACCCAGAATCCACCTTCGCTGTTATAATGGCGGTATGAGATCATTATGAGTCATCATTTCCTCCCCGTCTAGTCGTATAGCTCACCAACACGCCCTTCCCCTGCTCGTTCAGCTCGAAACCCAGAATTGATGCGTTGAAGCACCGGCCAACGAGCACACCCCTGCCCGCGCGGTCCTTCCGCCGGCTCCCGAGCAGGGCCGTCATCGGCGTCCCAATCAGTCCACCGTGAAAGACCACCAGGACGTGGACCGGCTCCTCCTCGTCCTCGTTGCTCTGCGCGGCTGCCTTCCGCGAGCGCAGCGCCGCCACGCGCTGCGTGTGTCGTCAGATGGTGCCGTTCGCGTTGCGCGCGCGACAAAATCTGCCATCGGCTCGAGATTTATTGGGGCGTTGCTGCTCTCCGAGATGAACTCGCCCTGTCATTGAGTCGCCCATGAACTACCCGGCGCCGCGCCGCGGCGTGTGGCATCGCCCGAAGCCATCGAGTGGGTACGGGTGAGCCTTCAGGTGCGGTCTCCAAGTTCTTGTCGCCCAATCTGAAGTTCATCTCACACAGTCACACCCAGTTTGAACAACCCTGCCACTGTCGCCGACTCGTCCTGTCAGTGTTCGCGTTTGGACAACTCCGCTGTCATCATTTCAATCTCTCGCTCGCGCTCGCTCGCATCCATATTGTACCTACCATACTGTATAGACCTGAATAATACTGGATTACGCGCATATACGGGCATTTGTGGTCGACCTGCAATAGCAAAAAATTTCGGTACATCTGAACTTTCGGTCTTTTCAGGTCATTGCACCGCCCAGAAGTGATCGTCTTGATGTGCGCTCATGTTCATCTCATCCCTGTGCCACGAACCACCATGATCATTTCGAACCTGAGCAATTATCACTACGCACCCCAGCCTAGATCGCCACCCTCAGAGAAGATGTTCATGGTCGAACATGGTGTTCCCAGCGGATGATCTGCCCCGTTCATCCCGGCCCGAGTGAATGACCGGCCCTGCTCAGCCCGACCCGGGTGGACGAACGGCCCTGTTCTATCTCTCACGTACACATGATAGTTGTGTATCAAGCCACACCTATGTAATGACCATACCTTGAACTGTGCAAAGCCCAGACATGATAAGTACCCATCATTCATCCCCTTGCAAATGCTCGTCACTGCTCATCACCCCCGTCTGGGATGATCGGTCCCGTTCCACCATGACAAATTTCTGTCATAAATTGACACCGTCCGTTCGACAAAGAAAGGGATGATCTCTGCAGACTGCACATGACCTGCCGTGACCATCTCTAGTTCTGGTCCGGGCGCGTTTCGTGATGGGTGAGCCATTCAGCGAAAAAGCGGAGAAATCTTGATAGTTTTGCAAGCAGGCTCTGGTGTGTATATGCAACATTAAGCAAAGACTTAAAGAATACCTTGTCGCAACAAGATTGCGGCGATATCAGGTCCAAAGGATTCGGGACAGTTGAGCGAAAACGGGGCTTACTTTGGAGAAAGCCTGTCCAACATTATATATATATATATATATGAAAGAACTAGGCTGTGACCGTCAAGCTGCAGAGGGATCGTCAATCACGATCAGCACCAGCTAGGTATGCTGAGACCCGTACGTTTTATTACAGCTGCGAACAGTGTATCTTCCAATCAATCACACCATATTGTAATGACGCAAGAATAAATCGATGAAGCTAGAGCATCGCGCTGGTCACGATTGAGTACCGCGGATAAGTACTGCTGAGCCGAATCCCTGCTTGTGATCAATGTTTATCCCCATCAGGAAGATGGCCTTCAACAATTCGCAGTGCGCGCGGTGAGAGAAGGAGGGGGGCTAGATGAGTTGTAGCTACGTATGCGCTGGAATATAGCGAAGGTTGGGAGTAAGACTGATTTACTGGGTTGGATACAAGCGTCTATTTAATCTAATCATTTTCCCCATCGGACCTGGCCCTGGCGCTTGGTCGGCTCGACAGCTTGTGTCATTCGACCGCCACGGTCAATTTGATTCAGCCGTCGTCCTCACCTGCCACCCCTTCGTCCACTCTGTATATGCGCGCTTTTTTCAACGCCAGGCTTCTCTCAGAGATGTTGCAGGAAATTTGAGAGGAGTCAATGTACAATCAGGCTGGAGCGGTGCAGGAACAGAGGTGTGCATCCGGTCTAAACGATCAATTTCACCCATTCGTGGCGACCATCAATCCCCGTGTGCGCTTCGCGTCGTGATATCATCCACGGCACCTCCGCCCTCTCATGCGCTTTGCTCTCCGCCCACGAGCCTAGTGCTGTTCGCTCTCTTTCTTCCTCTCCTTTCCGTTCGTTTTTCTCCGTTTTTACCCGGTCATGGCACCGTTGGTCTGGCGCCAGGACGCCTCTTCTTCAGGTGGTGCGTCTCAGCTGTCTCCTCCGTCGACGTCCGAGTCTGAGGCTTACACCCCTGCCAAGTGTACATCTTCGACGGCCCGACGTTGAAAGCGCATATACTCATGCCCAACCCTCCCTCTTCTCAGCGCAGGCTAGCACTGCTGCTTCCTCTTTGTCTCCCGCTTCGTCCTCCGCCTCTGAGGCTCAGGTCACCTCGGTTCCGGATGCCTCCACGAGCGCAGGCCCCGAGACAACCTCAAGTGAACCCACTACCTCAAAGGTCTCCTCTGCTGCTCCATCGACAGGTACGCCCGCGGCTGCTCCATCCACGGCCGATGCAACGTCTTCCTCTGCGTCTTCCACCATCTCGGCTCCTACATCTACCACGCCGTCATCCTCCACGTCCAAAGCAGCTCCTTCTACTTCGGATGTTCCCGCTACCTCTACGACTAACTCAGTCACTCCTACCACCTCCTCGAACCCTACTTCATCCGCCGGCCCCACCTCTTCGAACTCTACTTCATCCACTGGCCCAACCTCTTCCGAAGCCGCCCCTTCTTCCATCGCGTCATCTTCTTCGGCCACGAGCTCAGAGGCTCCAACTTCGACGGCATCGCCTAGTGTTTCTAAGCCTCTCAGTGACGCGCCGACGACGTCGAGCACTCCCGTCTTGATTCCCACTGCTATTGGTTCGGAGGATGACGGCGCCAGTGCGTACTTTCTTCTCACCATCTTTACTGTTTCATTCCTTTTTCATCTGAAACTTGTACAAACTCATTGTGTCGTTTCTCAGCATCCACCACGGCGCCCACTACCAGCTCTGGCGTGTTGATTCCGAGTGCCATTGCTTCTGAGGATGCCGGCCCGAGTAAGTCACCATCTGCTCCTCTCTGCGCATTCGGCACCAATATGCTTCTTCAGCGACCTCGACATCTGTGCCCCCCACGTCAACCTCCAAGTCGTCAGCGTCATCCAAGCCATCAGATGCGCCGACAAGCGCCTCGGGGTCCGCATCTCCGACAGGTACGCCATTGAGTGCTTAAATTAGTTCACGCGAAACTGACAAGTCTCGTGACCTGGTCTACTCGCTCACCCCAGCTGGCCCCAGCTCGTCTTCAAAGCTGGCAGATGCAGGATCCAGCTCGACGTCCACCAGCGGAGGATTGGTGCCTACGGCCATCACGTGAGCTTGATCCCACCACAAATATGTGATTTGTGCACTCAGATCCGTCAACAGCAACCCTGATGATGCACCGCCAGCGGGTAGCGACAGTGGCAGCAGTAGCAGCAGCAGCAGCAGCATCACCACCACAAAGGCCGCGAACACGGGGGCTGCGAAGCCCACGACGAAAACGGACGCAGCAACGCCTACCGGCTCGACTGCATCTGCTCAGCCCCCCACTGGGCCCTCGGGCACGGCCAGTGGTGCGGTTGCTACAGCCCCGAAAGGGACCGATGGCGCTACTGGCACGAACGGCCAGTCCGCTGCTCCGACCAACGGTGCCACGACTGGCAACACTGGCAACACTTCCACTACCGGCAACGCTGGCACGACCAACAACAGCGGCAGCAACTCTGGCGCAGGTAACAACGGCGTCAACGGGAACGGGAACGGGAACGGGAACGGGGCCCAAAACTCGGCTGCGACTAACGCGCCGACCGGGACCAACACGGCTGCAACTGGGTCTGCCACTGACGGCAACGCTGCGTTAACCTCAGCCCTCGCGTACGTTGCGTGATCTCCTTGTTTGAACGTCTCTCACATTCCATCTAGCATTCCCGCGAAGCAACAGGCGGCCGACAACACCCCTACGGTCACCACTCCCGTCACGACAACGTTTACGAGCACCTTCACTTCGAGCACCCCCATTATTACCACCGCGACCGACGGAAAGACGACCACTTCTTTCTCGGCGATAACTGGTGTTGTGACTTTCACCTCGACCCAGCGACCAGCTGCGACCACCATCGCTGCCTCGAAATCAGGGTAAGCTTGCGTTTATCCTGCTATTGCCTCCTTATGCTCAACACCGATGTAGCTCCGGCTCCATGTCGCCCGCGCAGATCGGCGGCCTCGCTGGCGGACTCATCGCAGCCGTTGCGATCCTCGCCGCGCTCGCCTTCTTCCTCTTCCGCCTGCGTGCCCGCCGCCGCGCGCGTTGGATGGACAACGGCCTCTCCTTCGACACCTACCAGCCGCACTCTCCCTCGGCCGCCCCCGACTTCTCTGTCAACGCCACGATCGACGCCGCCGCCGGCCCGCGCACGCCCTCGCTCCCCCCAATGCTCCCCCGCTCCGCGACCGGTCCCCGATGATGGGCTACGCGCCCGGCACGCGCTCCGAGCTCTTCCCGAGCATCATCTCGACGTCGTCCACGGGCAGCATGCTCATTTCGCCCGCGCTGTCGGACAGCTCGGCGCGCCCGCAGCCGCAGCCGAACCTGCGGCAGACGACGGTGAGCACGACGAGCGCGAACGTCGTCGTGCCGACGCACCACTCGAGCTGGAGCGCGGACGCGGTCCTCGGCGCGAACCCGTTCGCGGACCCGCTCGTCCTCGCCGCGGGCGCCCGACGAGCGCGAGCTCGGAGGCGACGCTCCGCCCGGAGAGCGGCGCGCCTGTGGGCGGGAAGGGGATGGATCCGTTTGCGGACCCGGTGAAGCAAGATCGGCTGTCGGTGATGAGCGCGGGCGCGCTGTCGGTGAGCAGCGCTGATGTGCAGGTGAGGCTCGTTTTTCTTCGCGCGCAGCTGGACAGCGCTGACTGGCGTGTTGTTTGCTCGACAGCCGGGCGAGGCCATGTGAAGAACACCAACCTTGACTGGACTGCGCGTTCACAGGCACTGAGATCGAACAGTACGAGATATCGGACTCTGCTTTTGTGGTTGCCATCAAGAAGTAGCTCCCACTCGCACGTCTCGCCCAGGGCGTGCGTTGTGTGCAGTGTAGGCCTCTTTTCGTGTGGATTTGGACCAGCGGGTCACTTTGCGGCGCGTCAGTACCACTGTTGAATGCTATCGTTTTTGCGCATTGGAAACACTGCTGAGCTTCATAAGCGCTGATTGTACACTCTATCGAGGCCTCGACACTGCTTCCCTCGTTTCACATGGTACGGACTTCATTCGCCGTGGCTCCGCGAGGCGGACGCGCTGATACAGGTAGAGCGGCCGATGACGCGACTTTGAACAGGTGCACGAATTCGAATTCGGGCTCGAGCTGACATACGACCAACTACCCTCAGTGACTCAGTATATCCACAGTCTGTAGCAAAAGGACTCTCGCCAAATAATCGGTTCAGCTTCCATTACAGCCGAGCCATAGGTACGCTCGTATGCATGCTGTTTTGATATTGAAATTCGGCGTCGTCAATACCTCTCTCATCAGCCTCTTCTCCACCCCCGCCAACAGTACGTGAACGCCGTCTGCATTGGTGCGCGCGTCTCGCTGAGATCGACCACCCTGCGCTCCCAGCTCGCGTTCGCGTCTCCCCACAGTCTCCATCTCCCGCCTCGTGCTCAAGGATATTACGCCTTACGACGGTACATTGATCCCCAAAGGGACGCATCGCCGCGTCGTCATTCGGCATGCACTTTGACGACGGTATCCTGCGGGGCGGCTCCGTTCGACCTGTACCGGTGGGCGCGCATGCGCGAGGCGAGCGAGACCGAGGCGACGAAGCACCAGTTCCGCAACACGTCGCTAGACTACATAGCCTTCTGGCACGGCAGGTACGTGTAGTACGTACATATGTGCTTTATGCACTGCGTGGCGAGGCTGACTGGGGTGCATTGTGAATTCAGTCTCGGGCGTTTCTTCGCGTCGAACGAGCTTAAAGTGTTGATAGCGTACATCCTCCTTACCTACGAATTCAAGCTTGCGAGGGGCGCGACAGTGCGCCTGGAGAACCTCTTTTTGGACGAGAACGTAATTCCCAATCCGGCGAGACCATGTTCTGGCGAGTGCAGAGTGAGGTAGGATTCGTGTATTTTCTTCCGTAACCGTCAGCGAGAACACCAAATCAGTCAACGGTTGTGGACAACCTACAATGTCAGTAGTGGGCCACGCTGAACTAGCATGCATTGCGACTTGTCACAGAAACGCCGTACACGTTCGTCCTCTACCACGCCAGGCCACAAATAAAGTCCGTATCGACCTCGACCCGGTGCCCGGCATTCGGAAACAACGCGCTCAGGAACGCGCCAACCTCGCGCTTCACGTCCTCCTCCTGCCCGCGCGCACCTGCACCACGCCCAGTCGGAGCTCGTACAGCGCACGATGCGGCGTGAACGCGGTGGTGGAAACGCGGCCCAGCGATCCCGTCCCGAACACCGTCTGCGGGAGGTGCAGCACGCGCAGTCCGGGAGCGCGCGCGCGGCTTCGGCAGCACGCTAGCGGCGCGAGCGGCACCAAGTCGTCCTCCTCGCGCCGGGTTGTGTGACTGCGATCCGGAGCTCTACCAGGGCCGGCCACACGACCGGGATCCTTCGCAGGTCGCTCGCGCCGTAGCTCAGGCTTCCGCGTTTGATGGTGACGTTGACTACGCGGAGCCGCTGCAGAGGCGCGAGGGGTGTGAGGACGTCGAGAGGTCGACGCGCGGGTATGGGCATTGAGTACACGACCAGCGTGAGCTCGGTGAGATGCGGGTAAGCGGCGGCGATTGGGTCGAAGGGGACTCTGAAGTCCAGTTGTAGCTAGAGGGATCGAAGGTGTAAGAGAGCGATCGGAGGGCGGGAAGGCGGATGGAGAGGAATATGGGAAGAGAGCCCATATGGGTCGACGGGAATCCGAGTTTCTGGAGAAAAGGTAGGGAGACAATGTTCACCAAGCGGGGTGAGGACATCGAGGTGATGGTTAAAGTGAGTGACTGGAGTGCGGGCCAATTGGCCATGAAGGCTATATGTTCAGCCTTCGGCTCGTTTCCGTATGCGCAAAGTATCTTCAGACGTGCTGCTTGGAGAGCAAGGATATCCACTCGGTGTTATGGATGATGGCGCCTTCCAAGTCGGGGCAGCGTGCGAGGAAATGGTTGGCAACCAGGGCCCTGTACCAATCCTCCACATGGAATGCACCTTGAATCTCGGCCCAGCGTACACTGGGTGATAGCAGTGCGAGCTGTCCGGCCTGTTCTTCCCGGGATTCACTGTCAGGGTACCAATGCTTCAGCGTGACCCGATGAAGACGGGAGAGAATAGGGTCGTCCTTCGTGAGCAACGCGTCCAGTTCCGTCCAAAGTGATGGTGTCTGCGGTCGTGGGAAGAACGAGAGGGCTATCTCCTGTACATGACTTGCATACATCTTGAAGCGCATCCATGCGGGGTGCAACCGTAGGTCGTGGGAAGACTTGATGTGCGCGACAGTCTACAACTAAGATGTCAGTGCCCAGAATGACATAACAGAGGACCACCAAGCACTTGCATTACTCCACTCCGAAAACGGGAAGACGATACTTTCATCCTCGTCCAATGTATCGGTTCGGGACCGTGCGATTCCCAAGGTATGAAGAAGTGAAACCAAGGGATAGTCGCCGGGTAGCGATTTCCAGAGGAGACTTAAAGCAATGGAGGAGAGAGATCTGCAAGACAAGGCAAGGGCGAGGAGAGTGTTGCGAGACACTCCATCGGTGCTGTCTAGATTTGAAAGTATTCCGGGAAAGACGTCGTGTACTAGTCGGGGAGGGCTCGGGTGTGACATCCCCCTGACGAAGGAGTTGAGACTCTGATCCGCATGTAGTGCCGGGATAGAAATACCTGTATGACCAGAGTGCGTTGATGAACAGTCCGAGCGAGGATCGATGGCAGCGAGCAAGAGACGCGCTCAAGCGCTCATCGTCCCAACGTGTGTCGTCTCGATTGGTGCCTGAACGCGCTGCTTCGGGGCCTGCCCGCCTCGTCCTCCTCCACGCACACCATTCGGGGACAGCTTGGGGCCGTACAGAGCGCGGTGATAATCGACGAAAGCACGCGTTGTGTACAAGGCCCCTGAAGAGAACGCAGTCCGGGGGGGTGCAGCACGCGTGGCTCGGGGTACGCGCGCGCGGGCTCAGTGAGTTCATCCAGCGCCGCCACCCTCTCGCGCTGGCCCCCGGTCGTCAGCAGCGGCCGGGATTTTCTTGAGACCTGGCCACACGGCCGCGGCGTGGAGGTCATCAGCGCTCGGTCTATCAGCCACAGTCCTCAAGACCTCACTCTCCACGGTGATGTGCAGCGCGCGGAGGCTCCGGAGCGGCGCGAGCAGTGCGAGGACGTCCGAGAGGTGCACGCGGCTGCGTGTGGTCCCAACGCCCGTGGATGAAGGTGAGCGTGAACTCGATGCGAAGCAGAGGTGTTGTGGAAGCGACTCGAAGCGGCCCCGGAGAGTGGGACAGTGCACTTGACGAGTTGAAATTACTACACGCCGAACGGGAGGGGTGGATCTTCGTTCTGAGATGTTACCAGGTCGAGTTGACTGGAGCGAAGGGTCAGGAAACGGTAGTGCAGTTGCAATTCAAAGTCTGCTTCCACGCTGTCCAGTTGATCACAAATATAAGCATACACCGTTCTAGGGTACCACATACACCGTAGCCCTCGGAACATCGTCATCGAACACGTCACTCACTGTACTTTTCCGGCAGCTTTCGCCACCTGCGGAGGGGCGACCAACTCCATCACCGTCCATGCAAACGCCTTCACCCTCACCCTCAACGGCCCATTCGCGCCCCCAACCCCACATCGCCTTCCTTCGCGAACCCGCGCCCGAGATCCCGCGCGATCGCGCCCTCCGCCTGCTGGCGACCTCGAAGCTCTTGGTGTCCGCGAGAGCGTCGAGAGTGGTGGGCGCGATGGTGCAGCGTTGGAGGGTGGCGTTAGAGGGGAAGGGGAAGAGGAGGATGAGGATGAGTGGGACAGAAGGAGGAACAACAACAGGCGGAGGAGGCGGAGGTTGCCGTGTCACTGTGCGACGGCATTTAGTCAGCATAACGACTCTGGTACGAGAGAAAGCTAAGGAAGGTGCCGGCACACGGTGAGAATGGTATACAGTGGCAGTAGTACTGCGTGGCAGGTCAGGAGGTGCTTCGAGACGCTCCGCGCGAGCGACCGCCGTTCATAGGCCGGCCCAATTCACCACCAGTGCAACTCGCCGCTTCAAGTATCGGAGGCGCACCATGCGAGCACATTGCGGCGACGAAGAAACTCCGCCATCGCCGAGGAGAGAGAGGGGATGGAAGCGCTCACCATGAACACGCCCAATCCGTCGCGCGGGATATCTATCGGCGCGGTGGCGAACCAGAATGCCTCCGCAAGCGCGCCCACCCCGTACAGCCGCCACTGCTCGCGACCACCCCTGACGGCGGTGAGTAAGTTTACGACGATACCCTCCACAGTGTATCCGACTGCGAGTTGAGGCGCAGCGCAGAGGGCGAACCCGTTGAAGAGAGTGTAGTACTCGCAATCCCCAAGGACTGCCTGCCTGGGGTTGCAAAAGGAGTTCACATATGCGCGAGATTCGGCGAGGTGAAGGTGTGGAACGTACCGGACGGAGAGCGTGCACATATCGAAGGACTAGAGACGCGTGAGGAGTGGCAACTCGAGAGGTTGCGGCAGAGACACGTCGTCCGAAGCCAGTACCGCACGGTGGAGGAACATGGCGCGGATGCGGTTCGAGTGTGCATTTAGCGAGATCTCGAATCGTTGGAAGAGGCTTGGTGGCCAGCGGACGAGGATGCAGGGGGAAAACGCATAACGGAAACTGAAGGCCCGGTGCGAGGCACGGCGGCGGAAGAGAACGGGGGCGGGGACGACGACGACGGCGAGAACGAGGAACGCGTCGATGGAGGCGCGGCGGGACTGGACACAGCCGGCGCCTGGGCCTTGATGTGCTGACAAAGCCTCACGTGTCCACAATCGGAGCGGCGCGTGCTTGTCTCGAACTTCCAACTCAGATTACGCTTGCTCGAGCGCAGATTGCGATCGCAACCTCTCCCCATTTAATAAGAAGCGAAACACCCTACCCCTCAGCTCACCATCGTCCATCCGCGCTCATCCTCCAGAACTCCCACTGTGTACATCGCAAGTCTGTCTCTCCCGAGGTGACGGCCGTACGTCCGACTCTCGGGCTCTGAACACGCCGCCGGGGTGGCCGTATGCAGGTGCGAAGGCTGCTCAAAATTTAGATCCCAGCGTTCTACGACGTGCAGCAGTGGTGCCATGTAAGCGTCGTGCGTATCATAGTAACAGTCCAGCGACACTTTTCTCCTCAACTATGGTCTCGTACATGAAAGATTTTCACGATCGTCGACACACACAGCCAAGCCCTTCATCTTTCTTCGGAAAACGTACCACCAGCGGTCGGAAGCATAGACCGAATTGCGTCTCTATCGGATCGTAAGTCGCTTGTACCACCAGCCGCCAACGTGGCGCCTGCCAGTAGCGTTTCTTGTCCCTATCGTCGGCATATACGTCAAGCTGACCGAGTTACTGCGCAGATAGATTCGCCTCAAGCTTCGATGGTATCGGCGAATACTTCGTCCGCACTACCAGCAGTTCACACTGTTGAAACCAGTGGCCTAGAATATTCAGCTAAGACCGACAATATCGGATCTCCGGTATCGGTATACGGGCTAGCCAATCCGTCCAGGCCGATTACGAGGGTGGTGCGCACCCTTCTTACACCAGCGTTCAAAAAGCTGTTATATAGTGAGCGGAGGATCTTATTTCTGCTTCAGAATACCTCACCGGCACATCGCACAAACACCATTGCCACCCACTCCATCAGGATCATTCTCTCTACTTGAAGATGCCTGAACAGATCACTCTTTATGGTCGTAATGTGCGCCCGCAATCAGCTTAGCACTCAGCTTGAGCTAACACTTGAAACCGTTGTACAGGACTCTCCGTACAATCATCGGGTGGCCATAGCCCTCGCCGAAGTCGGGGCAAAGTGCACGATGTATACCCTCCCACACAGCGACAAGCCAGCGTGGTACGCCGAGAAAGTGAACCCGGCGGGGACGGTAACGAAGTCCATCAGCTTGACCCCCTTACCGACCACTGACGACGCCCGAGCAGGTCCCGTGTATCACCTACGGCGGGCCCGCGACCGACCCCGCCTCGCCCTCTCCAGAGTCGCGCAAGATCCCCGAGTCGCTGGTGATCTCAGAGCTCCTCGCGGACCTCTACCCCGGCACGACGCTCGTGCCCACCGACCCGCTGAAGAAGGCCGACATGCGGCTCTTCATCGCCTTCTGGGACCAGAAGGGCATGGACCATGTCCGTGGCTTCCTGACCGGCACCAGCACCGTCGAGGCGTACCTCACCTTCTTCGAGGAGCTGCAGGCGCGGCTTCCCCCGACGGGGTTCGCGATCGGGGAGTTCTCGCTCGCGGACGTCGCGATCGCGCCGTTCCTGCTGCTGAGCGAGATGGCGTTGAAGAACGAGATCGGAAAGTATGCGGTCGAGGATGGGAAGAAAGTCTTGGGCGCGCTAGCGGAACCGAAGTTTTCGAGGATCCAGAAGTACGTGAATGACTTGAAAGAGCGGCCGAGTATCAAGAATACGTATGACGAGGTGAGTGCGAGGCCCGCTGGGATGTTGCAAGCCGTATCTGACCTGCTCTGGGTATTTCCAGGCCGCCTGCTACGAGGCGTGGGCGAAGCTGCCTTATATGCAGCGCGGTTGAGCCTGAGAGTAGATTGAGATCTGTGCAATGTTGCCACCGGTAGTAGTAAGTACGCTATGGGGAAAGAAAGCGCTTATCTGCCTGATCTGGACGTTATGGGCCGGAAGTTCGTCAGCACGAGACATCCAGCTCAACTTTCCCTGCATGCTATTCTACTGTTCAATGATGCCCCCGAAGTTGCCCCCTGGCTCCGTCTACCGCAACACCCGGTACCCCAACTCCTTAATCACATCCAAGCCGCCACCAAACACGATACTGAGGAGCCTGGGATGTCGAGGATATCCGGTGCTTGCAGGTGCTGCGGTGAGTAACAAGCTTTCCGTGACTCGGGTTGTGGCAAATTTGTTCTCGCGGTGGTGCGGCCCGTGAGCATTATTACGTTGTACAGGTACAGCGGCCTCATGACGCGACTTTAAACAAGCGCACAAATTCGACCATACGACCAACTACTTACCCTCGACGTGTCCGTATACATCACACAGTCTGTTGTATAGTCGTCAATGCCTCTCTCATCAGCCTTTTCTCCACACAGCCTTCCAGCCAACAGTCCGCGGGCACTGACGCTGTGACCAGCGTTCCGGCGACAATCGGCGGCCTTACCTTCAATCCTGGAGACGCTGGTCGTTCGGAGAGCGGGGATAATAGTCCACCCACCGGCCATCTCAGGCTTGCGGCGCTTCGATGAGTACGCAAGGCACACGTCACACCTCAACGAGGTGAAATGTCCAGGATGGTGACTAGTGCACTTCGGTCGGGACACATCGACGTGCTTCTCGGGGCTCGTTGTCTCCGCACAACAATTGTTGCTGACGCACTCTGTTTCTTAAAACGAACGACGCGGCGGAGCAAGCACTTCGCTGCATCCTCCCGCTATCCCCCCATGGACACCGGCGACTCTCAGACCGTCTGCGCAGCCGTTGTCGTGCCCTGGTCGTGTATGGCTCTTCCGCTGGAGCTCTGACCCGGTGCGTGCTTTGACGATCTGCTCGCGTCGACGTCGGCTCATCACCCGGTTTAGCTCCGTCATATCCCGACTGTTGGTAGCCCGACCGCCTCTCTTCTGTCATTCGTATCCACTTCCCAGTGGAGGAATAATGCACGAGACTTGATCATGGAGGGATACCAGAAGGTGCGTGGCTTCATCTAGTCTTTCACTCCGCTCACGAGTTCGACATCCGTCAGTACCCGGGGTCTGTCTTCAAGATCGCGGCGTACGAGAGGTGGATCGTGATGTGAACGGAACGAGTCTCATAGAAGACGTCCGCAAGCGTCCGGACGACGAGGTGTCGTTCTTCGACTTCCTGAGGAGGTGCGCTTCCTTCACAGGGAACGACGCTTCCATCTCTCACCACGACTGTTACAGAGCTTGAACTTTAAGCACACCGTCGGCAGGGCGCAGCCGACAACCCTTTTCATTTCAATTTGTCAGGGAGAAGCTGTCGCGTGCCATTCCCGCGCTCATCCCGGACTTCGTGCGTGAGTTCGCGTGCGCCTTCGCGGATTACGTGCCCACCAAGGGGTCAGGTGTGTTTTCTGATGCGATAGAAGCGCGCTCCATGACAAAGTGCTTTGACTTGTAGAATGGACGACCGTGGCCGCGTTCCCATTCATGCAGAAGGCCGTCGCTCGTGCGACCTCTAGTGTCTTCGTGGGAGAGCCGCTGTGTATGTTCATCCCTTCAGCTGTGCGAACGTCGGCTGAACACGCCTTGGTTAGGTCGCAATGAGGACTACCTCAGGCTCGCGATCATTTATACAAACTCCATAGTCCACGACAGGGACGTCATGAAATATCTACCCGGATCCTTGCTGAAGACGTACGTGTTCATCTACGACGTCAGGTGGCCCTTGCTAAATGATCTCGCAGTATTGTCGCCACTGCCATGAGCGCCGCTTGGCGGACGAACCGCGAAATGTACCTTTTCCTCAAGCCTCTGATGGACGAGCGTCGGAAGAACATGGCCGAGTTCGGCGACGACTGGGCTGACAAGCCTGTGCGTATTGCGCGTCTTTCCGGTATTGTTCAACGGACTGAATCCTCACAGACCGATCTGCTCCAATGGCTCATCGAAGAGGCCCCCACGCAACGTCAAACGGACATGCAGATCGTCGAGCGCGTAATGGACATCTACTTCGCCGCGATCCACACATCCTCCAACGTACGTGCTCCGTCCGTCTCCTAGTCTCCAGACGCTCACTGATCCTGCGCCCTTCTCGCAGACGAGCACCCACGTGCTCTACTACCTCGCGACCGAGCCCGAGTGGGTCGAGACCCTCCGGGCCGAGATCGAGCCCATCGTCGCCGCCGAAGGCTGGACGAAGAACGCGATCGCGAAGATGTGGAAGCTAGACAGCATCTTCCGCGAGTCCCAGCGCGTGAACGGCATCAGCGTCTGTGAGCCCGGTCTCCAGTCCCTCGTCTCCTCCCTGCTCACGCGTCTCGCAGTCTCCCTCACCCGCTTCGCGCTGAAGGACATCACGCTCGCCGACGGCACCTTCATTCCCAAGGGCACGAACCTCGCCGCGTCGTCCTTCGGCACGCACTTTGACGACGGCATCCTCCCCGGGGCGGCCTCGTTCGACCCGTTCCGGTGGGCGCGGATGCGCGAGGCGAGCGAGGCGGAGGCGACGAAGCACCAGTTCGTCAACACCTCGCCCGAGTACCTCCCTTTCGGGCACGGACGGCACGCGTGGTGCGCTTCTTTCTCGTCGTGTGCCGATTTCGTGGAAGCTGACTCGATGGGCCGGACGCGCAGCCCTGGACGCTTCTTCGCGTCGAACGAGCTCAAGGTCTTGATCGCGTACATCATCCTCAACTACGACTTCAAGCTCGCGGCGGGCGCGACGACGCGTCCGGAGAACTTGTATATCGACGACAGCGTGGTCCCCAATCCGACTGTGGAGATTATGTTCCGCAGGCGGGAGTCGACGTTGGAATGAGGTACCAGTCTTCGAAGGATATAACACATGTACTTTCTTACATAACCGAAGCGTTCGAGGTGTTGTAGCTATACCACAATGTCCGTCGGGCTCAATCACGCATTACATCCTGTCGCAGAAACCCGATGCCCGTCCGTCCTCCATCACGGCTCCGCAGCAAAGTCCGTCTTGACGTCGACCCGATGTCCAGCGTTCGGAAACAACGCGCTGAGGAACGCGCGGACCTCGCGCTCCGCGTCCTCCTCCCTCCCCCCACACACCTCCACCGCGCCCAGTCGCAGGCCGTGCAGCGCGCGGTGCGGTGCGGCAGCGGCGGTGGTGGCGGCAACGTCCAGCGCCCCGGGGGTGAACAACGTCTGCGGGAGCTGCAGCGCGCGCAGCTCCGGGAGAGCGCGTGCGAGCGCCAGCAGCGCGCCGAGCGGTGCCGCGCTGCGCGTGCGCTGGGTGTAGAGGTCCCCCGCGATCCGGAGCTCGACAAGGGCGGGCCACATGGCGGGGATCTTGCGGAGGTCGTTGGCGTTGTAGACCAGGTATTCGCCTTTGACGGTGACGTTGACTACGCGGAGGCGCTGTAGAGGCGCGAGGGGGGCGAGGACGTCGGAGAAGCGGATGCGGCGGCTCAGCTTTGAGTGGATGTTCAGCGTGAGCTCGGTGAGATTCGAGTGGGTGGCTGCGATGGCGTTGAAGGGGAGGCTGAGGTCCCCGTTGTAGCCGCGGCGGTCGAAGGTGTAGGAGAGTGAGCGGAGGGCGGGAAGCGCGGTGGAGAGGAATATGGGAAGAGAGGACACGTTTCGGTCAACGGAGATCTCGAGGTGCTGAAGAAAAGGTAGAGACACAAGATTTGTCGGGCGGGATCGGGGGGTGGAACTGGTGTTGGAAGTGAGTGATTGGAGTGTGGGAGGGTTGGCTATGAAGGCTATATTTTCGGCCTGCGGATCGTCCCCGTATGCGCGAAGTATCTTCAGATGTCGGTGCTCGGAAAGCAAGGATATCCACTCGGTAGTAGCGATAGTAGCGCCTTCCAAGTTGGGGCAGCGTGCAAGGAGATGGCTGGAAACTACGGTGTTCCAACCCTTCGAGGTAGTATAATAGATACCTTCAATCTCCGCCCAGCGTACACTGGGTGATAGCAGTGCGAGCTGTCCGCTCTGTTGCATCGAGGTTTGGGTGTAAGCGTGCTGATGCTTCAGCGTGACCCAACGAAGACGGGAGAGAAGAGGGGAGTCGTCCTTCGTAAGCAATGCATCAAGTTCTGTCCAAATCGATGGCCTCTGTGGATATGTGGAGAACGAGAGGGTGATCTTTTGTACATAACTTGCATACATCTTGAAGCGGGTCCATGCTGGGTGCAACCGTAGGTCGTGCGCTGACTCGATGTGCGCGACGGTCTACAACGAAGATGTCAGTTCTCAGAATAATATCGCAAGCGATCGTGAAACACTTGCATAATACCACTCCGAATATGAGAAGGAAGGATATTGATCCTCGTCCAATGCATTGGTTTGGGGCTGTGCGATTCCCAAGGTATGAAGAAGTGAGACCAAGGGATAATCGCTGGGTAGTGATTTCCAGAGAACACTCAGAGCGATAGTGGAGAGAGCTCTACAAGACAGGGAGAACGCGAGGAGAGCCCTGCGAGACGCCTCGTCCGTACTGTCTAGGCTTGAGATTATCCCCGGAAAGACGTCGTGTACAAGCCGGAGAGGGCTCGACATCTCCTTGGCGAGGGAGGTGAGACTCGGATCCGCATGCAGTGTGATGATAGGCATACCTCTACGACCAGTGTAGGTTGATGAGCAGTCCCAGCGAGGATCGAACGATGGTGGGGAGCAAGAGACGCGTCCGCGGCGCATCGTCGCGACTGCCGCTTAAAGCGTGATCGTGATCCTCCACGGTCGATCACAAGTCTCGTGATCAGGATCACGCTGTGAGGCACATGAATCATGATCAAATCGCGCTTGTCTCAAGACTCATGCCGAGCTCCAACCTAGATATGTACGTAAGGACCTGCAGTCGAGGGCGAAGTATTTGCGCTTGGTACTTATCAAACTCACACTTCAAGCGGAGGGCCCTGTCGCGCGCCGAACCAGCCCCTCTGTGGCACAAGCGCTCATCAGCCCCGCATGAAGTCCATCCCTTCCTCCGACAACGTCCCCATTGCCTTCACCCACGCCTCGTTCTTTAGCACAACCATCCTCAACCGCGGCGGGCTTCTTCCGTAGCTTTTGCGCCCGCTCACCGCCCGTGGAAGCGACCACAGGAGACGCGACTATATACAGAAGCCGAGCCGGAGCCAGACCGTCGTGCGCCTTTCGCACCGTCGACGCCCAAAGATACAACCTGTGACATATGACTGCACGCGTGCCCTCACTAGGTCTATAGACTACACAGAACTCCACTCCATTCGGCTGGAACAACATCCGGAGGAACGCGCACATCTCTTGCGCCGCGGCCTACCTCCACATACATCATTCGGGACCAGCTTGAGGTCGTCCAGAGCACGGTGCGACTCGACGAACTTGTCCAAGATCCTCGGAGCAAACCCAGTCCTGGGGAGGTGCAGCACGCGCATCTCGGGGCAGGCGCGCGCGAGCTCCGCGGGTTTACTATCCCGCACACCTCCTCGCGCTGGCCCCCCGAATCCCCGCCGCCCGGTCGTCGACAGCGACCGGAAGCTCTGGGACGGACATGCAACCTCGGACGCCTCTTCGCGTCGAACGAGCTCAAGGTCTTGATGGCGTACATACTCATCGCGGGGGACGAGACGACGCGTCCGCAGAACCTCGACGAGAGCGTGGTTCCCGGTCCAACCATGTGGGGATTATGCTCCGTACGCGCGAGTCAGTGTTATTCACACTAGTGTTCGTTGCTCCTATTTGACGAGATACGCACTAGTACCATGCTGGAGTGTTTGCACAAGTGGTGAATGGAGGAGGGAGCGAACTTGGGCCCGCGTCGTAAGACGTCATCGACCAAGTGTCGTTGCTGTGATCTCTGAAGTGCATTTGACCGGGCAGGATAATTGACACGTCTTGACAACTTGCATCTGCATTCTTTGCGACGTACCTAATACACCCTCATTTTTCGCTGTGTAATTAACTGCTGTTCCGACATAGCCGTTTGTTCTTAACGTGTTCTCGTAGGCGTCACAGGCTCGAGTTCAGGGTCCTTCCTGATGCTCCACTTTGCTCACGGTTCGAATGCGCTTGTTCTGGAGGCTCGGCCCGCTCTCCATCTCGAATCGCGCTTCTCCTCCTGCCCTCTGCTGCGACCACTCTCGAGGCCTTCCTGTACGCCCCATACCACTTTTTCCTGAGACACCCATAGAATACATCAGCAGAGGCATTTCCTAGCGAGCCTTTTCTCAAAAGTCAGCGCGAAACGGACCGCTTCGACGAGGCTAGCGCACAAGCCCAGCTACGTCAAATACGGCCAACCCGTCGCATTGGATGAGTAAAAGGAAACTGAGGGATGATGAAGACATCGTGCGAGAGATTCGCAAGTCCGCGAGGCAGCGCGGAGTAGCAGCTCCATGTGAGTTCTCGTATTTCCTTCCGCGCGTTTCGAGTACTCGTTGAGCCTCCGTCGCCAAGACATACGCACCTCTCTATCTCCGGAGGTGGAGGCCCGAGCCGAGCGTCGACGTCGGGTCTCGAGGGTGCTGAGGGAGGACACGGATCCGCTCGACGTCATCGAGCTCTTCTCCGATATGGACGACGACACCCTCCTCAAGAATGCGTACGCGTCCGACTCTTCGTCCGAATGCAGCTTACACGAGAGCAAGCAGAGGGTTCGCGAAGCTCTGGGAGGTCCCGTCGACGACGTGAAACACGACAATGATAAGACGTCATCTCGGGGCCAATACAGGCAACATGGGTTCGAGGAGCAGTCTTTCGCCTCGCACCAGGATAGACAGGTGAGTGTCGACTCACCTCACGCACATACGCGTTCTGATGTCTCTTGGACGCGCAGGCACCTCCGATGCTGCTGGCCGCGATCGAAAAGCTGAAGGAGCGCCACCCAACCGCGAATGTGGAACCGTGCTACACCGGCGAGGAGGTTCCGCGACACTGGAAGGTGAGATGCTGTGACTGTGATCAGGTCCGTCATCCTCTCGCTCCACGCGCACGGGATGTGAACTCACGTCGCTCTCTCGATAGCTCATCGCTACAGGCCCGGGCTCCCTGGCCGCCATTCCCTGCGTGTACCTCCACATAAAGAGCATGCATGCCGACGTGAGGGATGGGAGCGATGCCGCCGCGGGCAGCAGCCAGTCGGACGCGGCACGAGGTCCTCTCCCGCGGCGGCGGGCCCGATCTCCGTTGACGAGTGCGAAACGCGCGCGTCCGTCTGGCTCTGGCTCCGGCTCTGCTTCTGCAGTCGCGTCTCCCGCAACGGCTCCCAAGGGCGGTGCGCGCACGCAAAAACGACGGAAGAAGCTTGCCGCGGAAGACCCTGTGGAAGCCGCGGCGGTCGACGCTGCGACGCAGTTCTGTGCCGACTTCGGGATGGAGGCGGAGGACGCGGAACGGCTGAGGAGCGTCGGGCTGAAGAACGAGGCGCGGGTGAAGGCGATGGGGACGCTGTCGGAGGAGGGGATGGGGATGCTGATGGAGGCGCTGAAGGGGGAAGGGATGGACTTTGCGGGGAGGCTGCTTGTGCGGGAGGGGCTGGTTCGACGCGCGGCAGGGTCTGCTTGAAGTGTGGGTTCAAGTATCAAGCACAGATCTGTCCACATTGAAGTCAGTTACAAATTTTCAATGGCTAGATTTGATCATCATTCATTTGTCTCAGAGTCAGACCTAGTCAGACTAACGCGAACTTCGAACGCCGTTGAAGATACGCGCGCAAGCGCCAAATCCGCTTAGATTAGATCAACGGACCCTTTACTTACATAGTCTTCGATTGTCTCGATACAAGTACACGCTTATCAGATTACAACTCATTGTTATTACTTTACTATACACTTTGTTCTCACATGTACTATATACCTTAGACACGCGTCTCGCACTGAATACGATCTGTGTGAACTTCTACATTGAACGCGCTTGACTCCACTCTATTCACACCGCTCTCGCGCATCCTCCCGAACTCACCGGTTTTGCAGTCCGAGAGTTGGGCAACCACACTCGGAATAGCCCATTCCTGCGCTCCGTCCCCGCCAGGTCAGCCGGCCTCGCCGTCTGGATCTGTTTCCTATACTCACAAGTTGTTCCTCCGTACAGGTCGGAGTCGTGACCCTTCCCGTCCACGTCCGATGATACAAACATGCCGCACCCCTACTTCAAGTCGGAGAGGCAACCCCCTCAGAGCGTTGTCGATGTGAATTCCCCAAGGATCTCCTACGCCAAGTCGCCTCCGAGGCTCAACAAGAACGCAGATGACGAGGGAGGAGTGCGCGAGATCCGCAAGTCGGCGAGGCAGCGCGGTGTGGCGGCCCCTTGTGAGTACCTGCGCCCCCCTTGCACGCGTCTCGAACACGAGCTGAGGTTCGAGATCGAGACATTCGCACCTCTCTGTCTCCCGAGGCGCAGAGCCGCGCGGGGCGCCGTAATCGCGCTTGGTTCCTGGATGGCCTCGATGTCACCAAGTCGTCCGAGGATGAAGAAGATGACGAGGACGAGGACGAGCCCAGGAGATCCTACGCGAAACAACCTTGGTATGTCTCCGGCAAACGGAAAGCACCCGAATACTTCAGCACGGAAACGGTGGACGATGACCCCCAGGACGACAAAAACGGTACTGACAAAACGCCTACGATGACTCGCCGTGAGCGTGTCGAGCACTGCGACAATGCGTTCTTCGTCCGGTACCGTGGCGGAAACTCCAAGGTTAGTATCTGTACTCTTTATTTTTTCTCATAGATCAGCATGTATGCTTACTTCTTCGACATCTGCACAGGCTCCTCCGTCGTTGCTGGCGTCCATGGAAAAGCTAAGAAGGGGGTACCCCGCCGCAAAAGTTCAGCTATACCATTCCAAGGGCAGACACCCACGCCACTGGAAGGTCAAGTGCTCCAACTGTGACTGCGTTCGTCGTCCTCCCGTATCTCTTCCCCGGAATGCACGCTCACCTCTTTCAATAGTTCATCGCTACCGGGCCCGGACCCGTGGGTGCGATTCCGAGTGTCTACCGCCATATGAAGAGCGTCCTCCACGAGCCGGCATCCGCTGGTAAAGACAAGGGAGCGGCCGCTCGAGGTCCAGGCGGCAGTTCGAGCTCGAGCGCGAAGACTGCGAAGAGCCACGCGGAACGCGCACACGCTCCTACAGGTTCCGCTTCCGCGTCCGCCCCCGCGTCCGCCTCAGCCACCGCGGCCCCCGTGAAGCGATCCGGAGGCGCCGCGCCCCCGCGGAAGCGGCAGAAGCTCGCGGGGGAGGCGGAGCTCGACGCTGCCGCACGCTTCTGCGCGGAGTTCGGGATGGAGGTGGCGGATGCGGAGCGGCTGAGGAGGGTGGGGCTGAACAACGAGGGGCGGATGAAGGCGCTGGGGAAGGCGTCGGAGGGGACGCTGGAGCGGTTGATGAGCACGTTGAAGGACGCGGGGCTGGACTATCCCGGACAGCTTCTTGTGAGGGAGGGTTTGGTGCAGAGGGCGGCGGGTGGTCCTTGAATGTGTTTCTGTCTTGTGCGCTGGCGGGTTTGGTATGAAAACAGAGTCTTGGTGACGGCTTTCTGAGACCGGATGGTGTCGCAATTTGAATATTGGAGTCTTGACGACCAGAACGTGACTGACGCGAGATGGAACGATCATGTGATCTGTGACAGGCCACCCAGCCTGTCACACTCGCACAAGCGACCATCGTTTTGGACTGGTGAACGTTTGAACCTTCAGTCCACACCCTCCACACCTTCAGACATGCCACTGTCGTGTCATCATATTTCACACAAATTCTTCCTACTTTTCTCTAACCTGCCATATGATGTTTCAGGGACGGAAGCGACATCCGAGAGTGAAGTGAAGAACCCTCGAGACAGGACCATCAGATGTGAGGTGAATCGTGATAGCTGGGTGCCCACATTTCTTCCACGCATTCTGAGGCGTGCTCCTCACGCGGGTGTGTGCGTACACTCGGTAGTCGCATCAACATATTCCACGACAGTTAAAGCGTACTCGCGAAGTTCTCGAAGATACATAACCCGAGCTGCACCCAGGAAGCCCGTCCCAGAGTTCAACGTACGGACACTGCGTCGAACGGCGATGGAGCGCGCGCCACCGCCAACAATCCTTTGTTTGCTGTGACTCTGTTGGGCCACGAAACGCACAAGGTCAAGCTGTGATACGTACCAACGGCATAAACATACCGCTCCTCTGCTCACACTTCCAGTAGGCTGACCTTGTCCATCCGCAGTTGACCAGGTTCTCGTACCACCGAGCAGACGACTTGACGATGTACCACCCCGTTGAGAGCCCTCCACGGCAGGACAAGAAATGCCGCGCCTGCAGCCAAGCGCGTGTCTACTTGATCACAGTGCACGTTCTCGGGGCGTACCGCTCACCTCACCGTGTCGCCGTCGCTAGTTCATCGCTAGAGTCCCAGGCCTCGAGCTCGAAGCCACGGTGGAGTCAGCTCATCCCTAGGAGTCCGCCCCAGTAGACGGTCGCTGGAGTGCAACGCTACCGGTTCCCCACCGACAACGCCAGTGCAGACCGGCGCGTTTGGGACAGCTCCTCGGGCTCCTCTCGAAGGGAGCGCGTCTCCACTCGGGGCGGATGAGGGCACTAGGTAGGGCGTCGAAGGAGGAGGTTGATGGTGGCATCGGAGGAGGAAGGGATGGACTTTGCGAGGCGGCTGCTCTTGCCAGTACTGAGGAAGTTACGCGCGCACCTGCCATGTGCTTGAGACTTGAGCTCGAGGTGGGGGTGTGGGGCAAATTCCACCATATTTTGGAGTGCATCGTGGATGGTGGGTTGTCAGAGGGAATATTCAGCGCGTCCGTTCGAGTGCAGGTCGAAGTCATCGATATGAAGAATGATTAATGTCGAAGCTTTTAAGCCGCAAGGATTGATATCGTCGATATTGGGCCCCGCTTTCGGGCGTGACTTGTGACACATGTAAATCACGAGGACGGTGACCCATCGCACTGCAGCGCTCAGCTCCCGCCCAGTCGACTCTTCTTCTCCTCCTCCCCCTCTTACCGACCCTCCAGCGGTCGCCCTTGCTTTTGGTCTTATTCTCTTGCTTCATTTATGCCCCACGTCTGCCTTGCACGATCATGAATCACAAGGACCACCACGAACCGGGACTAAGTTCCTCCTCTCGGAGCACCCGCAAACGTCGCGAACCAGACGGCGGAGCAGATGCAGAACTGAAGTCGCTGCACAAGGCTCTTCGTGTATCCCAGGACGATTCTCGGCGTGAGTGCGCCCGCGTCCTCTTCTGCACTCCCTCTCACCCGCCTCAAGGCCCGTCGCCCACCTTCATCGACCTCACCACCCCTCCTCCCCAACCCGACCACGCGAGCGCAAATGCTCGGTTCCCCATCAAGTACAAGGAGGATCACGATAGTACGAGCCACCTCTCATCCTCGAAACCAAAGACCGAGGAGCAACCGCGATCTCTGCCTACCTCGCGCTCGCGTGTAAGCCTTCTCGAGTCGGTACAGAGATCTGCTCGCGCGTCGCAGTCACCGACACAGACGAGGGACGCCGCTCCGGAGCACGGTCACGTCGGGTCCTCCAACGATGGCGAGACTACAGAGGTCACGGTTTCCGCGAAGCTCACCAGGCCATGGCTTCACAAGCCCAAGAACGACGAGTACGCCCGCTACCAGATCCCGCCTATGAACGGCCAGCCGGACGAGGTGCGTTTGTGATCCATCCCCTCCGTCCACACGCCATCCCCAACGCGCCCCTAGATCCCCGAGAAGCTGCAAGCGAACATCGCGTCGCTCCAGCAACGCTACAGCGCCTTGTCGTTCGAGCTCTACTACGTTGAGTTCCAAGACGACATCAAATGGGGTCTCAAGTGCGTGTCGTGCGGCTGTAACGACGTGCGTCTCTCTCCCGTCTTGCGACTTCGCCACTTTCCAACAAACACCTCAGATCTTCTACCTGTCCGGGCTTGGGATTCATCATGTCGTGACCCACTTGGGTGGGAAGCGGCACCGTAACGGCCTGGCTCGAGAGGCCGCTGCGCAGAAGCGGCGGATGCACGAAAAGGCGAATAAAGCAAAGAAGCGTCGCGAAGTGGCCCCTCAGCAACCCTCCTCTCCTCCTGCCGCGTCGATCTCCGGAGCGCCGATCGCCCATGGCTCCAACGCGCAACATGCACCGGCTCCGGCTCTGGACGAGGTCGAACGCTTCCTCGAGGAGATCGGGCTGCCGACGGCGCTGGCCGGAGTGCTCCGGAGCGTCGGGATCAAGGACGACGGGCGCATCCAGGCGCTCGGCAAGCTTTCGGGCGTGTTCGTCGAGAAGCTGGATGCGTCGCTGGCGGACGCTGGCCTTGACTTCGCCGACAGATTGCTGGTGCAGAGCGGGCTGAAGGCGCGGGCCGGATTCGCGGCGTGAAACGTTGGATCGTAACTTTGGAGAAGTCTGATATTTGCTTTGTACGCTCTCGATGTACGATGAATGTATGCTCTTGCTGTGACCTTAACTGTAGTCAACCCGGTACGGGACTCGTGGCTACGCCCTCCCTCGACGAACTTGCGTCCCTTACATGCAAGTAGGTCCGTTCTGTCCTTGGGTATGCATCCTCCCCTCATGCACCCCAAGACGCGACATTGCCCTTCGTCGACCTGGCATGTCTCGAATCTGCTGAGGAAGCTTCACGCGCTCGGCTCGCGTCTCCTCGACTGTCCAACAAGTCTGAAGAGGACTACTCCGGGCTCGGATCCTGGCTTCCCCCAAGTGGACGCAATCCCCAACGTGTTCCCAGCTCCCTCCCGAGTTACGGGCGAACCTCGGCGCATCGCCCAGTGCGAACCCATGAAGACTTCAAAGGTGCATAGCCGAGACAACCAAGTGCTCTACTCTTCATAATGCGCTTACACATAGTTAGTTACCCCTCTCCGTGGACGCGAATCTTTCTCAGGCGGCGTTGACACTCCTATGATGGTCGAACCAGGCCAGCGCGCTGAGCGCCGCGTGCTCCTTGCCCCACCCTAGTGTACCAGATATCAGCTGGTCGTAATGCGGCTTCGATGGGTCGACATACTCTGGTTTGGCACGCTCGGATCTCCGCGTGTGGCGAACCCGTGCTCCAATCCGCCGTACACAACGAGGCTGTAGTCCTTCTTTTCTTCGACGAGGATGTCGACCGCACGGCGTCGGCTCGCGGTGGGGAACAGGTAGTCATCCTCTGTATTGGAGGGTCGCCAATGAGCATCTGACCACGTTACAAGTCGAATTTTTGTTTCTCTCACCGGGAACAAGCATCAACAGGGGACCTGCAACGCGGCGACCACTCATCAACGCGGTCATAGACGGGTGATATCAAAGAACGACGCACGCTTCACACGCCTGAAATGGTCCTCAGTGAGGTACGTCGGGTGCGCGAACGCGCCTGCGGTCACCCAGTCCTGCGCGAGCACGTTCATCACGAACGGCGCCCCGAAGCAGTTCCCTGAACCGTCAATATGAATGAAGCAAAGCGCGCGAGCACATCACTGAACGCGTACCGATGGAGAAGAACTTCGCGCCCGCTGCGAAACGGTGAGTCGAGGCTCCAGCTGTGCAGCACGACGCACGTACCGTATTGCTTGCGGACCTCCTCGAGCCAGGGCTTGGTCACCTCGGGGGCGCGCTTGACGTGCGGCTCGACCCACGCCGTCCACTCCGTCATCGGGTCGCTGAGGTGGAGCGCGCTCTCTCCGTTCAGGTAGTCGATACCTAACACCGTGTAACCTGTAGAGCGGACGTCAGCTCTAATCTCCGCACACGAGAGAGAACGCACCGTTCTCGGCAAAGTAGTCCATCGTGAGCTGCGCGTTGAGGTAGAACGCGCTGAAGATGTCGGAGAAGTAGAGGATGACGCCCTTGCCGTGGCCCTCGAGCTTTTGTCCCAAGGCGGCGGGGGTGACGGTGTAGGTGCGCACGCCGGCGATCTCGACGGCCTCGCCGCGCGCCACGCCGATGTGGTGGACGGTCTTGACGCAGCAGTCGCCGCAGGCACCTGCGAGTTGGGCGGACATCTGTGTGGAGAGGGGGATATCGGTGCGGGTGTTGAATGTCAAAGCATGCGGACAGACGTACGCTTAAATACCTTCTGGTCCACTCACTCGAACAGCGCGCGAGACTTGATTACTGATCCGTTCTCCAGTGTCTGCCCCGGGCGGTGGTCCTTCCTTGGGATTCTTCTTGGCATGTTTCGGACGCCTAGCCGAGGATCTACAGCCTCGTGATAAGGATCGTATATGGAATGGAGGATTAAACCATCCCACGGAGCTGCTTAACAAGCAATGCTTTGTCACCGGTTACTCTGGGGTAGAAAAGCTGAGGTACGGAAGACGGTGGCGAATGTGAGAAATTTCGACCTACTCGCACTGAGACCGTCAATCATGTCAACCCAGGTTCAGTGTTGCGAGTTACGCAGTGATCTTCCGAGTGATACCACAGATGCAACCAGGTGCAGATCCCAGAGTATCCATCACTCCAGCGGAAAACATATGGAACGGCACCTTGTTAGTAAGCATACGGGTCCAGCTCCGCTCTCCGAAGATCTCGCGATCACAGGAAAAACATGCAGCAGAAAGAGCTGGTCAGCGCCAGTCCGAGATGGCCGAAGTTGTCTTTGTCATCGACTCGCGCGGTACGCTTCTACGTACAAGCGTTCAGCACCGCCTCTTCCTCTCTTCTGGCCCACATTCATCCACAATCATGCAGGACCGGTGATGTTCCTGTGGTGGTCAAACCATGCGAGCACGCTCAGTGCCGCATGCTCTTTTCCCCATCCTGTCAGCCCCGAGACGGGAGCATTCAGCTGGCATCGAGAACACCACAAGATCGAAGGTACGTACTCTGCGTTGGGACGCTTGGGTCGCTGCGCGTGGCAAAACCATGGGCAATCCCACCGTAGAGAACCATGCTGTAATCCTTCTTTCCTTCGATGAGGATGTCGACCGCGCGGCGACGAGACTCGAGCGAGAAGCTGAAGTCCTCCTCTAGAATGGAGACGTGAATTTCGGAGGCCACTTCGCAGCATACGCGAGAGCTTCTCACCGGAACACAGCATCAGCAGAGGACCTGTTCGTCTTCATTATCGGCATCTTATCGGGTCATGTAGAGGCGAGAACGTACGTTGCACGCGCTCAAAGTGGCTCTCGTTGAGGTAGGTTGGATGCGCGAAGGCCCCCGCGGCAAGCCAGTCCTCCGCAAGCAGGTTCATCGCGTACGGGGCGCCGAAGCAGTTTCCTGAAGGACCGTCAATCCCGTTCCCGCGCAAGAGGGTCCGTGTCACATACCTATGCAAAAGAATTTTGCGCCGGCTACCAGCGTCCCGCTCAATGCGTGAAACAGAAGATCGCGAGGGAGCTATACACACCGTACTGCTTGCGCACCTCTGCCAGCCACGGCTTCGTGACTTCCGGAGCGCTCGCCAGGTGCGGTTCGACCCAGACTTTCCAGTCGCCTCCCTTGCTCACCACTTCCGCGACGCTCTCGCCATCGAAATAGTCAATCCCGAGCACGGTGTACCCTGGTCGCGACACGTCAGCCTCAATCTCGGAGGCACCGTTCAGCGCACCCAAACGCACCATTATTAGCCCAGTAATCCATCGTGAGCTGAGCGTTGATGTAGAAAGCGTTGAAGATGTCGGAGAAGTACAGGACCACGCCTTTGCCGTGCGGCCCTTCCGTCTTGTGCCCGAAGTCGGCCGGGGTCACGACGTACGTGCGCGCTCCACCGTATTCTACGGCTTTGCCACGAGACTCGCCGGAGTGCTTGACCATCTTGATGCAGCAGTCGCCGCACGGTCCGGCCAGTGAAGGTGAAGCGGGAGTGGACATGCTAGAGCAGAGCGAGTCAGTGCCAGCGGTTACTGAGGGAGTCTCGTTCTCTGACTGAGGCGGTCGAAGAGGATGGGGGGCTTCGATGCGCCCAACCCGCTTCAGATATAGCGTGAGGGATGGAAACAGTGATTTTGAAATGATCCACCCACAGTCCGAGGAATGTGGGGCTCTCGAGTCAAGCTGCGCGCCCAAGAAAAAACACACGAAGTCAGTGCACATAATGCCCAGAGGTAGCGTCCAGTTGCTTACTGTTCTCTCGTTTTTCTGACAGGAAAAGGAAGCTTCGTTTGAAATAGATTCGGACAAGAGAGCGGGTCAGTGTGCGCGGACCCCACCACGTCTATTGTGGACACATCGGGATGACGTCTTTTCGGAGCTCATGTGGGCAACGGCCTCCCGCGATATCCGCGACGAGTCACGATACAGAGACTGTACGCTTGACCTAGTACCCGACAGCAAGACTCGTGAGATAGAATATTGCAAGGCTCTGCTCCAGAGAGCGACGGTTCTCACCTCCCATACGATCACGGCTGCAGATTCCGCACGTTCTTGTGCTCCCTTGTCACTATGTCCCACTTTTCTCCCTCATCCTCGTTTGTCGAAAGTACAGCGACGCAGACGGTCACGTTTATCTGCTTCAGATCTTCATGGGACTCGATCATCCGCTCCCCGACGTGCTCAGGCGATAGCTGATCGAAAACCTCTTCGATTTGGTCCTCGACCTCAACCAGAACCGACGAAAACTCCAACTTGAGCGTGGCTAGCGGAACAGCCCGCAGCACGTCTGTCAGGTTGCTCTGCCCCCACCCCGACCCCGATCAGCGTGCAGCAAAACAAAGACGTAACCGAGACACGCACCACAGCTTCGCTCGCCCACTCGAGCGTCATGTGGAAGTTCAGCTTGAGCGAGAGTTCCCTGACGCTCGCCCAATCCCCCGCCTCCGCGAACGCCTCCCGGAGCGCCCCCCCATCCGCGCACGCCTCTCGCTCGACGACGAGCTCTAGTGTCGTGGGCCGCATGTCCACGAGCACAGGCGGCAGGTACCGCATCTGCATGTACGACACGTCGCCGTCGTGCGGTCCCGGCACGCGCAGGACGAGTCGCCGCGTGCGCGCGCGCAGCCCCAGCCGATACGCGTCGTAGAGGGACACGTGCACCTCGTCGAGCGCCGTCCACCCAGAGAGAGCCCCGGCGTGCCGCGTGCGCACCGTTCCCAGGTCCTGGCTCGGTCGGTACCAGAAGAGCGTGAGGATCCGGAGGGCCGGGAAGGCGTGCGCGTAGAGTGGTGGGGCACGACGCGAGGGCGGGACATTTAGTGTGACGGTGAGGGTGGTGAGGCGCGTGAAAGGGACTTCTGTCTGCGGGTCGATGGAGAGAGGGATGTGCTTGAGTGTGAGCGAGGTGAGGGTGGTCGCGGACGCGGGAGCGATCTGCGCGAGGCGATAGGTGTGAGTGGGGTCGAGAAAGGAGCCCATGGGGAGCAGGACAAGAGTCGATATCTGAGCGGTCATGTGCTTGAGAAGTCGAAATTGAGGCAGACAGGCCACAAGGGTGAGGTGTCTGAGGGTGGGCAGGATCAGGAGCGATCGACAAAGCTGGATTATGGGGGGATGGGATGGAGGGTCCCTCGCAAATCCGGAGACGACGAGGGTGAGGCGCTCTAGAGTGGTCATATCGGACACCAGGGCGGCGAGAGCCTCGAGCAAGGCTTCCGGAGTGCTCACGAAAACGGGCATCGAGATTCTGAGATTCTTAACGAGACCACAGCGACGGACAGAGTCCGTTCCGAGAAACGCGACAAATGATTGGATGGATGGGATGGTGCTGATGAGAATGCCATCTTCGTTCCAGTCGAGAAGTAGGCGGATGCCGTGCGGGTAGAGTGCTTTGCAGGTTCGGGAGAGAGCTGAGGTGGTCCCTGAAGAAACCGATCTTGTGTGGGTCATGATGTGGAAGAGAATATCATAATTGAGAGTTTGCGCGGAACCAGATGGCCCTGCGGTTACATTCGTAGAGGTCATGGCGACTGGTATTTCGAATGGCTCTTGTTAGTTGTGGCGTCTTGTTCAAGGAACAAGTTGATATGTACTTACCTGCGGCCTATATACTCCTCCCCTGCAGACGCCCTGTGTATTCGTCTAGAAGAGAGAAGGTAGCTTCGAGTTTTGTATCCCTGCAGTGCACTTTGACGGGTCAAACGTAGATCGTGATGGTCGCGGTCGAAGTGTCGAGATCAAGCTCGTCGCGTGATCACATTGACGTGACGTTATGGCACGCGTGACATCACGCGATGTCGCATACTACGAAACACCCAGCCAAAATTTCATACAAACAGCATTTCAATTAGGGGTATTAGTTTTCGTCCACGTCAAGACGTCGAATCACAAAGTAACAAGCGTACACGTATATCGGATAGGCCGACCCGAAGTTCGGTCAGCACTTGCGCTCTGCGATCTTCGAGTCGCGGACTTTCGAAAGGGTTCTGCTTTGTAGTACTGCTGACTATATAACAGACGCGAGCATGTCTTTGGTCGCAGGGCAGATGTACAGCATGTCGTCGTCTTCTTCGTCTCGTCGTTCTCGTCTATGATCGTGCCACAGAGAAGCGGGGCTTACTCGTACCCCTTGGGGTTCTTCGTCTGCCAGTTCCACAGATCGCGGCACATCGTCTCGAGATCCTGGTCTGCCTTGAACCCTAGCTGCTTCTCCGCGAGCGAAGGGTCCGCGGTGAGGTCAGGCACGTCTCCCTTCCTGTTGGCCAGCATGAATCAGCGCTCAGACCACGGAAGACACTCGATCTAAGTCACGTACCTGCGGCCGACGATCTCGTACTTGTAGTCAAAGCCGGTGCACTTGCGCATCGCCTCGAGGATCTGCATGACGGACATGCCCCTCCCGCGGCCAAGGTTGTATGCCTTGTAACGCGCGTCGGCCGGACAGTCGTCGAACGCTTTGCTCTCCGGCACTAGCGCGTCGAGCGCGAGTAGGTGGCCCTTGGCGAGGTCGAGGATGTGCAGGTAGTCGCGTACACACGTGCCGTCCCTGCGTCGCCGTCCATCATAAGCGCTTCAGAAGAACAATCATTCCGGAAGGGAAACGAACGGTGTGGGGTAGTCGTTGCCAAACACCTTCAAGTCGTTTGGTTGGCGGCCGACTGCGATCGCAGCGAGGAGGGGGAAAAGGTTGCCGGGGCGGCCAATCGGTGCTTCGCCAATGTGTCCTGATGGATGCGCGCCACCAGGGCTGCGAGTGAAACGCAGAAGCACGAACGAAGGTCAGCAAGCGAACGATGCGCGCACGACGAAGCGCGAGCACAGACAGCGCAGACAGCCGACGTACTTGAAATAACGTAATGAGATTCCGCGCCAGCGTTTGGGCTCCGCTGCACGCGGCAAAAATAGGGTGAGCGCGACAGAGAGGCGTCAATGTAAAATAAACGTACCGGCGCAGAGATCCTGGATGATGGTCTCGCACATAACCTTCGTCTTTCCGTACGGACTGTGCGCCTCTAGACGCGTCGTCTCAGGGATGGGAATGACGGGTGGGGTGCCGTAGACGGTTGCGGACGAGGAGTAGACGATGCGTGTGCAGTCAAATTCGGACATCACCTGGAGGAGATAGATCGTCGCCGAGACATTGTTCTCGTAGTACGTCAGGGGGATCTCGGTGGACTCGCCGACCGCCTTGTATGCCTGCAGCGCACGCCATGACCAAGATCAGCGCCGTGCACCGGCAAGTAGCTGCGACCGTTCCGCGTGTTCTCCTCCGCTTCCCTATGTCCGCCCGACGCGGAGGAGAACCGGAACAGTGGCAGCCAGACGTAACGAGACACGCACCGCGATGTGGATGACACCCCAAATACCACCCTTGCCGTACTTCTCAAACACCTTGCGGATTTCGTCCTTGCGGGTGAGATCGGCGGTGACTGCCTCAACTTCCGCGCTATCACGGTCGGCCTTGGATGCATTGGCGGGGAGGGTTTCGCGCGCGAGCTCGGCAACGCGCTCGAGGGCTTTGGGGGAGGAGTTGTGGTGATTGTCGATCGAAATGACCTTGTACCGTCGGGTCTGCTGGAGGCAGAAGATGACGTGGGAGGCTGGTGTACCGACCGTCGTTCATGGTTGGGTGCGCGAAGAGGTCAGAGACAAAGATGGTGTTCGGAGTGAAGAGGGGTATATGCGGGGAGGAGGACGTGCAAGGTGTTGATCGCGACACGGAGACAGGCACACGACCATAGCAGATCCCGACGGGGATGAGGAAAATCGAGGCACATATGAAATATAACCGTTCAACCACAGACACAGGCACACAAGAAAGCATACGCACCGATGTAGCCTGCACCACCAGTCACCAACACTCGCTGTGCACAGCTCAAGATGAGAACGGGGTTGGCGGCAGGGGCCCAGCACGCACTTTGAGAGGCTCAGACATGTTCGCAGTCGCGGTCGCGGGGGAGAGCGAGGCTTTGTCGGTGGACTTCGCGTCCTGATCAGATGCGGGCTTTGGCTCAGACGGGGGAACGCCGTGGTCGTCGTGGCCGGCAGGGCGGAAGCACGAGACGCAGAGGGCGGAGCGGAGGGATGAGAGATCGAGCGGCGTGGTGGCGGCGGAACGGGTGGAGGTGGCAGGAAAGGCGGGTTTGTGGAGAAAGAGAAGGAGTATTTATCGATTTGCGCGTGTCCGACCCTCTCGTCGCGACTTGCGCAGTCCGGAGGTTGCGGCCCGCCACCGCGGACCCCAGTCCGCGCGCTCCAATTCCTTGGCCAAGCCGCGCCCCTTCAAACCGAACCAGCGAACAGCCCAGAATCCGCCCCGCCACCGAATCCAGTGATCGCCCGGTGAGTCGTCGCCCATGTTCCATGCCGCGGCTGTCGACGGTCGCCTCCAGGCTCCATAGGCCTCCACGCGGTCTCGCGCGAGAGCTATCAGCATGAGACCCTCCCGCATCCCTACGCAAACATCCGCTCGCACCTTCTCCACATGGCCAACACGGCTAACTCTGTCCTAGTAAGCAATTGTCCAGTTGTTGCGCGTACCACAAACGTTACGTCCGGCGAGTATCGAGCGTTCAGCACGATGCTTGAAATCTATGTACTTGTCATATGCGACAGTGGCCTAACTTACATCACAATATGTGCTCGAATAGCAATGCAATGGTGTATATCGTGTCGCAAAAATCCTCGGAACAGGGACGATCACGCACTCCCCATCTTCACGTCGCCTTCTCCGTCCTCCGCGTCCTTCTTTTCCTGCTCTGACGCACTCTCCACCTTCTCAGCATCCGCCGTCTCATCGCTCCCATCCTTGTCCCCATCACCCTCTTCACCCTCTCCTTCGGCCGCCATGTCCGCATCAGGCTCATGGGACTGGGCTTGCGTGGCCGCCTGAGCAGCTGCTTGCGCCGCGGCCGCCTTCTCGCGCTCCTCGCGCTCTATCTCTTGCTCGAGCAAGATCACGTCGCCGGTGCCGATCTTCCCAAACAGCGTGAGGTGCTGCTCCCGGGCCGTCCGGAGCGCGAGCCACGTCGTGCGCGTTTTATTCTGGGAAAGATCGTCAGCGCGCGGGATGCAGGGAAGTATGAGGATGACGATGCGCACATCCTCCAACTTCGTGATCTGCGAGTCAGGTGGGAGCACAATCGGCGCGGCCGGGGCTGGTGCGGGCGCAGGCGTTGACGCTGGTGCAGAGTTCTCTGCGCCTGGCGCTGCCACCGATGGGTCCGCCGGGGCAGCACCGTTCACTGCTGGCGAAGCGGCAGCGGCAGCAGCCTTCGCCCCTGCTTCCTTCTCTGCGGCAGCTTTCGCCCGGGCTGCTGCGACCCGCTCCGCCTGCTTGAGCAGCTGATTCCTACGCATGTTGATGCGCGCGTCGTCCTGCTTGATCTTGCGCACAAAGTCCTTGACGTCCCCCGGGCTGTCGACCGCCGTCAGCGTAAGTTCCCCAGGCCCCCGAGGACCGACTCACTGGAACGGGTGCTCGAGGTCGAACAGGTCCCGGTATCCCATCTCCCAGATCTCCGTCAGCGGCGCGCTCCCGTACCGGTGTGGCCAATCGTCCGGGTCCATCCGCATCTTCTTCCGGAGTCCCGCCGTGGCCTCGTCCAGCCCGACCTTGGCCTTCCCCCCGTCAACCTCGACCTCCTCCGCCCACGGCTCCCGGTCGAAAGGCGTGCACATCTCGTTCTTCCACCGCGTCCAGTTCTTCTCGCGCTCCAGGATCACCTGGACCGTGTCCGAGAACATGCGGCCGTTCGGCGCCGTCTGGCGGAGCTCTTCCGTTGCCCGCGTGATAGTGTCCTGGACCCATTGGGCGTCTTCGGGCTGGATGACGAAGTCGAGATGGAGCGATCGGTTGCGAGGGGTGGCCCAGGCGACTTTCGCCTCTTTGGTGTAGGTGAGGAGGAAGTGGAGGAGAATGAGGAGCTGGAAGAGGAACTGTCGCCGGAAGTGGGCGTCCGCGATCTAGGGCGCATGTAGTCAGCTCCGTCACGGATCCGGACCGCAGGCCACGCACCTCGAGATCGAGCAGCTCCGGACTTGTGAGGTACTTTGCAAAGTAGTACTCGCTCGACGACGCGCTCTCGTTCACGCCCGCGTCGCGCTTCCGCTTCAGCAAGTTCGAGTTCGGGGAGGCGTCTTTCGATTTGCTGCCCATGAGGGCCCGCTCCTTAGCGTTCGCGTCCTTGATGACCGGGAGCACCTTGCCCACCGCCTCCTTAAACGCCGGGAACGCCTTTGGGTCCACAAAATGCGCCGGCTTGGAGAACGGCAGTTGCAGTGACCAAAAGGTCAAATATAACTCTGCCCGCGCTCTTGAACGATGTGAGACGCAGCGAGGAGACGCACACACGCACCTTCCTTCTCCTTTCGCCTCTTCTCCGCCGCGCTGGCCGCCTGCTCCTCCTTGCTCTCGTCCACGTCCATCTTGCTCTCCTCCTCCGCCTTCCGCTCCACCGCCGTTGCCGCTGGCCCGTCCCAGGTGGGCCCGTACTCGCCGCGGAGGTTCACGCCGCTGCGCTCGCCGAGCGGGAAGACGCGGGAGAGGAACGCGAGGATCCGCCCGCAGAACATCGTCGTCGCGCCCGTGTTCGAGAGCCGGCGGAGGAGGTCGTTGAGCATGCGGAGGAGGACGAGCGCCTTTCCCTTTTGTGGAACCATCCCGACAGTGAGCCGGTCGGCGTGCGCCTCGATCCACGAGAAGATGTGCGAGCAGGACGCGATGGTCTGCGTTTCGAGGAGGTCTTGGAGGACCATGAAGGGGAACGTGGCTTCGCATGCCTCTGGGGGACGCAGGGTCGCTTGAGCACACGCCGCGGAGGCTTACAGGGAAAGCGCACCTTGCTCAGTTGCAGCGAGCACGAGCTCGAGCCGTTCTCTGAGCTGGTCGTAGTATGTCGTCGAGGAGTCCTTGAGAGCCTTGCCCTCCGTAGACTATGCAGGGTGAGCGGGCGAGATGCATATATGCGGTACCACGTACGGCCAAGTCGAAGATCTCTTTCCGCAGCGCAAACTCCCATTGGTTCTTGAAGTGGTCGGGGTTGACTTTGGCTTTTGTCTGTAGGAGGGCTTCCTGGACGAGGGTATCCAAGGATTGGTCGGCGGTGCGTGAGGGAAGAGACGAGACGAGTGATTTCAGGCTCTGTTGGACCGCTTGCATGCTCGCGGGTGATATGAATGAGTTATGCAGGAGTACAAAGCATGCAGCGGAAACAGAGGGAGGATGGTGGAGGAACAAGGGGAAACGCGCGCCACCGTGCGGGAGTCGCGGCGGATGCATTTAGACGCCGAAGTGGAGGACGCCCGATGTTCTCGGAACCAGATATGCATATGAGCACATTGTTGAATCACATATAGATACAGTCAAATGCACTTCACACGTACGCTTGGCTGGGAACATAGCGGAAAAGTGATACCTGTTTAAAAGTTTCCGATGTTTTAAATTGTTGGTACTGCAGTCTACAGCATACAAGTACACCGCCGGGAAACCAGCCCTCCAGATCCCTAACCCACAGTCCTCCATGTTACGTAGACACCCGCCATCCAAAAAGCTTAGAACATTCCCTGCCTCCTCGGAACCGCCTGAGGCCGCGACTCTGCCGAGCTCCCAGGTCGATCCCGCGACCTCGGCGGCAGCGGTACGGGCGCCGCGACGCCCCGCACCGACCGTGCATCGTCGTTCGACGGCGTTTGGCTGCGGTACGACGCCTGACTGGCCGTCCGCGGCGGCGGCACGGGCGACCGTACGCGCGTAACCGGCGGGGGCCGCCCTGGGGATGCGGACACGGGCTGCGGGACCGCGAGTGTGCCGTCCGGGAGCGGTGGCACGGCGGGGGTGCGGGTACGTGGCGGGGTCGTCGTCGAGGAGACGCTGAGCGCGGGCGAGCGCGACCGGACCGGCGTGGGCGAGGGCGTGTGGAGGGGCTCGGGAGTGCGCTCGGTGTGCGCGCGGTACGTTGGCGGGCGGGCGGGGGCAGGGCCGTCAACGAGGAGCTGGTCGAGGAGGAAGCGGAAGTCGATCCCGTACTCCTCGAGCAGCTTCTTGGACTGGACGAGCGTGATTTGGAGCGCGTCATCGATCGTTTGCGGTTCGACGTCCGAGGAGTAGACTTGTCTACGGAACATCTGGGCGTAGAGTTCGATCTGTTGGCGCGCCCACTCGACGAAACCTGGCGCATCATGAGCATGATGCGTGCATCGACACAAAGGTTGACCACTCACTGCTGGCGACTTCGTTCTCCTTGAAGCTCGCGAGGAACCAGTCTGCGGTGTGCTTGATACCCGTGAATACGACCGTGGCCAGGTCGGTGATGTACGATCCGATGTGACCTTCAAACATGATCTTCCTGACGCACTTCTTGATGACGTCTGCTCGTGCGGCCAGGAACGTCACCCTTGCAGCAGGACCCGCCTTCAACCTGAGAAGGAGGCTGATCAAGCTGACTACCTTCCCCTTCTTGTTCGACGGCACCGACAGGCTCTGCAGAAGAGCACTAGTGAGCGACGCCTTCAACGGGTTGAGCTTCGTCGCAAGGGTGGCATCATCGGCAGCTTCGTGTCGCCCTCCTCGATGAGCGCGACTGCCTGGTCCCACTCCCGCAACGCGATCGATACGGTGAGTTCGTCGGACCAGTCGCCGATCCATCGCGCGTCGCTGTCTGCCTTCTCCTTCGCGCTCGAGTTTATGTCGGCTCCTCTGCTGGCGAGATCTGCCATCCACTCGGGTACAGGGGGGACGTCGCCGTTGAACGCCACCGAGCCTCGCTGTCAAGTATGAGGACCCGCGCACAAGATGAAAAGCAATACGCACGTCGCCTCCGCCCATCCACATGCTCTTCCTCCGTTGGTGCTCGCCTTCACGCTCCTTGCGTTTCTTGGCAGCAAGCTCCTCTGCGATGTGACGGAACTGTGACAGAAGGCTCTTTTTGTCCGACGCGATGTCGGTGCGGTACACGTGCGTCTCCTTCCCATGGCGGATTTTGAAGACATTGTTCATGTCTGTATGCGTCATCAGTTGTGAGAACAAGCACACGTGAGTGATACGCACTTGGGGTGTCCTTCGTGTCCAACACAAGCATCTCGTTTAGTGGCCAGCACTTCTCCGCAACCAGCTTGTCACTTTCCGCGTTGTTTCTCCGCTTCCGTTTCCTTGCCACCAGCACCGCATCATCAAGGAGGACAAAGCGCACGGAATGGGCGACCTTGTACGTGGCCGGGTTCAGCGCAACGATGTTGTCGATTTCGGTGATTATATGCCGACCAGGAGTGGTGGGTACGAACTTGGAGGAACCTTCGATTTGCATGTGGAGGGTTTGCATCTGGTTGGCGTAGAGGACGCGAAGGTCGGCAATGGACGAGCGGACGTTGCGTCGACGCTCTGCGGGAGATGAGCACAGGCCGGAATGGAGGAGGACGATGCGCACCAGCAACCGAGGCGTTGTCGTCGATGTGCAAGAGCGACGGCATGCCCTTCCATTCCGCTAGCGACTCCTTGAACTCCAGCATCTCATTCTCCAGGGTGCTGACCTCCTTGGAGACCAGCATGAACTCCGCATAACTGCGATGATGCTCAATACACGATGTACCCAGCGACCAGGGTGGACGTACTTCTGAAACACGTTCTTCTGGAGATCGAGCGCGACGCCGTCCTTCTGTGCTTGCAGCGACGACTGCAGCTGCCGAAGCTCCGACTCAGTCGAGTTCGCCAGCTTTACCTTGATGTCTGCAGGGCATACACTCAGCCTCCCTCCCTCCCTCGCCGTCCGACCCATCCCCCACACTCACATGCATCCGGGTCAAAGTCGTCCTTGTCCAGCAACGCGAGGTCCGCAACGGCCGGGTCCTCGCGCGGCTCCTCGGTGAACCGTGCGTCGCCCTGCCCGCCGCGCGACAGGCTCCCGCGGACGCCGATCGGCATTGGGGGCAGGTCCGGGACGATGGAGTCGGCGGGGGCGGAGATGTCGGCGTAGCGCATCGACATCCGCTTCTTCATCTTCTCGCCCACCCGCGTCGCGCGCCGGTCGGGGTCGCGCGCGGCGGGGTTGGGCTTGCGGATGGTAGCCTGGCGTGTTCCCCCGCCGCCGGTGCCCGAGGCGGAGGGCTTGCGCGTGCGGAGGGATTGCATGGTGATAGAAAACCCTCAGGTCTCCGTAGGAGCGAAAAAGCGCGAGGAGAGAGGGGACAGATACCAAGGACAGAATGATGAGAGAGAGAGAGAGAGAGAGAGAGAGAGAGAGAGAGAGGGCGATTCGGGTCGTCTCCACAACCGCTGCGCGCGGCATCGCGCACAGCTGGATGGGCGCTTACATATGTGAGCCTATGCCGGGTTGATATCGGGCCGCTCTACTGATGTACGGAGGGTGCACTGCGAGCCATAACAAGCCACAGAACCCTCTTCCTCCTTCCTCTACCACCGCTACCGTCACTTCATGGCCTCTCCGTCGTCGAACGGAAGCACAAACGGCACCGCCCCTTCCCAAGCGACTGGAACCTCTCTTCAGTCCGACCTGGCTTTCCTCCAGAACCTCCTCTCACAAGAGGCAGACGAGTCAGACCCGGCGGATGTGGCAGAGTTGCTGAAGAGACTCGAGGCGGCCGAAGGGCTCGCGGGTGGTGTGGAAGATAGGTTGGACGGTATCATGGAGAAATTGGACAGGCTGCTCGGGGACCTGGATGCTCGACATACTGAGGAGAGCACTTCGGAGCACGCTCCTGGAGCGGACGGCGCTATCCAGTCCGGCGCGCAGAAGTACTAGTTGGTCGCATCACCACTCAGTACGTCTCATCCATGCCAGTGCTTTCTTCCATATTTGATGAGGATTGTTCGCCATCGTAGTGCAGAGTTTGAAAGAGAACAGACGTGTGTACCTGACAGTTGGAGCCTCGAAGTGAGTGCATCTCAGGTGGCATATTCTTCTATGTATATTGAATGGATGGATATTCAAGCACCCGTGAGCGCTCCTTGTGTCGTACTAGTGTACGAGATTGTGTTGGCCCATCAGAGCAGTGTCTCAAAACAGCTGCTCACACCAGTGCATCCATAGTCTTACACACCAGGAGCCAGAGGATTAATATTGCACTCTAAACCGGTGCACATCGTTTGAACTTGAATACTCGTTACCAGAGTCGAATAAAAAGTGTGATGGCTGCTACCTCTCTGTCGGGGAGTCGAACCCCGCTTTCGCGCGCACTGGAAGCAGTGACAGGCGCGTGTACTAACCGATATACTAACAGAGATATTGAAAACCCCGTTTTATTGCATCTATAATCGGTACAACTCGCGTTGCCTGCCATGTACAACCTAGTAGAAGTCCATCGTGTACTCGCCGAGTCTCGACGATGTCATCGCGCTTCATCCCACGCGCCCTCGTCCCCGTCCTAGCACGCTCCCCCCTTCGCGTTGCCATCCGCCCAGCTGTGTTCAGACCCCCCGCCACGTTCCAGCGCGCATCCGCCATGAGCACCGGTACCCACCCATCTCTCTCCCTCGTCTCCACCTCCGGTCTGTGCCCCCATCCGTTTGCTGCGACCCGACGCTGATGCCACGCGCCGCAGACGCACCCGCCGCCGTGGGCCCGTACACGCAGGCTGTGCGCCTCGGGGACATGCTCTTCTGCTCGGGCTCGCTCGGGCTCGACCCCGCGACGGGGAAGATGGTGCGCTCCCGCTGCTTCGCTCCCGGCGAAACGCACTCTGACCTCCGCGCAGGTCGAGGGCGGCGTCGAAGCGCAGGCCAAGCAGGCCCTCAAGAACATGAAGGCGATCATCGAGGCCGGCGGGAGCGAGGTCGGGAAGGTCGTCAAGACCACGGTACGTCCCTCGCGTGTGCGTTTTCGCGGTGGCTGAGGCGAGAGTGCGCGGCCGCAGGTGTTCATGCAGAACATGGACGACTTCAAGGCCGTGAACGCGATCTACGCCGACTTCTTCGGGGCCCACAAGCCCGCGCGCTCGGCCGTGCAGGTCGCGCGCCTCCCACTCGACGCGCTGTTCGAGATCGAGGCCATCGTGAGGTACGCGTGTGCGTCGCGTCTGTGGTGCGTGGACTTACAGCTCTCGCTCTAGCCTTGCATGAAAGACGGAGTTCTGCAGACGCAGACGGAATGAAATACATTGTAATATGCAAAAAAGCCGGATCCTAGACAATGGATGAACGACTCTCATCTACCCGTGTCCGCATTCATCGACTCAGATACCTTGACACGGTGCGCACGCTCTTCAGGCCCACGATAACCGCAGTCGCCCCCGCAGTCCACGCAAGTCGTACGGGCCACGCCCCAGCCCCGCGGACACCCGTCTGCCCAACCGTAATCGCGACGACGTCGTATAGCAGCACTGAGCCGAACATCGGCGACGACCCCGCCGCGAGCAGCGGAAACAGGACACAGGTGAGGGCCTGCAGGAATCCCGTCGGGGGTGCGTGCGCACGCTGTTGTGCAGAGCGAGACGTCAGTGCTCGCAGTCGACAAGGATTCAAGGAGGGGACGCACGAGTGCGACGCCGCCGTTGTCGATGAAGTCGAGGACGCCGATGCCCGCGAACGTCTTCGCGGCGGCGTGCGTCAGCCGGAGGAGCGCGTCGCTGTCCGGGCGCAGCGGCGGGAGCGCGGCGACGGCGACGAGCTGCGCGAGCGTGTTGACGGTCACGAGCACCTGGGACGCGGCGAAGTCCTGCCGGAGCCAGAAGTACAGCCAGCCCGCTGTGGGCCGCGAGTTGGCGTCGACTCAGACAGCGCGGAGGAGGGTGAGAGACGTACCGATGCACAAGTTCCCGAGCGCGTAGACGGGGGCGTAGCTGAGTGCGACGGCCCAGCTCCGCGCCTCCTCCGTGTCCACGCCCGCGCGCTGGAGGGCCGTGCTGGCGTCTGCCTCTTCGGTGCGGGGCTTCCTGCCGACGATGGTTTGGTACCCAAGCGTAGGGTAGCTTGCGGGGGGCTCGGACGTGAAGAGCTTGCGGATCCAGGCGAGCTGGAGGACGACTTGCCCGGTAAAGAAGGCGGCGATGAACCAGGGGTTCGGGGAGAACGCAAAGTGGTTCTGCGAGGCGCATGAGCGAGAGGAGAGGAGGAGGAGGGGGTGGGCGTACCGCGTCCGCGACCTCCTTCATGTTGGGCGTGGCGGCCATGCCGTACAGCTGCACGGCGAAGTTGACGAGGAAGGACGTGGAGGTAAGCACGCGTGCGCGCGAGATGTCGTTACCCATGGTTGCGCTTGCTACGAGTAGCAGGGTGAGATGAACGGAATGGCCGCAGTAGCACGGCGCTATATACGCAGAAGGAGCCGTGCATACCGAGAAATGAATGACGAGGGGGCAGTCACGATCGCAGGATGATGTCATATCTTCGTACAATTCGGTGATAGTTCCGAAAGCAGTCCATTGGGTATCGCAGCGTGGGTGTACATCGAGAAAGAAATCTAATCCCAACATGTATGTGCAAGCACTCACAAAATAACCCAATTCCAGCCAAGATATTACGCCTCCGTCCCAGCTCGCGCCTTCAATCCGCTCTGGATGAGTAACCGGTCCGCGAAATCAAGGCCAGCGTCCGCCAGTGACGCGTCCAGCCTGTCGATGTATGTGTCCGCAAGTTTGCCCAGCGCTTTGATCCGTCCATCGTCCTTGATCCCGACGTTCTTCAGCGTGCCAGCGAGCGACGTGGGCAGCCCAATCTCTTCGAGGAAGCGCTCGACCTCGTCTTGAGCCGGGGAGCTTACAGGCGCTGTCGCCGGGGCGAGGGCATGGTGGGCGGAGATCCGGGCAGTCCGACGAGGGAGGGGAGGTGCGCTCTGGGGCTGAGACGACAGTGCTGGGCTTGAAAGCCGCCCGCCCGCCTGCGAGGCAGAGTCATTGGCAGGCGAGTCGCGGGAAGTGGAGGCGACATGATGCTCTGGCGAACGATGGTCCTCTTCGCGGTTGCTGTTAAGCTTCCTGTTCTTCTTCGCCTTCTCCTGCTTGCGCTGTTGCTGGACGGAGGCCAAGGTGGACATGGCGTCACGATGCGGCTTCCCAGCCAGATGTACCTTGATGTGACGCAAACCTAGACCCATCGTGTAGAAGATCTAGATCGTCGGTCAGGGAAGCGGTTCAACAACACGGGAACGAGACGCACGTTGCTGCAGCCACAAGAGACGCATTTGAGGCCCCACTTGACTTCGCCTTGCGCCTCCGCGTAGTAGACTTCGAAAGTTAGGTCGTCGTGATCCCCTTTGAGGGACGCAATGTTTGCCTGCAGCTTCGCAGGAATCTGGGGGCATGTTGGGGAGGGGAACGAGCCGGAGGAAGCAGAGCGGGAACATACCTCTGTCGGCTGCCCTTCTGCGGGCGGGGTTTCATACCGAATGAAAGAGCCATTATCGGGCTTGAAGAGCCAATGTCTGAGCCGTTTCACGTCGGACGTTTGCATCGCGGTTTTCGCACCTGAGGAGGCAGCATCCCTCGCTCGTTTTGATGGCTTGGGTACACGCGCGGGTATTTCCACCGACTCGAGGGTGACCCGGCGCGAGAGACGCAAAGGTCGAGAACGCTCCTCCGTTTTTGGCGTCGTGTCTGGGGAGAGTCCATCAGGAGGATCCACCGGCGGGTACAAAAGGTTGGGTTTGTCCTCTTCAGACTTCTTGGGCAGCCGGAGAGATGGTAGACTGGAACTTGGGCCACTTTTGACGGAGCGGGGAGGAGTGGGTTTATGTGTCATGGGGTCGAGGAAGGGGAACGGCACGTCTTGAAGCGGGATGAGAGGAGAGTACACAGAACCAAGGTGGACGTACTCGCCTGAAGTGCTGTCTCGGGACACGCGTGACAGCTTGTGGGGAGGACGGGCACCTCCGTCCCCACCGCTGTCGGGTGCAGGACGCTTGCGATTGCCGGATGTGGCGGGAAGAGAAGAGGACGGGTCGGCGAGCAAGGGCGTAGCGAGTCTGGCTGGGAAGGAGAGGTGACTACGGTCGTGATTCGTGTCCATGGTCCCAGAAAGATACTACGTATGCGAGCTAGACAACAAGCACCAGAGGTTGCGGGCGCCGCCAGCTGGTGGTAGAGAGAGGCCGAACTCGTCCTTCGTCGGCACTTGGTCGACCTATAAGGAAGACGAGAGCGAGTCGTCCCCGGCGCAGCGACGCGTTCGATCACGTGAATGTGATCTGTTATGTGACGCCTGTCACATCGTCCGACACGACTCAGTGCAGCCGCGCGCCCCTTGTGTACACACTTGCTTTCAACTCCCTTGCTTCGACTCCATTAGCTCTTAACCGATCTCAGCTGCGTCTCATTTTCACACCGCACCCACCGTGAAAGTACCAAGATTGAGGCATAAAAGTCTGTTTTTAAACCATTAAGTACCTGGACTCAATCTGATCGGTTTTCTAGTCATGAACTATCAAACGATCAATACGGCTTCCCACCGTGCTGTACTTCGCCTGAATCATGACATCTTTCTTCACGTCATGGATCACGCAACACAATCCACCACATCTGCTCTTGCGCGCACTTGTAGAGACCTCCTCGAAGAGGGAATAAGTCGTCTCCTTAGCTGGAAGGACCATGGCATTCCACTCAAGAGCACCCAAGCACTGCAGTCTTTTGTACTCTGTCTTCATGCGGATCTTACACATCGCTGCCGACGCTTGAGGGTCATAAACGTTGAGATAACCTCCTTCGATCCTGTCACTCTCGAAAGTCGTGATGCTCTCAATTGCGATGCTCTCCTTCCCCTGATACCTAAAATGACCTCCCTTCATCGCCTGTATCTCACGGCTCATGAAAATGAAGACGACGACACGCATTCCTCCACTCTCCGGCTGGGCTCGGCTCTATTGAGCCTCCCCTCGCTCCACCATGTCGATCTGACAGGCGTCGGGTCACTCATCCGACTTCTCAAACAAACGACCGCACCGCTCTCCCACCTCTCTATCGATTACCTCCCCCAGTCGATCTTTCCCATTTACAACCTCCCATTTTTCACTCCAGCTTCGGCGCAATCTCTCACGGAACTGAGTTTGACACACTTTCCCCAGCGTATCGGCCTGACTACGGGCCTCCAGTTCCTCAACGTACAGACACTCAGGCTCCGCATTTACAAAAACGACTATATTCACCTCGCGTTCTACGCACAGACGTTCCCCAACATCCGCAGGCTCTTCTTCCGGAAAGAACTCATCCCCAGCTATCTACGCTATGAGCGGGCGGAGAACGCCTCAGTACGCGACTGGGTGCGCATCGACGAGGTCCACGTCTCCCCCTACGACGCGTGCCAGCTCGGGCTGTGCGCACAAGTCGGGAAGCTCGTACTGTCCGTATCGGGTCCCTCTGCGACGGAGTCGTGGATAGGAATGCACTTTATCGGGAACGTGCTTGCGAGGGCTCGCCCGAGGAGCGTGGAAATGCACATCATCCACGAGAACAACGCAACAAAGAGCGAGCTCCGCGCAGCTTTCGGCTCGCCCGGGGAATGGGAGAGTGTGAGCGACCTTCATCTCCACCTTGAGTTCGAGATGGGGGTGGATGCAGCCCTCTCTTCCGTGGTGCGTACTTCGGTCTTCACGTGGGGACGGTTTCAGCTTATTGACCCATCGTAACATTGGCAGGACAATCTCGTCGACACTGTGTCTCGCCTCCAAATCGCTGTATTTGATCTTCAAATCGGTAGTTGTTTGGCAGTCTCCTCCGAAGACGGGCCAATTGACGACACGTATCGCCGGGTCCGAGCTGAAGACATAGCACATCGCTTCCTTAGCGTCAGTAGCTCTCTCGAAAACGTTCACGTGCTGGTCCACGTTGTTATGCCCCGAAGAAATACCCATGGCGCGGCAGACAAAGATGACGACAGCAGGGCTCGCTGGCGAACTCTGAACCTCGAAGAGTGCACTCTGCGACGCGAGCCTGCCAAGTAAACAGACATCTTACAGAAGCCTTCAAGATGCGCAAAGCCCTGTAAGCACTATATATCGCCGGATCCAATATTACCACTGCTTACACGTCAATCGTGGCGGAACAGTCGTCCTTTCCACTATCCACGTCGACTTCGAGTCCGAATCGGAGTTGGTTTCACCAGCATGGTGAGCGCGTCTCCGCGCACACCGCCGTGGCTCTGTAATGAAATTCCAGTCCTCTGGGCGCGCTTTTATTCGCGCATATATGGAAAGCATCCATTCCAAATCCATTCGTCGCTGCAGCAATTGCAGTCGACCGATAACTGGCCTTGAAAGTAGTGTTGGATGGCCCTATAAGGAAAACAGCCTCACTTACATATGTAGAAACAGTTTTCTCGGGCAGATCATCCGAGACTTACGTCACTATTCACCCTTGTGGCTCGAAAGTTATAAGATGTTTTGTACAGTGTGACCAGGTCGTGACGACATGCAACCTGTGATGTCACAAAGATTGATCCGGAGTACGGGAGTACCCGATCAGTTTGACGTCTGGCCTTGGACTGTGACCGTCATGATCTACGTTTGACCCGTCAAAGTGCACTGCAGGGATACAAAACTTGAAGCTACCTTCTCTCCTTCTGGACGACTACACAGGACATCTGCAGAGAAGGAGTATATAGGCCGCAGGTAAGTACATATCAACTTGTTCCTTGAACATCCAGACGCCACGACTCACAACAGCAATTCGAAATGCAAGTCGGGGCCATGACCTTTACGAATGTCAGCGCAGGGCCATCTGGTTCCGCGCAAACTCTCAATTATGATATTCTCTTCTACATCATGACCCACACAAGATCCGTTTCTTCAGGGACCACCTCAGCTTTCGCCCGAACCTGCAAAGCACTCCACCCCCACGGCATCCGCCTACTTCTCGACTGGAACGAAGATGGCATTCTCATCAGCACCATCCCCTCCATCCAATCATTTGTCGCGTTTCTCGGAACAGACTCTGTCCGTCGCTGTGGTCTCGTCAAGAATCTCAGAATCTCGATGCCCGTTTTCGTGAGCACTCCGGAAGCCTTGCTCGAGGCTCTCGCCGCCCTGGCGTCCGATATGACCACTCTAGAGCGCCTCACCCTCGTCGTCTCCGGATTTGCGAGGGACCCTCCATCCCATCCCCCCATAATCCAGCTTTGTCGATCGCTCCTGATCCTGCCCACCCTCAAACACCTCACCCTTGTGGCCTGTCCGCCTCAATTTCGTATTCTCAAGCACATGACCGCTCAGCTATCGACCCTTGTCCTGCTCCCCATGGGCTCCTTTCTCGACCCCACTCACACCTATCGCCTCGCGCAGATCGCTCCCGCGTCCGCGACCACCCTCACCTCGCTCACACTCAAGCACATTCCTCTCTCCATCGACCCGCAGACAGACGTCCCTTTCACGCGCCTCACCACCCTCACCGTCACACTAAATGTCCCGCCCTCGCGTCGTGCCCCACCACTCTACGCGCACGCCTTCCCGGCCCTCCGGATCCTCACGCTCTTCTGGTACCGACCCAGCCAAGATCTGGGAACGGTGCGCACGCGGCACGCCGGGGCTCTCTCTGGGTGGACGGGCTCGACGAGGTGCGCGTGTCCCTCTACGACGCGTATCGGCTGGGGCTGCGGGCGCGCACGGGCGGCTCGTCCTGCGCGTGCCGGGACCGCACGACGGCGACGTGTCGTACATGCGGATGCGGTACCTGCCGCCTGTGCTCGTGGACATGCGGCCCACGAACTAGAGCTCGTCGTCGAGCGAGAGGCGTGCGCGAATGGGGACGCGCTCCGGGAGGCGTTCGCGGAGGCAGGGCATTGGTCGAGCGTCAGGGAGCTCTCGCTCAAGCTGAACTTCCACATGACGCTCGAGTGGGCGAGTGAAGCTGTGGTGCGTGGTGTGGGTTCACCCCTTGTTTTGCTGCGCGCTGATCGGGGCCGAGGTGGGGCAGAAAACTTGACGGACGTGCTGCTGGCTGTTCCGCTAGCTACGCTCAAGTTGGAGATTTGGTCGGTTCTGGTTGAGGTCGAGGACCAAATCGAAGAGGTTTTCAATCAGCTATCGCCTGAGCACGTCGGGAAGCGGATCATCGAGTCCCATGAAGATCTGAAGCATATAGACGTGACCGTCGGCGTCGCTGTACTTTCGACAAACGAGGATGAGGGAGAGAAGTGGGACATAGTGACAAGGGAGTACACGAACGTGCGGAATATCCTGGAGGTGAGAAGCCTGGAGCAGAACTTTGCAATATTCTATCTCACGAGTCTTGCTGTCGGGTACTAGGTCAAGCGTACAGCCTCTGTATCGTGACTCGTCGCGGATATCGCGGGAGGCCGTTGCCCACATGAGCTCCGAATAGACGTCATCCCGATGTATCCACACAGACGTCGTGGGGTCCGCGCACACTGACCCGCTCTCTTGTCCGAATCTGTTTCAAACGAAACTTCCTTTTCCTGTCAGAACAACGAGAGATTAGTGAGCCACTAGACGCTACCTCTGGGCATTGTGTACACTGAATTCATTTGTTTTTATTCGGGCGCGCAGCTTGACTCGAGAGCCCCACATTCCTCGGACTGTGGGTGGAGCATTTCAAAATCACTGTTTCCATACCTCACGCTATATCTGAAGCGAGTTGGGCGCATCGAAGCCCCCCATCCTCTTCGACCGCCTCAGTCAGAGAACGAGATTCCCTCAGTAACCGCTGGCGCTGACTCACTCTGCTCTAGCATGTCCACTCCCGCTTCACCTTCACTGGCCGGACCGTGCGGCGACTGCTGCATCAAGATGGTCAAGCACTCCGGCGAGCCTCGTGGCAAAGCCGTAGAGTACGGCGGAGCACGCACGTACGTCGTGACCCCGGCCGATTTCGGGCACAAGACGGAAGGACCGCACGGCAAAGGCGTGGTCCTGTACTTCTCCGACATCTTCAACGCTTTCTATATCAACGCTCAGCTCACGATGGATTACTGGGCTAATAATGGTGCGTTTGGGTGCGCTTAACGGTCCCTCCGAGATTGAGGCTGACGTGTCGCGACCAGGGTACACTGTGCTCATCAGGAAAAACCCAAATTCCTATTGAGAGGTAATTTATTGGTAAGCCGATATACGCCAAAATACTGCAGCTGTTCCAACTCACCGCAGTTTACAGACACTATCGCCTTCCTTCTGGTCGCTTATGGGGTAGATGAGGTATAATTTGATATGTTTGAGTAGTTGTAACGGGTATCTGTATGTGTAGTTAGCCAATAATGATATGTTCGACTGTATCCCGGCGACAGTGGTGTCTGACTTCTTCCGCCGCCCACACATGAGCACGCATAGATGGAACATACAAAAAACTATGATTGCTTCATGGTCTAAGTACTGAGATGTGCGACGAACGTGATCGCGGGCTGGGCGCGGTGGGTAACGAGGCGGGGACATTGCGGCCCGACGAATAGACCGGTCGGCGCGGGTTCAGCGGCGCGTAGCTCGAGTCGGGCGCAGTGTCAATCATGGCGTTGCTCGCAGAGTGCGTGTGCGGCGCGTGTTGGGTAGATGCAGTCGGCACGGAAACGCTCAGAGGAGCGCTGCGCGGTTGTACTGCGCGTGGCGGTCGGGGGAGTGGTCGTCGTCCAAGAATATACGTCGTGCCATCGGGGATGACTGTGTCCGGGGCGAGCTGGGTGTAGGTGTTGAGCATGGCGTCACGGCTGATGAGGATTGGATCGAGATGGAAGTAGCCATCGCGCTCACCACAGAAGCCGCGCACGGACGCATAGAAGATCCAGCAGCTGTCGTGCACTCACCCAAGCGCGCCCGCGAGTCGATGACCATATCGTGCCCGATGTTCACGCCCAGCATCTGGTCTTGAGGGACAGCGACCTGGCAGCAGAAAGAGGTCGATGGGGATTTGCTCGACGCCGGTGGGGAATGTCGACGTCAACACCGACGACTCCGGGTACTGGGCGCACTGTGCGAGCTACGCGAGGGGCTCGCACTAGTACTGTACGGTGGGGCGCAGTGTGGATGGAAACGGGATGGGAAAGGTGCTTGAGCGGTGAAGTGGAAGGAGGTTGGTGTGTCTTGTTTGTGAACGCAGGTGGTGGTGCAGAGGCGACAACGGTGTGGGGGGCGGCGGAAGGCATTGGTGACGGCGCAGGTGATGGCAGAACGTACATAGGATACGGAGTCCTTGAAGTTGTGCCGGATTTTGTGCTCGAACGACGAACTCCTTGAGGGCTGAGGCTGAGGGCTCGACGTTGAGCTGCCACTGGAGGTACTTAGGAGCACATTCACCGCTCTACTGGTTGATCTCACGAAACGCGAACATGTCCTGGTCGACGATGGTCCGCCACTCATTGGAATAGGTGTGGTCGCGGACGATCTTGCATGCTGTCATGAAGGCGGAGACAAATGAGCATTGACCTGAGGATCCTCATGTGCGGGAAGCAGGCTTGAAGGAGGTCAAGGGCGGCGAAGGTGACGGAGGTATGCCATCGCGTTCGATGACCACTTGGTGCGAACTAGAATAGAAGGGACCAAAATGGCAGCCATGGGAAGGCGGAGGGGAATAAGCTAGATGGTGGTCGTGGAGGTCGAAATATGCAATAGTCGAGGGCGGTATGCTGAGAACAAGGTGCGGCAAGAAGTGCTGCCTAGGGGAGACTGGACGGAAGTGGCGGCATCCATGTAGAGCAGTGGAGGCGTCGAGGACGCGACCACGGGACAAGGTTGGCGACACTAGCGCCCATACCCAGCGCGCGCGTCCCCACAGCGCGCTCCCTTGGCGCTCCTTGCCAGCTGTCTCCACAACCTCGAGCACCTTCTCCCCCTCTCCCTCTCCCTCCTCCATCCTCTTCTGTCGAAGTCCCCATCTTCGTTGTCTCCGCCGCTCAGTTCTCGGACCTCCAACTCGACGCTCGTCCACCTCACCAGCCACGCTTTGGACTACATCCTTGCCCCCTTCCTCCACCGCCCCCGGGAGAGCAACAATGAGCCCCAGAGCTCTTTCTTCGCCGCTGCATGCCGCCGCATGTATGTCCTAATCCTCTGTGGGCTCCCTTCTGCCACTGATATGCCAGGTTGGTCTCGTTCATCGCTCCGGCCGAGGCCAACGCGTTTTCGGCCGCGGGGGTCCACCCACCTCCCGTTCCTCCGATATCTCGGGAATCTGTGAGTGCCCCAGTTGCAATCTCCTGCCCGTGTCCCTACTCACCTCGCTTGTGCCGCCACTGCAGCCAGCGACGTGTGTCCGCTATATCTTGCCCGGCAAAGACCCAGACGGCCCTGGATTGAAGAGGACGAGGGATGAATGCGCGACGGTTTTGGTGCGCCCCCGCCGGTTTCTTTCTTGAGCAGGGACGACAAGGAGCACCAGCCGGACGACGCGCGCGGCGAGCCTGACGGACCCTGTCATGGTCACCGAGTGGACATGCTTTGGGATCACAAGCATCTTCGTTACTGACGAGGTAGCGCATTTTCCTCCATTCCCTCTCCTTTGCTGACCCATTTTCTCCCTCGCGCGTGCCCTCACGCACGCACAGGAACTTCCCCGTGGGATACGCACAGGCTTGGCGCAAGTACGCGCTCCACGGCCGCATCCGCCCCCAGGACGGCCCCCTCGTTCTTGTTCTCGTCAGCGTCCCGCTAGCGGGTGGCGTGACAGCCACACCAGCGTCCTCCCCACCGTCTTCCACAGGTACGTCATCGGCGTGCAGTCAGCGAGCACGCACCCAGTCTCGTTCGAGGGCACATTTGTCGTCTCTAGGGTCGACGGCCCGCCCTCTGCTGTCCCTGGCGCAGGGGCACGTCTGTGCGCCGTCGAAGGTGGCGCGCTCGATATGGTCCGCGAGAGGACTGGCAGATGGGCGGTGCGCGAAAGGCTTGAGAGGGCCGCCCGTGCGCGTGCGCGTTGGTCGCGGTGGCAGCGGCGGTGGCGGGCGTGAGTGCTCGTCTGTGGTCCCAGGCGCGAGCGGCGTGCGCATTGTATTCGCGCGCGCGCCCAGCGGGCCATACCCCGCGAAGGAGGTCCGCACGTTCAATGAGTTCTACTAGGACCGTGTGAAGTTCTCCGTCTCTACGCACGCACTTACAACACCTGGTTTCGTTTACATTGTGCCATCATCGCCCGTTGATAGGTACATCTATGTCGCTGTCGCTAGATACTGGTCTGGTCTGTGTCAGACCTTGAATTCATAGTCATAATCGCGCTATATTTTACGTGTGATGAGTGCTACTACTCGATATCCAGTGCCTGAAGCAGTGATCTACGGGCATGAGTGAGACTAAGTGCATCTGGTGAGGGCCTACCTTCACGACTAATTCTTCATTCTCCGTGTAATGGTCTCTCATTAGCAGAGGGGTAAGCGAAAAATAATACTTCTGAATAACGCGATAATCCAGCTCATTAGCCCTCACAAGCCTCAGTAACGTCTCATTATGGATTTGGGTTTTTCCTGATGCTCGGGATTGACTATTTCAATGGCGAGAGCGTCCCGGACGTGGTGAGCAAGGGACGCGACTGGAAATTCTGGGTCGAACCACACCTCGTGAACGCTCCAGAAGTCACGAAGCCATGGCTGGCAGAGGTGCGCGAGCGATGCGGTGAGTATAGCTCCCCGATTATTCTCCGGTTCGCGCGCTGAGCAGTACACTGGCACGTTGTGCAATGGAGTTGGCGCAAAATTCTATTGCATCGGTAGGTGACACGGACCCTCTTGCGCTGGAACGGGATTGACGGTCCTTCAGGAAACTGCTTCGGCGCCCCGTACGCGATGAACCTGCTTACGGAGGACTGGCTTCATCAGGAAAAACCCAAATCCATAATGAGACGTTACTGAGGCTTGTGAGGGCTAATGAGCTGGATTATCGCGTTATTCAGAAGTATTATTTTTCGCTTACCCCTCTGCTAATGAGAGACCATTACACGGAGAATGAAGAATTAGTCGTGAAGGTAGGCCCTCACCAGATGCACTTAGTCTCACTCATGCCCGTAGATCACTGCTTCAGGCACTGGATATCGAGTAGTAGCACTCATCACACGTAAAATATAGCGCGATTATGACTATGAATTCAAGGTCTGACACAGACCAGACCAGTATCTAGCGACAGCGACATAGATGTACCTATCAACGGGCGATGATGGCACAATGTAAACGAAACCAGGTGTTGTAAGTGCGTGCGTAGAGACGGAGAACTTCACACGGTCCTAGTAGAACTCATTGAACGTGCGGACCTCCTTCGCGGGGTATGGCCCGCTGGGCGCGCGCGCGAATACAATGCGCACGCCGCTCGCGCCTGGGACCACAGACGAGCACTCACGCCCGCCACCGCCGCTGCCACCGCGACCAACGCGCACGCGCACGGGCGGCCCTCTCAAGCCTTTCGCGCACCGCCCATCTGCCAGTCCTCTCGCGGACCATATCGAGCGCGCCACCTTCGACGGCGCACAGACGTGCCCCTGCGCCAGGGACAGCAGAGGGCGGGCCGTCGACCCTAGAGACGACAAATGTGCCCTCGAACGAGACTGGGTGCGTGCTCGCTGACTGCACGCCGATGACGTACCTGTGGAAGACGGTGGGGAGGACGCTGGTGTGGCTGTCACGCCACCCGCTAGCGGGACGCTGACGAGAACAAGAACGAGGGGGCCGTCCTGGGGGCGGATGCGGCCGTGGAGCGCGTACTTGCGCCAAGCCTGTGCGTATCCCACGGGGAAGTTCCTGTGCGTGCGTGAGGGCACGCGCGAGGGAGAAAATGGGTCAGCAAAGGAGAGGGAATGGAGGAAAATGCGCTACCTCGTCAGTAACGAAGATGCTTGTGATCCCAAAGCATGTCCACTCGGTGACCATGACAGGGTCCGTCAGGCTCGCCGCGCGCGTCGTCCGGCTGGTGCTCCTTGTCGTCCCTGCTCAAGAAAGAAACCGGCGGGGGCGCACCAAAACCGTCGCGCATTCATCCCTCGTCCTCTTCAATCCAGGGCCGTCTGGGTCTTTGCCGGGCAAGATATAGCGGACACACGTCGCTGGCTGCAGTGGCGGCACAAGCGAGGTGAGTAGGGACACGGGCAGGAGATTGCAACTGGGGCACTCACAGATTCCCGAGATATCGGAGGAACGGGAGGTGGGTGGACCCCCGCGGCCGAAAACGCGTTGGCCTCGGCCGGAGCGATGAACGAGACCAACCTGGCATATCAGTGGCAGAAGGGAGCCCACAGAGGATTAGGACATACATGCGGCGGCATGCAGCGGCGAAGAAAGAGCTCTGGGGCTCATTGTTGCTCTCCCGGGGGCGGTGGAGGAAGGGGGCAAGGATGTAGTCCAAAGCGTGGCTGGTGAGGTGGACGAGCGTCGAGTTGGAGGTCCGAGAACTGAGCGGCGGAGACAACGAAGATGGGGACTTCGACAGAAGAGGATGGAGGAGGGAGAGGGAGAGGGGGAGAAGGTGCTCGAGGTTGTGGAGACAGCTGGCAAGGAGCGCCAAGGGAGCGCGCTGTGGGGACGCGCGCGCTGGGTATGGGCGCTAGTGTCGCCAACCTTGTCCCGTGGTCGCGTCCTCGACGCCTCCACTGCTCTACATGGATGCCGCCACTTCCGTCCAGTCTCCCCTAGGCAGCACTTCTTGCCGCACCTTGTTCTCAGCATACCGCCCTCGACTATTGCATATTTCGACCTCCACGACCACCATCTAGCTTATTCCCCTCCGCCTTCCCATGGCTGCCATTTTGGTCCCTTCTATTCTAGTTCGCACCAAGTGGTCATCGAACGCGATGGCATACCTCCGTCACCTTCGCCGCCCTTGACCTCCTTCAAGCCTGCTTCCCGCACATGAGGATCCTCAGGTCAATGCTCATTTGTCTCCGCCTTCATGACAGCATGCAAGATCGTCCGCGACCACACCTATTCCAATGAGTGGCGGACCATCGTCGACCAGGACATGTTCGCGTTTCGTGAGATCAACCAGTAGAGCGGTGAATGTGCTCCTAAGTACCTCCAGTGGCAGCTCAACGTCGAGCCCTCAGCCTCAGCCCTCAAGGAGTTCGTCGTTCGAGCACAAAATCCGGCACAACTTCAAGGACTCCGTATCCTATGTACGTTCTGCCATCACCTGCGCCGTCACCAATGCCTTCCGCCGCCCCCCACACCGTTGTCGCCTCTGCACCACCACCTGCGTTCACAAACAAGACACACCAACCTCCTTCCACTTCACCGCTCAAGCACCTTTCCCATCCCGTTTCCATCCACACTGCGCCCCACCGTACAGTACTAGTGCGAGCCCCTCGCGTAGCTCGCACAGTGCGCCCAGTACCCGGAGTCGTCGGTGTTGACGTCGACATTCCCCACCGGCGTCGAGCAAATCCCCATCGACCTCTTTCTGCTGCCAGGTCGCTGTCCCTCAAGACCAGATGCTGGGCGTGAACATCGGGCACGATATGGTCATCGACTCGCGGGCGCGCTTGGGTGAGTGCACGACAGCTGCTGGATCTTCTATGCGTCCGTGCGCGGCTTCTGTGGTGAGCGCGATGGCTACTTCCATCTCGATCCAATCCTCATCAGCCGTGACGCCATGCTCAACACCTACACCCAGCTCGCCCCGGACACAGTCATCCCCGATGGCACGACGTATATTCTTGGACGACGACCACTCCCCCGACCGCCACGCGCAGTACAACCGCGCAGCGCTCCTCTGAGCGTTTCCGTGCCGACTGCATCTACCCAACACGCGCCGCACACGCACTCTGCGAGCAACGCCATGATTGACACTGCGCCCGACTCGAGCTACGCGCCGCTGAACCCGCGCCGACCGGTCTATTCGTCGGGCCGCAATGTCCCCGCCTCGTTACCCACCGCGCCCAGCCCGCGATCACGTTCGTCGCACATCTCAGTACTTAGACCATGAAGCAATCATAGTTTTTTGTATGTTCCATCTATGCGTGCTCATGTGTGGGCGGCGGAAGAAGTCAGACACCACTGTCGCCGGGATACAGTCGAACATATCATTATTGGCTAACTACACATACAGATACCCGTTACAACTACTCAAACATATCAAATTATACCTCATCTACCCCATAAGCGACCAGAAGGAAGGCGATAGTGTCTGTAAACTGCGGTGAGTTGGAACAGCTGCAGTATTTTGGCGTATATCGGCTTACCAATAAATTACCTCTCAATAGGAATTTGGGTTTTTCCTGATGTTGCCGCGGGGGCCTTCGCGCATCCAACCTACCTCAACGAGAGCCACTTTGAGCGCGTGCAACGTACGTTCTCGCCTCTACATGACCCGATAAGATGCCGATAATGAAGACGAACAGGTCCTCTGCTGATGCTGTGTTCCGGTGAGAAGCTCTCGCGTATGCTGCGAAGTGGCCTCCGAAATTCAGGTATGCGCACAGAGGACTTCAGCTTCTCGCTCGAGTCTCGTCGCCGCGCGACTGACATCCTCATGGAAGGAAAGAAGGATTACAGCATGGTTCTCTACGGTGGTATCGCCCATGGTTTTGCCACGCGCGGCGATCCAAGCGTCCCAACGCAGAGTACGTTCCTCCCACCTTGTGGTCTTCTCGATGCCATCTAAATGCTCACATCGCGGGGCCATCAGGATGGGGAAAAGAGCACGCGGCACTGAGCGCGCTCGCATGGTTTGATCACCACGGCAGCATCGTTGGCTCTACGTGACTAGATGCGGCGTCGAAACATTGTACCTAGTTTAGCGTATGAGTCGATGGCAAAGACAATGTCGGCCATCTCGGGTACGTTTATGGTGCTGACCATCTCTTTCTGCCAGATGTCGTTCTTCTGATCACTGCGAGATTCTCGGAGAGCGGATTCAGAGCCGGATGCTTTCCTGAAAAGCGCTGTGAATACTTCCCGCTGGGGTCGGGAATACCCTGGGCCGCCTCTCCAGGTGCGTCTGTGGTGTCACTCGAAAGATCGCTGCGTGCTTACTAGACTGAACCTAGGTTGACATGATTGATAGTCTCAACACTATTACACTTCGTCTAGATCGAATATTCTCACACTCGCCGTCGTCTTCCGTACCTCAACCGTTCTACAACAGAGTCATCGGTGACAGCTTCGGGCTAGTGGTCAAATCATTGCTTCCGTGGGATGGCTCACTCCTCCATTGCATATTGAACAACCGTCGAATCCTATCACGGGACTGAAGATCCTCGGGCAGACGTCCGAAACACGTCGAGAAGAATCTTAAAGCAGAATCAAGTCTCAGGGTAGAAGATCACGAGTGACTCGGTAATCAAGTCGGGAGCGCTGTTCGAGTGAGCGTACCGAAAGGTATTTAAGCGTATGTCTGTCCGCATATTTTGACACTCAGCACCTTACAGAACTCCCTCTCCCTACACCGATGTCTACCCAACTCGCAGGTGCCTGCGGCGACTGCTGCGTCAAGACCGTCCACCACGTCGGCGAGGCCCGCGGCTCCGCTGTCGAGATCGCCGGCGTGCGCACCTACGCCGTCACCCCCGCCGCCTTCGGCCACAAGCTCGAGGGCCATGGCAAAGGCGTCATCCTCTACTTCTCCGATATCTTCAACGCGTTCTACATCAACGCGCAGCTCACGATGGACTATTTTGCTGAGAACGGTGCGTCCTCTCTCGTATGAGGAGATCAGAGCTGACGTCCGCTCTACAGGTTACACCGTGTTAGGTATCGACTACCTGAACGGAGAGAGCGCGCTCGACGTGTTCGGCGTCCCGGGAAAGGACTGGAAGGCGTGGGTCGAGCCGCACGTCAAGCGGGCCCCCGAGGTGACCAAGCCCTGGCTGGAGCAAGTCCGCAAGCGGTATGGTGCGTGCGTCACGCTGAACTGCTGGAGCCTCGGCTCGTGACCGTTCCGCAGCCGGCGCGAAGTTCTTTTGCATTGGTAAGCGTTTAGTGACGTGCTCGCGCGGTCGGATTCTGATTCGTCTTGGCGGCGCAGGGAACTGCTTCGGGGCGCCGTTCGTGATGAACGTGCTCGCGCAGGACTGGGCGATCGCGGGCGCGTTCGCGCACCCGACGTACCTCACTGAGGATGATTTCAAGCGTGTGAGGCGTGCGTCGTTCAACTCTGATATCATCCGCCTCTGGCCGCGTTGACGAGTGCGTGCCGCGGTGCAGGTCCCCTGTTGATGCTTGTTCCCGGTGAGCGAAACGAACATTCGACTGCCAGTAGGGGTGACGAGGTCCTCATTGGCGGCCCTCTGCAGACGGAGACTTCCTGTTCCCCCCAGAGAGCCGCCGCCGTGCGGTCGACATCCTCATCGAAGGCAAGATGGAGTACAGCCTCGTTCTGTATGGCGGATTGGAGCACGGTTTTGCCACGCGCGGGGACCCTAACGTTCCGAACCAGAGTATGTCTGCACATTGCAGCAACGTTGCGATCGGCTGATGTGTGCTGCATTAGGGTGGGGCAAGGAGCACGCGGCGCTGAGCGCTGTGGCCTGGTTCGACCATCATGGGAGTGTCAACTCCGCATGAAGAACGGGAGGATCGCGTCCACGGGGAAGGGTAAATAAAGGATCAATATGAAGTGTAAAGGCATTATGAATAGTATAGATATCTGGATGTCTCGACTATGTACACTCAGATGCGAGGACGTCCGCGCCGAAGGACTTGTACTCGGGTGGGTGCTTCGTAGCCATGTTCTCGTTCCGCCTGCACGTGCGCCGCACCCACATTAACGACGTAGTCTCATGGAAAGCGGCGATGGGTTGTGGACGATATTCAAGAAGAGGTGATTGAATGACATACATGCACTGATACCGACACACAATGCCACACGAACTCGGCGATATCGCCAGCCCCGTCCACCATCAAGCGTGTCGTGCAGCTCTCTCGTAAAAGCCCTCTCTAACGAGCAACCGCGCCGCACACGACATGCCCTCCTCCTTGAGCCCCTCCATGAGCATGTTCATCGTGCCTTCCCCCGCCCGGCGCGCGACCGCCTCGATCCGCGCGTCGTCCCGAAAGCCGACCCGCCGCAGCACCTCCGCGTCGTCCGCGTCGAGCCCGAACTCCGCACAGAACCACGCAGCGGCGTCCGCGCCCTCGCCCTGGTGGCGTATTCCAAGCGTATCCAACTCGTCCACGCGCACGCGGGGGAACATGACGTCTCTCGAAGCGTGAACGGTGGACGAGGTTGACGCGACGGCGCCGGCAGGTGTGGTAGGACCGCGCGCTTTCTTGTTCTTCTTCGCGATCGACCCCATCGGTGGGTGTGTTGTCCTTCTTTTGTGGGGTGCTGGATCTTTCTGCGCGCGTTTTTGCGTGTGATGGGACGAGCTGGTCTTCCTCGTCGTCGACCGTGCCGCCGTCGGCGTCATGGAGTTGAATCGCGCTGCACAGCGCACGGTTGTGTGCGCTCTGTGAAGTTTACACCCAAAATGTTGCTTGATGTTGCTCAACGAGAAGCCAGGGCCAATGCTGAGGAACTACAAACCGGCCGAGCACGATGGTTGATCGATGCCGGGTACACGACAGTGGCTGCACGGACGACGCACCTTGTTGCTCGCGCAGTAACACTTCACCCACCAATGCGGGGCGTCACTCCCCTGTACGCGGTAGTACAACTCCAGCTCCGCGCCAGGATGCGTCTTTCGAAGATTTACGAGTTTTTGCCAAACACGAGGTGCCATCTATCATGAGGCGATACTCAGAGGATGCGCAGTCAAGGACGAACGTGAAGACCACTCGCCTCGGGCTCGTCGGGCGACCTTCTGTTGTGCCGATACAACATCAAAGGCGTCGGAGTCGCAGCTGGCGCGATGTGGGTGCTTCTTGCCGGCTCAAATCCCCCATGAATGTGGTTTTGAAGCGTAGCGTCTTCGTCGTCGTCGTCGTCGTCGTCGTCATAGTAGCCGGAGGAGGAGGAGGAGGGGGAGGAGGAGGAGGAAATGCTCATGACCGGCAATCCGTTCCTGTACCCGGGCTCGCGATGCCACCTCTCGAGGATATAGCGACGTCGGATACCTTCAGCCTCCGGGGACACAGATGTCCGAACGCCTAGACAAGAACAGTTCGTGGTGAATCATGAGAGAGATGGGAAATGCGACACGAGTACCACACTCACTTGGGGCCCGTCTACCGCGCAGCCTCGCAGACTTGCGCATCTGATCCGGATCTCTGGATCTGTTATTGCACGGGCGGGGTTCAAGATGAAAGTATGGGGGAGGTGGGATCTCGGGAGACAGGCGGGCGGGAGATGGAGGAGCAGTGGAGCGCGAAGGGGAGGACGATGATCGATTGCCATCGTCGTCTGACGGTGGAAAACCGTGCAGCTCTGGGACCCGGCGTACGGAAACCATCTGCTGGTGTGATACATGAGGGCCGATGTTAGTCCCATAGAGAGTCGATGACTTGCCGATTGATTCAGGGAACGTGCGCTGTGCAAGATGAAGACAAGAATGGGGGAGGAGAGGGCCAAGGGACACCTCGGGTACTACGAAGAAGGCGTGGATACCCCTCGGGATGTCGTTCCGTGTTTCCCACTGCGTTGGAACCGGAGCTAGTAAGGTGCTTCCAAACTCAGATAGGAGCAACACATTTGACGGATACGTGCTCACGGCAATGACCCAGTGGGGTACAGGCGCGGATTTAATGCGCGTGGACGCCAGAGGTCTCGAATGCGAAGCCATGCAGCCGGGGTGTTCTTCTGGCCGGCTTGGGCGTGAGCGGAGAGGTGGGAGCGATTGGGGCGGGAGCGACAGCCACTTCCGCGATGTCCGCCAAACGCCTACCGCGTCGACGAACGACGCGCGGTCTTGCGACACGGCCGGGCGCGCAGCGAGAAAGACCGATGGCGCGTACATGCCACAAATCTGAGGTCCCGACTCCCTTGCACTGCGCATAAAAGGCGAGAGATGCCGTGTTCATGGCCTCCGCCCCGCTCTTCCTCTCCGCTGCCTTCCGTTCCTCTCGCCACCCCTCCTTCTCCTCTGCCGCTCCCTTCACCAAACCTCCTCTTGGACAATCCGACGCACGCGCGGCCTGCGACCATGTGCGGTACGCGCTGAGTCTGTCCGCAACGTGCACTATCTCAGAATCAGCAATCATTGTCCCCACCAAGACGAGACGCAATGCATCGCGCGCGACGACACAAGCGGCACGTCGGTGCTCGTGTTGGGATGGGCTGACGGATTCATTTCAGCCCTGGTACACGCGGTTCAGATGCGACAACATTGACCTACCTTCATGCTTTTCCCGCTGCGCTTGCCCAACAAACCATAGGATGCGCAACCATACGTCATGTTCTACGGTCGCGGGTTCCCCTGGAACCCATCTTCCGCTCCTCTGGTGCGCTCCGAGTGAGTGTGGAAGTCGCGTTGATCTGCGCGAGGGCACGGAAGAGTACGGTATGCACTTAAAAATCTCGGTATCTCCGCACGCTAACGAGCGTTCTGTGGGCACGGTCCGTTCACGACGACGATACGACTGTCAGTGACACGAGAGGGCAAGCGGTTGAACGAGGCTTACTGGCATCGCTTCCTGCGGTAGTACTTTGGACCGTGTTCGCTCACAACCGCCACTGCTACTGCGGTGTCCACACCAACAGTACTTTCTGAACTTGTAAATTTTGGGCCGAGAGTCCTCATTCTGATGAGGCACTCTGCATTTGCTCACCAACTGCGTGACGGTGGCCGGAGCCGGTATCGAGGCTGGGAGAAGGTGGTTGGGTCTTCGAGTCCGGTATGGAGGGTCGGTGGAAGGGAACGGATAGATACAGGAAGATAAACTCACGCATAAACGTGTTCACGTCGCCTTCCCCGTCAAAGTCTACACGAGGCCTTTGGTCCCACCGAAGCGCCAGACGATTGGGACCCCACCGCTGCCGCCGCCGTTGCACGAGAAAGGTGTGGCGGAGTCGCTCGTCGAGCGCGACGTGCCCGTCCCCACGGCGACGAGTCGCGCGAGAGCATGCTATGGCTACGGCAAAACTGTGTCCTTGAGTCCGACAAGTGGATGGCGCCGACGGCAACGTACTCGCTGTCTGGAGTCCATGCAGATGTGTTCTTCTGCACGGCGCACGAAGAGAGGGAGGCGGGCGTGTTTGTGTAGGTGACGTAGACGTAGACGTTGCGGGTTCGAATGAAAGCAGTACTTTTAGACGCCATACCAACACGGCCTTGGGCTCGAGCGCTCCCACGGTAAGTTAATGCACGCGCTCGAACTGCTTTCTCTCCCTCTCTTGTCCCTCCTCAGGCTCATCCGGCGTCGATTCAGCACAACAAAGCTTCAATTGAGCACTCTCTCCACACCCATAGTCAGAATTTGCGCCGGTGCACACCTGGTCCGTCGCCCCAGATCATCTACGCGAGCTCGGTGGCGAGTCTGCAACCTGCTGTCGCCCGTCCCTGTGAGTTGCACGGATGACGTGCACATCGCCTCAATAGGATCCTCAACTTCTGCATAGCCGTCTCTGGCTCCGCTTAGCACGTGGAGCTACAAGAAGAGCAACACACAATACCGTTTCCACGCTACTCTCAAGCGTGCCGCGCTGCCCTCTCCAAAAGGCCCTGCCTAACAAGCAACCGTGCCGCGCACGGCATTCCCTCCTCCTTGAGACCCTCCATGAGCAGGTTCATCGTGCCTTCCCCCGCCCGGCGCGCGAACGCCTCGATCCGCGCGTCGTCCGAAAACCCGACCCGCCGCAGCACCTTCGCGTCGTCCGCGTCGAGCCCAAAGTCCACGCAGAACCACGCGGCGGCGTCCTCGTCCTCGTCCTCGTCCTCGCCCTCGCCCTCGTAGCGTGTCATAGGCTGCGGATACAGCTCTTCCAAGCGCACACGGGGGAACATGGCGTCTTCTTCCTGAGCGTGGATGGTGGACGAGGTTGATGCGACGGGGACCGCGGGTGTGGTGGGACCCCACGCTTGCTGGGAAATTTTCTTCTTGGCGATCGACGTCGTCGGGGGGCGTGTCGTCCTTTTCTCGTGAGGTGCTGGCGGTATTTGCGTGCGTTTGTGCGTGGGACGGGACGGAGTCGTCTTTCTCGTCCTCGACCGTGCCGCCGTCGACGTCCTCGAGTTGATTCGCGCTGCGCGCACGGCCGCGCTGTGGGTTTGGCACTTAAAGTGTTGCTTGAGGTTGCTCAACGACGGGCGCGGGCCGAGGCTGATGTACTACACGACGACCGAGCACGATGGTTAGTCGATGCCACCGGGTATGCGACAGTGACGACACGGACGACGCACCTTGTTGCTCACGCAGTAACACTTGACCCACCAATTCGGGACGTCACCATCTTGCGTGCGGTAATACAACTCTAGCTTCCCGCCAGGATGCGTCTTCCGAAGATCCACGAGGACCTTCCAGAAACGAGGTGGCACCTATCGTAGGACGATGCAGTTAGAACTCAGAGGACGCGCAGGCAAGGGCGAAGTTGAAGACGACTCGCCTCGGGCTGCTCGGCCGACCTTCTGTTGTGCCGATACAACATCAAATGTGCCGGAATCGCAGGGGGCGCGACATTGGTACCTCTCTCTGGCTCCGCTTCTCCAGGAGTGCTGTCCGAGTCGTGAAGTGTGACGCCTTCGCCTTCGCCGTCCGAGGAAATGTGTTGGAATCTGCTCACGTGTATGGCAAGCTCGGTCGTACCTTACTTGTGCTTAGTCATTGTGTAGATAGCCATCGTCCCTCGTCCCGCACTCGCCTCACGCGTTTGCCCTTCCCCACCACCTCGTTCTCCCCCGCGTCCGTCTGTACTCGCCTCCCGGTGCCCATAGGGACCAACCGCGTCGTATCGATTGCATCTTATTCCTCGTCCGACCCCGACCGAGCCGCCGACTTCTAACACAAACGCGTACCCTTGCCCGGAGGTCATTCCGCGCCCACGCCCGGCCTACTCGTTGTCCGCGCCATCCGATCTCGACGATCCGAAGCCCCCTCCGACCCACGATCACCCTTTCGACCCTCGACCCGTTTGCGATCCTCCGATCCCGCTTTCTCCCCGCCGATCTTCGACCCCCACACCTCCTATCGCAAGAATCGCCCCTCCATCTCCACCGCCCTCGCATCCGCCGCCCGCGCCGCGACCGCCGCCGCCGCTGCTCCCGCTCCCACTAGTGTTCCTTGTGGTCGAGTCCCGCATTCAGGAAGCGCGCCGCCTTAGCCATGGCACCCGGCCCACCGCCTGCGCCGTTCCGGAGTTGTTTGGAGAGTCCCATTGTGGCTTTCTCTTACTAGGTTCACGGGACATTTGTACGTTTTGATTTACGATCCCCTCCCGCATTTTCTCGTTTCCCCTTCTCGCCTCCGTGCTCCCCTGTTGGCATGTTGTGGTTACTTTAGCCGGCCGTCATTGGCGTGCTCGACATCGTGATTCGCTTGCTCTCTTGAGGTTGTAGCTGGTCGCCCGCATTGTCGTCCCGATCCCCGCTCCCGATCCATGTCACGTCGATTTGTCTCCTCGATCCTATGCTCTATGCCCCATCTATGCCCCCGTCTCGACTCTTGTCCTCGATCCAGCGTAACCCCGAACCATCGTATCCGATCCAGCGTAACCGATCCATCGTCCTCGAACCAGCGTAACCGATTCAGCGTCCCCCTCGATCCTTCGTACTCGACCCATCGTCCTCGATCCCTCGTCCTCGACCCTTCGCATTTCGTACCACCGTCTTCCCCCTCGATTTGTGCTCGTTATACGCCCTCGCTTGTGGGGGCCTGTTGGAATCTGCTCACGTGTATGGCAAGCTCGGTCGTACCTTACTTGTGCTTAGTCATTGTGTAGATAGCCATCGTCCCTCGTCCCGCACTCGCCTCACGCGTTTGCCCTTCCCCACCACCTCGTTCTCCCCCGCGTCCGTCTGTACTCGCCTCCCGGTGCCCATAGGGACCAACCGCGTCGTATCGATTGCATCTTATTCCTCGTCCGACCCCGACCGAGCCGCCGACTTCTAACAAAATGTCCATTACCGACAATGCATTCTCGTACTCGGGGTCGCGGTGCCACCTTTCGAGGACCTGGCGACGCCTGACACCCTCTGCCTCCGGGGATGCTGATATCCGAACACCTGGACAGGTATAGTTCGTGACGAGAGATATAGGAACCGAGATACGAGTGGCACACTCACTTGGGGCCCGTATCCCACGCAGCCTCGCAGACTTGCGCACCTGCTCCGGATCTCCATCGTGGCTGTGTCTATCGCGCAGGTGTGGCTCATATTGGAAGTCGTCGGGAGACAGGCGGGGGGGAGATGGAAAAGCAGTAGAGCCTTGCGAAGGGTAGGACGAGGATCCGTTGTCATTGACGTCTGGGAGGCCCGGTGCGAGTGTGGGGCTGGAGATGCTCAAAGAGGGACGGAAACGCGTGCGGTTCTGGGACCCATACAAGGACGACCTTCTGGCGTGGTAAAATGAGTGCCGATATTAGTCCCATAGAGACTCGAAGACTCGCCTATTGATTCGCTGTGCTGGGGACGTGTAGTACTGTACAAACCATGAGGTTTGTTTGCAGACTCGAGAGACGGATCTGACGACAAGACTTACCATCGACACGGACGCGCAAGATGAGGAGAACAATCGAGGCTGGGGAGGGAGCTACGGAGTGCGAGGGCCACCTCAGGTCATTATGAACGGGGAAGAGGGCGGGACGGGCCTGCTCAGGCATGCTGCAGCCCACGTTGCAACGGCGACTCTGATTACATGAACGTACAACGTGGCTAGATGGATTCTCTGGAAGAGAAGTGGCACTTACATACATCGTGAGCATTCAGACTGGGAAAGGTTCCGCTGGGATTCTCCTGCGAAGTTTCCTGGCAGGCCACGACCCTTGGCTGTAGCGAAGGCCTTTGAAGTGCTACGATATGTGTGGTCTTCCACTGGTCGTGCAGCCATGTTTCTCGGAGCAAGAGGCCTGGTCCCGGAGTTAACTCTCTTTGGACCCTTGTTTTATGTAAAGACGGCTCCGACAATCGTTCTGAAGCTCCCCGTTTCATACCCTGTCCAAGCCCAAACATGGCTTCGCTCCCGAAAAAACCACTGGGCCCCCAAGTCCCATACGTACTTGTCGAGCACCATAAACACTTCGATCACTGCATTGAACAGTGTAACGGCGACTCACGGCAATTACCCAGTGGGGTACAGGCGCGGATTTAATGCGCTCGGACGCCAGAGATCTCGAATGCGAAGCCATGCAGCCGGGGTGTTCTTCTGACCGACTCGGGCGTGAGCGGAAAGTTGGGGCTGGAGCGACCAAACGCCTACCACAGAGTTCCCCGTTGATGCCGGTTGCGGTAGAGCCGTGTCGAAGTCGTCGAGGGCACACGTGTTGTACGGCGACCGTAAGTTCCGCGTAAGAGGAACGTCGACGACACACGCGGTCTAGTCTGTTTATAATTGCGACACGGCCGAGCGCGCCGCCAAAAAGGCCGAGGGCGCGTACATGCCAAAAGTCCAAACTCCCTTGCCAGACATCGTCCACCCGCTCGCATCACGTGCCGTCCGTCGCGCGCCGCGCGAACCCGTCCATCGCGAGCAACCGCGCCGTCCAATCTAGCCCGACCTTCTCGAGCTGGAGCTCCAGCGTCCCGCGCGCCTGCGTTGCCGTCCGGCCCAGTGCGCCGATGCGCGCGTCGGTGGTGACGCCCAGCTCGCGAAGCCGCACCGCGACGTCCGCGTCCAGTCCACACTCCTTGCAGAAACGGAGAACGGGGTCCGGCGAGGGTGGAGGCGAGAGTGAGGGTGCGAATGAAGGCAGGAGTGGAGGTGCATTAGGGCAGGGAGTGTGGGCAGGCGCAAGGGGAAGCCCGCCGACCGCAGATCCATGCACTTGCGAGGCGGCCCGGGACGACGGAGGCAGCAGCCGGGGCGGGGATGCTGGAGGTTGCGAAGCACTGAGAGAAGCTGAAACGTTGTCTTTGGATTTGGTGGAGACGAGAGGCAGGGAGCGTTCTGGTGCCTCGTGATCCGCCGCCTCCGTGAGGAGCCGTGCGGGCGCGAGGGGCGCTAGAGCAGCTGGTGAGCTCGCCAAAGGACCGTCTGTCCTGGTGGTGGTTTGGATGACTCGCCCCGTCGTGGGGAAGCTAGGCTCTGGCCGCTCGGCTGACGTCGAAGAGAGTATGGGCGGGATGAGAGGAGGCTTCGCTACAAGTTTCTTATGTCGTCGTCCTCCCACATGCGTCATCACCGTATGCATTTCCCCTTTGCCACCAAGAGACTGAAATTCCTGAATGAGCGTCGCATATAGAGTAAGCTGGAAGATACCTACGAGTTCGATGTTTGGACATAGCCTGCACTTCAAGATACACCTGAGTCCGGTCCCCGTTTCCTCTCGGATAAACTTGAGATCTAGCTCTGTGCGTGCAGTGACATACTGCTTCTCCAGTCTTGCTAAAAAAGCGGTGATTTGAAGGGGAATCTGTAGGGGCCCAATTAGGACAAGCGTCGAATATGAAAGCTACGCGAAACTAACAGGTGGACTCGAGGGCTTCTGCACATGCGACGATCCTTCAACGGCATTACGAGGGACGAGCGGATTGGAGAGACGATTACAGTCTCCACCTGGATTGTTGATCAGCGCGACTGGGTCGTCGTCATCGTCCTCTATTTTCACGTAATGTCGGGGCTTCTTAGACAGTGGAGGTGCGTTCGGGCTGGGCGCTGAGGGAGAGGGGGCCATCTCTGTATGAGTATCTAGCACGTCACTGGGGTCCAAAATATCCGGCTCACCGCGGGACTCCTCTCGCAGCTCGTCCGTGCTGTCTATATGAGCGCGTTTGTAGGCGCTCATTCCGGGCGACGAGTCTTGAGGACTCCGTAGCACGCCTTCTCCAGGACTTAGAGACCCGGACGGTGTGTTCCCAATATAATCTAAATGGCAGTCGTTGGACGAGGTAGAGGAGTCGTGAGTACGCGTAAGCAAGCACGACGTCTCCGGAGATGAAGGAAAGCGAGAACCGGAGGAATGTTCAGGATCGTTTGGCACTTTCTAAAGCCAAGCTGAACAATGTCACCTGTCTTCATGTTCATGCGCGCTTTAGTGGGGTACATTGGAGACGATGAAGAAACCAACCGATGTATTGAATATCAATAACGTAACTGAGGAGAATGACGGTGGGTACACGTGCACGGGTGGACTGCGATTAAACCACCTACCACAGAGTGAAGTGTTAGGGGGAGAGAAGATTAAGGAGACGATTGAAGAAGTAGAGTCAGGGCTAGTCGGAGACACCGGTAACGTGGCCGGTGTGTCATGCAAAGAGGAGGCGAAAGTCTGTGGTATGATCGCGAAGCAAAAGGAACAGGATTTACGAGCGGTGTGGTAGTTCTGGGATAAGGAACCCTTGGTTGAGCCACGTCTCGGAGTCGCCAAATAAAGCGGTGTCGGGTGTCTGAGAAGTGCCCTGGGGTCTTCCATCCGGGCCGCCGTTGCCGCGCAGAGCTCTTAAGCTTGAGTCTCGACCCCGTCTCGACCAATATTATCTCGAGTATGGGCGTGGCGGACTCGATTCCGGATGCACAATGCAGACATATATGAACGTTTGAACAACGACTGGGAGCGTGACACAGAGCGAACCACGCGTTGTCTACTAGCGGCCACCATCCTGGGAAACTGCTCGCCTATGAGCACTTCAAAACATTTGCTACTTCATCGCGATACGCCATTGTCGCTCACAAAGCAAACCATCAAATGATACAAAGATTTACGTGGGGCACAGGTACCTGAATTGAACCTCTTGGCGTATGGATACATAACGATGACTCGGCGGCGCGCCCCGCGCACCCCGAGCGAGTCAAAAGTACAAAGGAGCGTGACAGACACATACTGGATCTGAGCCGAGCCACCATAAACACTCTATGCTACACTCCCGCGCTCGCGCGCACCGCGTGCTTGCCAATAGTCCAGAGGTCGCGGGGGCGCTCACTTGGACGAAAAGATGCGGCTCTGCGCACCCGATCCCATCCGGCGGAGAGGCGTTGGATTCTTGGGCTTGTACGCCGACCCGGACGTTGACGGGCTCGCGGCGGGCGACGAGCCGAGGTACGCGTCCGCGGCGGAGTCGCGCCAGCCGTCGGCGGATTCGCGGTACTTGTTCATGAGCGCCTGGAAGTCGCGCTTGGGCGAGCCGCGCGAGACGCCGCTGAGCAGCTGCGCGAGAGCGTCCTGCGCGCGCGTGTCGCACATACGTGAGTACGAGAGGGAGGGGAGGTGGGCGAGAGAGAAACTCACGTTCGATCCGGCGTGGTACGCGCTGCTGCTCGTCTTAAGCCCCGCGAGCGCGCGGGAGCGCGCGCTCTTGCTCCCCAGCCGCGCGAGCTTGGCCTTCGGACGGAACGCACAATAGCGGTACTTGATAGTCTGCGTGGGTGACGGCGGGAGTGTGAAGGGCTCGTCTGAGGAGAGCTCTCCGTAGCCGGTGAGAGTATAGCCCTCGTCGCCGGACTCGGGGTCGGACATTTCCGCGTCCACGTCCTTGTGCGCGATTGAGGAACACGTCGGGTTTGATGGGCGCGCCGACTCCAGGATCGCGCCGCGACGGTCGTAGAAGGAAGAGCCAGACGGGAGGTGGCGCTGTAACTAGAGTTAACTTATGTTGTATCCATGGATCGGGGGGGGGACGCACCGAACGCTGAGGTGGCATACTAAAGATGAGAGGGATAAGGATGAGGATGAGGCTGGAAAGGTGACAATCGGCGGGGCGAAAGTGAGGATGGGGACGCGCAAGCATTCTGGCTATATCATTGCGGGCGAAACAATCAAACTTGGTTTGGCATTGACAGCTGCAGTGGTAAAAGGCTATGTGCCACCGAGTGGCTCAGTGGTCAACCGCGCTTTGTCAGTCGTGTGGTAACAACGATAACCTCGTCAGATGTGTTTGCAGATAAAAATTCTGAAACAGATCCCATAATGACACCAAAGAGTGGCCTCGGGACTTTTGGCGTCAATATCGCATTCGAACCATTTCGGATGTACGCCAAATCCACTGCTCCGGCAGAACAAACTCTGGAATGAGACATAGTAAAGACAATACGACGCCAGGAAGAGGCCCAAATACGGCTCCACGCAGTAGAAACTATTCAAAGGCTTCTGCGTCCGCGGTGGAGATGCGGAGAGCGAAGGGCAGTCACGGGCCTGCCCGTCCATTGGTGTCGCGCTGTGAGCAAGTTTTTCACTGCCAAATGCTTGCTTGTTAATCCGAGAGCGCATGGCTTCAAAAGGTATTACAAACCCACCTAACGGTGCTCCTCAAGCAAGTGCGTCTGAGGGTAATGGTAGCAGATCCGTCGCTCAAGTATTGGCGTGTTGGTACCCCATCATGATCCGCTTGAAATATAGGAGACATATCTACGCATGTAATTTCGCGTCGTGAAAGTGAACATGCAGGATGGTGATGGTGAGAGGCAAGGCGAAGAGGCTAGCCGCAGAAGTTCAAGCCATGACTCCTCGATTGAGGCATAATCTTATCTTATCTTATCAAGGATTATCCCAGCACAAATTGTCGCCCTCACGACGGGCAACGGCCTAGCTTCGGAGCCCGAAAATGCGTAGAAAAAGCCTGTCAAAGGTGTCTTTTCTGCCGCCTTTTGCGCACGTGTGAAAAAAGGGACTAAAATGGGCAATTTCTACGAGATTTTTGGAGGGCCGAAAAAACGGAGCAAATGTCACATCGGCTGGAAAGAATGTTGGCGAGAGAAATGGGTGGAAAAGAGAAATCAAAGATTGTGCTACGGTGTGCGAAAAAGCGTCGATAAAGAGGCCTTTAGTACCCATTTCCATAGCACGCAAAGGTCGCCCTTTGTTGACCGTGCATTTTTCGGAGCGCTGAAAAGGCGCTGAAAATGGGCCTTTGCGGTGCTTTTATGTCGGGCCGAACAATGCGGAGAAAAGGTCACCTGAGGCCCCCGTTTTTTTCCCCTGGAAACTCACACGAACAAGTCTCCTTTTCTTTGTCCGAAAATCCGCCCAAACCGTCACCTTTCAGGATACTTTACCACACACGGAAACTTGACATAAAACTTCGCCTTTCCCACCCTTTTTCTCCACCAGACAAACGCCCGCCGAAAATGACACCTTTGACAGGCATTTTCTACGCATTTTCGGGCTCCGAAGCTAGGCCGTTGCCCGTCGTGCCTGTTGGCCTGTCAGAAGCGCCCATTTGGCGGCTACTATGTCCTGCAGTTGACTGAACCTTTGCTACATCCTGTCACCTCGTCTTGCCTGTCTTACCACCTCCCTCGGCGAGCCCGGCGCGACCATATCGCTGCTATGCAGCCGCGTCATCGCTCCCTTCAACATCAGCGGGTTTATTAAAGACTAGACTGTCGCTACGCGATCGCGAGGCTTTAAATGTTTTTGTGCCCCTTTACGAAGTTGTTCCTGCTCTTTGTCCTTTGCGACGCCTGCGATAGACTGGGGTGAAAATCAGGTGTGCTCTGTTAATGGCTTCGTTCCATGCGTCTTCGTGCTGATCGGGTACTCCTGTTTGCATTGTGCAACACCCACCCAGGGCTGGACCAGGGGCAGCTCCCTTTCGGATCTCGGTACTTCGTGAGCATTGCGAACCGTTGCTGACTCCGAGGGACATGTGTTCTATCGATCCTTGGCACAATCTTTAGCTCCGAGGGGGGGTGCAGGGACCAACCAAGACATTTGTTCGCGAAGAACGGAGCGATACGAACGCGTGCTCTATACCAAGTAGCTCTCGCCTCACCTCGACAGGAACAGTACTCCGATCGGGGTCCGATTCCCACGGAGAAATGGAGACACATAAGACCCTGGAGCTAGTATTCCCAGGCGTGCTTGGCCTGCGCAAGAGCAAGCCTGCTCATGTTTATGTACCCCTCTGGAATTGGTCTCGTCTTACCTGCGTAACTGGCGGGCAATTCCGTCTGAGGGTGCGGTGGCGGGAAGATCGTCCTGGCGAGCTGGAGGGCTTGCTGCATAAAGCTGGAAGAGTTAGCATCTAATCTTATCAGTATCGCTATAGCTTGTCTCAGCACACAATGCCGTCCAGATACCGATCTTACGATGCGTCTTGTTCAAAGCGGCCATTCAGCGGCCATCATCCACTTGACCTACCCTTCCACAGCCCTCCGCCTCACCACACCTTTTATGGTGCGTTACAATTTGTCTTTCCCCATGCACGCTCTCACACATTTCCGTGCTAGCCCTGCGGCCCCGTCATCAGCTCAACACCAGCTCGTACCGAGTCACTCCCCACATTCCGTGCGTCTGGCTCATCACATCCGTGCCGACAGTACTCTAGCCCGGTCAAAAGCGGCGCGCTGCTGTCTCCTGTTCAACTCGCTCCCGGACCTCGACATGATCAGCAGCCCGACCCGCTCCCACTTTCCACCACCCCCCGAGCCGCCGCGCTTCGTTACGCGTCAGGGTCGTCACGGTTTTTCGCCTCGACTCAGTCGTTCGCGCTCCCCGAGCGGTGCATCCCGAGAAAGTCCCCGGGAACGGTCCCGATCCAGAAGTCCCCTCGAATCGGGTCAAGTCCGGGACTCGCCGCCTAGGGGTTACTGGCGGAGCAGACAGGCGCATAGTGCCTCGCCGGATCGACTCGACAGATTCGATAGGACATCACGTGAGTCAAGCTGTATATATACACGTCTAACCTCCTCTCACGAGTCGTCAGCTCCGGGAACGCCTACTTACAAACGGCGTCGCTTGTCGAGTCCCCAGAGACCATCCCGGAGCTACGATACTGCATTCGCTGGTGATCCGGCGTCGGAAATCCGGCGTCGTTCTCCCGGAGCCCGTTGGGGCGCGTCCACCTCTAACGTTGAACTCTCCGTGGACGGCCGCCGACCTCCATATGTTCGACCTTCGGGTATTGCGACTGGCACGCCCATACGTCAAGAATCCCAAACCTGGTCAGGATCGCGAGGGGTGAGATCCAATGTGCCATCTAAGTGTCCCCCAGTGCGCAGTGTAATGATGGCACTTCACTACAGCCTATCCCGTCTGACCTCGCGAACACTATCGCAGCACTGGACAGGGCCTACAATCGCGCACGCGCAGAGCTCGACCTAGCGTGTGGCTCGAGCGTGGAGGGAAAGTGGGTTATGACATGCCGATTTTGTGTCAAATTCCTCTCTGTATGTCTCCTTTAACCGCATTAGCACCTGGATGTCCTACTCACTCGTTTCTCTTCCCAGCCTGTCACAGCCGACTCTGCAAAGTTCGTCGAGCACGTTATGATGCATGTGAAAGGTCGTGGCCACCAGGCACTCGTTGCCATGCACGAGAAGCGCGTGGCGGACTATAAAGCATCATCGAGAGCCGGGGCCACCTCTCCGCCGAGACCGCAACCGTCACATCTTCCTCCTCAACCTGGCCAACCTGCTGCAGGGGAACAAACGCCTGCCCTGTGCGACCCGAGACGGCCAGATGGCGCTTCCATACCATCGGCTTCTGGATCTGAAGTCTCCACCTCCACCAACTTATCGACTTCCCAGCACCCGGTGGCCTACGTAGCACAGGCCTCACCGCGCACCTCCTCCGCGCCTCGGAAACCGCAAACCGCCTGCGACGCCTCATCCTCAACACACGAGCAGAGAGCAAGCGTAGGGATAGCCCGCCGTCCTTCCATCCCTACTGCGCTCGCCGCGATCCCGGAACGTACTGTCTCTGGTCCCCTTCCCCCTTCTTTGTCCCACTCTGCCTCGGCTCCCACCCTCCCTCCTTCACCGGTATCTCCCTCGTTCCCATCTCTTCCTCCTCCGTCATCCACCGCCGGGCCGGACGCTGCTACACGTTTTTGCGAGGAGTTCGGGCTCGACGAGGACATCGCGGCGCACTTGCGCGGATTGGGCATCAACGGCGACGCGCGGATCGTCGCGCTCGGACGGGCGTCGGCGAAGGCGCAGACGACGCTCTTGCAGAAGCTCCAGAGCGCCGGACTGGACTGGACCGCACGTCTGCTGGTCATGGACGGGCTCGCGCGGCGCGCGGCCGCGGCCCAGTCTGGGCAGAGCGCGCTCGACCGAACGCGGGGACGAACGACGTGAAGTACGTGCCTCTCTGCGTCTCGAACTTGTTCTTGCGCTAAGTCCACACATCTTTAGGATGTGTTGACGGAGCTACGCCCCCACTCGGTGTTCCCCTTTGCGTACGTTCGACAGGCTCGCACTCACTCCACGTCGCCGTGCGGATTCCCTAGTCCACGTCTCATCAACGGCGTCTCAGCTGTTTCGAAATCAGCGCTCCCATCTATCAGTGGAATGTCTTATGATGCTCAATTATACCTTGGCGTGAACTTCCTTCGCCGGCCTTGCCTAGTTTCCCTCCAGCCATGCCACGGAAGCATTTCCGACGCACCATTTACCTGCATTTATGTCATAAACAACGAGAGCCATCCCCCCACTGCTTGGGAGGGAGGGGTTTACGCCGTTTCTGTCGAGCGAATATCGAAGTGAATTAGCCTGTGTGCGAGGATCAGCCTAAACTCACCTCAGATCAATCGTGCTTTCCGGTGACACAGTGCTGAAAGGGCCACTTCCTGGCATAACCAGAGGGAGTACCCAGCTGCGACCGCCGTGCCACAGGCTCGGCCCCCGTTGAAGTGCGTGGTTGCTGAGGCGCTGCCAGTGAGCCCCTTATGTAACTCGACGGGAAGGAGGAAGGAGCACCATTTCCACTTTGTCTTCCTGTTACCACCCCCAGCAGCTTTTTTTCTCCTGCCGGCCTTGGACCACCGGCGCTCCTCGTGTGTGGTAAACAGAGAGGAAAAGAGCAGACGCTCTTTTCGCGCCGGATCAATTTCCGATGGGTTTTCGATGATTTTCGAATTTTCGGCGCTTTTCCTCCTCCTCCTCCTCCTCCTCCTCCTCCTCCTCCTCCCCCTCACTCCCAAAACTTGAAACATTGAACAAGCTTACGGGCCTCTAGTGCTCAAGAGCCACGACAAGACACCTGACGTCTCCGCCATCTTTATCATATCCACAGCTACTACATTGCCCAGCACTCATCGCCGCTCACTGCCCGCCTCCACTCAGACCCGGACATCGTCTCCATGGACCATCAAGGCTGAGTCGACGCACACATATAATCCCTGCTCGCCCTCCCCTGCGCCACGGCCAGTTGCACATGTCGAGGCGTCATGTGAAGCCAATTCCTCGACGGGACGCTACGCGTGATAGAGACGGATAGAGGGTGGATGAATGAGGGGGCTGCACCCCGCATCTCGAACGGTACGTCGACACTTGGAAGGAGGTCATCCGTAGCGTCGTCACGCAATATACCATCTCTCTCCACCGCCGGACGAGGGAGCATATCCGTCCCCGCTCTTTGAGCTGCACGCACTCCCGCTACATGTGCACAGCCGGCTCCACGGCGAACACTATCCCTCGTCGCCATCGTCAGCGGCGCTGGCAGAAGCGGGTCCCGGGAGACGTCCTTAGGGCGTGTTGGGGTGGACTTCACTCGACTACTCAACATGTTCAGGAATCAGGGGATTACCTTTTCACGCGTCACCACACTGGTCTACTCGTATTCTGCGCATGGTCCAATAGTGGCGTATGCCGTGGTAAACATTCAGGCGACAGAGGGACGGCGGAGGTGTGTGTGTGCGAAGAGCGTTTTCGGGATGGGTACGGGAGACGTGTGCAGGGAGGAGGGAATGCAAGGGACTGTTAAGAGACGGGAGTCAAGCGAACCCAAAGGTCGCCCAGATTTGGAAGATCTCCGAAGTCCTACTTACACATCCTACATTCTTACTCCTGCGGTCGTATTCGAACCTCTTTGCGCATGCCAAGGCCATCGCTTCGCACATGCCAAGGCCATATCCACATGACATCTAGCACCGCACTCACATGACCTACTTGGTGCGTGTGCTGTGTTTCCTCGAGGCTCGGTGCCGACAGTCGCTCACATCGAGCTCGTGACCCAGCCAAGCTGCGCCGTCGACGACAACGCGACCGGTTTCCGGTCTCAGCTGTATCTCCGGCGCTGTACAACCGGTGAGCATAATTTGGACCACGGCATGCGCTCCCTCGAATACGACGTTTCAGAGCACGTCCGAATTTTCCCGACAGTCTACAATAGTCGCATGAAGATCAGACCTCCGCGGGACGTTTTTGTAAGTGTCCGCGGCAAGTCTCTGCTTCCGGCTTCCAGATCTTCGCGCTAATCGCTGCAAAATTAACTCATGCGCTCAACAGGAGACATGAGGAGCTAGAGCGTGGAGACCGGGGTATTGTCGGCCTGTGATTTTTAGGGCACTGTTTCTCATCACTCGACCATGTCCGGGACGGTCGGCGGGCTGAGAAGAATCGACGAGCGCGAATCATGCATTTCAAGCACGACAAGCACGAGGACGCTTCTGTGCCTGTGGACCAGAAACCGCTTCCTTCTGACCGGGGCAGATACTCTGCAGTTGCGTTCTGAGACGTGTGGGAAATGACGTCGGGGCGGGTAGTGCGCCTGCGTAGATCGCCTGATGCAGCGACCGCGGGCGCCACCACGCCGCCGGGTCTGACTGCCGACCGCACGCGGTTTGTGCTGGACCATCATGTGTGGGGAACGCGGGGTGCTCGCGTGCCTTGCGGGGTCACTCGACGGTACACCGGTAGGTCTGTCCTCCTGTGTCCCTTTGCATGCACACTGGCTCAATCCGCTTCATCGCGCCCACAGCGTCGAAGTTGCTCTTCGAGCTCGATGGGGACTGCCACATCCGCGTCTGCGCATCCAGCGCTGCCTTCGCATCTTCCAAGCCTACCTACTGGCCCCGGCTGGGGCCCCATATCTGGGGTGCACATGAGAATAACATCAGCCGTAAGTGCGTCCCACGGCGAAACTGATACGCGGCCCCCCAGCTCAGGCCACGGGACCTCCGCCTGTGCATTCAGTTACGACAACACCCTGGCCGCCGGTCCGCCCGCCCCGCGACGACGCTGCGCACGAAGTCGAACGAAGCGCAAAGGCTCGACCGTTTTCCCGCGAGCGCGGTGGGGGTACATAAGAGCGGCGGGGCCGTACAGCCGGCCCCGTGAGCCCCTTCCCCGCTTCTTTCGCTCGTGAACGCTCCCTCGGTCGCGCCCCGCTGCCGCTACGATGGGTGTCCCGACGAACAGCAAGGCCATTCTCTTGGCGACGTTTATCGCATTTGGTGCGCGCTTCCCATGTCCGGTCGCTGGAGGACGAGGTGTGCTCACGAGACTGTTCATGGGTTCTCAGGAGGCAAGTCGTGCGGAGGTTTGTATGGGTTCCTGAGCTGTGAGTATCCCCTGCCCTTGCATTGTTTTCAGCCTTTTGACTTCGCGCCTTCTAGAACCAGAGACTTCCAGGCTTCCTCTTCGGATACGATATCGGAGTCATCTCGGTAAGGCATTTCGCAAACTTGTTTGTCCCCACATCTGACGGGTACTTCAGGGATGTTTGATCATGCCAGACTTCGTGCAAAGGTTCGGCGAACAGAACGCCGACGGCACCTTCATCCTCTCCAGTTCGCGACAATCCATCATCACGTCGCTTCTCTCCGCGGGGTACGTCTGTTATACCACCTACTCCAGTGTTGCGCGAGCTCAACGCTGTTCTCCAGCACCTTCGTCGGTGCCCTCGGACAGGCCTTCACCTCTGACCGCTTCGGCCGTCGCGGCTCCATCCTCATCTGGTCCGCCATCTTCACCGCTGGTGTCGCCATCCAGACCGCCACCGTGCACTCCCTCGTACAAATGGTCATCGGTCGTTTCGTCGCCGGTCTCGGTGTCGGAGCCCTTTCCGCTATCGTCCCTCTCTACAACGGAGAGACGGCGCCGAAGGCCATGCGTGGTATGCTGCTGGTGCTGTACCAGCTACAGATCATCGTCGGGTAAGTCCACAGTTGGAAGGCGAAGCGCGAGATAGCACCCTCACCGCCCTCCTCAGTATCTTCTTGAGCTACATGATCGAGCTTGGCTCCCACCGCATCGAAGGCCCTGCATCCTGGCGTCTGCCAGTTGGTCTACAGTTGGTCTGGGGTTTCATCCTGCTTTCCGGCATCTTCTTCCTTCCCGAGTCCCCGTAAGTGTGCCACTTTCTCTCTCCGTGTGCTGCCGTCTGATACCGATCGTCGAAGTCGTCATCTGTTGGGTACCGGCCGCGAAGCTGAGGCTCGCAAGGTTGTCTCCATGCTCAACAGCCTCCCCGAGGACGACCCGGTAGTGATGGAGCTCATCGAGGAGCTCGAGTTCGGCATCCGCGCCGAGAACGACGGCGGAAAGGCTACCTGGATGGAGTGCTTCTCCAGCCGCAACATGCTCTGGAAGCGGACGATCAACGGCATGATGCTCCAGTTCATCCAGCAGCTCAACGGCCAGAACTTCTACTGTACGCATGTCCTCGCTCGTCTTGCGGCACGACCTGACTGATTCTGCGGCAGACTACTACGGCGACACCTTCTTCCAGAGCGCGGGAACGAGCCTCGACCCGTACTCGATTCAGGCCATCCTTGGTGGTGTGTCGGTTGTTGGCACCATCCCGGCGCTGTACTTGATCGAGACCTGGGGCCGGCGTAACGTACGTCCGAGTCTATCAAACTTCTTCCGTTACACCATGACTCAAATCTTCCCCTCTTCCCCCTTCTTGTTATCTCGCTCCCGCGCGCAAACCCCGAAATACCGTACTCGAACCCATGACCCGGTGCACACGGTCCGCACGCGCAGTCCCTCCTCACGGGCTCCGTCCTCGAAGGCATTTGCTCCCTCATCGCGGGCCTTGTCGGGCACTACACCCTGGCGCCCACCGGCGTGCCCAAGGACATGCTCACCGCGCGCAACAAGCAGGGCGGGGACACGATCATTGCCTTCGCCGTCCTCCACGTCTTCTCCTTCTCCATCTTCTGGGGCCCGACGCCGTGGGTGTACCTCGGCGAGTCCTTCCCGCTCCGCGTGCGCCCGAAAGCCATCGCGCTCGGCAGCGCCACCAGTGCGTCCTTCTCCCTCCCTCCCCCTCGCACACCCGGACCGATGTAAACTGACGCGCGGTCCCGCAGACTGGCTGTGGAACTTCCTGCTCTCGTTCTTCGCGCCGCGCATCGCGGAGGACATCGGGCCGCTCATCCTGCTCATCTTCTTCGGCATGCTCACGTTCGGGTACGTGTACGTGTACCTCTTCATCCCCGAGACCAAGGGCCTCTCGCTCGAGGAGGTCGACGAGATGTACCGGTCCGGCGTGAAGCCGTGGAACTCGATGAACTGGCGCCCGAGCGAGAAGCCGATCCACGAGCACGAGGCGAAGGAGGTGCGCGAGATCGCGGAGAAGGGGGAGAAGGACAGCGTCTGAGCGCGGTCCCGCCGCGCGTCGGGCGCAAAACCGTGCGGCGGCGCGCTGCCGCGCGTGGGTTATGGTTCTGGTTACGACTTTGTTTTGACGGAGCGCTTGCGCGCACGACTGTATCACGATTTCACGATGTTGTATTAGTAGCTCTCGCAACGCATCTTCTTCACTATTCAACGTCCAGGACTTGTTGAATCACGCGTGGGCCATTCAAGTGTGCGATTTCCCTTCCCGTCGAGCCAGTTCAAGTCACCCCAAAAGCGCGTCCGGGACCCCTGGCACCGCTGTGGGACAACCTTTGAGCTTATGACACGACAGGCACGCCTCGCATGCGCTGCTCCTTCCTTCCACCATTCGCTCTTCTTACCGTGCACCGAACCCCGCAGAATGTCTCGAAAGACGAGTTGCTCTCTGTGTCTCGCCGTCTGGTACCTTGAGCTGCGACAGGGGCCCTCTTGCCGTTTCTGGCTGATAAAGGGTCGATCAACCGTTCTCCTGAGTCCTCATTCGACCCACGCGTGTTAGGCGAAAGATCGCATCGCCTCGCTGCGCATCTCATCGCCGAACCACGACGTTGACACTACACACAAAGCGTGAGTGTGGTACCGTTCAGTCTTCAACGACCCGAGCTCATGCTCTTTTTCCCCGCAGCCGGCGCCAGCGTTGTTCTGCCATCGCCCCGGATATTACTGCAATCGTGGTAGCCCCTATCAGATCAGTTCTCCATGGACGACCGTCGCGAGTCCCGCGCCTCGCACCGTTATTCTTCTCCTCACGCTGTTTCTTCACATCGACATCGCCACAACTTGAACCTAAGGGAAGAGACGAGACGTAGCAGGCGCGCCCGAGACTCCGAATACTACCATGATAGGCATCGCCTGGGGTACCTACGGACCCGCGACAACCGCGAAAGAGACCCTCGTGAGCGCGTTGCCGTGTACTTTGACGTTCCAGTGCTCAATTCTCGTTTTTTCCAGCGACCGAGCCCACCACGCTCACGAAGCGGAAATATTCGAGTCCGGTTTCGGATAGCGAAGATCGAGAGCGATCGCCAGGTACTTCGCGAGTCAAGGGGGAAGATGAGGCAGACGGTGACCGTTTTCTTCAAGGGTTCGCGTGTGCGAAGAAGGCCAAGGTCGACAGGCGTTCGGATGCCGACCAAACTCGGGACACTTGGGACCACAGTGCTCGCGTGGAGCCCATGAACCCTCTTCCGCCGGTGCTAGTTTATAGGGGCCCAAATCACCTTCCTGTACGCGAAGCACTTTGCACCCTCGTCGCCTTTCTAACACGTGCACACTGTAGGTTCCTAGTCATGTCAAAGACGTAGTTAACAAAATCCACGAACACTACGAATCGGTCAGCAAGCAGCTCTGCATCTTACCAGTCGACGAAGCCACGTCGTCGTGGATCGTGAGGTGCAGATTCTGCAACTATTTCAGCAACGTATGTCCCCTGCCTCATTCGGGCGATAACAATGCGCTTAGAACACTTTCCGCGCTAGGTTATCTCGGTCGACGGCGGATCCGAAAAGTGCATCATCAAGCACTTGGGCAAAGCTCACCACGTGCAAGCATACGCGCTTTGGAAGCGCTCCCCGACATCGTCGAAAATCCACGCGCTGCCTCCGGCCCCGCCCGCAGTTGTAGATGTTTCTCCCGGTTTTGGACTCCCTGCGATGACCACCCCTTGGGACGCAGAAGCTGCCCGCACTCGGGACGCACAACAGTCTTACTCGCCCCCGTCCATTCAAGTATACACCACGCCTCCCCCTACGCCTCTTGCGCACTACACTCAATCCCAGCACACCCATGACTCGTTCTCGCACGACTCCTCACTGGATGAGGCACCTACCGCGATGTCTCCACGTGTCCCCATATCACCGCACGCTTTAACGTTCTCTGTCCGTCACTTCCAAGCCGCTGCCTCTCAAAGCTTGGGAATCCCCGTCTCGCAGACAGCACATCGGGCTGCTCAACTCAGCGTTGCGCCGAGCACAGATCCCCGCGTTCGACCCAATGCGTCTGCATCTGGTCCGGCTCGGACGACTAGATCGGTCTCCTCGAGTGAAGAGGCTTCAGGATCGCTCGCACCAGCTCCCCAGTCATCCATGGCTCTGGCGCAATTCTCGACTTACCACGAGGACGATAATACAGACGTCCCTCCTGGCGAAACCGACCAGCATTCCCCTTCACCTGTCGCATCTCAGAACCCCGCCGCGACCATCGAAAGGCACCCGCGCGTTGAAAGAGCGCCACAACCTGCTGGGTCGTCCGCCATTGCCGATCCCGCCTCCATCCCCACCCCCTCAACAGCATCCACCTCCACCTCGCAGCAAAGTCCTTCCACATCTCGTTCGAGATCTGCCGCTACGCCCCCTGCGACCGCCCATCCTCCCACCGCCGCCATGGATAGTCTCTCACGCTTCTGCGCCGAGATCGGGCTCGGACAGGACGGCGCGGCGCGCGCGCAGCTGCACATGCTCGGGCTGACGAGCGAGGAGCGCATCCGCGGGCTCGGCCGGACGTCGCGGCGGACGCGCGACTCGCTGACGCGCGAACTCGAGGCGGTGGGGCTCGACTGGACCGCGCGGTCGCTCGTCATCGACGGGCTCGCGCGACGGGCGTGTCCCAAGGAGGGGGGTTTGGGTGGGTAGAAGTGCGGACGAGGAGGAGGTTTGATCCCTGTGTGCCTTCGGAGCACCTTTGGAAAGTGAGCACTAAGCCGTTTGACGGGACGTTGATCTGAAGTGTACTTACTCAGTGGTGTACAATATGATTGGATATTTTCTATTGATAGGGACTCTGTATGTGGTGCACGCGTCCGACATGAAGTTTCAACATGCTTAAGTCCCCGGTACTCATCACAAGGACAAATATTCGGCGAGGAACCTGAGAGAGGGAAGCGGATACTCCGGGCCGGGGAAGGCGCCGGTGCTTCAAATTTGTCATCATAGCCTTTGTTACCGGCATGCTCCTATTTAGACTGGAAGCTTATCTCTCCCCTGCTGCCTTCTCCCACCGGGCCCTCTGCTTCTCCTGTGTTTTACGTGGAAGGTACGTGTGGTTTTAACGTCCTGCCCAATTCACCCTTGCTCACGCGCTGTGCTCGAAGGACGACGCAAACCTCCTCCCCTTTCTCCCGACACCTCAGCCATCGCCTTGAAGTCCGACCTCGGAATCAGTGCCGTCAACATGGAACGCAGGCGCTCCCCACCCCACTCTCGCAAAGGTCGACCATCGGGAAGCGCCCTCGAGACGCTGGAGGCCAGACGGGGCTGCGTATTGAGAGGTTACGGACTGAGGCGACTGAGGTTGGCCGAGATGTCTCTCAACGTACGTTCAACACGCCGCGCATTCTCTCTATCCATTCATGTGCCGTCAGCGCACGAAGAAGCTCACCCAGCGAGGCCAGCGTTAGCAAGAAGCGCCGAATCTCCAGTCCCATCCCCAACGACGAGGGCGGAAGATCACCGGCACCCATCTCTCCAGCACCCGATCGATGCTCACGACCTCCAGCCACTGCAAAACACGAAGAGACACCAGTTCAAACGCAACCAAACGAGCGCAGCGCCGTTGTCCATCAGAACGCTTTCTCTCCGCCAGTGATATCGCTTTCCTCTACTATGGCGGCCAAGCAGGTGTTCCATGAGAGCGTGCGGTGTATAATATATCGAGGCATGGCGAATCTCATAGTGCGTACTATTTTCATTCCGATGTGTTCTGTGCGAACATCAACACATATATCCAGCCACCTTCTCATACCATCCACACCATCAACAAAGTCCTCTCTCAGTGTAACCCGACCCACGGAACAATGTGCGTGCAGCCATTGACATTCAAAGGCATCAACCTGCGGTGGGCCGTTAGGTGCCTCTACTGCAAGTTCATCGTTGTACGTTCTTTATGCTTCCTGGACTGAGAACTCGCCTGAAGCCTTCGGAAGTCTCTCCCCGATGAAATGGGCTCAATAGCTGACATCGTTCACATTTCTCGAGCGATCACCATTTAGAAACCACTGTGGCAGTTATCACGCGTATTTGCCCAGGGGCAATCAACTCGTTTGGCTCCAGAGTTACAGCACCCGCCGGCGCACCGTCTCCCTGGGACTATTGCAGTCCACTTCACTTCGAACGAGCATTAGCCACGGGACAACTCCCATTTACTATGCCTGCACGACCCCTAGCTCCCCCTCTCCCGGGAGCTCCCGCGCACGGGCAACCTCCGTCGACGACGGCCTTGCAGGTTTCAGATACCCGGAAAGCCGTCCGAACCCCCACCTCCCCACCGATCCAAGCTGCCGCTCAATCTGCTGCGCACCATGCCGCCGTCCAGCCCGCGCAAGCTCAGAAACTTCCTGTCACACCGCGCCCCGCGCCGGCCCCACGACAGCCCCTTCTGGTCGTCCCGTCGCTCCCCAATCCTCCACCCAAGGCCCGGGCCACCCGCATCCAATGCGGGTGATGGACCCTCGTTTGCGCAACCCACGCGCGCCGGCTTCTGCCTCGCACGCATCGTCTCACAGCGTATCCGCTTCCACCCCCGTCCCCACCGCCAGTTCCAGACGTACAACAAGTGGTCAAACTTCGGAAGGTGCTCAAGCTGCTGCACATATCCAACAAGGTGGTCCTCATCCGTCTCCAGCCCTTCCTGCGTCTACTCCAAGTCCGTCAGTCTCCGCCCGCGGTATCACTTCTATCCCTGTGCCGAAGACTGCGGCCCCCTCAGCATCTGCGAGCTCGGCCGCGGCCATGACACCTTCAGGTGCTCCTCCCAACACCATTCCCATTCCCGAACCACGGTCGACGGTATCCTCCCCAGATGCCCCGATGACTGCCGCCGCCGCCGCCTCCACACCCGAACGCCGCGCCAAGCGCGAGCCGACCCTCTCCGATTACAAGCCTCTGACCCCCGCTCCTTCTCCTTCTCCCGAACTTCATCCCGTCAGGAAGTCCAGCGGCGGATCCCTGACGACCTCGAAGGAGACCCCGCCCGTCACTATGCCAACCTCGACATCCCCGGCGCGCACAACCGAAGGCGCACCAGAGCCAGCTCAAGCTATCGGCTCTTCTCCATCCTCTGAACCACTCGCACCTGCCCCACCGACCGCGTCACCAGCGGAAGTTCCGGCCACCTCTGATGCACACGCCTCTTCTCATCCCCGCCACCATCACTGCATCCCCTCGCCGCGCCTTCCCGACCTCCGCCCGCCGCTCCCTCGCCTGCGAACACGGACGCCGCCGCGCGCTTCTGCGCCGAGATCGGCCTCGCCGCGGACGTCGCCGTCGTCCTGCGCGAGCTCGGGCTCACCGACGACGCGCGCATCCACGCGCTCGGGGGGACCTTCCGGCGGACGCGCGACGGGTTCGTGCGGCAGATGACGGCGGCGGGGCTCGACTGGACCGCGCGGTCGCTCGTCATGGACGGGCTCGCGAGGCGCGCGCATGGATGAGCGGTGGTGCGCGGTTCCAGGGACGGTCATGTGCTTACTCTACTATGTCTGTAGGTTTCATTGTTGTGAGACGATTTCGTCGGCTCATTCGCGGCTATATCGCGCTCTTGTGCTATTGGGGTCCTCTTTGCGCGCTCGCAATCAAGTTTGGAAGTTGTGAGTTTGGAACGCGATGAGCGCCGGAGACCCCGAAAAAAGTGCTGACCCCGGACACCCCTTGAACGAGACACAAGACAGTGAGACATGTTATCCTCGGGTCTCAGGCCTTCAGGTTCGAAGAGACTGCCTGGCAGGTCACTGCAAGTGCGTCGTGGTGTTACATTGCTCCTCTCCTTCCTCCTCAGAGTATGGATTCCCTTGTCGCCGAGCCCTGTGCTCACCCAGTGCTGTTAGATCTCGATCGCTTTCAAATTGCTTTGGTCATCATTTGCCACGAGTCAACTGATTGCCCTCCGGTACGGGAGGCTGGAGACCAGTCGCTCTCTTTCTGCTGAGTCCTACTTCCGCCATCTGGTCCCACTGGTTGTGGTAAGTACGTCTTCACTGTTGGAATCTGCCCGCATACTTAGCAAGCTCGGTCGTACGGTACCAGCGCTTAGTCATCCCGTAGATAGCCGCCGCCCCTCGTCCCGCACTCGCCTCACGCGTTTGCCCTTCACCACCACCTCGTTCTCCCCCGCGTCCGTCTGTACTCGCCTCCCGGTGCCCATAGGGACCAACCGCGTGGTATCGATTGCCTTTACCCCCTCGTCCGACCCCGACCGAGCCGCCGACTTCTAACACAAACGCGTACCCTTGCCCGGAGGTCATTCCGCGCCCGCGCCCGGCCTACTCGTTGTCCGCGCCCTCCGATCTCGACGATCCGAAGCCCCCTCCGACCCGCGATCACCCTTTCGACTTCCGACCCGTTCGCGACCCTCCGATCCCGCTTTCTCCCCGCCGATCTTCGACCCCCACACCTCCTATCGCAAGAATCGCCCCTCCATCTCCACCATGGCCCCGCACTTCTCCCGCCTCGAAGACAACAACTACCCCGAATGGCGCTTCTACATGGAAGCTCACCTCACGCGTCAAGGCGTCTTCGAAGTTGCGTCCGGTGCCCTCTCGCGTCCTCCGTTCGCCCCTGCGCACGTCGCCGTCAAGTCCTGGGACAAGAAAGACATGCAGGCTCGATCCGAGATCAACCTCATGCTCTCCCCCTCGCAGATCGGCCACGTCCAAGGTGCAACGACCTCGGCCGACATCTGGACTCGCCTCGAAGCTGTCCATCGCGCTCACGGATTCGGCACCCGTCTCGCTCGTCGCCGCGAGTTCTTCAACATGTCGAAGCAGCCTGACCAGGCCATGAACACGTGGATCTCCAGCGTCCGCAGAGCCGCATTCAATCTCAACGCAAGCGGAGCGAACGTCCCGGATGAAGACATCATCATCGTCCTGACGAAGGGCCTTCCCGAAGAGTACGACAGTCTTGTCGTCGCCCTCGACTCGACCCCCTCCGCGTCTCTCACCCTCGACTACGTCATTATCCGCCTCGTCAACGAGGAATCACGCAAGGCCCCATCGGAGGTATCCTCACCCTTGCCGTCCTCCGCTGTTGCTGCTGCCGCCCGCACGTTCACCCCCACTGCTCGCACGTTCGTCCCCGCTGCTCGCGCCCCTGCCACCGCCCCTGCTCCTGCTCCCACCGGTACTCCTCGTGGTCGAGTCCCGCTCTCGGAGATCACCTGTTACAACTGCAAGAACAAGGGCCACTACCAGCAGGACTGCCCGCATCCGCTCATCCCCTTCAAGGAGCGCGCCGCCTTCGCCATGGCACTCGGCCCATCGTACCCGTCGTCCCGGAGTGGTTCGGAGAGCCCCGTTGTGGCGTTCTCTTACTAGGTTTCATGGGACATTCGTACGTTTCGATTCTCGTTCCCCTCGCGCATTTTCTCGTTCCCCCTTCTCGCCTCCGTGCTCCCCTGTCGGCATGTTGTGGTTACTTTAGCCGGCCGTCATTGGCATGCTCGACATCGTGATTCGCTTGCTCTCTTGAGGTTGTAGCTGGTCGCCCGCATCATCGTCTTGATCCCCTGTCCCCGATCCTCGTCACGTTGATTTTGTTTATTCGATTCTATGCCCCTGTCTCTCCTCGATCCAGCGTAAACCCCGATCCATCGTATCCGATCCAGCGTAACCGACCCATCGTACTCGAACCAGCGTAAACCGATCCATCGTCCTCGAACCAGCGTAACCGATTCAGCGTCTTCCTCGATCCTTCGTACTCGACCCATCGTCCTCGATCCCTCGTCCTCGACCCTTCGCATTTTGTACCACCGTCTTCCCCTCGATTTGTGCTCGTTATACGCCCTCGCTTGTGGGGGCCTGTTGGAATCTGCCCGCATACTTAGCAAGCTCGGTCGTACGGTACCAGCGCTTAGTCATCCCGTAGATAGCCGCCGCCCCTCGTCCCGCACTCGCCTCACGCGTTTGCCCTTCACCACCACCTCGTTCTCCCCCGCGTCCGTCTGTACTCGCCTCCCGGTGCCCATAGGGACCAACCGCGTGGTATCGATTGCCTTTACCCCTCGTCCGACCCCGACCGAGCCGCCGACTTCTAACATTCACCCGTTCTGGTAGAGTGCTGACAAGTCGCTTATGCTGGCTTTGCGGGTAGGCACCGTTGCACGCGTGCGTCTCAAGCCGTCGCGGAGTCCACTTTTGAAGTTCGCGTGCTGCCAAAGTCTCCCCGAGTTTCGTGCATAGAACCTACTCGGGTCGACTACAACCATGGAGGACGCCCAGGAGTTCCTCCCCACCCCGTTCGCGCAAACGCCTACCCGCAAACGCGTTCGCGAAGCCGGAAGCGAGACTTCACTGCGCATCGAGCAGACTCTCACGCAGCCCAAGGCGGAAGCTTCAGGTGCGCCTCGCGTGACACCCTTTTCTCGGAGGTAATGACTCACCTGCATCTAGAGAGCGAGATCAAGCCTTCGATCACCGAGGTCCCGCAGGCCAAGAAGCGGCGATATTCGAGCCCGCTTCCTGCCGCCATAGACGAAAAGCCACATATCAAGGTAGAAGCCGAAAAGAAACCAGATATTTCGGTCCCATACAGTCCGCTCACGGAGCCTGCGGCATCGGTTGTGCGCGCTGTGACTTTGACTATGCGCGGAACGAGGCCAGCAGACATGGAGGTTGACGAGCAATCCTCGACTCCCCGTCCTATTGCTGCCAGTCAAGCGGTCTCACCGACTGCCCCCGTCCGCGCACTATCGGCGACGCCGACGAATCCTTGGCCCAAAAAACTGCCCCCATACATTTCCCGCGGGAACACCGACCTTCCAGTACGTTTCTTATCGCGATATGCCCCATGTCGTTCCATCGCAAGTGGATAGTCATGGTGACGACATCTGTACAGGTACCCCCTCATACGAAGAAGGTCATGAAGAAGATCAAAGCCGGCTACAAGGCTGTATATACCGATATTGTGATCCAACCGAGCACGGACGCCAACCCGCGATGGCTCGTCAAGTGCCGCCTCTGCACCCCTACCGTCTGGTTTGTGAGCTTCATTCATTTTTGTGGTCGGAAGCAAGGCTGAGCTCACGTGCTTTTAGAGTCTCCCATCCAAGGGAGCGTCCGTGAACCCATCGTCCTGCACCTAGTCAGCGCCCGTCATAGTGATGCAGCGGCTGACCGAGGGGCTCGCCTTGCGAGGAAGCCCGGCTCAATCGCTCTTCGCAGATGGCCCCTGGCTCCTCGGCGTCGAGCTCAACGCTTACACCCTCGGCAGGTTCCTCGGCGGCAATGCAGGCACCAGTCCAGCTCGCGAAAACCATCGACGGAGCGGCTCGTTCTCAAGAGCTCGGCGCACAGTCCATTGGCGAAAACAATCGCTTCTCCGAAGAGCGGATTCGCCAGTTGCTGGAACAAGCTCGCATATTCGAAACCCGGTTTTAGGCAAGGCCTGCCCACAGCACGACTACTCAACAGCCATCAGTCACACAGCTTCCGCAATTATGTGTACATCCCTCCAGTGCCCGTACTAAACCAGCCGTCCAGTCGCAACATGTGCCACCTTCTCCCAAAGTCTCCTCTTCCCAGCCCGCGAAGAAGGCGTCCACTACTAGTGCGCGTGTACTCGATCCTCGGGTTCCCCCGTCTTCCCCAGCCTCATCCCTCGGGCATCTACATTGGCCATTCATCAGCCGTCCGCGACTCGGTGACCGTTGAGAGACTCCCGCCCGCGTCGCGCAAGCCTCCACTCAAGTACCCCCTGGCGTTCCCACCACGCCCCGCTCTTCATCATCCGCGTACAACCCTCACCTCCCCTGTGGGAACGCCGGTCTAGGAGCGTGGCCTCGACCGCAACCGCTGCCCCACACCGATGGTGAATTTCCCTATAACCGCCACCTCCTCCAATGTCACTGTCGAACCACCCGCGCTCAAGATCTCTCACCCGTCTACGCCTGCGACTCCCGCGCCTCGACTCACCAGTTGCCCTCCCCGTCCTCAGGCTGGTCAATCCCAGCGGGGAGAAAGCCACAAACGGCCTCAAAACTCCAGAGAAACCGGAACCCGCCGTCGGATTCACTCAGCGCCGTAGCTCCTCCGCCCACTAAACACCACCCCCAGCGCAGCCGGCTCCCGCCCCAACCGCCACGACGACGCCCGTGCCCGTCACGACCTCCGGCCTCATCCCGCAGCGACCCCATCCCAGTCCTCCGCGACCCCCGAGGACCCGGTGGTTCGCTTCTGCGCCGAGGTCGGGCTCTCCGTGGACGTCGCGGCGTCGCTGCGTGGCTGGGAATCACAGACGACGCGCGGATCCGCGCGCTCGGGCGCGCGTACCGGCGCACCAGGAAGAGCTCAAGCGCGAGCTGCAGGGGCGGGTCGACTGGGCCGCGCGGACGCTCGTCGTGGACGGGCTGTTGCGGCGGGCGAACGTGGACGGCGAGCGGGAGGGGTAGGGCGTGTGCGCGGCGGGTCTACTGTCTACCCGGTATGCTCCATGTGATCCTACGCGTCCGGGCGGCTGTCGCCGTTGGCGTCGTGCCAGTACTGCGGGGGATGTGGTGTCTCGACTGAATCCCCCGGCTCCTCCACCACCGCGGCCCGCGGACATTCCGTTCTCTGGAGAGGCTTCTTTCGCCGCTCGGCGGAGGAAGCGCGAGAGGCTGGGAAAGTGAAGATCATAATAACTGTGCCTCTGGACATGTACACACGAACGCTCTTAGTGAGGTGTTTGGGCTAGACCAGTCAAAGACGTCCAGTAGCACACATGGAGGCGGGGCGGCGCCAAGCGCACGAGAGGCCGACTGTGCCCGTGACCTTTGAGAACTACATTGAACCACAGATCTCTCTTGTCCGTGCACCCGCTTTGCTGATGTGTAGCCGTACTTACTCGATGTGCAGGGACAGCCGGGAATCAGTACAGTCACGTGTGCATAGCCGCCGGACCCCAAAACGGGCGACCCCGGACACCTGCCACAGAAAGCTTGCAACGTGTAACCGCAGGTTGCTTATCTAAGTAGCGTTCCGGGATCGCCTCCGGTAGAGGAGGTGATTGAACTGCCCTCTCTCTCTCTCTCTCTCTCTGGTATGCTCAACTCCATATCTGGAGGAGTCGTCGGAAAGTCATTGCTGGCACCGCCTTCTGATATACTCCCATCGTCTCCCACACCCACAAATCTACACAGGTTTGCACTAATCAGCGCCCCTACCTCATTCACTCGCTCATAGTAAGTCACAGCAGTGGTAGTACCTTCCGGCCAGTCTGATCGATCGTCAGGTTTCTTGGCGTCGACCATGCACTCCGCCGAGAAACATTCCCAAAGCATTCCGCCTGCACCTGAGGCCTGGCGCGGGCCGCGTGAGCCGGGTGGTAAAATCATACATCGAATGAAGCGAAAGCACACACACGCCAGCAAACCTCCCCCAAAGGCGAATACCACATGTACGTACATTACGCTTCGTCTTTTGGGGAGACTTTGGGACTCAATCTAGCAGTGTTATGTTCTCTCAGTCCCTGGGCCCATCTTTCCGACGGCCCGCCATTCGCCACACGTCCGATGTCACCCGCGAGCTGGTTCGCACGTTCCTCCGAGATGAGCCCGGCAGCTCTACCTTTGTTCTTTCCAAAACCAGCGAGGACTCCGTCCTGACGAAAGCTTCCGATGTACTGCCACTCGCCAACGCTGCTGCCGAGCTTATGTCCATCCATGAGCCCGCTCAAGCTCCCGCAGCCGTTCCCCAACATTCTCAGCCCTCAGCCCAGCCCTCTCCCTCCGCGACGATGTCCACCCCTGCTTTTCCCATGTCCATCTCCACGACGAAGTACGCTGGTATGACGGCAGCGCCATCTCCAACGACCCCTGGCCGTCAACATCGTCACTGGCCAGTCCAAGGGATGGATTCAGGTGAGCCCATCGCGCTTATCAAGTATGTCACTCACGGAGGGTATTTGCGACTGTAGAGAGCGAGAGCGAACCTTCGTCCACCGAGATCGTGGTGCGCAAAAAGCGGCGAAGCTCGAGTCCAATCCCAGCGTCTACCGATAGACCGAGCAGAGTCACCAAGGTCGAAGCAAAGCTCAACCCCCTGCCCCCCGACAGACCACGCGCGAAGCTTCCAAGTGCAAACAAGGATAGTATCCTGGCGTTTCAAGCACAAAGTCCCTTCACTACCGCCGAGCATGCTCGATCCATGACTACGGGCTTGCCACAAGTGACGACTCCTTTGCAGCCCATCCATTCACTGGAGGCGCCGTCACGGGGTGTACCGGCCTCCGCCGCACAACCCGCCGTGCCGACCCACCTTGATATACCCTCCTATGCGACCGGCACGGTCGAGTCCTCCGCTCAGACCGCGATGAATACGTCTAGGACACGTGTTCCCGACCCGGCCTCGTCCTCGATCCAAGGTCCACTCAGTCAAGCTTCTACCTCGGCCGTCCGCGAACAGGCCGCTGAGGTACAGAACCCTGCCCAGTGGCCCCTTATCATGCGCAGCCCATTCGAACACTTAGGTCCGCCGAGGGCTTCGTATACATCTACAAACGAACAATCCGTTGGAATCGCTCCTAGGCCGTGGCGGCAGAAAATCCTTCCTACGCCCTGCTCGCCGTCGCTATCATCAGATGACCCCTTGGATCTGTCCCATCCCACACCTCATCCCAAGGCCGTCAATGACATGTCTCCACTTGCTCCGGCTCCCACAGTTTTCCCCCTTGCTCAGCCCCCAGCAAACCCCAATCCTGCCGCGACGGCGCCCACGGCGACACCAGCCACAACAGCGCCCGCGAGCACCACGACGCCCGCTGTGACGGTCGCTCCTCGACGTCAACCCTCGGCGGCTCCGTCTCAGTCCACCGCAGCGCTCACAGACCCCATCTTGAGCTTCTGCTCCGAGATCGGGCTCTCTGCAGATGTCGCGGCACGCCTGCGCGAGCTCGGGATCACGGACGACGCGCGCATCCGCGCCCTCGGGCGCGACTGCCAGGACCAGGAGACGAAGGCTGAAATGAAGCGTGATCTGCAAGAGGCCGGGTTCGACTGGGCGGCGCGGACGCTCATCTTGAATGGGCTGGCGCGACGTTCGGGCTTGAAGCGCAAGCGGGACGAGTAGGGCTGGTGCACGGATCTGATCTCATCCGGCAGTGGGAGGGCAGTGTTCGAACCAGTAATATTCATGGAGGCTAGTTGATGTGCACCTAGCGCTACTTTTAGTAGCCCCCACACATTCCACACGGCCTGCTTCGCCTGCGCGTGGCGTTAGTTGGTAACCTAGCGGAGGGATGTGTTGGTTGTATACGCGAGCCATGCAGAGTGACGGGCGTGTTATCGTTTCTAGAGACTGCCTTGGGGTGCTGTTTCACGAGCGCATCCTGCAAATATAAGTAGTGAGTAGTACTATCAACACGCCCTGGGAAGATTTCGGCGTGACTTCGGTCCGAAGCAGGACCCCGATGTCAGGCTTGGACACGTGTTGGCCTGGACACCTGGACGCCGGAAGTACAATCCCGCTCTCTACAGACTACTCCCATCTCTGCACCGAGTGCGACTCTGTATCAGTGAGCGATACATCCTGCTCCTCACACTCTTTGGATTATATCACTATCACTAGAGGACCCATGCGTCTTTACGCTCCCCGCTCCTCCAGCCATGCACACTCAAGACCGACGAGCCGTTCACAACCCCCGCCCCCTCAAACGCTTGCGCGACACTGGAGACAATGCAGAACCGCAAGGTCCAGGGCCGTCCCGGGCGGTACCCAACCCAGAGTCGACGAACCTATGTGAGTAACACATTGTGCTCTGTTCCTCGCCGTCGGTCATGTAGGGAATGCCAGTGCCGGCACCCAAACGGCGTCGAGAGGATAGCACACCCCCATCTATCAACGTAAATGACGGCGCCGTTGAAGCTAAAGCAATCCTCCGTCACCGGTACGTTATCAACACGGACGCGGCGACCTCTTCAAGTTACTCTCCGAGCACATGTCCAACGTCGTCGACCTCCTCGGCCTCGTCCTCACTCAGCCCCTCGACCTCGTCCTCGCTCACCTCCTTGGCTTCGACCCCGCTCATCTCCTCAGGCTCGCCTTCGCCGATGAGGCACAGGGTGCGGTCCTCATCCACTCATGTTCCCAAAAATGCGAAGAAATGTCGGCCTGAACGAGAGTCAGCACGTGCAGCGCGCATCGCGATCGCCCAAGAAGCATCGCAGAGGGAGACGTCCCCGCCACGCGTGGGGTCTCCAATGTCAGATGAGGACTGGATCCCCGGCCCGTCGCAACCGTCGCCCTCGACCTTCGAGCAAACTCGATATGCGACAAGACTCGGATCGTCACGAGGAGTACCAGTCGCCGGACACGTGAAGGAGTCGTCGTCTGCAGGGCAGGAATCACAGGTGCGCGATCGACCTCCCTCCATTGTGCATGACTCGGCACTAAATTGCACGTCAAACAAGGGCGCACGCTGCCCACCAGCGCATTCGTCCTCGACCCAGCGTCCCATCCCCGCATCAAGTTCTGCCTCTCGCTCCTCCGCCGCTCACAAGAAGGTCACTTTCCACCAGCAGCCTGCCCAGCATGTCGCGCCGGCCAGCACTCCGAACAACCCCAGCGTCACCAACTCCGCATCCTCGCGTTCCTCCATACGCGCAATGCCGCCTCTACCTTCGCCACTCGCACGAACGACGTCCACGGCCGCGCCCGCCCCGGCCAGACTCGCCCAGCCCCCCGCTCCTCCCCCACCTGCGCAGGCCACAGCTCAGTGCGCTCCTGCGTCTCCCGCCGTGACAGTGCCTGCCCCCGCTGCGCGGCGCCCACGCCCGCCTCCCGGTCCGTTGTCGTGACGACGCGCACCGCGACAGCGCCCTCCACAGACCCCGCTCCTGTGCATGGTCAGCCATCAACGGCTCCGTCGACGTCCACCGCCGCGCCCACAAACCACGCCATAGCACCTCCGCCGCCGCCTCCGCGTCAACTTCAACCGTCCCCAGTTCAGCCGGACCCCGCCCCGACGACGCCCGCCGCGCCCGCCGCGCCCGCCGCTGCGCCTCCTCCCGCAGCGGCTCCGTCCCAGTCCTCCGCCGTCCCCGCCGCAGAGGACCCGGTGCTCCGCTTCTGCGCCGACGCCGGGCTCTCCGCAGACCTCGCCGTGCGGCTGCGCGAGCTCGGAATCAACGACGACAAGACCATGCGCGTGCTCGGGCGCTCGTGCCAGGATCCCGGGAAGAAGGACGAGATGAAGCGCGACTTAAAGGAGGCTGGGTTTGATTGGGCTCAGCGGTGGATCATCGTGGAGGGCCTCATGAAGCGCGCGGAGTGAGGCACGAGTGGTGGTGGTAGAGCGTTGTTCGAAGGGTATCGAAAGTGCTTCGTGAATGTGTACTGGTTGTATTTAGTCGACGCTGATGTATTCTACGTTGTTTGCCTCTGCGCTCCCATCTCGTTTAGATCCTGGACGACCAACCCTGAGCACCGGCCATGCCCTAATGCCAGCCACACCACCCCCACCGTCGCCCACCCGCCCGCACTCAGCGCCGCTCTGAACTGCATCAAACATAAGTAGCGCGGCCGCGTCCAGCACCCGCGGCGTCGTGCGCGCGAGGACCGGATCCCCTAGACTCGGCGTTGATGCAACCCTCCGCTCCGCGACGTTCGGCGATGTGGCATTGAAGGTGCAGCGCATCGACGTGCGCGTCGAACCATGCACGCAGAACGTCGAGCGCGCATCCAACTTCGCCGCAATGCTCCGGCTTGCTGGAGAATACGGCGCGCGAGTATTGGGCGTGGAGTTGGGGGCGGCAGACACGCACCGAAGCGGACTGAGTCCGACGGGGAGCGCGTGCGTGCCGCTATCGGTGGCCGCATGCCGCGTCCAGAACCCGACCAGGGCCTCGAAAACTGGAACGCACCGTCCGTGGGGAAGGCGACCTGCAGTAATACCGACTCAAAGAGGCGGAGAGACGTGAGGCTGCGCGCGGCGTCGCGGGTCGACGGGCACCGCGCACGACGACTCCGTGTCTGACGCAGCCAATTTCCTCGTTTGCTCCATCAGCTTGATACCGCGCCGACCGATGTCTGAATCCGACTCGTACATTCAAAAACGCGCAGTCTGCGGCTTATATGAGAAGGTCCATGTATCGATTCATGCTGGCAGTCGCTGACGTTCTGGGTTGTGAGAGTCGTGAGGTGGTGCGTAAGGGGCCTCCGACCTCGACGATACTCACCCGAGATCTGGCTTGCTCCCGGACGCCGCATCGCGCAGTCCCTCCGTAACGTCCGAGTGTCTGTGCGCCGGCGACCATTTCCCTGGCGCGCTGCCGACCATGTGACGCTGGTGTAGGCGTATACCCGCAGCAGGGAAGGGTGCTCAGACAGCAGACGGAGAGCGGTCGCTTCTGGGGAGAACGTGTCCATGGTCGTCTCCACGCCGCGTTCCGACTCCGCCTCTACGTCCAATACGTGCAGTTCCAGCTCCAAGAGGGGGAGCCGAGGGAGCAACTCGTAGGTCAGATCCTGAAACGACGAGAATGAGCCACGTCAAATTCAGAAAGTTCGATCGCGTACCACAAACTGCGCGAGGACCCGCTCGTTCCCGGCGCCGTGCAGCGTGAGCCGGAGCTCGTCCACGGACGCCCAGTCCTCTCCTCGGAACGCCGCGCTGAACGCCCCCCACTCCTCGTACGCATCCCCGTCGATCTGCATCACCAGCGTCCGAGGCGTCGTGTCCCTGAGGACCTGCTGCAGATACCGGAACCCGTGGTCCCGCTTCTCCGCGCGGATCGCGAACGGATCGCGTTCGGCCGGGACGACGTGGAGCGCCTCGACGTGCGTGCGCAGCCCGACCCCGTACGCGTCCCTCAGCGTCATGTGCACCGCTTCGAGCCCCGCCGGCCACAGCGGCCCCCGTCCGGCCGCCGAGCCCGCCGCGTTGCGCGTGCGCAGGTCGTCGAGCGCGGCGCGGACCTGCCCGCCGCAGCGGAGGCGGAGGCGGCGGAGGTTCGGGAACGTGCGCGCCCACGGCGCGAGGACGACGTCGAGCGCGGACGCGGCGCCGCTCACCGTCACGTCGAGCTCCGCCAGCGCGGGGAAGCGCGGGTCGTGCGCGGCGGCGGGCCGCGCGGGGAGGTACTGGACGAGGCGGAGCGTCTCGAGCGTGCGGGTCGAGGTCGGGGCGAGGTCGGCGAAGCGGCGCGCGAGGTAGCGGGAGCCGAACCCGGCGCGGGTGGGGGTGAGCTCGAGGGTGTGGAGCTGCGCCTTCGCGCTGGGGAGGAGGCCGAGCTGCTGGGCGCTGGCCTGCAGGGAGAGGCGCTTGAGCGAGGGGAGGGCGAGGAGTGCGCTGGTGAGCTTGCAGGCTTCGGCCTCGCCGGTGGAGGCGCCCTTGTCGCCTTCGTATCGCGTGACTTTGGCGCGCTCCAGGGAGGTCATGCACGGAACGAGCTCTGCGATGATGGAAAGAGCGCTGAGACCGAGTCCGAGGCACATGGAAGGGGATACGTTCATGGTCTTGACGAGGCGCAGACGATGTCCGGCGTCGGCGTTGAGGAAGACGAGAAAGGAACGTGCGGAGTTGAAAGTGGTGATGGGGAGACCCCACTCCCCCCAGTCCAACAATCGCTTGATGCCTTGGACATGTAGGACTCGGCAGGTTCTTGACAGAGAGGAGACGACGGAGGGATGGGCGTAGTCCATAATGAGAAGGAGGACATCAAAGTTTAGGCATTGCACAGGGACACGACCGCAGTCGTCGTCGTCCGAGGTCATGTCGAGAGAGCACTGAAGCAAATTGAGTTCTTCGTCTATATCACAGTGCAACATCGTACTTACCTTGAGTCGGTCAAGTTGAAGACACGGACAGATACACGAGAGCGCGCAGAACCTTATATACGGTCCTGGTGTTGTCGATGGATTTCCCACGACACTGACAGGTCCCGCGCCCCAAGGCAGTGTGAGTTCAACAGACGGCCCGTACCACGTCAAAAAGAAGACGGCACACGCGTGTTGAGCGGGCCGTCAGCGTCTGGACGGTTTGTCTGGGAGCTTTTCTGGGAGCCGTTTTATAAGCTTACAAATCCATGTGCAGTCAGAAAAGCATTTCTATGGGTTTCTATGGGCGAGAGAAAACCTTACTTGTCTTTCTCTCGGCTTTAATGTGGCACTAGAAAGATGGTCGCCCCGGCGTGTGATGCCGTCGTTGCTGGGCGCGTTCGAGTTGCTGGTGGAAGACGAGTCGCCGTGATGGGGGCGGTGAACACCGTGCCCATGCAAAAGGCCGCAGTGCCAGTGCCGGTTGCGAGAGCAAGCACACCGTTGGCGAGGTCCTCGACGAAGAGAATCGAGGAGGCGGTTGGACAGCGTGGGTCCCGGAGCGGGCAAAAAGGGATCATGAAAGATTCAAACGCAGCGCTACCGTCGCTGAGCAGAAGCCTTGCCGGGTGAAGCCGGAGCTGGTGTCAACTGTGAGAGACCCTGCGTGTAAAGAAGAGCGCACCCTCGACGGCGAAGAGTGTGGACTGATCCAGACGTCAGAAAGAGATTGGGATGTTTGGCGCGATGGTACGCGGAATCTGACGCATGTCGTGCGTGACAGTAAGTAATTGGCCAGTTGAGCCTTCGCGAGCGGCGAAGTCCGGCGTTACCTTGGCTTGAATAACGCAAGCAGCCCGAGCCTTGCAATATCTAAGTTGATTCAGCTGTGTGCAAGCCTTCTAAGCACTAGATATGCTTACACATGAACCAGCAGAAGAATTCAATAGCGAGACGCGTCGAAGTTCGAAGTTCGACTGATGAGTCATCCTAGTGGGATGACCGAGTTACTTCTGCTAGTTGTAGTCCTGTGTTGGTTTGACCAACGTCAAAGGCACACTGAGGAGGTCTTCGAGAATATGAGCTCGTTGGCTCGGTTGAAAAGCCAACACCAGCGGCCTCCGCCAGCCAACACTTAAGCGCCACGCGGCCACCGATCGAGATCCAATCGATATTCAACGCCTTACGTCATCATCTGGCGCTCCGCTCGCCCCGACCGCCTAATCACAGACGTACGGTCGCACGTGCGGCACGCGGCACGTTCGCACGCCGTGCCGCGTACATGCGCGCATCTGCTGCGCGGGGGCGGTGGGACGGTGGGACGGGTCGGTGACTCGCGTCTGAGTCGAACTCCCTCCGGGCAACCGCCGTACGTGCGTCGAGCTCGGACGGACGTCACCTCGACGGCGAGACGAACGCGATTGGACCGCAGAGGTGTGGTCAAAGACGTAAATTACCGCGTCCCACTTCACGCGCGCGCGTACGACACGCTCGGAGAACAAAGACGGGCGGCGCACGCACGCAGCGCTGCGGCCGGTCCTCCGATCGCCCGACCTCGGATCCCCCACCCACCAACCTGCCACTCACGACGCTGCCCAAATTCCAATGCCCGGGCCTACCCCTCCTCTCCTCCGCCCATCACGCCACGCCTCGAACGCACGGCCCGCTGCGCGGTCGGCGTTCCGCGCCGCGCGCCGCGCGCACCCCACAACTCAAATACTCGAGCACTCTCTTCCCGGGCCCGCTCTCCCTCCCCCACTGGCCCAGGCCCAAGCGCGCCTCACCAACCGTCTCCACCCCAGCCTCCACGACACACCGCGTACCGTCGACGCCCCACGCGTATCCGGGACTCCGGAGCGCGACGATCCCGAGTCCGAAACCCCAAGTTCCAAGTTCCGACGCCTAGCCAAAGCGAGCGAGCGAGCGCGGCAGCGAACCGCGGACGTCCGATGCGCGCGCGTACCCGGACGCGGCGATCAAGACTGGGGGGGGGGAATAGAGGGGGGCCGGGAGAAGGAGCTCATGACGCGGACGCGGACGCCTGGCGGTCGGGGATAAGTACGTGCGGACGGACGGACGGACGGCAACGTGTCGGGGCACGTCCGTCCGCGCGGGTGGCGCGAGGGCTTGGGGGTATATATGTCACACGTCGCGCCCGACCAGGCCCGAGGGTGCATGGCCCGCCTTACCCTAGTATAAACACGGCCTTCAAGCAGAGGACTTGGGGCGGCATCTAAAGGCACGGTTGTGATTACGGAGACGGCGAGTAGGTGTAGGTGTAAGGTAAGTTGGTGGTGGTAATGCGGGTCCGCAGACCGACTGACTAGGCGTTTGTGTGTAACTGGTACTGATACGGTACGAGTCGTTCCGAGGGTGTTCCGTGAGTCTTCGGTGTGAACGGAGCAAAACAAAAAAATGGGGGAGGAAACATATATGCACTGGGTAATAGCTTAAGGTGTAACGGGCGAAGGTATAAGAGGGTTGCGGGCCAGTCGGGCGAGGACGCGAGCGAGTTGGACGGGGCTAGCTGGTGCGCTAACGGGCGGCGGGGACGCCGCGGCGAGGGCGTGCGCGCGGCAGTCGGGAGAAAGCGAAGGTGTCGTGAGTTGGTCATTCCGAGGCGTTATGTGATAGGCAGACGGGGGGACATTAGTGCTAAGGAGAGCGGTGACGAAACCAAGATCGGAGTCGGGAGTCGTGGAGTGTGGGTGGATGGATACAGATAGAGCACAGTCCGAGTCGCCGAATACGGGGTACAGGGAAAGACGTGAGGAATTAAGCGCGCCGGAGCACGGCGCGGAGGTCGAAAGTAGCCTAAGGAGTACCGCGCCAGCTTAGCAGCAGGCGACGGCGGTCGTGAGGGCGTTGTGCGAGGTGTGAGAAGCCATGTAGACAAGGTTGTCGAGGGTGCGCGTGCGCGGGTACGTCGAGGCAGGCACGGGATCGCCACGCTATACACGCCAGGCAAAGTTCCGTGAGCGTGGATTCCAAGCAATGCATGACCCCCCAACGAGGACGCAATGAGGATGGCGGTACTCACAGTCATCGCACGGAACGCCGGGACGTCGTTCGTGAGCCGGAGTCCACGCCCTGAATGCCACACGCGATCTTGAGCGCGGGCAGCTGCGGGTGCGCCAAGCCGCTGTGCCAGACTTGGACAGTGAGCGCGCGCAGGTCCTTGCTGCGCTTAACCGCCTGGACGACCGGCGCGAGGGGCGTGTCCGCGTCGACGCCGAACGCGAGGTGCTGCAGGCCGGAGGGGAGCGCCTTGTAGAGCATCGGCGCCGCCCATGCGCTCTCGATCTTGAGCTCGCGGAGAGCGGTGCAGTTGCGCACCGCCGCGGCAGCCTCGTGAGTGCCGCACGAGGGGAGGGCGAGGGACTCGAGCGTGGCGCCGTGGGTATCGAGGAGGTGCTCCAATACGTCCGAAGTCGGCTCCCTTGCGAGATCGAGAACACGAAGATGACCGGTGGAGTTGTGGAGGAGCCACTGCATGAACTCGACGGAGGGTGTGGTCTGGAAGTTGGTGCGAAGCTCGCGGAGGGCGCACGGATAGGGCTCCATGGTCTCGTCCAGCAGCTGAGGTGTCGTACCGCTGACGTCGAGGGAGACGACGGACGGCCAGACGTCGAGGAGCTGGAGGAGGGACGCGCTGTTGTCCGACCAGTTGCTGAACTGAAGCGCGGAGATTTTGGGGCCAGCGCGGAGGATGGAGAGGGTGCGCTCGTCGAAGGAGGGCATAGTTCGCTTCATGCGCGACGCATCCGGAGCACCAATGATGTCCATACCGGGCGCACCTTCACCATAGAGTCCGACGCTGAGCTCGTACAGGTTGGGGCAGAGGGCGACGGCGCGGGCGAAGGAGCGGTGAGAGAGGCGGTAGGGCTGGTTCTGGTCGAGGGTGACCTTCATGCGAACGACGGTGTCACCGAGCATGCGGCCCCGAGGCGTAGCGCGATCAACGGCTTGCTGGAAGGCGATGTATGCGGTCTGGGTGGCGAGGGAGACGTTGCGGAAGAGGAGCTTCTGGGCGACGTATGACCAATCGCGGGAGACGAGGGACGCGTTCTGGAGGAAGGCGTTGTACTCGGGGGCCTGCGCGGACTCGTAGGCGGACTCGAGGATGGTCATGATGAGCTCGATGGGGATGGGGACGGAGGGAGGGTTGGGTTGGCGGACGACGGGCTTCTTGGGGGCGTAAATGGCGGTGAGGTCAGCCTCGACAGGGAGGGGAGCGGGGGCCTGCGTGGAAAGAATAATGAACACGGGATGCGAGGGTGTGCATGCGCTCGTGTGAACCGCACACGGGAGCGCACACAGACGATCAAGGAAGACAAGAACTCACGGAAGTGGACCGGCCGAAGATGAATGCGAGGTAGCCCATGGTGGATGGCAGACCTGGGTGGGACAGGGGAGGACTGCGAGGGGCGGGAGGAGGGAGGAAGCGGAGGGAGGCGCGGGGACGGGTCGGGGGAGGAGGGGCGGGCGAGCTGGGGCTATATGTAGGGCGGCCATGGAGGGAGGAGGAGAACGCCCAGCCCCAGGCGAAGAGGCGGGCGTCCCCAGCCGGGCGCCAGTCCATCGACACGCCGCGGATCTCGCCCGAGTCACGATCTCGGCTTTTTCCACAAAGCCTAAAACGCTCCCCTGCGCGCCAGAGTCATCGCTGGTCCCCTCCTTGTTCTCGTTCTCGCTCGTTCCTCCTCCCATGCACGGCCTGTCCACCGCCCGGTGCAGGCGGTGGACGCAGCCGGACGCCTTGCTCGAGCAGCGCCTTCCGCGGTCCTCGCTCGTAGATCCGATCAAGTCACAAGCCAGACAGGCGCGTCCACGATGGGAAAACACAAAAACAAGCTTTCGCGCGACCGACACAATAAGCCGTCCTGCGCCCCCATCACCCTCGCGTTCGATTCCGTCTTCCACTTTCTCCTCCGCCTTGCCCGAGTTCCGGCCGGTGACCCCCTCGGTGTTCTCCACGCCCGCAACAACCGACTTGCCGACGTCGTTCGTCAGCTGCCCGCCCGCCGCTGACGTCCCTGCACCGCGCCCTCCCGACCCTCCCGCCGCGCCCGCTCGCTTACCCGAACGGGCCCACCCCCGGCCCGTTCCCCAGTCGAGCCCCAGATGGCAACAACCACACGCGCAGCCCTGCGTTTCACGTTTTATTGCCTCATCACGTCGCAATTGAGGCCCACTGCCACCGTCATTGTGAGGCAAGCGCGCGTCGGCGAGACGCGACGCGGTCACCGCTGGCGGCCGCACCCCGCACGCCGCACGCCCGCAGCCGTCACGTACGACGCGCACGCACGAATCATCGGTGGACAGCTCGTCCTGGGCGGGGCGCGCAGGACCCCGACGTAACCTGCCATGCGTCCAGCGAGCTGGGCGGCGGGCTCGGACGCGTGCGGCGTGCGCCCGGTGACGGACCCGCCTGAACGACGAGCGCGCACACATACCCGGAGGCTTCGGCTCCACGGCTGCGCACGCGTGATCCTCCTCCAGGTCCCAAAGCGGCCCACAATGGAGCGCGAAGAGTCAACAATTGGACGCAGAACCGGGGTCGCGAAGCCTCCCAGGTCCTCGAGGAACGCGCGTCCCCCGAGGTCCGACGGCGGGCACCCGCCAGACGACCGTGCCTCCCTCGCCTGCGGTCGTCGTCGACGTCGCACAAGCGCGGCTCGCCAGATGCTGCCAGACGTCGCCATAGTGCTGGAGCCGGCCATCGCCGCCGGGACGCCTCGTCCGCGACTCCGCGACTCCGGATCCAATCTGTCCAACCCTGGACGAGGGTCCCCGCGCACGACTCAGCACGACTCCGATTCCGTCAACAACCTCCCAAAAGCGTACCGTGAGCGCAGGGAAAGACGCCTCGCCCGCCCAACTCTCCGAACCACAAGACGTGCTATTCGACGTCGGCGCGAGCGCGGCGATGGCACTGAGCGCGGCGCGCGCGCTCGTCCAATCGCCGTCCAATTCGACGACGCGTCGCCCATGCGGCGCGTGTCGCGCGAGGCGTGTTCGACTGCAGGCCGTGGGTGCGCTGCTGAGTGACGTGAGTCCTAAATGGCGCGTCTGTGGTAAGCTCTGCTTCGGATTCCGCGGAGCCTTCGCGCAGAGCAGCGCCTCTCGCCCCGACACGGCTCCATCGAGACTCCGAGAAAGCTGCGCTGCCGCAGCCGCGGCGCCCCGAGCCCCAAAGTTCGAACGAAGACGCAAACGCAGACGCTCTTGCCCGCTCTCTCGCAGAGCTCTGGGAAGCCCGGGGGGTCCCCGGCCGCCGATGCTACGGGACGCGCCCCGAGGGCCTCTCCATTCCCCTCTTCGTCGCCGGGGACCACCCCACCCACCCAACTGCCCACCAGCCACTGTGGGCATCCAGCCGAGCAATGCAGCTCCACACAAATCGACGCGCGACCGTGCACACGCACCGCGCGGAATGCAGAACACAACTTGCCTCCTGCCCCGCACGCCGACCGATCCGGCAGCCCGCCTCCCCCCCTCCCCGACCCGACGCACGCTGGTGCCGTACGAGCGTACGTACGTCCGCGCATGCATCACGCCCCCGATGTGGCTCAATACGCCGGCTGTCGTGGGCTACTACATGTACCCCGAAATTCGAACACGCGCCCGGCCTACCAGCTGGGTCGACGATGTCGATGATGCCCGGTGCCGTGCCGCACGCGGTCCGCGGCTGGGAGCCGCTGCCGTCTGTCACTGGTCAGACTAGCAGTACTTCGGTGTCGACCACCGTCGACATCGCGAGCACGGCCCCGATGCATCACGGCCCACGACGATAGACGACGGACGATAGACTGCCCACTGCAGCACACAGAATCGATCGCAGGCCTCCCCGGGCCCGTGCACGCGTGCCGCCGGCGAGTCGCGCGGAGGCGGCCAGTTAAACGTGCAACAACGTGCGCGACGTCGTTCGCGACCGCGCAGCGACGTCGCGGCCCACTGCCGGTTTACAACAGCAGACCCGTCCGGACGTGGTTCCTTCCGGATCTAGCAGCACGCGCGCGTACGTACGCACGTACGCAAAACGCGTGATCAACATCATGATTATGAAGACCGTCTCCGTAAATACGTGCGTGCCGTCACGACTCGAGTACTTTACTCACCCGCGCCGCCCTCGAGGCTGGAACGGCGTCCAAATTTCATTATGTCTGCATGGTGACCGCACACCGCCGCGGCGGTCCACCGGCGCGCCTTGATAGGCCTGCAGGCCGCAGCGCGTCGACGTTCCTTCGCCCCCGCGGGCGCGGGAGAGGGTCGTGGCCCGGCCCTGTGTGCGGTGTGCGCCCCGCGCGGAGCGCCGCGCCGTCGGACTCGGACCCGCTGGGTTTCTTCGAAGGGGGCGTCGAGGCTCCCATGCCAGCATCGAATTCGAATGTTGAATGTAGAATGTTGAGCAGCGCGGCGCAGCAGGCCGCTGCCGCGCTCCCAGCGACGCATGTCCGCGCGCGCGATGCCGGTGGCTCGGTTCGAACGAGCGTGCGGATCGGGCGACGCGCGAGCCGTGTCGCGCGGCCGGGCACCGCGGCGAAGCGCGACGACCATGCTCACCCCCCGACCCCACCGAGCTCCGAAGCTGCGCCGCACACGCAAGGCGGACGGCGGACCCTGTGCGGGACGGGACGGCCAGGGCCCTGTACGGCGGCTCGAGTGTGGATGGGACCCTCGACTTTCCTGCACTCGGACATCCCAGTGCATCGTCGAGCAAACCTTCCAATGCATGCATGCCCCCGTGCCGCCACCGCCACGGCCGCCTCGTCTTGCCTTATCCTATACGGCCCACCCTTCCCCGCGTGCCCCGCGGGTCCCTTCCCGTCCCTCTCCTAGCCCGGCGCGGCCTGCTCTACGTCTCGCCCTGCGGGTCGTAGACGTACTCGCCGTACAGCGGCCGCCACTGCGCGCGCCGGACGCGCGCCCGCACCTCGTCCTCCGCCCACCGCACCCCCGCGCTGCCCTCGCGGACCGCCTGCTCGACGACGGCGACGGCGACCTCGAGGTTCACGCGCGGCGCGTCGCCGAACTCGGGCAGGAGCGCGTCGTCCGGGTCCGCGAGCGCCGGGGCGAGCGCGGCGAGCCGGCGCGCGCCCGCGATGATCATCGTGTCCGTCAGCGTGCGCGCCTTGGAGAGCATCGCGCCGAGGCCGAGCCCAGGGTAGATCAGCGCGTCTGCGGGGTCGGGGGTCAGGGCGTGGGCGCGGGTCCATCGGGCACATCGTGCGATGCAGCGCGGTCGGGGTCGGGGTGGAGATTGCGAGGAGGAGAAGCGAGAGGGGGATGGGTGCGCGAGAGAAAGGGACAGTCCAGTCAGCCAGCGGCGCGGGCGGGCGACTGAGAACTCACTGTTGCATTCGGCGACGCTAGAGCACGAGCGTGGCGTTAGCGTTCGGTGCCTCCCCCACACTGCACGCGCGACCAGGGATCGGGCCGCGTGCATCGAGCGCATCGGGGATGGAGCTCAGGACTCACATGTAGTTCTTGCCCCCAGGCTGCTTGATCGGCGGGAACGGGCTGCCCGTGGCGATGAGCGCCTTCCCGCCCGTCCAGTCGTTCGCGTCTTGCGGCTTCACCTCGTGCAGCCTGCTCGGGTTGGACAGCGGCAGGATAATGGGACGCTCGGTGCCCTCGGCCATCGCGCGCACAATCTCCTCTGTGAACGCCCCCGGGCTCGTCGACGTGCCGATGAGCACTGTCGGCCGCACGCGTTTCACAACCTCCAGAAGCCCAACCTCCCCGTTCTCGCCTGTGACCGCGTCCGTCCATTCGTCGTCTGGCCGGACGAACTCTTGCAAGCCGTCGCGGATCTGCTCGACGCCGAGGGACTGCTTGAGGAGTCCGGCGCGGTCGATGAGCCAGAACTGCTTGTTCGCGTCCTCCTTGGACAGCCCGTCGATGGCGACGATGCCATCGCGCAGCTGCCGCGCGATTCCGAGCCCTGCCGAGCCGGCACCAAAGATCACGAAGCGCTGGTCAGCGAGCTTCGTCTTCGTGACACCCACGGCGGACATGATGCACGCGAGCGTCACCGCCCCGGTGCCCTGCCTGTGTACGATTCGAATAGGGAAGGAGGCAAAGGCAGGGTTCTGTCAGACGATGCAGGGGCCAACGGAATGGAAGGACCAACACATCGTCGTTGAATACAGCATGTGTGTCATGGTACTTGTCCAGGAGACGCTTCGCATTCGTGACGCCGAAATCCTCGAAGTGTAGGAGACAGTGCGGATGATGCTTCCGGACCAGCTGGACAAACCTGTTCCCAAACAACACGAACCGGTCAGTCGGACAGCGAGGTGGACGGCAGGTGAATGATAGGAACGCACTTATCGATGAATTGGTCATATTCTGCTCCGCGGACGCGTTTGTTTGGCCACCCCTGGCAGAACGCTAAGTCGGGTCTGCACGCACGCTAACTTGATGAGACCCTCACGTACGACATAGAGGGGATCATCCAAGAGAAGTTGGTTGTCTGTGCCAACGTCAAGAGTGATGGGGAGGGCGTTGGCCGGGTTCACCCCGCCGATAAGTCTGCCACAAATAGTTGAGCTACTGGAAAGGTGAAGAACAAGTTTCGTCTCCCACGTGTAGACAGCCGCTTTAGCTGTTGCGATCTAATATTGGCTTGTATGAGTGCTGCGAGAACCCCAAGGGCACGAAAACACACCCCGATGCCCTGCGGTCAAAAACCGTTTAAAAAGTGATTCACTGACAAATGCCAAAGGTGCCATACTCACCCCTACGCCTTGGTCCCCGATACCAAGGATCTGTTCAGCGTCCGAGCATACGATGAGGTCGATCTGACGGCCCTCTGTCTCGGCGAGGAAGTCTTCTTCCATTGATCCTTCTGAAGGCATGGTCAAGTAAAGACCTTCACTGCGCGGAAGATATGAGAGTAGTTGGCGATGGCATCCGCCTGGATGTGGAAAATGATAAGTGAGTCCAGGCTTTTTCATTTCGGAGTCCGTGTTCTAGGTGCAGGGTCAAAAATAATTCAAGCAGGAGGTCGCAGAGCATAAACATATAGCCCATCAAACGCCGTATCCGTATCCGCCGCCGCCGAATCGAGTATGGATACTTTTCGAATATCCGTGCCCTCGAAGGCATTTTTCCTCAAGAAGACATTGAAAACGGTTTAGTGCAGGGGATATATGCGCTCCGACGAGCCCGGACGCAAAGGTCACTGCGCTTTTCCATGTACGGAAGAGTAAAAGCCGCACCTCGGTGGGAGTGTAGATGATGGGCATCAACTCCGTCAGGTGTCTCTCGAGGAGCACGTAGTAGAGCACCCAATTCTGCTCCTTCAGGCTTTGCAGGAACGTGTTCTTCCTGAGCGGCTCTTCGCGGACCTCCAACTGGCCCCAGGCGCGGTCGCATTGCTCGTCCAGGGAGTTGACGCGGAAGGGAAGCCGTCCGGTAAGTCCGAACTGTATGCGCTCTTCTTTGGTGAATGCGGTGCCCTTGTTCCAGCGTGGGTTGGTGAGGAGAGCGTCGCCGCGTAGGGCGACCTTGAAGCGCATCGATTCGGGGGGCATGGTGGGGGGAAGAAAGCAAGAAAGGCCGAGAACCTTGATAGTGTGCGATAGGAATAGGTTCGCTCATCGCGAACGACGTCATCACGGAAGTTGGACGCGCCCGCCGGTACATTGCCATGAGCGTTGCGATGCCACAATCACAACACAGGCAAATACTGCGCTGCCCGCTGGTGGCTACTTGGTGGCTGCAACAACATTGGGCTCTCCACTGGACTCCGACTATCTGAGGACACCGATGTCCAAGTCCACCCTTTCCTCCGTCGTTTCCACCCTCGTTCGGGCCCAGATGGGCACCTCGCTTCAACCCACCGTGACCGACGATGACCTCGACCGCCATGTCGCCGAGCTCATCCTCAAAGAGGCGAAGCAGAAGGCCCAGCGGTACGGGAAGGATGGCATCAAAGCATATCTCGCCCGCTCGTACGTGACCATATCATGAAGGGACCTTTGTCGTGATTCTCATAAATCCCTCAGGATGGACAACAGTGCGCCCAGGACGAACAAGCGTTTCCTGTCTTCCATCATCCGGAACACAGACGACCACAACAAGAGCATCCTCCGCGCCCAGGCCGACGCTGCCTTGGAAGCCAGGAAAGAGCGCGAGGAGCAGGAGCGTCGAGAGCGTCGAGCACGGGCGGAGGAGGCGGTGGAAGCGGAGCGGTTGCGACGGCGGAAGCGGGACCGTGATGACGGGGCGGACAACTGGGGCCGCAAGCGGGGAAAGAAGAGCTGGGAAAGGGACGACCGTGATGACGACCGGAAGAGACGGCACAATCATCGGTCCCGTTCACCTCGCAAAGACCAAGACAGGGAGAAAGACACCGACAGCAGGCGGCATAGAGGCTCGAGGCGGTCCTCGCGCTCCAGGAGCCCTCGGCGACATTCAAGACGCGAAGTGCACGAAGACTATGAGGAGCACAGGAGGCACCGGCGAGACAGGAAACGAAGTCGGTCTCCCGACGATGTCGACGACGAACGCCACCGCCGGAAACATCGCACACGCCACCATACCCCCTCCCCCTCAGAGCGACGCTCTCCCTCCTACGACGACGACGTTAGACCGTCCACACGGTCCCGTCCACGGTCCAAGTCTCGCACCTCCTCTCCACATCGGTCTTCGGGCACGCCGTCCTTGGAGCACGCGGAGGCCACGTCCGTGCGGGAAGACGAGCTTAGGGCTGCTCGGCACAGGCGTCGGTCCCGTTCACCTCGCAAAGACCAAGACAGGGAGAAAGACGGCGATACTAGGCGGCATAGAGACTCGTCCTCTACGGGCACGCCGTCGACGGAGGCCGTGTCCGTGCGGGAAGACGAGCTCAAAGCCGCTCTGGAGCGCAAGATGAAGGGCAAGGCCACAGATCGTGCGCCGTCGCCCGCGTCGGCGTGCGGCCGCCCCCCTTCGCGTTCGCGTTCGCGAGCCCGGACGCGCTCTTGCTCCCCACGCAGACACACGCCCTCGCGGTCCCACCACAGCCGCCGTCGCACTCCCTCGCCCTCGCCTCCCCGTCTCCGCTCTCGGTCGGGCACGCCCCCTCGCACACGCCCCCGCCGCGCGCCCCAGCCCGGGTCGTCCTCGTCCCGCACCCGCTCCAGCTCGCGCTCTTCCTCTGTCGGGCCTGAGCCCGCGTCTGCGCCCGGGGCGAGCCTGCCGTCGAAGATGGACCGGTACTTCGAGGAGTCGTACGACCCGCGGTTGGACGTCGAGCCGCTGTCCGTGCCGACGATCCCCGCGACGGGCCTAATCTCGGACGCGGAGTTCGCGGGGTGGGACGCGATGCTCGAGATCATCCGCATGCGGCGGCAGGACAAGGAGGACAAGAAGGCGCTGGAGAAGTGGGGGGGGGCACGAAGGAGAAGGCGAAGGAGGGGGAGACCAGCGCGCTGGACATCAAGTACAAGAAGCGGGGCGCGGTGCGGGAGTGGGATCTGGGCAAGGAGGGTTCTGAGCGCCGCAGCGGCGTGCTTGTGTCCGTGTTGTTTAGAACGCGTCTTGTCTTGTCTTCATACCCTCGGAACATAGTGTACGGTCGTGAATAGTCGTAATACCAATATCCCAATATATGTACAACAGAGTGGCGCACCGCACACGCGCATCTATCTTTTGACATCCTACTGTGCGCTCACCACCTTCTGCAGCACCCCGACCTCCTCCGGGTTGAGCTGGCCCGCGACGGCTCAAGCCACCCGTGCCGCGCTGCGCGCACTCGCGGAGGAAGCCGAGCAGGTGCGCGCGCATGTCCATCGTCGACACCGGGTCTGCCTTGAGGTCCTCGTCGTCGTGGACGTCCAGCGCGTCGTCGTTGTCGAACGCGGCGCCGCGCGGACCGAGCATGTCCGAGAGGAGCGCGAACTCGTCCGCCTTGAAGCCCTGGTACAGCTTCTCCTCTGCCGTCCATTCCTCGTCCTGTTGTTCCTCGTGAGACGGCGTAGAGGAGGGAGGTGGCAAAACGCACCCCATCGTCTGACTCGACTTCGTCCACGTCGGCGGTGTCGAAGCCCATGGGGCGCCTCGCCGCCGGTCTGAAGCTCGCGGAGCAGGAGCTTGATCGCCTTGACGGGGAACGGCACGGAGGTGAACTCCGTCGGAACTGCGATATGCAAGATCAGCATCTGCCCCGGCGCACACGAGACCCGTGCGCAAGCGCGTACTTTGCTTGGTCCGCGAGCGCGTCATGATCACTGTCATCATATCACATCGCCAGGCCACCCTTCAGCGCCGCAGTCGCATCCAAGGGAAGAGACTCACCGTTTTTTGTCTCGGGCTTGACGATGATGTCGCCCTTCACGATGATACCTTGAAGGCTGGGGCGCGCGTTCGCGAAGCACGCGCAGAGCGCGAGCGTGCTGATGCGCGGCGGCCAGTAGCCCTGGAACGTCTCGGCGTTCTCGCACCACGTGCGAACGAACACCTCGAGTGCGGGCGTGCCGTCGACGGACATGTTCTCGAGGAGCTCAGACGGTATCCCGCTGGTTGTGGATTAGGAACGTGAAGGGGATAATCAAGCTCTGGTCGGCAAACGATGAGGGTGCGTGCGCTCGGGTTATGAAAGTGATTCGCACCTGGAGGAACGTGGCAGTCTTCGCTGTGCGCATCCGTCGGACCATCGCCTCGAGCAGTTGCGGGAGGACAGGCAGGACGGATTCGCCCGCACGGCGCAAAAGGTGAATGATCAGGTCCCCGATGACGAGGCCTCCGGACTCGTCCTCGCTCTGCAGTTGCTTCGCGATTACTTGAAGAACCATGTCCAGGCCGGACTGGCTGGTGGTGGCGTCAGACCACGAGACGATCTGCTGGATGTCTTTGCGGGTGATCAAGGTGAGACAAACGATGCCGTTCTATAAACGGCGTTAGGTCTCGACCTTGACCAGCTAGCTAGTGACGCACCTGGATGCAGTCTCGGTCCTCTGTCGCCGCGAGACATCCGAAGAGGCTAGGCGCAAGCGTAGCGAAGAAGCCTTCGCCGAGCGCGCCGTCAGACGCACCCTCAACGAGACTAGTAATGAGCTCGATAGCAGCACTTGAGATCCATGAGTTCTCCGTCGCCGAGCTCGCGATCGCATTACACAGAGCGGGGAGCGCTTGTTGAACCACAGTTTGGTATATACCAGGAGCGGGGGAACTGGCCAACGAGCCCAGCACGTCGGTCAAGATGGAGACGAAAATTGGATCTAGTTGAAACATTAGGGTTCCATTCTTGGCCAGGGCACGTCGTGACTTGCCTTTATTGTTCTTCATCCAGACATCCAGAACCGCAGCAACGAGGGCTTGCGCGAGATCCTTGGTGATCCACTTGCCATCGTCAATCTGCACCACGACAGCGAGCGTTTCCAAGACCAGCGTGAGTGTGTCCTCCGATGTGACTGCAAGGAACGGCCCGATGTCTTTGGCGATACGTGCTGCCATGTGAACCGACACGGCGTCGTCGATGTTTTGGCAGAAACTGCAAAACAGTCAGAACAGGCGCGACACATCACAGCAAAGAACGGACTTGTGGATAGCCTTGACAGCGGAAACCTTGACAGGCACGCCGGCTTCTGCAGATTCCAGGACTTGCACCGCAGCATCGAGGTATTGAGCCGCGTACTGCGGAGGCAACAACCTCGCGTACTGGCTCGCAAAGACGAAAGCCCGACCCTGGAGGAAGGGGAACTCTGGAGCCACCGTCAATATGTGAGCCCTGCATCCGACAAGTGAAACGTACGCGAGAGCACGAGGAAGCTCGGAACAACGTTCGTCAGAAGAGACTCGATGTCGATGGGCTTCTCCCGCTCAGCTAGCCGCTCGTCGTCGAGTGCCTCGAGCACGTCTTCTGCTTGCGCTCCAATGGCGGCAAGTGCCGCTTCCAACGTGCGCCACCTAGGCCACAGCCTAGTCAGTTTCAGCTGAAGCTTGGGTTGCCATGTAGATCATACCATTCCTGACTTCCGGCGTTCCGCGTTTGCTCTGCCTCTCCAACTACGCGTTGAATGGTAGACTGGAAAGCGGAGACAGCAGCAGCAGCTCTCCGGCCGACCAATGACTGAGACAAGTTTTATGTCAGGGTAAAGACAACGCAATGAGGTTCCGCGACTGACGGAGAGTAGTTCAAAACCGGCCATGCGAACGCTGTACGCCAGAGTCTCGTCAGAGTCCTGGGCAACGAATGCGTTCGCATTGTTGGCCCATTCCTCCTCCTGCAGGCGTCAAGTCTGAGTCCAATTATCCGGAGATACGAATCGTATGAAGATCTTACGTCGTCCTTCGTCATCTGCACCCAGCTGAACACGCCGCCGACGAGGTTTGACAGGTTGTCGCCTTCGAACCAGTCTGTCGCTCTCCCGGATCGAGCAGCACGGTTAACGAAATCAAGCATTGGGCAAACCAAGTGTGTAAGCTCGATGGTCTCGTCTTCGCTCGACGCGGGGACTGCAGCTCCCGATTGCAGGTAGCAGCGAGAGAAGGTGGGGAAAAGGACGGAGAGGTGGACGAGAGCCGCGTCGAGGAGATCCTTCAAGTAAGGAGTGAGGGCCCGAGGGAAAGAGGTATGGATAGTGTCTAGTGACTAACGGAGCCAGATTAGATCCTGCGCAACATACTAAGAAGGCGAAGCATCTCCTACTTTGAACACTTGGATACGTATCGCGAGACCGTCCCAATTCGGCGTGTTCTCGACGTCGGCCCGTGGATCGGAGTTGAGGAGGGTCCTGAACGCGTCAAGCCAGACCGGCAGGACCGAGCTGACCGCTTCCTTGACCGCGTCTGGGTACTGATTCTTGACCATGTAAAGCGCCTCGACGCATTGGCGGAAGACATCCAAAGTTCGTGCGCGCGTCAAGGGAGAATGTTGCTATGATTGCACGAAAAGGGTAGGGATGGGGTTTGTATGTTGAGGGGGTGCGTAGTATGCAGATTAGGTGAAGAACTCACTTGTGGTGCACCGAGAATGTTGAGGAGCACGGGGAGTAGTTGCCTGAGGACGGGTAAGATCTGATCTTCTGTCAAATCCGCCTTGATGAACTCCGTGAACAGCTGCATAGCACCATGGACGGAGTCGGAAGATCCAGAAGACAGCAGGTTCAAGAGCGAAGTGAGTAGGTCGGGGTATTCATCTGGCCAGTCGCAATTTGCTATCGAAGAGAGGACTCGGGCCTGCAGGGACTCAGCATGGCTCAACAAGCACTTAAGAAGAAACACGCACGCAAAGTGAGCGAATCTTGCGAAGGGGATCGGAAAGTCCTTGGAAGACCGCTTGCCGGATCTGTGTCTTCGCCTGCTCAAAACATATTCAGCGACTACCCGCGCATATATTCAGGCCACGGGGTGGTGTGTGGAGAGCACGGGATGCGAATGCGAATGATTTGCAGTTGCGAAGCATAAATGCGCTGAAAAACAGATCACACATACCTCCGGTGGGGGTGCGCCTCCTTTGAATTGAGAAAAGTAGGGGGACCAATGCTCCGTGACATACTTCCTGAGAATAATTGCTGCTGAGTGCTAGAGCAGACGGGCCATCAAGCAACGTTCAATATGCCAGATACGCGTATCACTCATCTGGCGAAGCGACAGCTCTGCATCCGCGGCGAGTATGAGTTGCGATATAGCGATGGCCGCCTCTGTACGACGCGTCTTGGGATGAGTTTCGACGCGTTAGATGAACTGTGGCGGAGGGACGAGCCTGGTGCATTGAGAAGCTGACTGAGCTTCAGTTCCGCGGAGATACGCGCATTAGGGTCAGAGGAAAGAGTGGAGGATAAACATTGGGCGATCTCAGAGGAAGCCATAGTGCAAGTCCGGAGACAAGCCTTCTTCATCGCATCTCGCGGCCACCAGAGCGTTGCGTCACAACGTCACGCAAAAACGCGTTCTCAACGCGTTCCGTCACGCGATTCCGTCACACGGCCACAATTGCGTGCGATTGCCCCCAGGCAAGTCCGTCCATGTTAGCCCACCATCAGTGAAACGTTCTAAAAGCAAGAGGTGGTGTCTATATTCTCGATGAAACAACATCTAATACAGTGTTCGGTCGCTACTTTGGATTATTATTAGATGCACATTCGTCATAATCATACCCCGGTTCCCCCAACCCATTCCCTGACCTCCATGCGGTCTCCAACACGGATGATACCTTGGTCTCCAACGATGGCATTACACCCGAAGCACGACTTCGTATTTTTCGTGGGATCTTTGCGCCGGAACTTCAGCAGTACTTTGTATGGCACTGCAGCATCACGCATGCCCGTCGAGGGGTCAACATTGGGTAACTGGGCGAGCTGGCATCAGTACAGTGAGAAGGTACAGACCAGGCGGAAAGACGCACTAGACACCGCGTGCATTTGGAAACGAGCGTGAATGTGCGCGCCTCGTCCGTGCCAGTGCTTTTGCTGGGCTGGGAAGGTCGGAGCACGATCCGTCGCCACATGTCCTCCGCAAAGGGAACTCCGGAGCCCTTGAGGACGATGTTCGGTCTGAACCTGTGGGTTTAACGACCACAGAGTGAGCTTACCGGCTCGAATCGGGCGGGTCCTCTACGTACCTCTCCATCGGGACCATCCCAGAGCTCCACCGACCGCGGTCGAGTCCACCGATGCGAGCTTCCGGGCTCGTGTCCTGCGCGAAAGACTGTACGACGCGGGTCACTTCCTCCAGGCTCTCTTCACTAGCGACAAGGAACGGGTAGGCGTCCTGGAAGAGGGAGGACTCGTCAAGGTCCGGGAACGCAGTAGTCGGCGGGCACCGCCGCCGTTTGGGTCCCTTCATGACGAGGTGCACCGGCTTCTTAAAGTATTGCGAGAGAATCTCGGATGGCGTGCGCCTGGGTTTGTCGTCTATGGAGGAACATATGATGCCTTGAATGATGAATCCATGAACCGTGCACTCTTCCACGCTGCGAATCAAATGGATGCAGGACTCAGACTACACTTCGCAGAAGTTACGCGGGAAGAGGACTCACATAGGCCAGGTATCGATAATATCTTGTGTCACGTTCAGAGGGACCGAGAAGGTTTCACATCCCGAATCTTCGGGGAAGGAGACAACTAGCTTTCCTCCATACGGCGAAGTGGCGTTGATCTCTATGTGCGGGGTAATGAGCACCATCTGTTGCACGAGGCGCGACGAGCATAAGCTGGCTAGTGGAATGTGTTGAGTGGTGAAGCACGTACATTGGGTGTATCCCGCGCGGTGATGATCTCGTTTGATGAGGCCTGTATAATGCACCATTTCCTATCGTTCTAAGGAGGACACATAGAGACCGATTAGCATCTGGCTGAAGAACACACGACGGAACACGCGTTGCTATCTGGTCGTACGTCGCGATGTTCGTGCGATGACGTGCGTGGCTGAATTGGTGCCTGGTGTGCAGCGGAAACCGAAAAAGTCGGCACGTACCTCAAGCCCTTCAGGACCATAGCGAGCCTCCGCCACCAGCGTACCCCGGCAGCTCTAGAGACCGCAATGAGCCGCACATCGAGTCCGCAGACGACCTGCGACGCACCTTGATGGGATGAACAAGCAGACTAGACACCCGCACCTCGCCGATAGGAAACGGCACGGTCAACTCGCGCTCCATGGTGTACGCGTTCGCGACGCCAGGCCTAGGCTGGCCGAGATTATGCTTGCGAAGACCCACGGGACGTGTGGGAGCAGAAGCCTTATTGGGAGCGCCAGAGAACCATATCGAGCTTCTAGCGAATGTGAAGACCCCAGTGGCAGAAAGCAAGAGCAGCGAAAGGGTCCAGATGAGCTGAGGGGAAGCGAGCGTGTGGAGGTTGGACAGGTCGAGCAGGGTGAGAGCCATGAGATCTTGAGACGGCGATGGTAGTAAGCCGAGTCCCGGCCAGCGCCAAACTCCACTCTTGCTATTTATTACCTCTCACGAACACAAAAAGTGAAACATCTATACCAGTGTGCATGTGCTAAGCGCTAAGGAGTGCCTGTTCTCAACCTTGGACTCGAAGAGGGTCACGTTGGATGATCATTTCAACAGCACCGTATCTATTCCACTGTCGAATGGGAAAAATGCCCGTACAGCGAGAAATGATCTGTATGCCGTACAGCTGAGGAATCTCTTCGCTAAGTATTTGTCGTTCTAACTTCTCCAATTCTGCCAAACCTCGCATGCCGAACCACTTAAGCAGTGCGCAGGATGAGATGGACACCGCTGTCGGTGCTGATGATGTCACTGATTTGACCGACGTTGAGCGCGTAGGTTGCGTCCTCGAAAGGCTTCTGCATCTGACCCTGAAAGCGAGAATTCGTTAGGGTCCAACTTCGGGCTGCAATTACAGAGCTCACAGGTTTAAAGAAGCCCAAGTCGCCACCTTGCGCGTGCGAGCTGCAGTCGCTGTGCTGCGAAGCCAGCTCCGCGAACGTCTCGGGAGAACCGTTGATCTCAGAGGCGTAACCTTTGAGGATCTCGATCGCTTCCTCCTTCGAACGAACAATATTGGGCTAAGATGCAGGAGCTCAGGGATGTTGCTTTCAGAGTGGAAGGGGAACACTCGCCTCTTTCCAGCTGCTTGGCCGACGGCTGCCCGAGTGCTTGACGAGGAGGTGGCTCGCGCGCACCTGGGCGGGGCGGTTGAGGTACTGCGCACCTGGGAGAGTCTTTATCTGGTCCTCATTCAATCCCTCGGGAGCGTCCCACGTCGACTCCCGTGTCTCCGGGTTGAAGAAGTACGCCTGACCGCGCGAGGTGGACATCCGAACTTCCCAGCCCGACTGCAATGGAAAATAAGCTCAGTCATTCTACACGACATCTCTAAGGCTCACCATGTTTGAAAGATGATCTTGGTGGAGGAGGCAGACGTGGTGGTGGTGGAGCTTGGCAAAGGCGCATAGGAACGAGATCATCAACTGCGATCACGCATGACGCGTTTCAAGCGCCCAACAAGCTCCCGGCCCGAGCAGCCGCCAGTTCCAGAGAGTAGGCGCCTACGATTTCCTCCGCTACTTTCTGCCATTTTGGGCGGGTTGTCCTCCTCGACTTTCTGTATGGCCCTCTTGCTCCGGCTTTGCTTCAAACACCGACCACCATCGTTGCCATCGCGTCCAGCACAATACTGTTTCGCCAGTATGTCTCGCCGCTCGCTCTCGTCTTCTCCTGACTCTTCGCCCCGGATCTCGAAAAAGCGAAGACTCGAGTATGCTCCTCTGACGGCGGATGATTACAAGGATGGGGTGATGTTAGCACCAATGGTCAGGTCGGGCGCATGTGAGTTTTCAGCTCACGGCATCGGTTGGAAGCCACTAACTCATGCATGTAGTGCCAACCCGACTTTTCGCTCTCAAGCATGGCGCGAAGCTCGTCTGGGGGCCCGAAACTGTCGACAAGGCCATCCTCCATGCCACCCGCGAAGTAGATCGTGAGTCCTGTCTTCAGAACCCCGCTTTCCACCCTCATGACGGTATCGCTCAGCCGTCACCGGCATCGTGTCGTACAATGGCGTGTCCCGCGCGATCTTCACGACGCACCCCATCGAGAAGCCCTTCCTCATCTACCAGATCGGTTCAGCCGACCCCGAATTGGCTGTGCAAGCCGCGAAGATGGTACAGCAAGACGTTCCGGAATCGACCTCAACTGCGGCTGTCCGAAACCGTTCTCAACGCACTCGGGCATGGGTGCCGCTCTCCTCTCCACCCCGGACCTTTTATGTTCCATCCTGACCGCGCTACGCGAGGCAATGCCACCAGAGATCGCAATTTCCGCCAAAATCAGACTCTTGCCGAACCAGGAGGACACACTCAAGCTCGTTGAGCGCATCGTCAACACCGGCATAACGGCGCTCACCGTCCACTGCCGAACTCGGAACCAACGCATGCGGGAGCCGGCGACATCGAGCGGCTGAGGGAGATTGTCGAGTTCGTGGAAGGGATGGGGAAAGGCATTGCGGTCATTGCGAATGGGGATTGCCAGGGATACCAGGACGCGAACGGGTGAGGGGAGTCACAGGTGCGTCCGCTTCATGCGGGAACTGCGTATATGCGTCTTGATGTGCCATCCAGGAGCCCATTCGGTCATGATAGCGACCGCGGCGGAAGCGAACCCGACATGTTTCTCCCCACACCTTTGACGGATATCCCTTCCAATTTTGTCCCCGCTTACTTCCGTCTGTGAGTACCATTTATTGTTTCGAGCCGCGTCTGAAGATGCATCCCCTGTTACAGTGCAAGTACATCGACAACCATTGGTCGCTTACGAAGTTTTGTGCGAATATGTTCAAGGGCAAGCATGATAAACGGCCGGCCAGCGAGCTCAAGAAAGTACGCGAGATCATCACCCGCGCCAAGTGCTTGACGATGTTGCAAGCATTGCGGCTCCGTGGACCGGTGAGCACGAGTTTGCGGAGATCGTAAGGTCATCGAAAGTCGCAACGGGCAGCGCGCACCCCTACTGAAGTTGCTGGGACCGAGCCGAAATGCGAGGAGCAGCCCACACCAAAATCCACCGCCCATGGAGCTTCAGCGGAGACGAAGCTCACCGTGCCGCCTGTCTCTCCTCCCATCTCGGACGTTCCTCCTCCCCCGAGTCTATTGCGGTTGCTTGACGATGGGATGGTTGTGTCTGGACATACAATACTTGCGTATAATTGATTTGTCCACCTCTTTCATACCGCGAGAAAGTGCGGGCGATTTGGGGTGGGACAAGGTGGCGCCGCGCCCATCGATTCAGATGCCGCTACCAACATGCGCCACGACGCCCGCGCTATGCGCTCCTGGTCTTCTACATAAACCCGACCGCTCATCCAACGGCTCCACTCTCTTCTTTACAGCTCAATATGTCCACCCCCGCGTTTACCGACGTCGAGCTCCAGGAGGTGCTCGCGTTCACCGTTGCGCTTGCGCGCAAGGCTGGCGAACTCATCCTCGAGGGTTCGGCGGTCATCTGCGCCACGGGCGCGGTCGACGAGAAGAAGAACGCGGTCGACTTCGTCACCGAATATGACCGCCGCGTCGAGGAGCTCGTCGTCGCCGAGATCAAGGCGCGCTACCCCAGCTTCAAGTTGTGAGTCCCAGCCTCCCGCTCGCCGGCGATACTACAACGATACACACAAGCATCGGGGAAGAGACCTCGAGCGTGCGCGCGCCGGTGACCGACGAGCCCACCTTCTGTGTCGACCCCATCGGTGAGCCCCTCAGCCCGCCTGGTCCCGTGCGCGTCCGAACCCAACCGCTCCTCACGCAGACGGCACGACGAACTTCGTGCACGGCTTCCCGCACGTCTGCATCTCCCTCGGCCTCGTCCTCGGCAAGCGCCCCGTGCTCGGCGTGCTCTACAACCCATTCCTCGACGAGCTCTACACCGGCCTCCGCGGCCATGGCGCGTTCCTTGCGCGCCCCGCCACGCGCCCCGCCCTCGCGCCCGCGCGGCTCCCGCTCAGCGCGCCCCGTCCGCTCCCCAACCTCCAGGGCGCGCTGATCGGCGTCGAGTGGGGGTCCGACCGCAGCGCGGCGCTGATGGAGAAGAAGGCGGCGAGCTTCGTGCGCCTGGGCGGGGACCCCGCGGGGGGCGTCGTGGGGGGCAAGATGGCGCACTCGCTGCGGAGCCTGGGCAGCGCCGCGCTCAACTACGGCATGGTCGCGCAGGGCGGGCTGGACGTGTACTGGTGAGTGCGTCGCTCGCGGCTCGTCGACGGCGGTGCTGAGTGGGCGGCGTAGGCCGTGGGACGTGTGCGCGGGCGCAGTCATCGCGCAGGAGGCGGGCTGCCTCGTCGCCGGCAAGCGCGGCGCGCCCTTGGACAACAACGTCGACGAGGAGATCCTGTGGGGCCGCAAGTACATCGTCATCCGTGCGATTGGAGATAGCCCAGTGCGTGTGTCCCCTTTGTTTTTCGCGGAACGTGCTCTGAGATCATCGAACAGACTGAGAAGGGTGTCGACGCGCAGAAAAGACTGGTGAAGGAATTCTACCATACGGTCGAGGACTTTGATCCCCCTGCCCCCAAAGCGTGAAACTTATAGAAACGGAAGGCGTGGCTAGATGTGTAATACAGACTATGCTGAAAAATACTCTCGACTTGTAGACGTGAAGTCAGACTGCGATTCATCGCCTGGTGGGCACGCTCAGATTTGACAACGGGAAAAGGATAGCAGGGCTCACCAATGCCCACCCGACTGATGCTGATCAGGAGCCGCACCTGCGGCCCACGAACTGGGTGTGCTCGGGGGCGCTGCTCGAACAGGGTTTCGAGGGATGGAAGATGGTGGGTGTATGCTTCGCTTTTTAAAACTCTCGCTATACTCTTTGCAAACTATTGTCAACTGCTTTGGCTATATATGAATGTGAGCTTTCGCAAAGGGGACGTCATGGAAACAAGGCCAAGGCCAAGGAGGCGCAAGGGAGAGTTCGTATATAACATGAGCCTATGCTTCGCAGTATGTAGTACAGAATGTATGGCAAAGTACTAGTTTGCTCTGGGAAGCTGCAGAGTTCGGCCGTAGGCTCTCTGCGCTCCCCCCGCTGAGGTGTACGCAGTCGATGACCAACACCCGTGCCTTCCGATGGGCCGCCTAGAGTTTTCAAGCGTTGCCTGCGCCTTCCCCGACATCCGCTCGAGTGCGCGCATGGAGGAGGACTGGCCCAAACTCTTCGCTGAAATCGATAAGGGTTTCGACGTCTGAGAAGGGTTCCAGACTGCTTGGCAGACTCTGCAGGGACGTGAAGTGATACTTATCTTTGAGCGCGGAAAAGGAGCGGTTGTGCCAGACGTTGTAGTAGTCGTCCCGCAGAGTGAGCGCTCGCACCGCCTCGCTTGTTCACTTTCAAGCTTCAAGCTTCAACGGTGACGGGGAACATGACAGTCTTGGTCCTATTCCGGCGCGGCGCATCTGGCAAAGTATCTTCGGAGTATTGTAGCCGCCAAGCACACGTGGCCCAACTCCGACCGCCGTTCAAACGTTCATTATCAGTTGCCATGTGTACCGCTGGAGTTGAATGTTGAAGTCTTCCTCCCTCGCTCCCTGCCGTCTACATTTCACGCTCAGTGGCAGCAGATTCCAACCTGCTCTGATTACGCCTTAATTGTTTCAAGTACGTCCCGCCTAGATTGTCTCGGGTTTGAACATTACTAACGCTCGCTTGATGAATAGCTTGCGCGTTTTATAGGCAGTGTCCGTTGTGCACGAGCCACCGTGTTTTCAAAGAAAAGCATGGTGGAGCGGACACACGTTACAACAACACGATTGAGCGCACCGTCTACCTCCGGCGAACAGCAGACACACTCATACGATGTCACTGAAAACCGCTCCCGCCTCCGATCCGACTCGCGTTCGTGGGGACCACCAGTCCTAAAGCCAGATTTACCTTTCTCTCTCGTCCCCCGCAAGCCCGCGTGTCCGCAACCACGCCTAGCCACTGCCAGTATTGAGTACTGCCGCTTCGGCTATCCCCTATACCCCAAACAAGACTCTACGCGTACCGCGTTCGAAGAACGAGAGCAGCAAGCTCCGTACGAGGCCACCTCCCCAAGCACGCATTCTTCCACGTCGGCGGACCGGGACCGGTGGACTCGGGCTCCGTGGAAAGTCAACACTGTGCTTCACCTCCATGGCACACTGAAGCGGGAAACCACCGTCAACCTACCCATCCACGCGGCACTTCAACGCCCCCCACCGCGAAGCCACCGGTCACGTCGCACGTCCCCGGCAGTGGCGCGCGCACGGCCAGGCGACACGCGCCCTTTCGTGGCCGCACGGCCATGCACAAGTGCTCGGTGCCTCGATGCCGGTACACGAGCGAACGCAGGGCGCTGATGACCCGGCACATCGAGGCGCACCAGCGGCCCATGAACTGGGTGTGCGCGGGAGTGCCGCTCGAGGACGCGGGCGAGCACTTTGTCGATCCGGACGAGCTCGAAGTGGACGATTGCAACGGACGGCGGAGGGTGGGCGGATGCTCCGCCTTGTTCAGGGAACAGCGTGCTCTTCTCAAACACTTGCAGACTACCGTCAACTGCGTTGGCTATGGAGACACCAAGGTGAACGACCGCATGGGGGCAGAGGCAATGAGGGCAAAGAAGCGTCGGGGAGAGTTCGTGCATTGGGGTATGTACTAGTACGGAACGTGGCAATGAGAGACCGTGACTGCGGTGCTCTCTTGAGCTCATGCACGAGCGTTGCATGCACAGAGGTGGGAGAACAAGGTCGATGGGCTGTACGCAACACCGGCGCACTGGTGGGCAGTGGCTTGGGGGAGCGCACTAGTCCTGCTGAAGTGCTGGCCGCGGCTCGTTTGGCGTGTTCATCAGCGAGTTCATTGTCTAGATGTCCGGCAACCCACCGGAGTATGATGGGGCGCGCAGTTAGATGCTTCTCTGCAGCCTTCTTCAGTGCCGCGCGGAGGTGGTCTGTGAGGCAATGGCCAGACTTTGGTTTGCGCGAGGCCGCAGCCTTGATCGCAACCGGATTGTCCGGGCGGTGGAGCGGAAAGAGGGAAGAGCGCGTTCCGCAGCCTCCAGGCGCGCACCCAGTACCGTTCCGCTGGTCTTCGCATTGCCGATGTGGTGTGCAGATACGGGGCAGAGGTGAAGGCGGAGGATCTTCGGCTGGCCTCCTCGTTTGCGGATGAGGACCGCAGCTGCGCCCACCGTATGTGTGCAGAGCTCGCTCGGACATCTGTTAAAGATGCAAATGAGATTACTGGGACAGACTCACCTGCTGCTGAGAGCAGACGACGTTGTGTGGGTGCTTCGCTTCAGATCGGGGAACTCGACAAGGAAGACGACTTGCATTGGGGAATCTGTAGCATCCGATCACTCCCTTGCACTCCCATATCCTATCAGCTCCTCCCACTCGCCCAATACGCCCACCAGATCCTCGCCCACATCCCCCGGCACCACACCGAAGACGCCCTCCGCCAACGCTCTCCGCAGGAATGGGACAAAGACGTTGACGTACATCGTCCCCACCGCCTTCACCACCGCCTCCTCCCTCCGTGCCTCTTCGGCTCCAGTCCCGCCTGTCGTCTCCTCCGCCGTCGCTCGATCATCCGCCGCGGTGCGCGCTGCAACCAGGAGAGCGATGGCGCCGTGAGCGAGACCCGCTCGAGCGCCCCAAGGAGCGGCCGTTGCAGCGCGGTCGGGGCGAGGAGACGCAGTCCGTTGAGCGCGCTGAGGACCGCATTGGTGTAGATCGCGAGCGGCGGATACGAGACGAGCACGTTGGGCGGCGCGTTGGGCGGCGCGGACGCGAGCGCGCCCAGCTGTGCATCCGAGGGCAGTGGGGGAGGGGAGGGGTTTCCGGGGCCGAGCAGCAGCTGCGACATCTTCCGCTTCCCGCGCGTCTTCGCACGCGCGGCCGAGTGCGAGGCGTCGTCGGGGTCGATCGCGCGGCACCACGCGTCCGTCGCGTCCTCGAGCTCGCGCGTCACGCCCTTCTGCACGGCCGCGATGAACAGCGGGCCCAGCGCGCCGCGGAAGTCCATCCCGACGCGCGCGAACGACGTCGCGCAGTACGTCAACTGCGTCAGCAGCGACGCCAGAAGCGACGGGTCCGCGACGAGCGGCAGCGTCGCGTCGAGCAGGTCGAGCAGCCGGCGCACTTGCAGCGTTGTGAACGTCGTGAGGAGCGCGTGCAGCTCGGGGAGGGGGGCGTCCTTGTCCGATGGGCGGTCGAGGAAGATGGTGGTGTACTGGGTGACGACGTCGTGGACCCCCTCCCGCCAGGCGTCGACGTACCGTTTGAGATACCGTGCGTAGCTCTCCCGCTCCCGTTCGGCGCTCGCGTCTCCGTCCAGCCCCTTCTTTTCCGTCTCCACCGCGCGTAACGTCCCGTCCAGGTACTGACTGCGGCCTGAAAGGAAGGCGAGTGCGAGCTCGGGCTCAGATAGGACGTCCATCTTGCGCAGGAAGCCAACGGCGCGGAACAGCGCGGGCAGCTTGGCCTGTTCGTGGAGGACGCGGAGGAGCTGGGCGAGCATAGAGTGTATGCGTGCATCGCAGTCGGCCTTGACGGAGAGGATGAGCGGGTTGGAGGGGAAGCGGGTGGCGAGTGATGACGCGTGCTGGGCGAGGAGAAGCGCATCGGCGTAGTTGTAGTTGCGGACCGAGGTCTCGAGGAGCATGGGGATGGAGAGAACATCATGCAACTTATCGTGGCTCTCGAGCACCATAGCTGCTTTTCTCCGCGAGGAGAGGAGAGAGCGGGAGTCTGAGGCGAACGTCCTTGCGCTCGTCTCGAGGTTCGGGAGGGTGGCGAGGAGAGAGGAAAGGGATGAGGAGAGCGCATCGAGCGACGAGGAGAGCGTGGAGGTGGTAGCATGTAGGGAGAGGAAAGTCGGATAGGAGGTGTAGCACAGGGTCGTGAGTGCGTTGGTGAGCTGTGCGGAGGAAGAGGCGAGTTCTGTGGGCTCTGCTTCAAGTTCCTGGAGGGAGAGGGAGGTGAGGTGCGCGATGTATGGGCCAGCTTCAGACGATGTCAATGACGGTGCCAGTGTGTCTTTTGATGTCGATGCGAGGACCTCGGGAAGTGTTTGGAGATCATCGTCGGACATGCGGCCAGTGTGAAGGAGGAGCAGAAGGAGCAGGAGGGGAGCAGGCACTGCTAGGCACTGGGTTGGTGGCAGGACAAGCGCGACAGGTTAGCACGTGCACGGTGCAGACGCCCATCATTTCGGAGGTCTGAATTTTCGCGAAGTGTCTACTCCCCACTGCTCGCCACTCAACTACTTACTAGTTATAGCTCCTCGCTTTTGGCATAATTTATTTGCATAAGTCACGAGTTTCGAGATCGCTTTCACTGGAGCATCAATGAATTGTGCATACAAAGATGATCGTGATGATGAAAAGGCCCTCTACTCGCTAAATGTGGTGTATGTACCCGAGACTAAGCTTGTCCTTGAGATACATCGGACCGATCTCGACGCTGTAGGATACAGTGATAACGGTGCCTCAGCGGTGCGCGCACGCGCACCGCGAGGATGGGAAAACTACAAAGGAATGTGACAGCGCCGGGACGGCGCGCCCTCAAGGGCATTATGGAGCATGTAGTACGCATACCGAATCTGATGTCAATCGCGTTAAACAGTCTATGCTACACTCACGCTTTCGCGCGTGCGTGCGTGCGGATGCCTTCAGCCGTGCAGGCGCTCACTTAGAAGAGAAGATGCGGCTCTGCGCGCCCGAGCCCGTCCGGCGGAGCGGCATCGGGGTCTTGCAAGACGACGACGACGATGCCCGAAGGTACGAGGACGTGTCCGCGCCGGTGTCGCGCCAGCCCTCCGCGGACTCACGGTACTTGCCCATGAGCGCCTGGAAGTCGCGCTTGGGTGAGGCGCGGCCCATGCCGCTAAGCAGCTGCGCGAGCGCGTCCTGTGCATATGGTGAGCCACGTTATATCTATCGCGCCCACGAGGGGAGGGGAAGGGACAGACGTTGGTGCCCGCGCGGTACGCGCTGCTGCTCGTCTTGAGCCCCGCGAGCGCGCGGGAGCGCGCGCTCTTGCTCCCAGGCGCGCGAGCTTCGCCTTCGGCCGGAACGCGCGGTAGCGGTACTTGATCGTCTGCGTGGCCGACGGCGGGAGCGTGAACTGCGCGTCGGAGGAGAGCTCGCCGTAGGCGATGAGCGTGTAGCCCTCGTCGCCGGAATCGGAGTCGGACGTGTCTGCGTCCGCCGTGTCCGCGCGAGCAGGGTCGAACGCGGGTTCCGGGAGCGCGCCGTCTCCAGGATCGCGCCGCGCCGGTCGTAGAAGGAGGAACCAGACGGAAGGCGGCGCTATAGGAGGAGTCAGCATGGGGTGCGAGGACATGTGGCAGGGACGCACCGAGCGCTGGGGAGGCATGGTGGAAACGAGGTGGGGGAGGCTAGGAGAGGTGACAGTCGACACGCGAAAGTGGGGACGGAAGGTGAACGGTCGCTGTCTATATGCCGGTCCAGAACGCCAAACACCGTTTGGGTAAGATTGACGACTGCGGTGGTGAAAGGACATGCGCCACCAAGTGTCTGAGTTACCAATGGCGCTTTGCCGATCACATAGCAACATGTCGGCGTAGGTGCCTGAAACAAGTCTCGCAATGGGAAACGGAGGTGGATAACACCGTTGTACATTGGCTACAATACCACTGCGTTGACCATAAACATACACCTATTCAACTACGTCTGCCGCCCTAGTCCTGAAGTGAGACATGAGCACGGATACGCGGTGTGGATGAAGGTTCTCACCTCCCCCTTGCGTAATCACGGAAAGTGCAACGCTCCGTACTGCGTGAACGGCCCTCCATTGATGTTGAAACAGACGTTGTCCTGCGGGATCTCGACCCAGTTGGTACAGTTGGCGGGCGCGATGTCGATATCCACGTGGAAAACGTTATTCGGGTTGCTGATCCCAACCGAGACGAAGTTGCCTGCGAAGAAGCAGTTGCCGAACCCGAGGTTGGTGGTCGCGAACGAGGTGCACGACGCGCAGTTGGAGGTGGAGCAAAGTAGCAGCACGGGGTTCGCGGCAGCGGCGGCGGGGGTGGGGACGTGGGAGACGAGGGAAGAGAGCGCGCCGACAGGAGTCAGCGCGGGGAAGCGTTCGAGGGGTGTGGAGAGCACAGCCTGCGCCGCGAGAGCGAGAGTGAGGAAGATCGTGAATGAGGCCATGATCTTGACGTGCTGCAGAGCGACAATGGAATGGACAGCTCGATCTGCAGAAGAGAATGTCGTTGACGAAGACCTTTATACTCGTCCACATCTGTGCTTCTGTTAGATCCGACCCAGCCTGGCCCTGGGTAAAAATATACAGCATCCGGCGACCTGTCAAGACTACATTCAGCATCGGAGGATATGTAAGACCCCATGGAAGGCGGAACGTGTCGACGATGTAGGTATAACGAGTGCCGGAAAGCGCGTCCCGAACCCCAGTGCCTGGCGCTACATACGCAGCACACGCACCTGACGAGCGCATTTGCAAACTGCAGTGTCCATAATGTATTGATGGCTGTCTAGGAACATCGGTGCCAAGAGAGATAGCGACAGAGAAGACTGCATAGGACTCGGATGCGGATCCAGGACAGGCTGGCACGGTCCAGTCAGTGCCCTGGCAGATCATCATCCGACACCCACGGCCAAACAAGCACGCACCTGACATTGCTCCCTGCTGCGCGCCAGCCATAGTAATTTTTTGCTGGCCATGTATGTTGACTTGCGTAGCCTTTCGGCTGGCGGTACGTCGAGGCAGTAAGCAAGCAAGGCAAATAGTGGCATCTAATCTTAATCTGGCTTTATCTTATCTGTATTTTCGCAGACCCCCCAGTTCACCCCCGGATATCCTATTTTCCGTCCCTCTCGCTGTCGGTCAGCACTACTCGCGAGCACAGCGGGACTAGCGAAGACTAAGTCCAGCTTGCGAGAGCGTATATGGGGACGTTGGGTGACGCTCGCCGGAGCGATGCGACCGTAGCCAGCCACGACACGAGAGCGGGAGGGTCTTCGCGGACGAGGGACCGTTGGGTATGTGCTTGTCGCGGACTTCAGCGGAACGCGTTGGCCTCAAAGCCGCTCCAAAGCGGAGGAGGACTTCTTTACCTGGGCGTTGATAAAGAAGTCAGCGTTGCGGTCCTTCGGAAGCGGTCACATCCCTCCCGTGACGCGGCGGGCGGTCTTCGTGGTGGCTCCCCTCCGTGAAGACCACGTTGAAGATCGGCCGCCTTCCCAACGCAAGCATGCGCTGGCGATCCCAGCACGCGGCATCTGCTCACCTCGTCTCCGGATCCGTTTCGCGGGCTTGTCGGGACAGCCTCATAAGTAGTGCCAACGATCGTCCGCTGGGGCGCCAGCGCGGCCTATGCGGTCCCCACACCCGCGTTCGCGCTTCTCCGTCCCGTTAAGTTCGCGTTTAGTACGGTGATCGCCGGTAAGGCTGCATGCGGTCCGCGCGGCGTACCGCTGGGGTGCTTCTCGTTGGCCTATGTGGTGTAAGCTGGTAGTTACCGCTTCGCCCAGCTTTTTGAGTTCAAGGCTGGCTTGGCTGCGCGCGGCAAATACGCAGTGGTTTCTTGGGAGACGGGTTCCGGGTCTGTGGGAAGGTGGGCGTCGCTCGGAATCTTTCAATCTGAGTGACCTACGTTCGCCCGCCAAGTACACATCCCCAGACCCATCCCGAGCACGCTCTCCACCCGTCGTCTCCACTATCGCCGGGATGCTTGCCGCGGCCCGCAACTTGAAGAGCAATGGGTCATGAGAACACGAGTGAACCGGTGTTGCGATGTGGATGTGGCTGGCGTCGCCGATGGAGGCGGTGAAAGGTAGCGTCCGTGGAGCAGCTTGCGCAGTCGTAGCCTCGTATGCGTCTTAGGGAGCGCGTGCAGCTCAGAGAGCGGGGAGGGATGTGCTGGATAGAGATGGTGGTATATTGTACGGCGACGCTGTGGATGACCTCCCACAGATGTCGACGTACCGTGCGTAGCCCCTCTGCTCCCGCTTCGCGCTTGAGCCCGTCCGTCCACCATCCATTCCCAGTTCATCTCCATGTGGCGTCTCGTCGAGCTTCCACTTGCTCCGACTCGTCGAACTGGCCTATTTCGATGGGCGCAAGCTGAGAGCTGGACGAGCATGGAGTATATGCGTGTGTCGGCTCGGCCTTGACGGAGACGATGACGGATCGAGTGGAATGGGTAAGCGAGCGACGATGCGTGCCGCACGCCTCGCAACATGTTGTAGTCACGGAACGAGGGATGCATACATATGGAGATGAGATAGTATATGTAACTTGTCGTGGCTCTTGTGCACAAGGTCCGGGTTCCGCCTCGAGGTCTATGCACCTATTTGCAGCATCGGGAGTGTGGCGAGGAGAGAAAAGCAGGAAGAAGCGTGCCGAGCGACGAAGAGAGTGCGGGGTGGTGGCGTGGAATAATGACGATATCACATAGCAGGTGGATCTCAAAGTTGTTTCAGCGCGCTGGCGAGGACGAGGCTTGTTCCGTGCGCGTGATCACGATGTCTGGGAGAGGGTATTGGCGACTCGGCGAGGCTTGAGACCACACGAATCAGTGGTGTAGTGAGGGGTATCTCGTACTTGGCCTTTCGGTGTGGGTCAAGGAAGGGACAGCAGAAATACAAAGTGTCGAGGAGGGTACATAGGACAGGATTGAATAGACGCGAGCGCAACAGCAGGCTGAGGCTGCACGGGCGCCGAAAACACTCCCACCGCGACCACCATCTACATAGCAGGTAAACGCCACCTTACTGGCTGTCTCTCACAGCGCTGATGGCCAGTGTAAATAGAATGTCATCACTGTCAAAGCCACTGCAAGGACTACCAGCCTTGCCAAACTTGCCGCGCCGCTCTAGTTCTGCTGTCGCTCGTGGTTTGAAATGCCTAGACATCATCACGCTCATCTGCGCCAAAGTCTCCCTCTATAACGGCCAGATAAAACCTCTTGCCGCCCTCGCGCGAGTCTCGAAGGTTTTTTATTCTTTCGCTACACCACTTTTATGGCGCCAGATTCCAACCCTCGAGCCAATGTTACGGCTATTCTCCACTTACAACGTACTCGCAAAGGTATTCATGATGACCTATGTTTATTTGCGTGACTGACATGGTTGTTTTCTAGAGTTTAGGCGAAGACCCAGACGATCAGGAGCGGTTGCGATTTGACCACTACGCGACATTCGTCCAGATCATTTCTAGCGTCGACCGCGCTGAGGGTATAAACTGGGAGATCTTCTATGCCCGTTACAACAGCTCGAAGTCCATGTTTCCAAATCTCTCTCGTTTAGGATGCACAATCCTAAGCCTCCCTTTCCCTATCGTTTCCGCCCTCCTGCCGCCGACATTGTGCAGTATCGTTCTTATTTCCGCCGAGGATTCCGTCGTCAAGCATCCCCTTCGGAACTTACTTGCTGCTCTGTCTACTTCGGTATGCAAGATATCTGACCTGAGTTTCGACTATTACGACAATACAGAAGAACAGCTCACATCTATCCCGGCCCTCCAGTCGCTGCGCAGACTCACTGTGGATGGACCAGTCAGCATCGCCTTCTTGGCGGCTTTCCACGCAGAGAATCTTACTTTCCTCTCCCTGAAGATGCCTCTCGCGTCCGACTTCAACTACACTGTCTTCCATGGACGGTTCCCCAACCTCGATCGGCTGGTCGTCGAAACTAACCGAGGTGGAGCCAATGGAATGGCGCAATTCGTACAAGCCGTGTACAGCCCCCGTCTTCGCAACCTCCACCTCCAAATAATAGATTGGCTCGATTGGCTCGAGTTCCGCGACCCATCTGCCGTCGAAGATACCTCAAATATTCACTCTACCCTCTCTACCTACATCACCAAAGCCCTCTCCCTTTCCAACGACAGTCTCGAGCGCCTTCATTTCACTTATGGATCGGACACCGACCAAACACCGTTCAACCTCCACTCCTGCTTCATCAAGCTTGCCTTATCCTTCCACCTCCTTACCGCGGTCCAAGTGGACGTCAAGTACACCAGCCTGCTCGTGGACGACACCTCCCTCGCATCAATGGCCACCTCCTGGCCACTGCTTCAGAGCCTACGGATCAAGCAAGAACTCGAGGAGGACCTCGAACCTTTGGATGCCTCCGACATCGCGCCCACTCCCCATGCGCTGCAGGCGTTCGCAGACCGATGTCCATCATTGCAGGAGCTCGTCGTCCATTGTCCTTTCCACACCACCACTCCCTCCGCAATTGCCGCAATGACACCACTCACACAGCCCACCGGACGTCCCGGCCACCTGCTCCGGCGCCTCGTGGTTGGACCTGGCGACGAAGAATTTGACGAGCCCACGCGCCTGCGCCTGGCTCTGTTCGTCGATGCGCTGTTCCCACATCTCCAGGGTCTAGAGTCTCCTTTGCACGATGAGTATATTCCCGTCGGCAACTTGTATTCATGGCCCTTCGGAGTGCAGGTCACCAACACGCTCGTCGCGATGCAAACGGCCAGGCGGAATGCTGCGCTGAGAGGCGCAGGAGGCACGGTCGACCTGTAGGACGACGTCCGCGGTCCTCGGGAGTGCGCAGGGTCAGTCTCGGTCGCGCAGCCCAGTTCTGGATACACGCTGATATGACCAGTTTCAGAAGTTCGCTATATTTTTGTGGTACACTGGTACTACTTGACATTCACCGCAGTCCGCCTTCGTCTTAGAACCACAACTACGTGTGATTCGAACATCTGAGCTACATACGTACGACCGCCGCGGCCACTCGGATGCTTACCTACCTAAGTCGGAGCTCATCTGACGGAACAGCGTCGAGTATTTGGACTTGCACGCCGACCAAACGCGGACGAGCGAGCCGCGGACGACGATTCCAAGCCCTGACCTCTGCTCGAGAGCTTCCGGATCGAACACTCAGGGCCAGAAGGCGACCCCGCGCCGCTGCAGTACGCCTCCCCCACGCCCCGCGGGCTCTAGGTGTTTGCTGACCGGTGCCCCGCGCTGGAGTCGATGAGCTCGTCGTCCGCTGCCCGTTCCGCAGATATCGCTGCGGACCTCTCCGCGAGCACCGACGCTCTCCGCTCCCGCCTGCCCCCTCCCGTACTCCACTCTCCCGCACCCACCCACCAACTTAGTCGACCCCACTCACCTCATTACCGCCCACCATCCCCATCCGCGAGGCCGCGACTACCTCGCTCCAGAGGCCAGAACACACGACTCGGAGTAGGCACTCCCCCGGCGCTCAAAGGCCGCGGCGGAAGCTAACGAACTCGGGCAGGCGGAGCGGAGGTCACGTATGGTACCCTCCGGCACTCACCCCCTACTCTAGCATCCGCACACGCTGCCCCCTTCGTTACCCACTCACCCCGTTTCGACTGTGCAACGGCTAGACTCCTCTGGCTACTCCGGCCCACGCGCCGACACGTCATCTGTCCCGTATACGCATTTCCTCTACCGCTAGCTAGACTACTGTACGTAGCGCCTACCATAGGGCTCGGCCCTCCAGGGCGTTAAACAGGAGATAAACAAACAAACAAACCGACGCTCTCGTCGTACCTGAGCCTACCCGGAGTTGATGATCCTGGCGCCTGGCAGCGCCCTCACACGCACGGCGGCGTGCGGGTCGCAACGTGTGGACAAGGCCGGTGCTGTTTTCATGCTAGCGCATTGCGGCTGCGCGCTCGGACGACCTTCTCTGTGGTGCCATGAGTAGTCTTCACGCGCACGGTCGCGGGTTGACCGCCTCGCGGCCCGGAACGTGATCCAAATTTCCCAGGGAGGGGCCGGCCCCCCGACACTGTCGGGAAATCCAAATCGGCATTGCAAGCCGAAGATCTTGTAAGCGGGTTTTGATTAGATTGCATTGCATTGCAAGCCCTTGCGAGGCGCTCAGGTTGACTTGCGATGGCATTGCAAGCTCAGTAGCGCCTCGCGAGAGATTACAAGGCGTCTGAAGTTATTGCAAGGACTTACCGTACGTGGGACCATATTGTAAGGCCTTGCGACATCGCGGACCCTCCAGCCGACGACGAGGGACTTAGAAGATTTCGTGAGTGCGCGCCTTTTCAGCGCTCCTCTCTCTCCTTCCACCACCTCAGTCCCTCTTCGTCCTCCTCTTCCACTCCCTTCTCGGTTTGTTGTGTCCATCGCCACTCCACATGCGTGGTGTCGCATTCAGGTTTGTGCTGTGTTCCTTTGCTGCCCTTCTGTGCTGATTATTTCCCCTCCATGACCAGGTTCGATATCGGACAGTCGTGCTGGCGCTGGGGAGCGGGTCAGACCATGGACAATGATTAACGTATGTGTATGCTGCCTGTCTGCGTGTGTCTTGCTGATATATTCTCGGTCAAAACAGGGCTCATGTCTCTTCTCGTGTGAATGCCATCCGGCCGCCATGCAGGGTGGTCACTGCTGCGCTAGGTGCCTGCATATTGAAGTAAGTCGTCTATTGATGAGCCTGACACCCTATATGCTATGTTATCATTTCTGTCTCTCCATCTCGTTGTTCATGTGTCTGTATTAGTAGTTCTCTGTGCTGTACTGTAGTCAAACGAACAGAATGATTATATTGGATTACTGGATTATAACGGGTGTGAAAGCGGTAATCGACAATTGACGCAGGCCTGAACACCCAATTGACAGGCAGGCTGACATATTGTGATCTCGGGTAGCCTTATTGCAAGACAACAAAAGACGCGCGACTGCATTGCGAGCTATTTCGCTTGGATTGCGATGCCTCGCGAGACCGATCAACCCGGTAGCGCTTGCGACGCATTGCGAGACGCCGCAATGCCGATTTGGATTTCCGGACAACTGCTATTGGTCGAAATCACCAGGAGCTCGCTGCACGACCCTACCGTATTCCCCGCTTAATGCGCTCTCTGCATATCCTTTACACAAGGATAAAGGAAACTCTGGTTCCTGGGAGCTACGATAAGCTGCGCGCGACGTGCTTTCCGACATCCTCATGCTCCCCGAGACCTCGGTAAGCTTGACGACATTTGCCACGCTGCACACGCGGTCGGGACATTCACGCACGGGATCCGGCACTTCGTGCTCGACACGGACGTCCGCGTCACGCTCCGCATGCTCAAGATCGCGAGTACTCCTTCCCGCTGCGACGCGCCTTCGTCCTCACACAATCTCTACGTTGAAGCATCGCGAATTTCGGGCCAGGAACGCTGGTTGTGCCCGTGCGGACGCTGACCAACACCTGGATCCGGACGCCGCGAAATTCGTCGCCTAGATGATGATGATGATGCTATATTGTGTCCTCACGTAGACGTCGCCCCCTCTCCATTACTCCTTCCGTGTTTACTCATATCTGTGTTTGTTTCCATCATGCCAAGATCCAAAAGTATCCCCAACGCACTTGTCTCCACAAATCCTCAAGTGCGAGCGAAGACTGATGCGATTGCTTAACAAAGCGAAGCACCCGCCCACCATCTCCCGTCCACCGAACTCGTGCACTGTACGCGTGGCCGGGTCCAGTCCGTACTTCCGCGCGTGCTCGAGCGGCACTCCCGCGCAGACCCAGTTTGAAGAGCACTTGTGCAGAGGTATATGTCGGGTTATGGTCGCCCGGTGTTTGCTCACGAACGGGCATTCGGGGCACTTATTACGTGGCTTTCCCTTGCGAACGCGCCTGTATCCGGCGGTCGCGGTGGGCGAGGGGAGAGATTTGGCGGCTTGATCATACCCCGGAGGGTTCGGCTGAGGGAAGGATCCAGCCAGGTGAACCGACTGTTCGGTCTTGGTGTCGAGTTCTTCCGCCGTCAACCAGCCCGGATGCGCAGAGGGAATATGGGCGGGTGGAACGGATTCGGTACCCGCTCGTGGTTGCGGACCTGGCTCTGGGGTGACAGAGATGATCCATGGTGGGTCGGGGATGATGTTTCGCGGAGGTCGGTTGTGCTCCGGAACTCGGAACTCGATTGGGTGTCCAATGTTTTGTTGTGGGAGAAGGGGTAGCAGAAGCGGCAGTATTCGATGGAACTTGGACCTGCCTGCGGTCTGCTGAAGAATGGAAGTGCTTGAGGTTCCGAGCGAGCACGAGTCGGATTGTTGGAGGTGCGGTTGGTATACTCTATCATGATGGGATCCGGGGTAAGAAGTGAAGGGTGAGATGCATCGTGTCTGTGTCAAGGCTGAAAGCTCTTATGTGGCTATCCAGTGGCTCATACCATCTAATTCCGCTTTGACCACAGCGTGGCGCAAGGAAGTTGTGGACGATCGAACTTTTCGCCACTGTTGCACCACAGACAAAGCCTCGGAGATAGAGCCAAGGCTCAACCGTAGCCATAGGTACCAGTGAAAATTATGGCCTGCTCAACCAGTGCTTCGTCGCGCTGTGTACGAGTTGAAACCAGCTTGTCTAGAGCTTGCGGAGCCGGTGAAGTCGCGAGCGCCTAGATCTGCAGGGGTCGCGTGCGCGTTCCCAGGGTAAGTACCGGGCCCAGACACCTGGCTCAACACTACCTTACATCTCCTGCCACCACTCACCGACACCGCTCGTCCCAGACGTCTTTGCGCCGGCCCGGCACTACGAGTGCTTTTGCGCACATTGCTGACCCTCGCGCATGCCGCATCATGTCTACGGCATCATCACAAGTTTGGTCCCGTCGACTCGAAAAGGCCAGGGTGCAATGCCGTCTTTTGCAAGATGATTGCGCACCGCTTTCAGGAGCGGGACTGTGGTACGCTTCTCCTTTCTCGCCCTGCACTGTGGCTTCTGGTTTTATTTCTCCAGATGCAAGCCTCGAGGGTAGTAGCGGTGGCGCAAGCCTTCTGGACGCATCGGTCAGATCCGCCCAATAATTTGTTCTTGGCAGGAACTGACCCGAGGTCTGGGGCCGGTTCTGCGCGAAGATCGGTGTGCTCGGATTGTATCTCTCGCCGCCATCGAAGGAGTACTAGGTTGCACTACGATCCATCATGGTAATGCATGATCTGAACTTCTTCCTCTCGTTCTCCACCTAATGCTCCTTGTTCCCCTCATGCCAGGTCCCCCTAAGGACCCCAACACATTTTGAGTGCTTCAGATGCGAAGCCAGACGATCTTCGCAATGGAAGTGCTTCATGCACCCGCCCACCATCTGCCGCCCGCCGAATTCGTTCACCGTGAGCATCGCCGCCGAGTGTGGCTGCACCCCGTACTCCCGCGCCCGTTTGATAGGTACGCCCGCGCAATGCCAGCGGGGAAGGTCGTCGGTGCGTATTCCGTGGCCGGCCATGTGCCAATTGAAGCCGCTTTTGGTCTTTTCTACTACCTTTTCACAGATCCAACACCACAACGGCGGCTTTGAGGACCCTGGCGCTGTGTCGGTAGCGGCGGCGGGCGCCCCCCACGCCTGTGCGACGTTGGGCGTCGCGCGCACATTTGCTCTCGGCTGCGCCGCTGCAACGTCTGCGAGGAGAGAGAGATCTCGGGTCGGCGGGGGGTTTGTGGTGGAAGGTGCCAACCGGACGGTTTGCGTGGGCGCGACCAGGGTGGCAGTATGCTTCCAGAGTTGCCGAGAGGGAGCGTGGTACGACATAGTGCAATGCTAGAGTGGCGGCAGGAGATCTGAGAGTGTGTGAGGAGGGAAACGACAGTACACTAGAGCCCCTCGTTCCCGGTGTGAGATTTTATCATAATCGTTCTGTCTCTGTCGATCCAGTGGCACGAGAATTACCACAGGGTCACTCAAGCTTATTTCTCCGCGGGTTCCTTTGCACCAGTTGTCCGACTCAATACTTTGGGAGCACGAGTGGCTAGCGCACAACCTTCAAGTCATGAACGTTTGAACATGGGCATCGTTGTGGCTGACAGGTTGAGATGATGTCATCCGGCCCGGGCCGAGCCGCCAGCCGGTGCAGTTCACGCGGTCATTTTGTTGGTCAGCTTTTGGCTAGTCTCCCCTAGGCATCCCATATTCTATGGCTTTTGGCGCCCCTTTGCCCTTTGCCCTCTTCGGGGACTGAATCTGTAGTTCAACGTTCAAGCCTCAGGTTTGTCCTCGAGCTATGGCGCTCTGAGCAGCACGGACTGACGGCCTTACGGGTACTAAGTACTCACGGACGAGCGCTGGTGCCAGCTGGCAGCCTGTAAGGCACCTCGGTGCACCTTTTTTCCTCAGGCTTAAGCACAAGTACTGACCTTGTGCGAGAACAGCTGTGAGGCTCGCTAGCGTCGCAGAAGGGAAGTCGCTATGGGCGACAAATTTCCCTCTGGCTCCCGCTTCCCACCACCACCCGAGATGCCGAGCTTTCTCTCACATCCCTGGAACATCCCCCGGCCCCTGACTCGCTCTTTCGATCACTCATCCCGCGGCTTCGACTCGCGCTCGCCGACCCCAGAAACATCGGCGCCAGCTCGAGAAGAAGACGTGGCACCCAGTCCCCTCCTATCGGATCGTCGCAAACGCTGCCGCACTCTCGACAGTGATGAAGACGCTTGCGAGTCGCCTGCAACAGAAGAACCACATGACGGTGAGCACGCACTCCTATATGAAAGGTGCCAGCTAACTGGTACCAGACCCTGCAGAACTGGAAACCAAGAAGCGCCGGATGCTCAGCGAGGACGGGTCGTCGGCCGACCGTGCCGACGTTCGGATACGCACCATCGGCGCAGATGACCGAGGGGGGACCAGCCATGCGCTCACGCGTCCCGGAGGGGGAGTCACTTCCCACTCGCACGGCCTCTCCCGGGAACCTGCCGAGGTCGGGGAACGTCCAGCGTCCCCCCGCACGTCCAAGTCTCCTCAAAAGTCTGGTCGCCCGTTGAGGATGTCTGCAGGGACGAAGGCGGCAAGCTTGCCCAAGGTTGGCAGTCGCCGTTGTCGATGCGCCTCAGGGACTTATATGAATGCTTTTAGCATCCACCGGGGCTCTCAGGGCTTTTGAAAGACCTTAAAAGGATGGAGCCCGCAGCGCACGCGGAGCTAGAGCTGAAGCCTCATCCGACGGCGGGCGACGGCGATTCATGGAGGATAAGCTGTCCTGCGTGCAAAACCGAACTCGTTTGTTTCATTTGACTTCGTCGAATGTGTCGCGCGCTCATCCTGGTGTTTGCGTTTCAAGCCGCTCTATACTTCACTTACAACCAACACGAATTTACGTCACATGAAGCTGCATTTCAATGGACGCCGTCATCGGAGCAACGTTGAACCCAACAAAAAAGCTACCGTGGCATCGCCTGGCACGGCTCCCGGCGTATCACTTGGCACGGCTCCCAGTCCATCCCCTGGCAAGGCTCCCGGTCCATCGCCTGGCACGGCCCCCGGTGCATCATTGATACTCCCTCCGATCTCGTTCACTAAAGCTACCGTGGCATCGCCTGACACGGCTCCCGGCGTATCTCTTAGAACGGCTCCCAGTCCATCCCCTGGCACGGCCCACGGCGCATCATTTATACTCCCTCCGATCTCGTTCACTGCTCTCTTCGAATCGACCACCCGCCTCTCTACACAGCAGACTGCCGACGCGCGAAAAACACGACTATCCATCTCAGAGACCTTTCGGATCTCCAACACCAGTACGGGCACACAAGTAGGCAAAGTGAAGCTAGAGGAGGGTCGAACGACGACACCGACGAGTCCCTCGGGATCAAACGCGCCGTTTGCACGAAGCCTCAGAAAAAGCGCTGTATCCACAGCCCTACGCCTTCCTCTCTTCCGCTATCCGCCGCGGTCAAGTGCGAGTATCCGGAATCCCCGACGTTGCTCGCTCCTGGGACTGCGCGCGTTCCCGCTCCGTTCGTCCCGGATCCTCCGGCATACTCCCGCCTCCACTTCCTCCCAGCTCGCCGCCCCCACTCGCTTCGCTCCCGTCGGACACGCTGGTGCTTTCCGCACAGCCGCGTCCCAATGTTTCAACACCACCCCCACCATCGCTTCCTCCAGAACCATCGCGAGGGCCTGCGCAACCCGACCGCCTCGCACCCGCGCCGCCTTCTCCTACAGCACCCGCCCCCGCACCAGGCCACCACCCGGAGTCGGACGAAGTTTCCAGCTTCTGCGCGGCGATCGGGCTGGCCGAGGACGTCGCCGCGAAGCTGCGCGGGCTGGGCATCACCTCCGACGCGCGCATCCGCGCGCTGGGCCGGGCGTCGGCGTCGGCGCGGGCGGAGCTCCAGTGCGCGCTGGAGGAGGCCGGGCTGGACTGGACCGCGCGGCTGCTCGTCGTGGACGGCATCGCGCTGTACGCTGGTTCTGTTGCTGGGGGAGCACCCGCGCAGGGACCGGGGACGTGAGGGGGCAGGATCGACCCTGAGTGGAGCATGAAGTGCACCTATCCCACTTGCCTCCGACGACCGGTCTTGCTACAACTTTCCGTTCCTCCCCTGTTCCTCATCCACGCAGATCGCCCCCAGGACCTCGTCGATCAGTGACAGGGTTCCACGACGGAGGTCTGGCCGCAATGGCGTCACTGCTGCGTATCCACGCGGGCGATGCTTGTGGTTGTCCCCGGGGCGGTCCATCAGTGCAGCGAGCGGGAGCGGTGAGGATGTATATCGTATCGTTTCAAACAGCAGAGGCGCGTCCGATTCAAGAGTGGAAAGAGTCCCAGTACGGCTCGTTCGCATTCAGCTCCGTGAGGTACGGTGTCTGCACGGGTCTTCGCGCGCGACGGTCGGGCTGCATGGGTGTGCCCCGCCTTTGTGTCTTCGTTTCTCGCACTCGTAACCGGCTGCGAAAGCCCCGTGGTGGAGCTTCTGAAAGCGTGGCATATGCATGGCACGCGCGCGCCGCGGGAGAAGCCTCCTCTTCCTTCTCCTCCTCCTCCTCCTCTTCATCGACTCCGCGATGCTTGGGAGCGCTTTCCTCCCTTCAATCCGGCCGCTCGCCTCCTTCCTATACCTGAAGAGAGATAGGAGGTGCAACATCGGGCCGCTTGCTTAGGTAATCAGATGGCTATCGCTCGCCACCGCCTGTACTAGTACTAGTATGCTCCGCGTTTGCTCCTATCCACCACCATCTACCATCTACTGCGCATCCGCCGTCCATGGAAGCCCAAGTGCGACCTACCGCCCTCCGAATCACCCCAATCGCGTCCTACGACCCCAAAACCCACCTTGCAGACATGAGACCAGTGGTCGAAACAAGGAGTCGAGAGGAGGAAGGTTGCTTTACCGATGGTGCGTCTTTCTTGCTCACTCTCGTACATTCATGTTGACTCTGAGGATTTTTCTTATTATTTGACAGAGCATGACGACGAACAGTGCAGCGGTGATGAACAGGACGAAGCAGAAAGCGCCTTGAAGCTCAATGACGAGAGGGAAGACACTAGGGATAACAAGCGACCAAAGGGGAAGTGCATGGCCAGTCGTCGTCCTGATCTTGAACGTGAGTTCGTATTGCATGTAGAGGATCCAGTGGACGATCATCTGGGACACCCCTCGGTACGGATTTTGTCTTTCCCTACACGCCCGAGCCTCATACCACCCTCCTTGCCAGATACCGGAGCGCCTCAAAAAGGCCCTTGGGATGTTGCGGAGGGCGCATCCCGAGGCCGACCTCGAGCTCTATTACGTCCAAGATAGTCCTGGGGTGTGGGGCGTCAAGTGCCTGGTATGCGACAGCGATGTACGTTTGCACCGTGCCATGTGCCGGAAAGCGAGTCACAACTGACCTTCGCGTCCAAGCACATCCTCCTGCAAGCCTGTTACGGTTTCACATGGAACCTCCAGCAGCACCTTCAAAGCCGCCCCCACCAAGCGCAGGCCGCCGCACTCGTGCGGGGCCGCGCACTTGCCCTGGACCCCATCCCTCGCGTCACACAAGACCCGCCGCGCCCGCCCGCGCCTCGCCGCGCCGCGCGACTCGCCGGTCGACACTCACTCGGACCACATGTTCAGCGCACGGCGCGTTCAACGTCGTCCTCTCAGGTCCGCGCTCCTGGGACTGGCAACTATCCGACGTCCGCGTCGGCTTCGTCCTCGTCCAGTGCGTCGTCGGCCACTGCGCATGCGAGGGCTTCCGCGCCCGCACGCCTTCGCCGTCTACGTCCAAGGATGCGCTCGCCGTCGACAGACCTTCCAGGTTCTGGGCCCCCGACGCCTGGTCCCAGCTCCTCGCACCAACCGCAGTTCGATACAGCCGAGGACTCCGATGGGTCCGGATCGATTAATCCCCTGCAAGTCATCGTCCTCCCGAGAGAGAAACCTGCCAATACCGAACGACCTCCTAATGTGCGGTGGATCGTACATGAAAACGAATATTGGCAACCAGAGGTAACGGCGTCCCCTTCACGAGTGGAACGTCGTGGTTCACAATCGCACAGGTGCCCCCACACGTGCACAACGTCCTCAAGAACGCAAAGGCGACCAACATATCTTTGCACTACGCAGTCACCGACGACGACGACGTCCACAAATGGAGCGTGAAATGCCAATACTGTGGCAAGGTACGCCGCGCACGAGCCCTTCATGCGTACCCAGGGGCTGACGCTTCCCTCCGATTCCCATCCGAAGTACGTCTCTCTCAACGTGTCGAAGACTGAGCCCAACAAGATACTGCGAAACTTCCGCGACCATCTCACCAAGTCGCATCCAACCCTGATGCCACGCACGCGCCGGCGGAAGCGCGCCGCTGCCGCCACCACACCCAGCCCGCGCCTACAACGGGGCCTCATGACCCCGCCCGCCTCGCGGGAGGTTCGCCGCACACGACGGTCGGTCCAGACGTCGCCCTCGACCTCGCGCGCCGGGCCACCGTCGCGGCGTGCACGCGCGGCGCGTTCCGTATCGCCTCGTCGCCCGTCGCCCGCCGCTGTGGTCGACCCCCTGACGCAGTTCTGCGGGGAATTCGCGCTCAACGAGGACGAGGAGGCGCAGCTGCGGGAGGTCGGGATCGTCGACGAGAGGAAGATCCGGGAGTTCGGGCGGGCGTCGCGGGGCGACGCGAGGATGCGGCTGCTTGCTGCGCTGGAGGAGGTGGGGATGAGCCGAGCGGCGCGGCTGCTGGTGGAGACTGGCCTTGTCGAGCGCGCTGCGGGTGCTCCTTGAATATCCGAATTTTTGTACAATTAAAAATGCTTATCTGCTAGTCACATCTACCCCACTACGGCGGGAGATGACTGACGGCCGGGCGGCGGGGAACGCCGTGCACGCTGCGCGCACACACGTGAGTCTATCGAACGACCGCGCAGAGCATGACGTGCTCGCGGGGAAGCGGGCGCGACACTGAACAGCCGACTCATTTTCGCGTCGTCGTAAACACTCTCACCGAGCCGAGGTCGCATGCGACCCTACGGGTCGGGATCTCGTGCGCGCGCGCGTCTGCGGTAAAGTCGACGGACGTGCAGCAGCGGCCAGCCAAGGTGATCCAATTATCGATTATATCCCCAATGGAGCCGGTTCGATTCGGACACACTGCGGAAGGCTGCAATGTCGAAGCGGTCGACGAACGACATTGACAGCAGTTTTGCATAAGTATGGTGGATGCCCCGAGCACCGTGGCCAGACCAATGTTGCGCACTTCACCCTCGACGTAATCCGGACACCTACCGCCTCTGGAAGTCTTACTTGAATGGATAGTCATTTAAATGTCGTAGAAATACGGGTGATATGCAATCCCGGAAAAGGGCATGCTGTCAGAGTACATGGCTCAGACACCATCGTGAGCAGCGCCTAGGCGCCATGCCAAGAAAACAATGCGGTCAGCTGCGGGAAAAAGATGGCGTTGATAGCTCCGAACCTGGAAAAGAGTGATGGAGCATGGCGAAATGAGTGTTGGTACGTATACTGGGCAGCGACGGAATACTGACACGGCCATTTGCTTCTGTATAATATCCCAAAGAGATCCGCCAAAACCTGCACCATCGCCGGTGATGTGCTGCGCTCGGGGCAGTGTGGAACTGTGCTAGTGGTGGCGGCGTCAGCCGAGAGTACTGGGGCAGATGACAAAGGGAGCACTGACGCGTCCTCCACGCAGATTTGGTGGCAGGGGGCGCGTTCCCCATGGCCGTTTGAAGGGGTTGAGTTTTGCTAGTAATGACGTCAGGGACGACGCTGGGGGAGGTGGAGAGAGAGAACTGACGCGGAATCCATACGGACTTGGTGGGCTGCGAGCCCGTTCTCAACGATTGGTGCAAGGCTTGTTGCATGTTTTCGACCATGCTAGTGATGACATCAGTCGACGAACGCTGGGGGGGATGACGAGCGTGGAGGAACTTAGTACCGACGTTATAACAAGAGCCTGCATCCTATTCTGGTGGGCCTCGAGCACACGGGCGATGCTGGTGCAAATGGCGTCAGCGGACGGATACTGGGGCAGAGAGGAGCACCGACTTAGCGTCCGCGCGCTCTTGACGGGCATCGAGCACAGACTTGATCACTGTACGCACAGGCTCTGCGTCCGTGCTCCTGATGATGCTCTCCAATGAATGTTTTCTGAGAGCGCGGGGAGTCTGGGCGCGCTGCTATTGGCGATTGCAAGTGGGTCGAAGACGCCCCGTCTGACGAGAAATCGCTGGGGCGAGCTGCCGTGGAGTTGGGCATTGTAAGACCCTGCGCAAGACCCTGACGATAGATCCACTTACCGAACGAGAATGAGGCGGATGAGGGCTCAGGGAACATTGAAGCCCTGTGGACGAGGGCGTATTTGAGGTAGGAGTCGGTGGTAGGAGGAGTGCGAGCGCGAGTCGCCGACGCCCGTCTCGGAGACGTCGGAGGACTACGCGACGGGGGCCAGGTTTCGCGTCCTTCTGTTCGGCTTTCTTGGGCATGGTGAGTTTAACGGATGGGTCCGGCGGGCAGCCTTCACTTGAAGTACTCTCTTTTTTTCATGTGATTGCAAGCCGGCGCGGAGGGTACGGGTTTTGGACGAGGGAGGGGGCAGTATCATTCGCCATTTCCCGATGTTCGATTTCGTACGTCCCACTCCCGGGATCGGAAGCCAACAGGGCGCGCCGGTGCCCGTGCGACACCCTCCGTTTCGATGTTGACCATTCCGGTGGCGGAAGAAGGCTCCTGTCGTTCGCTCAAGTTCGCGGACTTCAAGGCGCTGCGCCCGTCGCCCACATTGTGAGGGCTTCCGTGCCAATGCGGATGGGAGAGTCCAGACCGTTCGCAGCTTGTCGGTGTGGTACTACCGGTGCAGAATAACTCACCTGGCTCCACTACCTGAGGCTGCCACCCCTCGCCCGTGCGCAGATTGGGGTCTTTGACGAAGGCGCGTGCCGCGTCCGTGAAAAGCTGCTCCGGCGTGATGTCGGCGGAAATTCTAAGGCGGGCGGGGCCAGGGGGAATTGGAGGTATACAGAGAGCAGGAGGTAAGTACTGAAGGATTGTGCGACCGAGGCTACGTATGCGGATAACGAGCTCACAAATGATGAGGAACACGCGGCTGGTGTGGGTGGGGTCTGGGGAAACGGACCCGCTCAAAACACGCAATATATGCGCGTTCCGTCGTCGCGTCCGTCCGACACCTCTGTCAGGGTTGCCCGAGCGCTCACGAGACAAGGCTGCCGTTCGCGACACGGCCCCAAACTTGTGCCTCTCGCACTAGAGAACTTAAAACTCACATGTTGAGGCTAGTCATGTCTAAAACGGGGCTTGACCAGACGACACAAGAGATGCGAAGCGTGCGGTCTGCTCAGAAAAACGAGAGGGACAGAAAGAAGACGAGGTGGGACCGGTCGGCGCCGGACACGTCGTGCCGCGCTGGTCGAGCGGAGTTTAAATCCCAGCCACCGATATACTGTACCATTTCACTCAATTCGAATTGTCACGGTCACACGGCCTCCTGGGGTACGAAATTTGGGCGCTTGTCACGTGTCCCCGGCCGGTCTGTCGAATTTGCAGGTGGAGGTCACACCAGGCGCCGGCGAGGAACCAGTTGATGAACAGCCGCTTCGAGGCCGAAAATGGCTCACTGAGAACAGAAATCGCCTCTAAGTCTCTGCTAAAGCCCATGTATGTAAGAATCCGCTTTCTATGCCCTTCAAATCCGAAATTTACCCACCAGTTTGTCGAAATTTCGACCATGTCACGGCCCACAGGGCGGTCCGTCGAATGTCGAATCCGTATTTTGGATGTCACACGTCACAAGGGCCGTCGAATTGAGTGAAATGGTACAGTATATCTGACCGTTGCAATGCCATCAAAGCGCTATGTTATTCCGCTAGCGCTCCCCCATGGTGCAGCACACGGTTTGTTTCGCTTGTAAAACCGTAAATGTGAAGCTTAGTTTCCACACTCCGAGCCGTAAGTCACCTTCACCATCTCATCTGCACTGCGCCGAATCGCTCAGGCGCGCTTTCTATCATGTCCAGACGCTGAGTGAGCCTGGCCGCCCGCCTGGTCGTGGGTTGCCTGCGCAATGCGCGAGAAACTTTACCGTGCTAAAGCAGGACAATATCCCGCATGTGCGGGACGCGTTGAAGGAACCCTCCAGTTTCGAAGACAACACAAGATCAAACTACTCAGATACAATTACACTTGTCATATCGCAGAGCCACACGAGCGTGCAATCTCAAGGGGCACCCGCAGCGCGCTCCAAGAGAGCCGCCCTCACGAGCAGCCGCCCCACGAAGCTCATCCCCTCTCCCTTCAACGCATCCATCAACAGATCCATCGCCTCCCGCCGCGACCCCCGCCCGAACTCCCGCATCTTCGTTTCGTCCTTCAGACCCACGCGTCGGAGCAGCGCGCCTTCCTCCGCCCCCAGCGCGAACTCGGCGCACAGCCGGTCCACGGCGTCTGGCGCGGCGCGCGGCGGGGGGATGGCAGGCGAGGCAGACCGCGAACTTGCATGCGCGCGCGAGGGCCCGGCGGCGGAAGCGGTGGCGCGCGATGGAGCAGCCATCCGGCGGGCTGGCGAGCGCTGGCGGCGAGAAGTGTGCTGGCTGCGGTGCGGTTCGACGCATCTCAAGTGGCGCCGGACGTTTTTCACGACGCGACGTTGGGTATTGACGGGGATGTGCTGGGATGTCGCGAGCGTTGCGATAGTAGTCGGAGAGAGTGGCTGGGATCAAAACGCGTTTCAATGCACGGAGCTCCGTTACTTGACGTACCTTATCGCACGTGTGGCACAAGACACTCCATAGGGGACTGTCGTCGTCACCGGCGGGGGAGTAGCAGAGAGAGAAATCGATCGTCGTGAGCTTCGTGAGGGCCTTTCGCAGATGGCTGGGGACCTACGCGGCCGCAGAAAACGCGCTGAGACAGAGGAATGATTCGTACAAGAGTTCTCGTACCTCAGGTTGCCAATATTGGTTCGCATGCACAATCCATTGGAGAGCACTCCGGCTCCTAACGTACTCGACTACGGACTTGGTTGGAGGCTTAATTAGCGTGCCTTCAAATTGCAACTAGAGCGATAGTGAGTGAAAAACTCAAGCCGCCTAGCATATAAACATAGATACCACATACGTTCGGATGACTAGCTAAATCTGACTCGGACGACTGATCGCTCTCGACATAGTCCTCATCTTCATCGATAATAGTCCGTCTGGAACGCATGAAGTGAAGGGAAGGGAAGGACGTGAGAGCGTGCAGTAGTGAGATGGGGTGGATGGGTGGGGGGCGCAGAGGCTGGACAGGGTAGAACCGTCCTCATGAAGTCCTCTGGCGACTCTTCTATTTCTATGCTAGGCATCACAAAGAGAAGAATCTGGACGCCTCGAATTCCCAGGATGGCCAGGATTGGGTAAAAGTAGAGACTTACTTGTCTTACCCGGTGAACCAGGCCGTACACGCTGCGCGCCCACGTTCCTGCCTGCCCCAGCCCTCCAGGCCTCAACAACACTGAAGGAGAGTGCCGGGACTTCCCGGGCCATTCCCAAGGACACTTCGCCGCTCATAGCGTGGATTCCTTCGACGCCGTGAGCAGCGGCGAGCAGAACTATTTCGCCGAGACCACGGAGCGCCTGCGCTGTCCTGGTGCAAAATCGGCAATGCTTCATCAAAGCCGTATTCGTGCGTGACGCTCAGTACGGAGAAACGAATGGCTTCAAACACTCACACCTTGCGCACATAGATACTAGAGGACGTGGTGGATATCCAGGGCCGATATCCTGTTGATTACTTACTTTATGTTATCTCATATGATACAGCTCAAGGACGGACGTCCGATATGGTCATACCTATTTTAGTTGGTACTGTACAGTTTCTCGGCACTCTCCGCGAAGTCCCGGCATGGCGCTCGCTGAGTCAGCCGCTCGTTCATACCTCAGTCATTCAACCGCCGCTGAACGGAGGAGTCCGAGGAGATGGAACGACGACGGGGCTGTGCGGAATGTGAGGGGGCCTTTCGGGTGTGCGGATAAGACAGTGAAGTCGTTGACTCACCGCTTGGAATACTTGCGGAAGCTGATGAGTGGGATTCCTGCTTGTTTTGGAGTACGGAGATCCTTATATTAGTGTCTGTAAAAACGGCTATAGTGGAGTAGATCATTAGTGCGAAAGATATAGCGCATGGAATTAGAGCGAATATTTGGTACATGGCCGGCAAGAGCAAGGGACGCACGGCCGCTGGACCGGACTGGTCAATACGGTTGGGCTATTACCGTCACAAACGCTTCGTCGTTTCTCAGAGCTTTATTTTTCGTGCGCTCCAACTGCAGCAGTGTTCCGTGGACATTCTGAAGAGCCTCGCGTACTAAATTAGTTGCCAATCTCCGAGATCCCCGCGACTTTCAAGCGCTCGTCGTGCCACATTCGGTTCACCCTGGGGCCAGTTCACGCGCGCACTGGAGAGATAGGGCTCTTCTGAATCCGCGCTTTACCACGATCTGGGAGCCTTGGAAACGTTATGTGATGCAGAAATGTGAGGGTGGCGACGGCGTGCTTCACCGCACCGTCTCGGCCGCTCTGCACGCCGTTTCTCGTGTCTTCACAATGCGTGGCACAACAAAGAAACTCAGGCGCACATCTAGGTGAGATCACAGGGTCGTCAGAGCCACCCATCAATCATATTATAGACGGAGTGCCGCGTCCTCCTCCTCCCATTTCCTCTCTGCTTAGGCCTCCTTCCCGCATTGTACCTCCGCGCTCTGCCTCGCTGTATCCCTTTTATTACACATGTCCCCTGGCAGGCGAGACTACAGTGACGGGGAATACATCCCAAGCTCACAGTCCCCTGATCCTGCCGGGATTGCAAGGGGAGAAAGGATAAAGCCTCAACTCCATGACTGGGTTCCGCACAACTCGGACGACATTCCCTCAGTAGTATGTCACTCCATTGTCAGCATTTACACCCCCCATCGACCGACACTGTCGCAGATACCGCCGGCCTTGCGAAAAGCCCTCGACACTCTCAACAGTGCGGAGAAGGCCGCTCAAGGGAACATCGTGTATCACGCTCAACTTGCGGAAGACGACGAACCAAGCGAATTGCGATGGGCCCTCAAATGTTCCATCTGCGACAAAGTGAGCGCACGAGTCCGCTGTCTGCGCACCCCTTTCTTGCGCCGGCACCTGACCACACACCTTCTTCCGAACGTCCAAGTACTTCATCGCCCAATATCACGGCAGCCCCGACATCAGACACTTCAAAGCCCACGTCGCCGGGAGGCGGCATGCGAGGATCGAGCGGGAGCGAGCCAAACCGAGCCGAGCCAACAACGCCTTTGTCGCGATCACCCCACCCGCCTCTTCCCGGCGGCCGGGTCGCCCTCGCGGGCGGTCGTCATCCCCTGCGCCGCGCGCGGGGTCATCGCGCGCACGCCTCGCGTCCGCGTCGCCGCCACCGCGCGGACGCCGTGCGGCGGGCGACGCCGTCGCGCGCTTCTGCGACAAGTTCGGGCTCAACGCCGACGACGCCTCGCTGCTCCGTGCCGTCGGCCTGGACGAGGCCAAGATACGGGTGTTCGGGGACGTGTCGTCGGAGACGCTGGATGCGCTTTTGAACGGGTTGAAGGAGGAGGGCATGAGTGTCGCTGGGCGGGCGTTGGTGAAGTACGGCCTGCAAACGGGGAACGCGCGCGAGTGAGTATTCTCGACGGCTTGTGCGGACGGTAGTGCCTCTTTGTTCCTTTCATCTCTGAGATCGTTCTTGCATCCGTCGTATAATTTTAACCCTACAAAAATCCCTGTAAACGGTGGATAACCTCCGCGTCCCCGCGCACCTGCCGCGCTACAATGTGGAGCGCTGCCATCTCGCGCTCACGCTCGAACTCCGGCCTGCCCAGGTGCCTTCTCGGCCCGCGCCGCCCGCGCGTCCGGGTGCTTTGGGGCTGCTTCAAGCCCCCGCAATGACTGATGCTGTAAAGCGGGCGGGACAGAAGGGGGTGAAGCGTATTGTTGGCGCTCTGAATGAAGAGGGAATGGAGACCGCTGGGATAATATTGGTTAGCATTGGCCTGGATCAGTGAAAACGGGTACGTCATCTTAAGTGGTGGCGGGTTGTGCCGGGGTCGATTGGAGGTGCGATTTATGTGGCTGTAGGCAGTACATGCTATCCGTGCAATGTCGTCGTGTTGCAACCTCGTCCCAGCGCGAGCCCGCTGACGCGGCGGAAGACGTCGTGCTCGTTTCTGAGAAACAAAGCAGACGACAGCAGGCGCGAAGCGCAGAAAATGTACTGAAGATCACTTTGTTCATTTTGGACAAAGGCCTTCTCTTCGTGCAGCGCCGTCAAGCGAGAGGAAGTGGATGGGGAGAGGGAAAGCAAGCGATGTATGGTTTCCATATATCGCGCCGGGGCATGAAGGCCGCGTCGAAGTTTCCAGGCCTTTTTTTCCCGTATTGACCTCCAGCGCGGCGCAGACTGTGTAGCCTTTCCCGTGAACATAACAATTTTCGCGCCTGTTTCCGCGCTTCCTGTGGAAAGTCGGACAATGCCATTCGCTATGCGGTCTAAGTCTACTAAGGGACGAATTATTGATACAGAAGCCTGATCGGGAACATATTGATACACTCATCGTACCGCCTTCTGTCCTCCTCCGACTCGCCTCCCTACCGCCTCCTCGCGCCCATCTTCAACATTCCTTTGTTCCCCTCGATCCAGGGCGCCTTCAGGTCACCGACGCACCCGCTGCCCTTCGTCACGTACAAGTGCCGTCGCAGCGAGTCGCGCCGGCTGAAGCCCATCAAGCACCCGCCCACCATCTTCCGCCCGTCGAACCAGTACGCGTCCCCCTCGCCCGGACGCAGCCCGAACTCGCCGGCGCGCTCGAGCGGGACGCCCGCGCAGACCCACTGCGGGGGAATGACCTCGCCGAGGTGGGACTTGACGTGCCGGAACCAGAGCGCGGCGCAGTCGTCCGTCCGCACCCACGGGCAGTACGGGCAGTTCCGCGTGTCGTCTGTCGGCAGCGCGAGCGGGGTGTCCGCGGGGACTTGCGTGTTCCTCCGCTTGTACGTCTTCACGGTCGCCTGCGGCAGTGGCTTTGTGGAGGCGACGGAGTCTGGGGCAAGAGTGGGATTGGGGGAAGGGACAGGATCTGACGAGGGAGTGGCGTCTGACGCGACGAGGGACTCGGAGTACGTAGCGTAGTCGGCCCGGCAGAGAGCCTCGCTTGGGTGCAAGTACGTAGGTAGGCGTCTTTCGGCCTCCTCGTCACGATGTGTAGGTGCGGTAATCTCGACTAGGAGCGCTTGGGATTCGCGTATCCACCGAGCGGTTGCGGTTTCAGTGGCGCAGGGTGTGGTGGTCTGGGACTGGCGCTGTGACATGATGCGGATGCGGGAGAAGATGCGAAGGGGAGTGGTGTTACTCATATTTTCGAGGGAAGATATATGATTGAATGGTCATTGTGTCTGGTGGCAAGCGGGAACATCATCAGAAACTCGCATTGTCCCCTTTGCTCTACCAACTCCTAGACGAGTAAGGCGGATGGTGACGGTCGAGTCTTTGTTCCACACAATAAGCGTCGCATGCAGGCCCCCCCTCGTTGAGTTTCCCCTAGGCTCGGAGGAAGCGTGTACTCATCGAGACCCAACCCACTCGTGTACCCCTCGCCTGCACTCTCTGTCCTCACACCTGTCGCGCATATATAGGAGTAGGATACGAACCAGTGATATGAGCCATAGATTGAAAGGGCGCCTTGACCAGAACACGTTTCCTCGGCTTCCATAAGTCCAAGTTTCCGCTGACCGAAGAGAGAAATCCCCCGTGGATACCGCAACGAAAAAGCCTTCCGCCGCGAAGGCCGTGAATATCTTCTGCAAAGGCCGGAAGTCATTCCCTGACGAGGCGTGCCCCAACGACTCTCGAGCGCGTGGGTCCAGTAGACATTTCCGAAGCCGAAAAGCACAGAGTAAAGCGGATGGTTTGGGTGATTGGAGATGGAGGAGCGGAGGAAAATGCATATGAAATCGGACCGTGCCAGTCATGGTGACCGGCCCGGAGTGGGCGCCGGATAACCGTGATGGCGGCCAGGCCAGTCCAAACTATGACGTCGTATACATCGCCCGACAGCCACGACATGATCAGTTACAACGTCGAATATTCGTGGACAGGGCTCATTATGCCCTCGAGCGACGTTGAGCAGCCTCTTGTGCGCCACCCTCGCCGGAAGGTCAGACATTATTCTCACTATGGATCTGTATACTACAGCCTGCTCTCGCCCTCCTTGACGTGAAGCAACCAGAAATCCGTGCAGTCCCACCACACAGCGCACCGTTCCTCCCGCGGCCCGCAACGCCCTCAAGCTTGCTTCCCCGCCCGGCGCCGGACGATCCCGTCCATGACCAGCAACCGCGCCGTCCAATCCAGCCCGACGTCCTCGAGCCGCCGCGCGAGCATCTCCCGCGACTGCGCGCACACGTGCCCGAGCGCGGCGATCCGGTCGTCGTCCGTGATCCCCAGCGCGCGCAGCTTCTCCGCGACGGCGACAGTGAGCCCGATCTCTTTGCAGAAGCGCAGGACGGCGTCGGCGTTGGCGCTGGCTTCCGCGCCTGTCCGTTCTTGGGACACGACGTTCGGAGGGGAGGCGGAAGAACGAGAGGGGCCATGCGCGTCGGGTGGTCTGGAGGAAGCGTGCACGGCAGGAGGGGAGGAGGGCGTGGGAGGGACAGACGCAGAAGTGCGCGCTGCGAGTGCAGCGCTCGTCCGAGGAGGGGTCGATGATGCGCTGGAGCCGGGCGCACTGCTTGCATTGGAGGTTTGTTTGACAGCTTCCGAAACGCCTGGAAGCGCGGGCGCGGGCGTCGGGGAGGGAAGCGATACTGGCGCGGGGACTACTGGAACCTTTATGGTCAAGAGACCGCGAGATGGGCTGTTGGTGCTGGGAGGGGCCTGTTGTGGTGTATTCAGCGGAGCGGATACAGGCGCCGTGGAGGCCTGCACAGCAGCAAGGCTGAGAGGCTTCGACTCCAACGGTTCCGACTTCACCGCAGGACGCGAAGTCCGGGGCACAGGCGGAGCGATGGCCGAAACCATGATCGGAGACGAAGGTTCCGGCTTGATAGAAGGCTTGGCTGAGGACGCGGGCGACGATGGCGACTTCGTGCCAGCAGCGGACGCGGGGATCGTAATGGCCGGACGCATATGTGCGTCAGGTTGTTTGGACTGCCCGCCTACTATCTGGGAAGCTGATTGAATGGCGACGGCCAAAACAGGGGCTTGCGACGTAGGGAGCTCGTGCGGAGGAACTGATGATGCAGAAGAAGACGGTGTCGGAACCATCGCCGCCGGAGCACTCCGCAAAGGAGCTTTCGGCGCGACGTTCTGCTCGACAGACGTCCCTGCGACGTGCGGCCGTGTAGGCGGTTGCGAGATGGCAGTCGGTGTCGGTGCAGTCGTCTCATGGATGTTTTCAGCGGGAGGCGGGGATGAGGCTGGCGATGGCAGAGAAACGTGTTGTACCGCCGTTCCTCCAGTGGCTGTGTGGGATCGAAGCACTCTGGTCGGGGCAGGGGCTCGATTGGCGACGAGCGACGAAGACGAAGGTGTGGGCCGGTTTTGTTGGGCTCGTGCCGACGCCTCCCCTCGGTGTGCGGTCGGCGTGGTCTTCGCATTCCGGGCGACTTCAAGAGCCTGGAGGTGGCGGCGCCCGTGCAAGTGCGACAACACCACGTTTATCGAGCCTGCAGATGTTATTGGCTGAGAGCGACGGTGCAGTATGAGCGCGCCGTCGCGTTCAAGCATGCTCTTGAAAACGCACCATGGAAACGCCTTCACACACGCGGCAGTTCATGGTCCACCGCTTGCCGGATCCAATTCCGATCTTGACGCAGCTGAGGCGCATTTCATCTTTCGATCGAGGGTAAGCTTCCCGCAGCCTTTTTAAAAAGTCTTCGGGGTACTGCGAAAATATCGGAATGTCAGTGCTGTCGTGGAAGAGTTATGGAAGGGGGCATAGACTCACTGGGTCATCGTAGACTGTGGCCTCCGACGAAGACGCATAACTGTGATGATCGAACAAAGGCCTCACATCAGCTCGTCATCTTACGGACGTGATTGAAAAACGCACCGCTCGTCGGTAGAGAGACGACTTTCGAGATCTCTTCTATCTCGTGAGTCGAATGACGGAGACCTTCGGCGATCTACGTGTAGTAAATGAGCTCGGCTGATGGAGGCAACAGGGTTTACGCACACTGAGGAGATCGTGCGCGATAATACGAGTCGGGTCCGTGTCCCCGACGGGGGGATCGCGAGCGTGATGGAGAGACCCCGCTGAAACCGCGATGGGTCTCGAGACGTTTGCCGTGATACTCTTTGTCGTCGTCTTCGTCTCTCCCCCGTTTGTGACCCCGATAATATGCTGACACGTTGTCACGAGTTGGAGTGGAGGAGGCCCCGACAGTGTCGACATTCATTGACCTTGGGGCCCTAGGGACGGGGGCAGCGGCTGCTGGTCGGGCCGGCGCTGGAGGAACCGGCGCAGGGGGAGTGGGAGCCCGGACCGGGGTCATGTGCTGGGGAGGTTGGTAGAAAGGCGCGATCTGGGGGTAGAGCATATGCTGATTCTGTTGTTGTATATGCTGGTTATGTTGTTGCATGTGCTGATTCTGTTGTCGCATATGCTGATTCTGAGCATTCATGTGTTGCTGTGCGGCCTGAAACATTTGCTCGACGGCGTCGAACTGCGCCTGCCACGGATTGAACATCTGGTAGATGCGATCTGGGGGTCTGTGGTGAGTTTTCGGCTAAGCCTTGGTAGTGGGTACGAAAAGTTGCACCTTCAGTTGCACTTGACGATTCCAGGTGGCCAACTTGTGGTGGAGAGCAAGAAGAAGCGGGAGCGGCGCTATCGATTGCGAGGCCGGTAAATGCCGGGGACCCTGGCCGCGCGTCGCACAGCAATGCATGGCTGCCAGCCGCGCATCCAGCCACGTGCGCCCAAGCGCCTAGATCCGCGCGTCATCCGACGTGACGTCACTCACTGAGAGCCCGACCTCGGTGCAGTATCGTAGGGCGGAGTCGTTTCCGCATCGTCGGGCTAGTATGGGCTGAGTTTAGATACTATGCAGATGCGCGGGGCTGACTCCTGCGTTGCGAAAGTATGTAAAGCTTGCGTCGCGGCCCGGTTCTTGAGAAAGCGACGGGACGGACAGTGGAACTAAGGATAATCGAACGAGATTATCTTGAGCCTTCTTGGTCTATCCGAGTGGTAACACGTTGTCATGTGCGAGAACACATGCAGACGGGATCCTCCCTTGGGAGGCACCTGCTGAGAGTAAACGTATTATGAGCGCTCTCTTCTACCGAGAAGAGCTTGAACATACCGTGATGACACCTTTCAGGGTGAAGTAGTCGCGGTCGAAATCCCATCGGATAACGCTTGACCTGCGTCTGCTTGGATATATGCGTGCTTCATCAGAAGCTTGCGGGTAGTGTACTTTCACAATAAACTGAGGAACTGCTGCAGATATTGGAGGTGTAAGTCAAAAAGCCACATTATGGGAAATGTCTTCGGCACACCTCGGACACAGCGGAGAGAGAGAGAGCAAGAGAGAGGGAGAAAGAATTCGATGACTTCACCAGGGAAATGGGCGCTCGACGAACCGGCCACCGGCCCGTCAAGGCTGGTTGCCACGTAAGCATTATAAGCGCCCAGAAGCGCCCGAGGCCCCGACTCAACGCATCCAACGTTAGTTTTCACTCCCATCATGATACAAATCTGCTTTTCATGTTAACATCCTGCTGCTTTGGACACCAACAAGCGCCACCTGTATCACCGACAAAGCATCTGGTGTCGGATTTCGCGAGTCACGCAAGATGTACGACTTTGAAGTGGCTGTTGGGCAGGATGTGATACATGTCGTAGTATAGGTACGTGAAGACCTCCTCATCACTGGCATCCCCGGTGAGTGTGACGGTGAGACCCGCAGGATGTACGGATGCCGATCAGAGCGGGGTCCATGAACCCATAGCGGAAGCATGGTTGACTCCAGTATTCGGAATCGTTGATCTTCGTTCGTGAGTCTGTTCCAAACGGGACGCGGCGTTGAGCAAACAGTATTTTTTTAAAAGCGATATATTGTCATCTGCAAGCGTGCGTTATCATTCGACCATGACCGCAGCGCCACAGGGTAGCAACCAGGAAGCTCGTCCGTTGGAATGATTGACTCGTGCTCTCCCTCTGCTTTCGAACTGTCTCGCCCGACGTTCACTCATATTGCATCCATTGCACGTATCCACAGCTTATCAGGATTGACAAAGCTCCGTGATTATTTACCGACGTCCTGCAAGTGACAGCCTCGCCGCTCGGGCGATCGCTTGTGATGCACCCCAGAACCTCAACTGATCAATAGCGCCCTTCGATGGCACAGTAAGTACTCTCTCAGGACAATCTTCCCCTCGGGGGCTTCGGCGGCCACGCCTGTGATCTTTTCCGAACGTTGCCTTCTCCGCCCCAGTGCCGCGACGACGGTCGTCAAGCGCTCCGTTTCGCCGCTCTGGTCCATCGTGCTCAACCTTGCAAGATCCATCCTCTGCTTCTTCCAGCGCGCGCTCCGTTTTTCAGACCAATAGCCGTTGGACCTCGTTCCAAGGCATCTCCCCCCGCCCGGACGATCAGACGCGGGGGGAAGTCGGCAACTGGGGCGTCGCCTCTTGTCCACGAGGCGCCACCCATCTGCACAGCGGGCTCATGGGCGCTTCTCGCAGGCGACACGCGCCCGTTGGCAAGTCTGTCGCAACCTCACACATGCGCATATAAGCCCGCGCACAACCAATCCGGAGCCCGCCCTCCCTTCGTCTCCGCCCCTCCCCGTCTTTGTCTCGTCGCTTTCGTCGCTTTCATCTCCAGCCTGGGGCTGCTTTCGTACTGCTTCGACTATCCTCATCCCGTGGCACCGTTTCAAACACCGTCCGCCCGTCTGGATAGCGACCCACTTTCGGTACACTTTCAGGCAAAAATATACTTGACAAGACACGATGCGCGCCGGGTACTTCGCTGCTCTTCTTCTCTCGGCTGTCGCTGTTCGGGCCGTGCCTGCGCCCGTACAACAAGAACGCGATCGTAAGTGGCTTGCCGTGTTCCACCGGCGAGTACGCTCAACCCGTGTCACAGTGGGCTCGAGCCTCGAGCAGGCGGCGAGTGGGTTGTTTGGCGGCATTGACAGTGCGTACTTCGTTCGTCGTTCGTCGACATGCTGTATTAATTGCAACCTGCAGTCGGATCTGCGCTCGGCGCCGCTGCGTCTCCTATTCGTACGTCCCCACAGCTCCGATGATGCATATCCTCACGCGTGGTGAATTCAGTTGGTTCTATCCTTGGCGATGCTACTGCAGTCGGTGAGCAATGTTTCCGCGTTCTGCATCATCATCGTGTATGTGCTGAACCTATAAATCAGTGGGGAGCATGACTGGGTCTAACCCAGGTTAGTGATGTCGCCCTACTTTCTTGCTGTGCCGTCTCATAGCGTTTCTGACCGTGCGCGCAGCCCTCGCCGGACGTAAGTAAACCCTGCGCTTTTTTTCTGCGGCTGCTGATCGTCCGTCTCTTCCTAGTCACGAGCGTCCTCGGTGCCGCGACGAGCATCGTCGGCTCAGACTCTGGCGCCAAGGGCGCCACAGGCAAATCGTGCGTCCTCTACCCTCTCCATAATCTCTTTTGTGCTCATCCACACCGCGTGCCTGGGCATTCAGCAACGACGCGTCACCAGCACGCATGGTCAGCATGGGCGCGGCCGTGTTCGGGAGCATGCTCCTCGGCGCGTACGCCGTGCTCTAGTCTTGCCATCCTATGACGGAATTGCCTTTTTCCTTCCTCGAAGTGCTGTGACATTGTACATTGCGCAGAAAATACCACCCTGTACACGTACCGCTCGGACTGTGTTACCCCTCGACCCCCACGCGTCCGTCGTGATATATGAGAGGGACATCATTCCCGGTCGTTGGTAGGTCCTTCTGGTGGGTAGTGAGGGAAAGAGTTGTTTCCATGCGCATATATGCAGTGAGCAGGGATAGGGTCGACTTGGCAACACGTTTCAGGAGCCGGGCATGAGAGATAAGTACAGGCGTGATATCCGTGGGAACAGATATGTATGCGTGTGGACCATGTCGTCATCCTGCTGCCTTCCCCCGCGACGGGTCGACGCTTGTCCTTCAACCTGCTTTACCGAAACTTGCCCCCTCTTCAGCTCGCCGCACATCTCATTTTCAGAGCGTCACTCTGGGAGTAATCTGGTCAACGCTCAACCCCTTGACATCTTATCCATCAGGCTCCGGGGTCCCGCCCGTTCTCATGCCTGTCAGTGGACAAATCCCAAGTACGTACTGCAATGCGTTCGGCACGGGTACTATGAGGCCGTTGAACCTTTTCCCAAGAAGCCTCGAGCAAGCTGAGCTCGCTGTACACCAGATATATTGTGCCAACTGAATGCACTTTAAGCCGGCTTTGCTAGGCACGGTTCCGTGCCTGAAAGGGGTCGGACGTACTTGAAGCATGCTACCACCAGCACGGAACAGAGCTGATACTAGGTCGATCTTCACGGTGTTCGTCGGCCAGTATGTTACTGCGGCATCGCGTTCCTGTCCAGTAATCACGCAGCACTCTCATGTAACAAACGCGGCCTCGGATGCTCCTCCGGCGGGATGCGGGCGCCAGTGCTAGTGTGCGCTGAATCAGTCACAGAGACATAAGATGAAACCTGGTGAGTTCCTGCCGCGTTTTTCTCCTTCCCAGTCCCCACACTCACGCTGTTTCATGTCTGCGCTAGCCACCTCCCAGCTGGAGCATTTCTTTTTGGCAGGGGAATTTATCGCCGGCTTTGGTTATGGTGAGCACCCTGTTACCCTGGTTTAATTCCCTTGTGAAGTTTGACTGAGCACTGGTGTGGGCAGGGGTGCAAATCGTGCTATGGGCACTGTGCGTGCTGTACCTGTGGCAAAAGCGGAGACGGAGCCGGACGTCACAGTACTTAATTGCCATGCTCACGGTTCTCCTTGCTGCTCAGACGGCGCGGGCTGTAGCGCAAGCGATCATGGCCGAGAGCGCATACGTGGACCATCGCGACAATCAAGGCGGTCCATGGGAGTACTTTATCCATTCTCAAGACCTTCCTGTGGCGGTTTTGAGTAACACGTCGCTGCTCTTCGCGTCATCTTTGGGAAATCTCTTCATCGTGAGTGACCTCGTTATTCCTTCATCTCGATCCTTACACCTCGAGCCAGCTCTGGAGGTGCTGGGTCATTTGGTCCATCTTCAATCGCAAGAACGCACTCCTCGTTCTCGTATTCCCCTGCATCCTCTTCGTCGCAGCAGTCGGTACGCTCCCACCTCACCCTCTCCACTCCTCCCATTCCTCACCCCCCGACAACAGTCATGGGTATCCTGTGGACAATCGAGAACACCCGCCCGGGCCAGTCCCCCTACAGCGCCCAAACGCTCGCGTACGGCACCGCCTTCAACGCGCTCTCGCTCGGGACCACGCTCTCCCTCTCCGCGCTCATCGCCGCGCGCCTGCTCGCGTACCGCCGCGCGCACGCGGCGCTCCTCCCGGACGCGCACGCGCGCCAGTATCTCTCGCTCGCGACGTTGGTCGTCGAGAGTGCGGGGCTGTACGCCGGGTTCGCGCTCGCGTTTTTGGTCTCGTACGCGCTCGGGAGCCCGACGAGCCAAATCTGGCTCGGCTTTGCGTCGATCGCGCAGGTGAGCACGCGCGTTTGGATACTCGTGGTGGGGGGTGCGCTCACACGAGCTCCTTTGCTCTCAACAGTCCTTGGCTGCCTCGCTCATCATCTTCCGCTTCGCGGAGGGGCGGGCGTGGTCGAGCGAGACGACGGTGCGAACTGGCTCGGAAACGATCGTGTTCGCGCCTAGAGAGGGGAGGACGCAGAATACCACCGCTGTGCCTGGACTCGGAGGATCTGCACACGATGGTTCACAGACTGAGGTGGACGACTTAATTTACAATCATGCAAGTTTGTCGAAGGGAGGGGTTTGACTGTATAGATGTCCTGGGCTTTGGTGCCTCGAAGCGCACGTGCACCGCAGCCCGAAAAAGCCGGGTGTCTGTGCGTGGGAGAACTATCTCAAACTCACCAGGCGCCTCGCCTCTGAGAATTGTGCGCAGCACACATTGCTCCCTGAGATCGCAGTGGCAGCCCCCAGTAGCTCCAGCGGAGATCTCGGTCCACGCCGACGCTTCCAGTTGACAATGACCGCAGGATGTTCAACAGCAAGCAGGGTGCCGTGAAAGACGAGGCTGCGAAGCAATACGAGACTGTCTACAACTTCACTGCAAAAACGTACGTGCCTGTCCTTTTCTGCGGTGTAAAATCCATAAACATCTTCGTTTCTATGCTCGCTTTAGCTCTTATACAAAGAGCAGCACAACCAACGTTGTGGCTGTATCCTGTCGGGCGATCGCAACGCCTCTGCACCGCCATACAACGCTGCGCCCCTCATCACCACGCAAACATGCGGTTACGCGAGCGCAGTGAGCACAGGCGACTACGCCTTGACAGCCTGCAATTCTATAACTGCGGGAGCCTCTACGCACAAGCATGATTTCAATTCCATCTATAAACAAAACACTATTCCCGGGCGGGCCGCCCCTGCGAAACTTGACTGTGATCGACGCCGCCAAGCCGGATGCAATGTCACTTTTTCCTGCGCACCCGCAGCTGCGCTTCTCCCTTACCTTCATAGCAGGCTCGCTGTTGTATATAAGTTTTTGAGCATGCTCAGATCCAGGTCAGTCACGGTTCCGCTTCTCTTCTTCCCACTTCGTCTCCTTCAATCTTCGCCGTCTACTGAGGCTCATCCTTTGTTTGTTGAAACCGCAGCAATGAGTCAGGAAGGTATATATGATGTGCTTCATTTCCAAAATCGGAAGACTAACGAACTCAACAGAACTCCCCATAGAGTATGACAAGGACGGTCACTTGATCTCCCCGTTTTACGGCTACTGGCCGACCCAGTATGTCTGCTACATCTTCCTTGGAGTTTTCGTCATCAGCACCTGTACGTTCCATTTCCCGAACTGTGACCCAAATATGTGACGTCGTATGCTGATATCGTTCTAGTGCTTCATCTCGGGCAAGCCATCAAGTACCGAGCCTGGTGGCTTCTCCCAACGGCTGTCCTCGCCGGCTTCGGAGAGTCTGTTGGCTGGGCCGGACGTTTGTGGTCCAGTTACGCCCCTCTCAACGAGAACGGTTACCTGATTCAGTGGGCTTATTTTTGCATCACCTATTACTTCGCCACTAACATGAGTCCAGAATTGTGTGTACTATCGTTGCCGCGACGCCGCTGGTTGGAGCACTTTTTATCACGTTCGGGCGTATCGTTATCTGTCTTGGCGACCACTACGGCCGACTCAGCTCTCGCCTTTGTATGTCTTCTCTTCCCTGTCACGCTAGAGTTTTCAACCCGCTCATCTACTCTCATGTCCGCACAGACTCCCGAGTGTTCTTGTCCATCGTTAGTGCAGGTCTCACATCTCTGATTGCTGCCTTTACTGACAACCAGGACGTGTCATGGCAGGATTTCATCTGCTTGGTTGTCCAGTCAGCCGGCGGAGGTATGGCAGCCACTGCGAAGGACCATGCCGGCGGTATCCTTGTGAGCTCGCTCGCCTTCGCCCCCTCGCATTCGACCCGATTCGTCTCACACCGCTCTCGCAGGGGTCTAACATCATGCTCGCGGGCATCATCGTTCAGCTCGGTGCGTCTACTTCCTTCCGCCTCTCTGCTGAGCATTTCCCTGACTCTCCGCGCGCCCAGTTTCCCTCACGGTCTTCGTCGCCCTTGGAGCCGAGTACATGTGGCGCTACCACAACGGGATCCCGCTGCGTCCTGCGTCCATGCAAGTCCTGCGCGAGAGCCCGTCGGAGTCGTCCCTCCTCGGGGGCAAGCAGCTGCCGCACCCCCTCAAGATGCTCCTCGTCGGCCTCTGCATCGAGACCGTGGTGCTCTACATCCGGTGCGTACAGTTTGGCTTCTGGTCACGGACATCGGCTAATCCCTCGTCTGACGGATGCAGGGCGATCTACCGCACGGTCGAGCTCGCGGACGGCTTCAACGGCAAGATCATCCAGACGCAGATCTACTTCGGTAAGCTCCCGCTCCTCCCATGTCCGCGGCTTTTCTGAATCAACGGGGTGCTAGACCTCTTCGACGGCTTGATGGTCGCGATTGCCATGATCGCGCTCAGCGTGTTCCACCCGGGCTTGCTGCTCAAGAGGGCGTCTGAGCTCCGCGAGAGGGAGTTCCCAATGGCGGCCAAGCAGGCGTATGCTGATAACTTTGCGTGAGAGGTCGTTTCCCTGGTCGACGCTGAGAGCAACTCCGTGGTTTGGAACAGGACTTTCATATGGACTCACTTTATTTACTTTGTAACGTTTGCCGTTCCTTTTTATCACTAAAGCATTCCTGCTGGTCGGGTCTTTGCGCTACTCGAGGTCGACCTCAATCTCTGTCACCGTTCAATATTTTCGGATAACTACGGGTCGTTGAAGTGAGTAGTAGGGAAATCTAATCGTGGGAACATCCGCCACAATCAATGAGCCGGGCTCATCGCCTCGTTCAAATTAAACGCTCTTCCTTCCCTTCCCCCGACATCCCGGCCGGTTCTCGCACTAGGCATCAGCTCATGACGCCGGTCTTCTGCACTTCTGCACTTCTTCATTCACCAGCACCGAGCACGGGTACCCAGTTGAGTAGCAGCGTCTCCACGCTCCCGAGCCTCAACAGGCACATTCCCTGCGCTGTCACTGATGACGAAAAATACGATCTCTCTCGTGGGTCGGTTCTGTTTACCAGATTACCAGCGCCCACTATGCCCTGCCAGTTCGTTCACTGCGTCGCGACGTACTCGACTGTCTTGCGCCCCGACAAAGTCTTCGGCGTCTCGCCGACACCGTTCTCCCCACCCGCTGATGTCCTGGTGCACATCCAACGTCAATCCCGTGGCTCCGCAGCACTTCCATCACAAGCTTCGTGCTCCCCTTGGGCATCTTTCTCTCCGACCTCGCGGAGCACACCAGACAGCTAAATGACAGAGAAACTCCGGCCGAAGCACGAACCGTGCGGTTCACGCCTCTTGGCCAGGGCGGGCGGGCGGCGCCCCTTGCCCGGCAGGCCCCCCCTGCCGTCGAAGGATGTGTTTATGCATTGAAGCCTGTCTATAAAGCGAGTAGGGGGACGCCGTACTCAAATTAGCATCCCACTCGTACTTTGGCTTAGCACCGCGCCCTACCGCCTGTCCAACTGACATGTCCAGCCCGGTGCCGTACTACGGACCCGACGAGGATGAAGCGACCATCAATCTCGAACGTTTCTTCTTGGCAGGCGACTTCGTCACTGGGTTTGGCTATGGTACGCACATCGTGACTGTCAGACACACGAACTGTGCTCACACACGCGCTCTAGGCGTGCAGTTCGTCCTCTGGGCGATCTCTGTGCGATACCTGTGGAACAAACGCCCCCGGGGAAGAAATGCCATGCTTTTGCTCAGCTACATCACCCTCCTGCTCGTTGTCGAAACGATCTTCGCCATCGTCCAGGCGCGGACCGTCGAGCTTATGTACATCGACAATCGCAACTACCCCGGCGGCCCGTGGCAGTACTTTTTGGCCACCCAAAACCTCCCCGTCAACGTGATGTTCTTCGCCACGCTCGTCACGATCACGCTCTTGTGTGACATCCTTGTGGTCCGTAATGTCTCTTTCTTCCGACGGACCAGTACGTTGCTCACCCGCGGTGCAGTTCTGGAGGTGCTGGGTCATCTGGTCCGCCTTCGGGCGCACCGCAGCATTCGCGGCAACGTTCGTCCCTCTCCTCACCCTCATCGCCTCCTTCGGTACGTTGCCCGCACCCTCCACCAGCACCCGCTCATCCCCCCGGCAGTCATGGGCACGCTCTGGACCCTCCAGTCCTCCCACCCCGGCCTCTCCCTCTACAGCGCCGAGCCGCTCGCCTTCGGCACCGCCTACTACACGCTCTCGCTCGGGACGAACGTGCTCCTGACCGCGCTCATCACCACCCGTCTCCTCCTCTTCCGCCGCGAACACGCCGCCGCGCTCTCCTCGGAGCACGGCTCGCAGTACCTCTCCCTCGCGACGCTCGTGGTCGAGAGCGCGGCGCTCTACTCCGCCTTCGCCGTCGCCTTCCTCGTCTCCTACGCGCTCAACGCGCCGATCAACCAGATCTGGCTCGGGTTCGCCCAGGCCGCCCAGGTGCGTCTCTTCCCCCACCGCGTGGACGGTGCGCGCTGACGCGACGGGGACGGACGCAGCAAGTCGCGACGTACCTCATCATCTTCCGCGTCGCGGACGGGACGGCGTGGACGACGCAGACGATGCGGTCCGCGACGGTCACGACGATCGACTTCCGCGACGGCCGGGGCCGGGGCCGGGGCGCGGCGCTGACGACGACGACGCGGTACTCCGAGATGGACGCGGGCCGACGCACGCCTCGTCCGTGACCGAGGCCGCCGGTTTCGGGAGTGCGACGGCGAGCGCGGAGGCGAAGGTGCCGTCGGAGAAGGCGTGATGGGTGCGCCGGACGGGTTCGTGTGTGTAACGTGCTGTTGGGTCGATAGTTTTGTGTCTGGGATGTTTCGCCCCTCATGGTATACCGTGGTGCAACTGAGCACAATGTCTTCTCGAAGAGACGTCCAAAGTGGCCTCGCCCCTATCTACTTGAACACCGTCCGCCGGTTCGGTTTCAGCGTTCAACCCCCGGCTCGAGACCCTCGTCGACACTCTTCCTCTTCCACTCTCCCCTGACTTCGCGCCCAACGTACGCCTGCGCGCATACTTCCATTTGACGCACAACCGCCCGGCGAGCCCGATCATTTGGCGTTCCTCAGATGATCGAGCCTAGCTGCCGTCCAGTCGCGCCCCGGCGTACATACCAAAGCTCGTGATCGGAGTCGAGTCTTAACCTTGACCGATCGAGGAACATTTCTCGGGCAGAGTCGACCCTCTGCAGCCAAGTTTTTGTCGATGACCTGCAGTACCTAGGAGGCGGCTCCTCGGCTCTTGGGTTGACGGAGTGGGACGAAGGCGAAGTAGGATTTGCATGCGCTTGATTATTTCGGGACGTAAATCTAGGATAATACAGGGAAAAATACAGCTACAGATGGGGACACGGTGGGACGTGCGGACCGGGGAGTGATACAAACTTAAGGGATAATGATACCGAGGAGTCGCGACCAAGGAATACACGAGGGAGATATACATCGCACCGGACAACCAGAGAACGGGGTAAAACCAGTGTGAGAGGGTAACGGAGTGGAGATCTATCGATACAGAGCACGAGTGGGAGAGCGCAAAGGCGGGGGTGGGGTGAGGTAAGGGAAGCACGCATGCACGTGCGCGGCGGGCTACGCGTCGCTCTAATGCGCCTCGACGGGGGCGCGTGCGCGAACATCTGCGCCGACGTCGACGGCTCCCGAACGCACCCGCCTCGGGGTCCATCGCGAACGGGGACGGACCCATGTTGAAGTTGAACGGCCACTGCATTCCTCGACACGAGCTCGGGCCCGAGGCGATCGGGCCGCATTCAGAAGCTCGTTGAAGTGGAACGCATCCTCGATGGACGCGAACACGTGGGGTCGTTCCCATCACCGGCGGCGTGACGTACGGCGACGGCGACGCGGCCTGCATGGCGTGGAGGAAGTGCGACTGCGTCGCGTCGTCGTAGAAGCCGCTTGGGACGGGCAGCGCGAGTGTTCGTGCGAGAACGAGTGGGAGGCCTCGAGCGGGTTGAGCTCGATGTGCGGGACCAAGGACGTGTGGATCGACGGCTGAAGGTGGGACGCCAGGGACATACCGACTGAGTATTCGAGTGGACTAGGGGGAGGAGAGCACGTCAGTCTCGTGGGACGTTGAAGAGCGAAGAGCGCAAAAGACTTGCGTTTGAGTCATGCCGCGCTGCACGAACGCGTCAATAGGATCGTTCGGGATGGTGATACAATTATGCATGTTGGCCTGCATGTAGGCCCGATGCTGTTGGTCCAGCGGGTGTTCGCCGTAGAATATGTGCGTCTGGGGCGTGTTGACGACAGGACGGACCCCGTGAGACGTAGCGGACGTAACAGCACGACGTCGCGCGACGCGATTGCGCACGAGCTGCGACGGCTCGAGCGGTAGCGGTGGAGGCGTGTGGATAACGTGCGCCGAGGACGGCCTAGACTGCGAGTAGCGCGCAGGCGACGACGGCTGACTCGACATCAGGGAGTCGACCTCGCCTCCAGGGGGACTGGATCCTTCTGAAGACATCCCGTCGCTACTTCTCGACTCGGAGCCGCTGGCGGAGCCTGGAGGGTGGGCGATGCCGGGGTGCCTGCGGATGTCGAGAGCACGCTTCACCTTCAAGTTCGGGCCGTACGGTTTTCGTTCCGGGTACTTGCACGTATGCCCGCGCGCACTGCAGCGCTCGCAGGGCGACCCGCCAGTGCACTAAGGAGGAGAAAGACGGCTTGCCGTCAGGGCGAGTTGCGGGAAAGAGAAGAGACGAAGCGCACCTTGGCTTTCCTCTGCCTGCACTTCTCGCACGCTACCACAGTCCGCGTACGCCCTCCCGCCGCCTCCGTTTTCCAATTCCCCGTGTGTATCGTGCTCGCATAAGTCCAATTCTTCTGCGGGGATCCTCTTGAAGTCGCGGTGGTGGCCTGCTGCCTCTGCTGCTCCTGCTGCTGCCAGGCGTGCGAACTCGCGATGAGGGAATCCAAGCACTCGACGGTCATTTTTGGCTGCTGGGAAATGGTGGAAGCGGAGGGGAGAATGTGAGGATTTTCGTGGTTGACGTGGGTGTATGCTTGCTGCGAGGCGAAGAGTGTATCGGCAGTGGGGAGGAAACGACGCGCAGGGGAGTGTTGCTGTTGCCCTGCGATGACGCCGAGAGGATACGGTGGCGACGGTGGCATGGAAGCGACCCCGGGAGTCCATGCGTCTAGCTCGGTGTTTGTTCCCGAGGAGTACTCCGAAGAAGACTGAGGCGTAGATGTCTCGAAGTGATGGTCGAAGAAGGTAATAGTCATGATGAGTGAGGGGGACTGGGGCAATTAGATGCAAGAAGCGGCTGTCTTTATGCGTTTGGACTGCATCGGAAAGCCGAAAGACGAGGGGGCGGAGGCGGTGCATCCGTTGGTGTGGGCAGCTCCTGAGTCCTGAGCGGCCTTGAGAGTCGAGAGCAAGAGTCAAGCACTGGCGTCAGCAACTAGATCGCGCGCACGTGTACGAGCGCTTGGAAGTGCTTCCGCCACATGGCGTTCTCTCTCCATCGTCAAGTTAACTAGCAGTACAGTCTCCGATCGATGGTTTTTTGAGGGGATGTTTTCACATAACACGGTGTAAGCCCCGATCCCCAAAATCATCCGCTGGTCCGACGCTCCTTGAACTGAGCGACCTTTGACGAAGTTAAGATGAAGAAGTCCTCTTGGCAAGTTGAGCTTCTATTCCATACTTATTCGTAAGGTACGCTAAGAGCAGCAGGCCCCTACCACCCGGAATTCTGCTTCGGAGAGTACAGCTTGAGGAGCTCTCGCTACCGGATACGGCGCACGCGAGAGGGGCCCAGCCGTCAGCCGCCGTGCTTCTTACTTCCGCTTCCGCTCGTCCCGCGGGAGTTTGTGGTATGTAGGTCCGTGCGGAACTTTCGCTCCCCGGACGTGATGCGGCGCACTGGTTTTGATTTCGTGGCACGGAAGTTTTTGAGCCCAACGTTAGCCTCGGGGCCCAGAGCGTAGTAAGTTGCGTCCTGTTCCCCGCGCTGCGCAGCTGGAAATTGGTCCCAGGGAAGACTCACGTGCAGGTTTATACCTGAGCGACCATGCGAAGAGATATATCCAAGAAATCCCACGTCCGGAGAAGCGTAGTACCAACGAAGGAGCCACCCGCAATAGCATCACTGTCGTGCAACGATGATCCGTGTCCCCGGCCAAGGTCGAACTCGTCCCGTCTCTCTCGACTATCGTGATGGTGTACACTAATCCTGGGCCAGTGGAATGCAGATTTTGCGGGGGCAGGTTAGCCCGTGCGTGAGAATCTGACCCCGCGGCGTACGAGGGGTGAGACGAAATCCTATGTAACGCGGCGCGATTTTGGAGACAGACCAGTCGTTCGGAGACTGCTTCCCAAGCGAGGCAAGTTCATTAGGGTCGAATGCCCTATTTTCGAAGCACACCGCGTATCGACCGTTCCCCGAGTCTGGATCGAGCGAAGATGGCTCTGCAATAAGCATTCCCGCAAAGTGCCGTGCCGCACACATGACGCCGCGAATAAGCTGCCGCATGAAATGCGCCCGGCCTTGGTAAAGAGTGTCCGATCGTGCTTGGATGCTAGGTGTGAGTCTTCCTTCAGCCGCAATGGCTGTGAGCATCGTCGTCAGCCCCAGCGGTATGACATCACCCTCAAGGCTTCATACCTGCCGCCCGAGCTCGACATCATGCTGACAGTAGTTGTACTAACCCTTTTTACTAATGGTTGGCCGTGTCCCTGTCTGCGGGTAGGCTCATTATCTGACGGAAAACGCTGCCGTGCGGGGGATCGTAAGTGCCGCATAGTACTACTAGCCCCGGTACAAACACATCATACTATGTACAGTATGACATCATCCTCATACCTTTCCGGACATCTAGCAGCTAGAAGCGTAGTTTTAATCTTCAAATACCGACGCCATATTAACCTCACATCCAACGAGATTACTAGAAGATGCTTCCGACATGCTGTCAAAATGTAAGAATGTCTCCGCGAGGATGTATCGTCGAAAGAGATACCTTGTATAGCATCGCATTTAAGGAGAAAAAGGTTGGAATGATTCAGCCAAAACAGTCTCAGGATTGCATCATGTAGTAAACGTAGTCCAAGCATGACCTGCCTCGCAAGACGGTAGAACTTGACTGTCTCGGCGGACAGGCCGAATAGCCCGAGCGTTCTCACGATCTGCGTACAACGTTCAACACGTGCTCCCTTCGTGCGCCATCATGCACATACATATGCATCCTTATCCTCCGCACTGTTCTCTCGACAGATGCAGTCTCGAAAGATCTCTGCCAGCACGTCAAGAGCATCCTCAGCGTCGATTTCAGGCAGGCCTCCGGAGTCGATCACTTCAACACCCGCGCGTCCGACTGGGCCTTGCCTTGGCTGGCTTTCAGCGTGGGCATAATGATGCTTTTCGTATGCTATCGCGTGCTAATAGTACATGGTTGGTTGCAGAAACAGTAAACAAAATCCGACGCCCAGAGATCCCCTTTGATAGATGACAGCCGCAACGAAATAAACCAAAACGTACCCGACCCGCTCGACGACCTAGTCCTGCGCTGCAGCAGCCGGCCTGCTCGAGCACCCGCAGCGCGCTCTGCGGGATCGCCATCAGCTCCGCGAACTCGCCCGCGACCGCCGCCGGCTCGCGCGTGCTGGCCTTGATCGCGCACAGCGCCCCGAACGCGACGCTCCACGCGAACTTGGCGTTCTTCCGGTACGCCCACGACGCCCGCAGCCCGCCCACGTCCCCGAACGCGACCAGCAGCGAGTCCGCGGGGAGGTCCGGGCCCGCCGCGAACTCCCGCGCGAGCTCGTCGTACGCCCGCCGGGTCTCCGCGGACTTGCTCGCCGCAGCCTCCTTGCCGCCCTTGCCGCCCTTCCCGCGCCCCTCCTTCTTCGCAGCACCCGTCTTCGCAGAGAGCGTCGTCCACTTTTTGATGTGGCTCTCGATGTGCGCCTCGAGCGCGTCCAGGTCCCGCGCCAGGGCAGGGTGCAGGCGGTGCGGCTCCGCGCGGAGGTACGGCGCGAGGAGCTCCTTGTCATGGCGGTCGCCGCCAATGCCGCCCTTGTGCCCCTGCTGGATCCCCTCGTACATCTTCAGGCGCTCGTCTTTCATATCCTTCCCCGCCTTGTGCAGGTCGTCGAGCACGAACGATTTGAGGTGCTTTTTGCGGATAATGGGCACCATGTTGTACTCCGCGTCCCCCTTCGACGGCAGAGAAGGCGGGCGGAGGCGGTCGTACGTCTTCTTGTCCTTCTTCGTTACTTCCTCTCGCACACGGTGGCCCGTCTTCCGGGAATCTAGGATAGTGGTGAACCTGTGGGAGTCAGACTGCGTTGTGCGCATGAGACGCGGTGTAGACTCACATCCAGTTGAGGCGCAGAGTTTCCGGGTCGTCGTAGCCGTTTGCGAACGCAGAGTTCTCGTGGTAAACCGAGTACTGCCCCACAGGCGGCACAGAAAGGCCCATGAGCAGAACTTCTTGCAGCTTCTGGCGACGGGCGTCGCGATCTTGAATGCCGTCTAGCTCGGCTGCCAAGGCAGAGACCTGCTGGATCGCGTTCTGGTCTTCGAAGTTTTTCTGCATAAAGTCCGGAGGGGATCTTGATCATCGCGGTTGCGCGGTCCCGTCTCGTGCTTCTTGAACGGCTCGACGAGCTCGGAATCGTAGATGCAAACGCAAACGTCTGCCGTCGATTACATTAGTGGGGGACAGGTACTCCTGCGGGGCATTCATACCTCCGTCATAATCTGCGGGAGATGAAGTCAGACTGAGACATTCCAGCAAAAGGCATCCAACTTACCCCCTCCGGCCAGTATACTAGCGAACGAGCAGGGACCGGTCGCTGGGAGCACAATGACGTCCGTGTACTGAGCGAGCTTTTCGCATCGCACAGCGGTGACCTAGCATGGGAGTGTTAAGCGAGACATCGCGTCAGAAAACTCTGCGCGCACCTTCTGCACGTCCCAAGGCGAGCGGACAGGGTTCCGATAGATCTGAAAGGCGAGAGATCGGCACCATGACCCTTTTTATCTGACGAACTGCGCACCAAGACGTCGCCGAGAACAATCTTGGGGTCCATGTCCTTGAGCGGGTCCTTGAGGTTCTTGGTCGACTTGAAATGGATCTGACCGAATTCGAGGCTGCCAGTGGGATCTACGCCACGTCAGCGCACGACCAGAAGAACAGCAGCACGACATACCCGGGATGCAGAACGCCTCGGCCGAGAGCGGGACGGAGATGTGGAAGTCGCGCACAACGCTCTCGATGACCTCCTTGCAGACGTACTTGAGCTTGTCGAACAGGGTCTCCAGCTGCAGCGGATGGAACCCCGCCTGGACGAGGTCCATGGCCACCGCGTGCAGCCCGACGCTCTGGCCCGTCGTCGGGTCGCGCAGACTCGCCGGCGGCCGCGTGGGGTCCAGCGCCTCGAGCGCCTCGAGGTCCTCCACGGACATGTCCCCGATCGCCTCCCACAAGACCTCGTCCTCCTCGTTCTCCCGCCCGTCTCGTCTTCCATTATACGGCCCGTGATCCCGAGCGCGCGCGAGAGGCCCTGCGCGCGCATCGCGACGCGCTTCATCACGACGCTGCCCCTGCGCTCGATCGCGCTGAACAGGCGGACCATCGCCCCGGACCCGTCCCAGTCGAGCAGCGGCGCGAGCTCCGCGGCGAGCGTCGTGCGCATGAGCTCGACGAACACGCTCGAGTCCACGCCGTTGTGCGCGAGGTTGAGTATGGTGAGACGCGAGAGACGCGACGGGCACGTCACGCGCGGCGGCGCGAGCAGGTCGAAGATCGCGTGCGCGGGGTGCCGCTTGCCGTCGATCCGGCCCTGCTCGATCTTGCGCTGCGAGGCGCGGATCCAGATCTTGGGAACGCCGTCGGGCTGCTGCAGGCTTGGGGACGGGTGCAGCGTCCAGAGACCCTTGGCGCCGCCGATGCGGCCTTGCACCGCGGTGGGACGCTCGCTGAGGTTCATGGCGCGCGCGATGGCCCTGAGCGCGGCGCCGTTCATGAGGCCGCAGCCGTCGGTGTAGATGTGCTTTGCCTCTGGCTTGGGCGTGTCGTGGGGAGCATCTGTGTGGACTAATGAGGATCCTTTCGGCCGCTATGCGTGGAGACTTACACTCGTCGTCGATGTGGAAGATCTCGTTGAACATCAACACGGAACTGAGATCGAGAACCCCAGATCGTAGCGAGTGGCGTATTTAGAGACGGCCTGCGTTGTCGTCAGCACATCCTCCATGACAACGCTGATTGGCTCACCTGCTTCCCATTCAGTTCCAGTGGGTTGTGCCAACTGACGAAATCTTCGACGGTGATGCGATCCTTGTCGCAAAGCTGGTTCCCTACGCGTTCATAGTCCTCCGGGGTCTCCATGAGGAAGACCTTGTTATCCTTCGAGCCGCACGCAGCAAAGACTCGTCCGCAGATTACGAATTTGCGCAAGAAGAACTGGCGCAGTTCGGCGCCTCGACTCAGGACGAGGTCCTTGGGGATAGACACTTGGAGAAGACGCCTAGAGTAGAGGAATCGCGCAAATCGATATGATTTGCGCGACTGCATCCTCCCAAGCACGAGGTTGAACGTGCCGTCTTGCTCGTGCAGTCTCGCAATCTGTTGCACCTTTCCCCCGTACCAATTCGGCTTTTCCTGCCAGTCCCCTTGAAGCCCCAAAGACCTGGCACGGCCTTCGTTGAGCGCATCCTGTTCGCGATCCAGCTCCGTCCTGAAGCAACTTAAACCGATGCACCTCAGCGAGACAAATGCACGCACCATATCTCCGCATCGCGCAAAGTCGCGATGCCTGCGTACTTCTTGTTGACGAGGTCGGGGACCTGTGCGGCAGTGATGTTGGGGCCCTTGAGCTTGGAGAGGTCCACTCGTCGCACAGCATCCCACGACCACCACCCGTTGCCAACACCTCGGGCCAGCTCGTACTGTACTGCCCAGCTGAGCTGGTGACGGTCGAACTCGCGTTGGACGGCCGCATTGTGAGCGATGAGGTAAAAGTCTCCTGGGGGAGCATCAGCCTGTGGCGGCGACGGAGGCAGGGGTGGGGAAGACGGCATGTCGTCAACGTCCATGAACAGGTCGTCGTCGTCGTCGTCGTCCATTGAAGTCTGGCTGAAGGTTTTGCACATCCGAGGAATCGTGGGTGTCTCGATCTTGGCCTTCGTGCGCACGGTAGCGGGCGTGACAGGCGAACCGGGATCTGTTCGTTCTGCAGGAGGTGGTGTCTGTGGCGAGACTGGACCATGAGTCAGCGCCAATTCATGTCTAGCAGCAGCTGGAGAATACCCTGTATGATGTCTTCAACGACTTTCGCCTTGAACCCGGCAGCGGCTTCCAGGTGTCCTGATAAGGCAGTGCTCGCTTGCGCCCAGTTCGAGAGTCGACGGACGCCGTCGAGGAGAGCGACGTTGAGGACGTGTTGTTGGAATTGTCCCGTTGGAGAACGTAAAGGAGGCGCCGCGCGACGGGCGCGCCGACTCCTCGCTCTCAGATTCGCCGACTAGGAGCCAGCGTGAATGTAGTCGGTCAGAAAGAGAGGCTTCAACTCACGGCAGTCGGCTGTTATTACGACCGATCAGCTCGCTGAGTGGTGAGAGGCGGCGAAAATACTCACTGTCATTGACGATGTCAAAGTCCGACTCGGTGTTCAACGAGGCAGAAGCTGTGGAGGTGAACCTCTCTGTGCTGGGCCGCGCGAGACGGGGTTCGGGTACGAGAGCTGGGTGATGACCATTAGTCCGGTGGATATCTGGGACAGCGGGAACCAAACGACAGAGCCCTCGAATTCCTGATCAGAGATGCTCCAGGCGAAATGCGCTGCCGCTAGTACACGGTCAGCTGATGGGCCAATCGCTATGACAGCTGGTAACAAATCGATAGAGACCTCGGCTTCCTGCATATACGCAGTCTCTATCGATTTGTTACCAGCTGGAAAACGTCTGTATCGTTTTAGTACCAGTTGGAAGATATCTTATCACTCACATGGCAGGCGGACACGCTCTTCGTTGCGTAAGTCTTGTGTGCCTTGCGGGGGCGATGCGCGCTCGCGCTTATCGGGGGGTGCATAATCGTCGTCGTCGCAGGACGAGTCACTGGGCGGAAACGGGGTTTCCCGATCGCCGCTTGCGGAACTGTTTCATGAGCCAAAGACCTCCTTGCTTTGGGTGGCAAAAAATCGTCTCCGGAGTCATTCTGCTTGAGATGCCCATCATTGTTTGAAGCAGATCCTCGATCATCCGCGACTTACCGAAGCCATACGAGCAAGGTGGCGCCCGGAGGTATATTGTGTGAAATTGGGTAGCACAGGAGGGAAGATGAGGGATGGGGATGATTGCGCCGGAGAGGGAGAACAGAGAGAGTTAAAGGAGTTTAAAGACCAACGAGCCTGGGAGGGCCCGGTGCTGCAGCGGGTCCGGGAAAGTCCGCGTCTTCCGCAGACGCCCGTACGTGACGGCCACGCCGAAAACGCATGTACTGCCGCAGACTGTTCTTGACCCTCGCCCTCATGATCCTCTTGCTAGCTTCGCTATTTCACCCCTCCGCCTCGTGTCACGATACTCTGGTACTCCGCTCGCCTGTTACGGGTATGTTCTACTACTGTTCTGTATTCCCCGAAGCCCGGTGGGTCGAGAGGCCGGCTACCCAAGAGGTAGGAAGGCGAAGACGAGATCTCTGGCTTCCTCTACGACATTTCGCCTTCGCCTTCCTTCCTCCGACTACGCCGTCGCCACTGCGGACGTGGACGCAACCGAGGGGTTCTGCGAAGTGGCCCTGCGCGTGATGCTCATTCAGGGTTGGGAGCTGCGGCGTGCAGGGCTGCTCTGCCCATCCTGACTTCGAATTGTCCTTCTCTGGCTTCTGGCCATCTACCTATGATCGATAAGAGCTGCAGGATCTCTGCAGAAGGGAATAATCCGTACTCTGGCGGCCCAGTGATTCGCAGAAGGAGGTCACGGTGACTGTGGATTGGTTGAGTCTCATTTATCGTTCATGTGCGCGGCTCTAGAGTCGAGGAAACTACTCGTGCAGCGCCTCGCGTCGGATGAGCCTACGTTCTCGGTCCTTGGAATGATGTAGTAATTCTGTATCGTACCATTACCTCTTTCCAATCATCACTCTATCCCCCAATGCCCCGTTACGCCGTCTTCAACTCGGTTCAAAGCACTTGTTATGACGGCATAGTACAGGCGTTTATCTTATCTGAGAAGATGCTTTAAATCTCGCCCACATCAGCCGATTGCGCAGATACTCGCCACCTGCTTCCCCCTCCCCCGCCCCCTCTTTCCCCCTCAACGCGACCGGCGAGACCAAATGTCGTCCCAAGGCTATCCCCTCTTTTGCATGGGCAACCCCCTTCTCGACATGCTCGTCCCCCAGGGCGAAGCGTTGCTCGAGAAGTACACCTCCAAGCCAACGACGCCATCCTCGCCGAAGAGAAGCACATGCCGATGTGAGCCATACCACACCTTAACTACCCGCATTTTTCTGACAGGAAGACCCCAGCTACGAGGAGCTCGTGTCGAAGTACAGCGACAAGCTCACCTACGTTCCTGGAGGCGCGGCGCAGAACGCTGCTCGCGGCGCCGCGGTATGTATCTCCTCCTTCCCATACATCCCCATCATCCTCAACCCCACCCTCCCCCTCAGTACATTCTCCCCCGAAGTCGGTCGTCTACACTGGAAGCGTAGGTAGCGACGCCTTCGCGGAGCAGCTCGTCGCCGCAAACCAGCGCGCCGGGCTCGATCAGGTCTACTACGTTGCCGACGGCGCGAAGACGGGGACGTGCGCGGTCGTCGTCACCGGCCACCACCGCTCGCTAGTGACCTACCTCGGCGCGGCGGAAAAGTTCGACCAGGCGCATCTCTCCTCGCCCGCTGTCGCGCCGCTCGTCGACGCCGCCAAGGTCTTCTACGTCGGCGGCTTTTCCTCACGCACGGCACCGAGTCCGCGCTCGAGGTCGCGAAGAAGGCGTCCGAGGCCGGCAAGGTGCGTCTCCCGCTCATGCGATGCGTTTCTGCTTTCCGCGCGTCGCCCCCCTATCCCCCGCAGTAGCTGACGCCCGCGCGCAGATCTTCGTCCTCAACCTCTCCGCTCCCTTCATCCCCCAGTTCTTCGCCGTCCAGCTGCAGTCCATCATGCCCTACGTCGACATCATTATCGGCAACGAGGCCGAGGCCGAGGCCTGGGCGTCCGCCTCCGGCCTCGCGGACAAGACCGACCTCGCCGCCGTCGCCCGCGCGCTCGCGGCCCTCCCCAAGGCGAACCCCGCCCGCCCGCGGACGGCATCATCACCCACGGCCCGAAGGCGACGACGGTGGTGAGCGCGGCGGCCTGAAGGCGCGCGGGTGTTCCCGGTCGCGCCGCTGTCGGACGCGGAGATCGTGGACACGAACGGGGCGGGGGACGCGTTCGCGGGCGGGCTGCTCGCGGGGCTCGTGCTCGGGAAGCCGATCGAGGAGTGCGTCGAGATGGGGCACAAGATGGGTTCGATGTGTGTGCAGCAGGTACGTTTCCATTGGATGTATGCGGCATAAGCTCCGACTGACGGTGTGTGTCCAGGTCGGCGCGCAGTACAAGTGGCCAAAGGTCCAGATACTGTGAACAGAAGTTTGGAGAGGACGTTCCACACCAGTGTAGCCTCAGCATCGTTTCCATCGCTCTCAACAGCGCCCCCCAGGTTCTCCCCCATTGTAGCCCACATGTATACATACGAGTCAACCGTCGTCACGTGTAGTAGCATACCCTCAACATCGCTATCTGAACTCCCTTGACTAGCACTTCCTCGTGGTCAACCACCGCGGCTACCACGGTTCTACCCCGCGCTGGATGATGTCATACCCCTGGGGCTGACGATGACCATTCGGACACTTTCTTGACCAAGGCCGGGTGCATATCATGCGGCAGCTTATTCGGGCGCGTGTGTGCGGCACACGTACTAGTACAACCGCGCGTCTTCCTTGGTATCCATTTCCAGCAGCGCAGCGCAGGGAACGAAATGCACCATTGGACGGGCGACCGGGACGCCCATGAGTCGAACCGGCGCGGAAAGTACATCCATTGGACGGGCTCTAGAGGAGAGAGCGAGACGCGCGAGAGAAGGAGGAAAGCGAGGCGGAGGCGGAGGGCGGGAGATGACTGACGGCGAGGCAGCGAGGCGGAGGCGTCTATCCATCCGAAACCGTCCGAAACCGCCTGCTCAAAAACGCGGCTCCAACATGATCTTGTCAGCATTGTTCGCGTGGGACAAGATGGCACTGAGATTGAAGCTGAGCCAAACGGTGCAGATTTAGACGAGTCTTCTGATATTACAGGGCATAATTATGCGATAAGGAGTAGGAGTGTATAACGATACGCTAACGAACCTAGTCCTGCTCATCCGCCCGTCCCTGATTGCTCAAGCCCACCGCGGCGACGCTTACCGTCAAGGCGGCGGCGGAGACGCCAGAGGCTCCTCAAGTGCTGGGTCGACGACAGGTTCCGGGGGCCGAGCCTCAGCCTCCGCGGCGGACAGTAAATGTTCGACTTGCGTCAACAGTTCCGCTACGACATCGTCAGCGCGAATCCACCATGAGGGAAGATCGGCCGCTCACCAGGGTTCAGTATTGGCACGCCCTGCACCCCTTCGTCCGCGACGAGCTCTGCCTCCGGCCGCACGATGTCATCCACGGAGAGCTCCTGCCCCGCATCCTGCTTCGGCCCCGTCTGCACGGGCACGACCTCTGGCCCCGCGCCCGCAGGCTGCGCGACAGGCACCGCCCCGCTCCCTCCGGATCCCAGCTCCGCCGACGTTGAGGTCGCAGCCGCCGCCTCTTTGCGAGCGCGGGCCTCCTGCTCCTTCTGGAACGCGAGCACGGCCTGCAGAGCGGCGGCGGCCATGAGCGTCGACTCGTCCGGTCCGTCCCTGTCCGGGCCGTCCGCCTTCGTATCCTTGTTAGACGGTCCCGGAGTGCCCCGCTCGTGTTGCGGAGCGCGGACTCGGGCGGGCCGACGCCGTTCGGCTGCCCGTTCGACTGCGCGAGGAGCTCGGGGCTGATCTGCGGCGCCATGTGCGGAGCCGGCATGCCCGCATGGCGGTAATATGGGGAGGGGTAGTAGGGGGAGGGATAGTACATCCCTGGCGGAGGCGGAGGGAGTGGGGGCCTTCTGAACCCCATGGAGGGGGTGGTGCGGTGGAAGGGGCCCAGCTGCCTCTTGTTGCCGAGGTGGGGATGCCGAGGGGCGGAGGGGGGTAGTGGGGATCTACCGCTCCAGGGGGCCGTGGCGGTGGGTAGTTGGGGTAATACCCATCTAGGGAGTGTCATTAGCATCGCAACGGAACGGATGTCCACAACAGGCAACGCAGGTTGCATACAGAACACATGGAAGTGACCGAGCAGACGCAGAGTATAGCGCGCGTCGACAGCGTGACTACTGCGGATCTCGAGTAGTCTCGCAAGAGGCGACCTCCGCTCGCCCATCACATATTTTGTAGCGACCCAACAAAAGGACGACAAATAGTGTCTTTCGAATGAACATGACATCCCCTTCCGTCCCTGGTCTTAAAAAGAAATTCATGATCCATAGACAGCTTTGGGATTCCTGTCGCCTCCACATCCTTCTCGATGGAAGAAACTATTGACCGTCAATCTAGGAGGCGAACAGGGATCCTTGCGACCGACAATGACCACCCTCTCGTCCGGGTAGACCAGAACACTCATTTAATAAGATGGAAAGAGACAGGTAGCGGTGGAACCACGATCGCCAAGCTCAACGATACATCGCCTTGGAATGCTAACACAATAGGCGGACGAAAAGTGAACCTATCGTCCGCCTATCCCACCAGCAGCTTGTCGTAGTACGCAACGATGCGGAGATATGCTCACCTTGCATTGTATGCGGTCGGTAGTAGTTACCACCTCGTCCGGAAGATTCAGCACGGCTGCTCGACTGTGTGGGTGAACCTTGCGTGCTCCCCTCCTCTTGACTACGAGAGCCGGACGGGCTAGGTGACCTTGAACCGGAAGAGTCGCCATCGCCATCGTGTTTGCTCTGATCCTGTTCGGCCGGTTCTATTACGACGCCATTATGGCGCGACTTTTGGTGCCGGCGGAGAGCATCGGTCTTCAGGAACGCGCATATACAGAGTTCAGACACGTGCCCGAGCGCGGAAACAAGGCGGCGACTCACTCGAGTGAAGGTGGCATCACATTGGGGGCATTGGCTGTGCGCAGCGCACGTGGGCTGAACAGGGAATGGGGACGCGCATGAGGAGGAGGACGTACAAGCTGGGGATGGAGTGTGTCTTGGTGGTCCTTTGGTGCCTCTTCAGGTCAGCCTCACGCGCGAAGACCTTCTTGCAGCCGTCCATCTTACACGGCCATGAGCCGGTCTCGGACTTCTTCTTCGAGCCACTGGCAGGGGAGGGGGCAGAGATTTTTTTCTTACCATCCCGGTCGCCTCCCGGCTGGAGAAACAGAGCGAGGTCAGCGATGGGCAGTGAACAAAGGAGACGGTCGCAGCCTCCCGGGACTGGAGGGCGCGAAGAAGCCGTGTGGCAGAAGTGGCTGAAGCGATGGCTGGGGATATTGATCACTCATGCGCGCGATGCTCACCATCTTTCCCTGCGCGCGGACCATCCTGCGCAAACGCTACTGGTGCACTGACACTGGTAATATTTCCCAGGGCTCGCGAGGGGACGGGAGGGCAGCAAGTCGGAGGAGAGTACGGTGGCTGGTGGTTGGCGCTGTGGCTGCGAGTGGCTGACGAGCTGGAGGAGTCTGGCCAAGCTCCACGGGCGTCTCTCACAGCTTGCTTCTGACCCTGACACGTGATCAAGCCACATCTGCTCCGACAACTTCAAGTTTGTGAATGCATCGAGAGCCAAAACTGATTGCAATGGGCATTCGCCTCCGTGAAACGGAAGAATGGGTACGGCACGAAAGTGTAATGACCAAAACACAAAGCCGTAATGTATGTAGAGCTACACTGGTGTGGGCCTTCTCAGAGGATCTGGACCTTTGGCCACTTGTACTGCGCGCCGACCTGGACACATACCGTCAATCGGAGCTTATGCCGCATATACTCAACGAAGACGCACCTGCTGCACACACATCGAACCCATCTTGTGCCCCATCTCGACGCACTCCTCGATGGACTTGCCGAGCACGAGCCCCGCGAGAAGCCCGCCCGCGAACGCGTCCCCCGCCCCGTTCGTGTCCACGATCTCCGCGTCCGACAGCGGCGCGACCGGGAACACCCGTGTGCTATCCAAGCCCGCCGCGCTCACCACCGTCGTCGCCTTCGGGCCGTGGGTGATGATCGCCGTCCGCGGGCGGGCGGGGTTCGACTTGGGGAGGGACGCGATCGCGCGCGCGACTGCGGCGAGGTCGGTCTTGTCCGCCAGACCCGTGGCAGAGGCGTAGGCTTCAGCCTCTGCCTCGTTGCCGACGAGGATGTCGACGTAAGGCATGAGAGACTGCAGCTCGGTGGTGTATCGTTCAGGGATGAAGGGGGCGGAGAGGTTGAGGACGAAGGGCTGAGCTCGACTAAGCACGGTGCTATACGCATACAAGGAGACAAGTTACACACACCTTTCCAGCTGCGCACGCCTTCTTCGCGAGCTCTAGCGCGGACTCGATGCCATGCGAGAGAAAGAAGCCGCCGACGTAGTACACCTTCGCCGAGTTGATGATCGCCGCAACAGTTGGCGACGACAGATGTGCCTCGTTGAAGTGGTGGGCAGCCCCGAGGTACGTCACCAGCGAACGGTTGTGGCCGGTGACAACGACGGCGCAAGTCCCCGTCCTGTGTCCCTCAGCGATGTGGTAGACTTGGTCGACCCCTGCGATCCGGTTCGCCGCGACAAGCTGTTCTGCAAAGCTGTCGTTCCCGACGCTCCCGGTATAGACCACAGATCTCGGAGGGAGGATGTACTGGAGAAATTTGAAGTGTTGAAGAAGGCGAATGAGCGAGAGAAAGAGAGAACACTCACAGCAGCTCCGCGAGCTGCGTTCTGTGCCGCACCTCCCGCAACGTAGACGACCTTCTCGCTGTACTTGTCCACTAGCTCCCGGTAACTGCGCGTTAATGCCTGAGTCAATGAGCTACGGTAAAGAGGAGACCGGCGTACAAAGGGCTGTCGTCCTCCACGCGAATCGCGCCGTTGGGTTCGAGCGAGTACTTCTCGAGGAGCTCTTCACCGTGAGGGATGATGATGTCGAGGAGTGGATTGCCCATGCAGAACAGAGAATAGCCTTCAGACATCATTCTGTCCCACAATTCGCGTTGATGTACACTTTGACGTGTCCAGGATATCCAGATGGAGAGTTTGGCGCCGTAGTCGGATGATTGGTCGTTATCTATGGCGCGTGGCACACTTATCTGCCCATTCTTGCACGACAGAGCGCTATAGCCTGAGTACTGAGTATTGACAATGCTATCGCGCGCGGAGACCGGAAGTGGGGGTAGGAGGCAAGCGCCATGAGCGAGGTTCCATCAACGCGCTCAAAGGTCCACCATGCTTGACTCCCACCTCCATGTTCCCCAGGGCCAATATCAAGCACGCCCATCGCAATGAGCCCAGTCATATACGCTACAACAACGAAACGACGATGTGGTGAAGGGCAACGAGAGGATGCACTGCTGAACAGAAAGCCGTAGTTCTTGTTCCAAGGACACCTGGTCACCGAACGCGAAGCAGAACACTAGCCAGTTGCCGTGTACGCCCGTTTCAAACCGCATATAGCGTAAGTCATGTTCCATTTCAGTGAAAGTGCACCTTTTTGCAACTGCTGTGCATTCATAGGAGACCAGGGTTTTCCCCTCATGGCCATCCCGATGGTGCTCTCGTACAATAATCTGCCGTCTGGAGTCGACGCGTCATCCCGATGTCGCTCAGCTCCCGCGTACTGCCGTCGCGCGGGCGCAGCCAGCGGATGGCAGGCCACCCGTCCCGACTCCACGCGCAGCTCTGCACGGAGGAAGGAACGCTTTTCGTTCTCAATGCCGGTGAGTAAACAGCATTTCGGTGTTGGTTGGTCCGCGCGGTGTTAACGCTGAGGGGTTCGGGGCAGCCCAGCGGGGCGACCGAATATCTCGTCAACCTGGGCCGTTCTCGAATGCTGTTTTGAAGAGGTCAGGTCGGCAACGTGAATGCAGCTCCTGTGGTCCATGTCACAAATCAACCAGGAGAGTGGATAAGCGAGAGTACGTACTTTGATGATAGACTCTAGCTCTGTCCCGCGACAGGACTCACTGACCTTCACCTCTAGAGTGAGTCTTTTGCGCCTTCCGCCGTGATTGCGCCTTCGACTGCGGAGCAGTGCGCTGCGCAAGAAAGCGCCGATGAGCCGCTGTTCACACTTGCTGGTCTGGTCAAGTTCAAAATTTCTGCGAAGATGCATCCGCCTCGATTTCGTTCCGTCCCGCACGGGAACTTATCTCGGATAAGCCTCCTGTCCCCTACTCACGCACTCCCGCTACTTCCCCCGCCTTGAGACCCGCTTTCATTTGTGTCCGCGACTGCGGAGGTATGTCCGACTTTACATTCCTCGAATCGTCCTCAGAGTGCTCACAATATTTAAAGACCCAGATTCCATTGGGCCATCTCCATCACCAACTTCTACACTTCCTTCCATCGTTCCTGGAGAACCCTTTCACCTTTGCACCACATAATCGTTTCACTTCACCACTTGTGCCTATCATCATAACCTCCGCCTTCTATCAACCTTCGCCCCCTCTTCTCTAATATCGCTACCAACATGTCTTCGCCTATCGACAACCAGTGTCTTATTGGCACCGTTGTCGACAGCAACTACTGGCTCCACGATATCCTCGGCGCTGGTAGCTACGGCGTCGTCTACAAGGCCCTCGATCTCCGCACCTCCCGGGACCCTGTCCCGACCTACTGGGCCATCAAGGTCCTCCAGAAAGCCGGGCGTCAGCCATTCGAACTTGAGAACATTCGCCGCGAGATCTCCCTCCACATGGCCATGACGTTATACCCCGGCATAGTCACTATGTACGACGTCGTCGACGAGGACGACCGCACCTTCATCATTCTGGACCTCTGCGACACCGGCGACCTTCTCGAGCACATCGCCGTAAGGGGGACGTACAAGGACAACGAGGAGCTTCTCCGCATGGCCTTCATCTCGCTCGTCGACGCCGTCACCGCCTGTCACATGAATAACATCGCGCACCGTGACCTCAAGCCGGAAAATATCCTCGTCAACCAAGATGGCTCAGAGCTCTTCCTGACCGACTTCGGCCTGGCAACGACGCGGTCCACGATTTCCGAATTCGATGCTAGCACCGGTGTCTACATGAGCCCAGGTATGTCACGCATTACGTCCCCCGTCGCCCTGAAGCTCAGCACTGACACATCCGCCGCAGAGTCCATCGGGGACCTCACCTCACACGTGCCGTTCAACCCCCGCACGGCCGACATCTGGTCGCTCGGCATCATCCTCGTCAACATGCTCACCGGGCGGTACCCGTGGACGAAGGCGGACCGCTCCGACCCCGCGTTCGCCGCCTACCTCGCCGACGCGGACTACCTCAGCAAGTGGGCGCCGCTCTCGCCCGCCGCCGTCACGCTCCTCCGCCGGATGCTCAACCCCGACCCGCTCTCGCGCATCAACCTCACCGCACTCCGCCGCGCGGTGCACGCGCTCAACACGTTCTCCGCCCCCCTCCACGCGTGGCACACGGACTTCTGCGGCGTCGGTTGCGACGAAGCCGCACGGCGCGTGGTGCGCGACCGGCGCGCGACGCCGTTCATGCCGCGCGTGCTCGAGGTCGACGAGGAGGACCACACGGCGGAGTGGGCGAGCGAGCAGGCGCCAAAGAAGCTCGACAAGCGGTTCGCGGCCGTCGACGCCCCGCACACGCCCCTACACGTTGCCGCCATCGGCAGGCCCAACGAGGGCGAGGTCGACACGCCCCGTCCTGCGGCCGCCGACTGGACGAAGCGCGCTCACCTGATCGTCGGGCTCCCGCGCCACACCGCCGCCTCGGAGTCGGGCTCGTCCGAGTCGGACTCGGAGTCAGAGTCGGAGTCGGGCTCGTCCGAGTCGGACTCGGAGTCAGAGTCGGAGGCGGGATCGTCCACGTCCCAAGAGAAAAAACTGGATTGCACCGCGCACTCGGTCGTCTCCTGGACCACCGGGTCGTACAGCTCGTCGGACGACGACTCCAGCTCCCTCGACAGCCTCAGCTCGTGGGACTCCGTGGATGCGGAGGAGATGTCGATGGACTCCGGGAAGTTCCCGGCTGGGAAGGGTGCGGTCCGCTTTGACGTGGTCGAGGCGGACCTGAGGCCGAGCTCGACGTCGCGGTTGATGATGTACCTGCAGCAGCGCACCCATGGTGCGCATCTCTGAACGACAGACCCCGAGGGCGCCGGATGCTGTATGTTAGATAGCGTTCTGGGGATCTGGTCCGCTCCTGCATGCTGTGACCAATGACAATCTCGCCTTCTGTTCCCGTCTTATCACCTTGTGCCCTGAAGCCGACGGTCTAAGAGCACTTCCGCAACGCGCGACTTGTGTGGCCGGTAATGTCGCCTCGTTCCCCGTGCTCCGCCGCTGGATGCGACTCGATAGGTACGGCGTGGCCAGGCAATGTCCGTCCTGGTGGCCTCTAGAAGCGCTTCATGCGTGCACCCGAGCCGTGCTAACACGTTTTCCGCGTCATCGATGATGGCGGACGAATCATCGCGGAGGACTGCTCACCAATCGCGCACTTCCGAACGCAGGGGTATCTGACTGCCCGGCGCATAGTGGGAACGATGAGAGCGCGTTCCATGGCTCCCCGCTGGCAGCCCCAGCGCGGAGCAGGGGCTGGTGCCTTGGGCTGCGGCAGTTATTCGGCGCTTTTGGTAGGTGTGGGAAGCAGGCTTGGAATATCATCGACCCCGAAGGCAGAGGAGGCAAGCGAAGTTCCAAGATTGGGACAGGTTGGGTTCTCAGCCGCGTGGAGGAGCATGGGTGATAGGGCAGAGATCGGTCGGCGGGGCCCGAGATCCCACATTGCAGACACCGACGATCCCAGATCCGCCTTTCATCTCGGAGGAAGCCCGTCAGCTACGCAAGGGAGAGGCAGGCCAGGAGGGGTCGTACGTACGGCGTCCGAGAATGTGGGCGTATGAGAATCCGAACTGATTTTTGAAAAGGGTGGCTGCTCAAACGTCTTCGACTATCTGATCGTAGAGGTGCCACGTATGTTCTCGCGCACAGAAACGGTACACTTTTGTTGTACAGCAACATGACAAGATGTTACATACTACGAGGAGAGCATCGCCGTCGGCAGAAGCAGCGAGAGATACGGCATTCATACTTATTCTGAACGGATACCCGTAGGTTAGTAGTAAATTAGGAAGCCAACCAAGCGGTGGCATGACGAATACCTTCACATCGCATTCACACCAGAGTGCTCGAGAACCACTGATGTTGGTGTTCCATCTTATGGAAGCTATTTGATGAACAGTATCATATGTTGTTTTCAAGTTGGTCACTGGAAAACATCCCCCATTGCCTCAGAAGAGAAAATTACTAAGCTCACCGTCAATTAGTCTCCCTTAGGCCGACCTTCTATCCGTCGATGACACAGAATCCCTGCCCTTGATTGAAACTTGAAGCTTGAGCTTGTCCGTCCGGGAGTGCGTTCCTCATCTCTGTGGAGCAGGCTGTAAATATCGGTTTGCGGGCGATCCCTTCGACGCGTGGAAGGACAGGTTGTCGAAGATATATCGGAGCGAGACTCGATATGCTTCGGGATTGCAAGGTTGTATTCGAAGAAGTTCGATCTTATCTCGGAGCCACAAATCTATTTGAGACGAACTAGTCCCGTCCGATCGGAGTTTCAAATCCGAGGGTCTCCGAAAAAAACGGCCCTGCGCCTATTTCCCATCCTCATTTCCGTCCTCCCATGTGTTTCCCCCGCTCGGACTACTGTTCTGCCTTAATGCCACCCTGCTTAGTCCCGTAATGATCGTGTAGCCCATTCAAATGCTCTAAATGCTATGCGCGATTTCGCAACGTGCGTCGTGTGCGGCTGGTTTCCCTTGAAGCCCCAGACTTGCCACCAGCATAATGCACGCGGAACATGCCGGTGGGGCTTGAAAAGGTGCGTCTGTCACGGCGACTTGTCAGGCGTGGTGTTTGCTTACGCGATTTTCAGATTGAAGATGTCCACCGCACTGGCAGGTCCATGATGCCTCCTCACGCAAGGCCACGGAGGTAGACGACCATGGGATCCGTCCGTCTGCCTCCGTCTCGCTTAACTGTCCTCTTCGCCTTATGCTTCGTATCAAGATCTGGGCGAGGCATGCGGACCGGCTAGCTTCTCAGCCATCCTCGGACTGAGGCCGGCTTCATGCTCCGACAGACAGACCGCATCCGGAAGAGCTTCGTTGGATGAAGGACAGACCACGCGACGACGAGTGTCCCTACATAAGCCTGCTGCTCCACGACTCCCATACCTCCAGTTCTCTCTCTTTCGACATGGACCACCCATACCTCATCGCGCTCTTGTTCTCCATTGTGGGCTACGGCTGGTACCTCCAACGCGATCTGGTACGTTCTATGTGTACCACACTGGCCATGGCTCATCGTACATCCCTGTTAGATCCCCAAGGACCGTCTTCCGCCCATGGTTGAGATACCGGTGGGTCGCTGGTGTGTGGTGTCTGTACGATGCCCCCGACGCTCACACGCTGCCAGGCGGAGGATATCTTTAAGAGACCGCGCGAAGCATACGGAGAGGCATTTGCCGCACACGGCCCTGTCATCGGCGTCCGGCGGAAGGGTAACGTAAGTGCCATCGGGGCTCTTTCCCGGTCACAGCTTATGATAGTGTTTGCAGCTGGAGTACATCGTGAATCACGAGTACGCCCGATACGTGCTCACGTGCGACCGCCTCTTCAGCTTCGAACGAGGTTCTGCCGCCGTGCGTTCTGTGTCTCGCACTTCGCTTCTCCCTTTAGCTCACCATGCGCTTGCATAGATCATGAACCTCCAGCCTCTCATGGCCTTCACAGAAGGCGCGCTTTTCCGCGACCTGCAGGACTTCGTCAGGGACGGTATTGTGAATCGCATCGATGAAATAGTCGAGAGGAGTAAGCTTCTGTCAAATGCTTTTTCCTCTGCCTTTTGACGTTTTGCACGTAATAGTATGGCCTCTCTTCCAACGCGACACGAAAGAGTTCATACAAATGTCGATCGCGGGCGCGAAAGACGGGAAACACCCCAATTGCCACGACCATTACCACAACACGATCGCAGAGACCACTCTGATTCTGCTTCTGGGACAGGTCAGTTGAGAATGAATAGTTTCCTGCAGATCGCGGTGAGCAAGGAACTGATAATTTTGTGTTAGGATTATGTCAACGACCACAATCTGGCGACCATCGAAGACGTGTCAAACTGCATGGCCGAACTTACGGGGCAGTACCAGAATTTCTCGCTGGTGGGCAGATATCTCCCCTACCTCTGGATTCTGTATACCTGGTGAGAATTTTCGCCGGCTCGCACTTCTCTCCTTCGTCTTCCCTGCGTCCGGTACCTCTGACGGCATTACGTGCCGATCGATACCCGGCCCCACATGTCCGAGACGGGCCCGTATGACGGCTCTGGCTGACGAATACATTGTATTCCTCCGCAGGGTGAAAGTCATTCTCATCCGCATTCCGCTCGGCTTCTTCCGCACCTTCGGCCCACAAGTCTGGCGCGACATCGATCAATACGAACGACTGATGTCTGAGGCTGAGCGCTCCGGCGGCGCATCTCTGCTAAAAATGAGGTTCGTACGTTGCTCAATCCATCCTTTGGCTCTTCGCTTACTCTTTGTGTCGCGCGACCCAAGCCCAAGAGTGTTCTTTACCTCATCACCAAAACGTACTACCGAGCGAACGGCGGGAAAAGCATCGGCTGGGCGCGGCGGGTATATATCGCAGTCCTCCTACTTTGGTGAGTGGTGCCCCGCCTTCTCCATGGCGCCGCTCACGCCTTGCCATTTTCTGACAGTCTGATCTTTGCTGCCGTACACACAACGTAGGCCCTGTTCATAGCGTGCACTCAGGCTCTGAGCTTACCACCATCGATAGCACCGTCGTCTCCCAGTGGGTCCTCTGCCAGCTCGCCACCCGCCCGGAGTACCTCGAGCCTCTCCGACAAGAGCTCTCCGAGGTGCTCGAAGAGGACGACACCGGCGCGCTGCGCCTCACCGCGCGCTCCTTACGGCACGCCCGCCTCATGGACTCGTTCATCCGTGAGGTGATGCGCCTGAAAGGCGACACAATCGCCGCGATGCGCTACACGACGTGCGACGTCCCGCTCGGCGACGTCGTCATCCCCAAGGGCTCGTTCGTCACCGTGCTGGCGACGACGGTGCATGAGAACCCGGACGTGTTCGGCGACGCCCCGCGCGACTTCAACGGCTTCCAATGGGCCGACTCGGGCAAGGAGGCGGTCATGACCGGGCCTGCGCACATCGTCTTTGGGCTCGGCCGCTTCGCGTGCCCCGGGCGCGTGCTCGCTGTCAACGGTGAGCGATTATCTGCCCGCTCGCCCGCCACACGCACGACGCTCACCCTCATGCCGCCGGCGACCACGCGGTCCGCGCCTGAACTCACAGAGATCAAGCTGATCGTGATGTCGCTCATCGCGCGTGCGACGCCGTCGCTGCTCGAGGGCAAGTTCGAGGTCGCAGACCCGCTCAACACGGTGCGTGCGCGCTCGCCGGCGACCATCCCCGTCCCCGCCCCCGTTCCGTGCGTCCGCGCGCTGCCGGCATCTGACGGCGTGCTCCCCGCAGGTGACGCAGCCGCCGAAGGGCACGCTCGTCTTTTCCCCGATCGGGAAGACGTTTCTGCAGTGATGATCCCCGGGGGACCCTGGACGTGGCGACCGTACGTCGCGCTCGCTTCGCCTTCCCCGCATCGACGCGGGGGGAGGCCTCCGTCGTCGTCATCCGCCTCCTGCTCTGCCTCAATGCATCCCGGGCCCCGGGCCCGCGGGTCGACCAATCGCTGGACCTCTGTTCGGCTTTGCTCACGTACTTCTGACCTCGAACGCATCCCCGTCCGCAGCCCTGTTTTATAAGTTTTCTATTCTTTCTGTCTGTCGTGTTCTGATATCCAATGTACTCTGTTCCCGCGCCGAGCGTACCGTCTGGGGGCGAGTACGCCCAAATGTGTATGTATGTTTATGCTTCCCATTCACCGCTCCCGGCCATGCGTGGTGCAGCGTGCGTTCCGCGTCCCGTTCACCACTCCGTTTGGAGTACTCGCCTAGACACGCTTCCTCCCGCTCCCCATACCCCTCAAGCGACCGAGAACCTAAGACCGTCCACGAGGGTGCATACAGGGAAGCGTGCCGGCCTCCTTCTGCATGTGAGGTGCCCGTTCAGATGCATCGGAGCATGGAGCCCCAAGGGATGGACAGACGAGTGCGTATCCCAAGGATCGCATACGGCGTAAGGAGCATGTGCTTGTACGTGCACGAGAACAAGGCGGGATCTCCAATACTTCTCAGTCGGATTTCAAAATCTCTTCCGCGTTGTTTGGCCGTTACCCACACCTCCTATTTCCGAACGCTAATCGGAACATATGGCATGTCAGTATACTGCATGTCATAGAACAATGACAAACGATGCGCCAAATGCATCTCATCACCAATAAACTTGGAACTGGATTGAAGGTCGATCGACAATTTTCAGCCAAGTTGACACTCGGCGGGCGGCCTCACGGGCTCTGTGTCGAGACGGCTACGACTCGGGCTCTCTCCTGGAGTCGCAAGAGATCGTGTGATTGAGTAGATGATAATGTACGAGGTGGAGGGGTGTGAGCGTCCCGAGTGAGCGTAGCGCAATAGTACATACATTCCGCCTCCCAGACGAGGTAGCAGTGAGAGGCAGCGAGGCGTGCTCGGCAAGGAACGCAACAGAATTCGGCCAGGCCCGACCATGACGGACGCCGGCCGCGAACAAAGCCGGCGCCCGGAAACGCGCCTCTGATAACGGATAGGCTCGTCGAAAGCGACAGCCCCCAGCATCAGGGGCGTGCGGAACGGGCGGGCCACCGTCGGACACCAGCATACGCGCGTGCGCCGTTCGATTTCCGAGCGGCCGAGGTGTCCTACGCGTCGCGCGCGCGGACATGCGGACGCACTAGAGAGCGCCTCACGCGTCGTACGGCGCGGTCTTGCTCCCGCGGCCGTCGTACTCGTCCGCGTCGTCGTCGGCGACCTCGGTGACGACCTTGAGCTCGATCTGACCGCCGGAGGCGGTCTGGCTGTACGGGAACCCGCCGTTCGAGACCTGCGGCAGTGCGGGGGCGTCAGCGCGCCGACGACGAGAGCGGGTGAGGGGGGCGGACGCACGTGCACGCTCGGCTGCGGGTGGTGGATGCGGACGGAGGCGCCGCTGAAGCCGTGGAAGGGCGAGGTCTCGCACGTGCCATCGTCCATGATCCCGAGGGACTTGCGGGTGTTCAGCCTGCGCGCGAGGGGGCGGTCTAGTAAGCCTCGGGTGGGCGGTGGGAGGTGTCATGGGGGACGTACGCGACGAGGAAGGTGTTGGCGTACAGCTTGGTGAGCACGCAGGAGAGCGCGGCGTAGATGAAGTTGTCGGGGTATTTGATCGACTGTGCACCGATGGACGTCAGATCGACTTCTGACAATGCGATGGGACGAGCGCGTACGAAGGAGACGTTTAGGATGTGGACGACGCTGCATGAAGTGGAGCGCGGAAGTCATCAGAAAAATGCCGCTAAGTGCATGAGATATCGCGAATTCACCATGTCGTCATACCTGCATTTGTCAATCTAAAGCCAGGACACAGAAATGAGAATATGGCACGTACCTGAGCTGATCGCGTAGGTGATGAGTGTGTCGAGCATGGTGTTGGTTCTGTAGCCCCATCGTGTAAATATGACGTGCGTTCCCTAAAATATTGAATGCGTACTTGTTCATCCCAGCACGGCTAGTGTGGAGGACATAGATGAGGGTCGACGTGATCATCAGGTCCCCGCCCATCTGGATGGACGATCCAACAGTGGCAAGCCACTGTCGTAAGAAACGATGGGCGTCAGAAGGGATATACCTCATGGTTCAAAGTGCAAGTTACGAACCGAAAACCCGAGGGATTCTGTTATGTTGGGTGCCCGGAACCTGCGGCATATCCGTACCAGTAGTGAGAAAGCCGAAATGTTATGAGGAACCCGGAGAACCACCGACATCTTCACAGCCAGGGCTAATCAGGAAAAAGACACAGGTCAGCTTCCGGATTACTGGGTGTGCGTAAAAGGAGGCCGACACTCACCACTAAAGCAGCCTAGTAGACAGCGAGATAATACCACACATAGTTCAGCATTGGCATGTCAAGCCGAACGAGCCACGCGGAATGTTCTCACCAACGTTGCCTATGATAAGAATGATCTTTTCGAAGAGTGTGAGCAGGTGCGGAGACGCAGAATACGCATGCCACTTACGGCGACCGCTACAACGGGTCGGAACTTCGGTGCGACTACGATGTGAGATCGGCGATCAGTTCTACAATTAATCTCGAGGCGTCGAAGAGCCGGATCGACATACTCAACCATACCCGACGAGCGAAAAAGCTCTGGGACAAAAGGGCCGCGACGGACTGCAAATCTAAAGTTCAGCGCAAACGCCATTTACGCCGGGTTGATGCGATTCTTACACCAGGAACAGGCAGCAGCTGCGGCAGAAAAGTGCCATGAGCTAGGGCTGAGTCCAGACGCGGCGAGAACTCACGTCAAGCGACCACACCGGGGGGCTGACGAAGAAATACGTCGAATCCCAGTACTTAGTCACCAGGTAAAAGTAACTAGCGCGGACGAGGTCGGCCACAAGCACTTTGACGGTTCAACCCGGGACTTACGAAGTGTGACAGATGAGCGCCGAAGTGAAAGTTTCCAAAAATCTGTCAAGTGTCAGATGTCCATGTCAGCGTAACATCCCATTCCGTCGGTGTCTGACGAATGCACGCACACCACTACGGCCACCTAGTAGAGACGTTTGTCAGCGCTCATCGATCCACGTGCATCGCACGTACCCATATCTTGAGCAGCTTTTGGTCCTTGGGGAAAGCCCGGTAGTATTGGAACGTCTGGCTGATGAGCATCCCGTTCAGCCTGCGGGGACGAGGCGTCAGCACGTGATGGGCGTCAATCTCATGCCACGCCGCCGGCTTCTCGCGCGGACTTCGCGACTATCGCGCGACTCTCCCGACTTCCGACGTCCGGGCGGTCCCGTACAACAAGGCTGGTGCATGGACGGCGCCACGACATTATCGTAGCGCGCGAGAAAATAGCGGAAGACACGACGCGACGTACAGGAGGCTGAAGACGACCCCCACGAGCCACGCGCCGAGGGTGTTGTCGAGCGCGATGGTGGAGAGCGCCGCGAGCGCCGCGGCGGCGTCAGCGTCGCTCGAGTTAGTGGACATTGTCCAATGTCGCGGGCGTCGGGCTTCGTTAAGCCTGGGTTGACGGGTCGGCGGTCGATCGCGTGGAAGACGATAAGGAGCGGGAGCGCAGCGCGCGAGGGGCAGCGCGTGCAAGAGCGAAGGACGGCAGTGCGGGGGGAGGGAAGGGGAGGGAGGCACGGTCGTCGAAACTTCCGCATGGGTGAGCTCGCGGATCGCTACATATACTGCGCAGCCGCCGACAAAAGGGTCTCTGTCGTCGCTTGGGTAAGGTTCACGGGATGCGTAAGAGCTATCAGGGACGGACCGAAGAGCTCGCGCTAGCCCAGCGGCGGCGTAGCGCACACATTTGGCACGGAGGAACGCCGTGGGCAAAAACTGCGAATGTGGGAAGATAGAACTTCCCCCGGGGAACAGCGGTACCTAGACAAGACGCGGCACCGGTGCATGTTCCATGACACGGGTAGAGTGTTGCAGCGGAGGGCAGCGTGAGTACCTTAAGTTCCGATGTTGGATGCGGGCCAAAGTATGCAGCTCGGGTCGGATGAGCTATGCGAGCAATACGCGTTAGAGTTAAAGGCAATACTTCATCTGTGCGCTTCTGATATTTAGACTTTGTCTAGAAGTTCGCTAGTCGTCAAGATGGGGTCCCGTCGGCGGCGAAGTTTGCGCGCTCTTAGGCTTCTCGTTGAATTCAAACAACCAATGCTGATGGAACGGCAAGAAGTTGTAAGTGCTGCCGAGTCCAACGAAGGTTCAGCATGTGCGTAAAATTAATGTGAAGTGTCAGCATGTGTTGCTTTGAGGGCAGCTCAAACGGATGCAAAGGGGACTGGAGGTTTCGCGGGGAAGGACGCTATCGTCGCTGCCGCGTCGGGGAGCATCAGGCACTCACCATATAAGGGGGATGTTTGATCCAGGTAAATATAACGTTCTCATCTACCGTGGGCGGGTCTGAGCTCTGGTTATCAGAGCTCTCTCTCTCCGACCCTTGATCGCATGACGTTGTGACTTAAGTTTGAAAATGCAGCTGAAAGCACACTTACCTTCGCGCGAGTGGCAGGGGGTGAACCGTGATGCATACGTGCACCAGCCACCTCGTTGTGAAGGTAAATGGTAGAGAGTCTCCGGCCCGCTAGCCGCAGGACTTGACATACTCAACGAGTTGGAGCTGCGATGAGATCCCATAAAGCAGGAGATTTTCGACGGAGATGGTAGGAGGTGCTCCCATCAGGTGAGCGCTACCCGGAACGCTCCGGCCTTCCGCGTTTGGACTCCGCCGCGCCGGCACCACCAGACCACCGACTTTCAAGCTGCGCTGATCCATGGCTGCGCTAATCTATCGTTGTATCCCCAGGTGAGACCTGCGGCATGCTCGCAACAGAGCGGACATTTGCAAGTCCGACCTTATCAATAATTCTCATCTCGAACAAGCTCAGGTTGCTCACCCGTAGGTTTGAATATATTTGACCTGGCGTGCTGTGTGTTATAAACCGCACGAGGACAACACGCATGGTCAGCTGGTGGTAGCCAAGTGGGGTGCGGAATCTGGAGACAAGACCACATGTACTCACCTTGTCCAGTCGTTCGCACGATGGTGCAACTGGGTGTTGATCGGTCTTCCGACGCCGCGAGATCTTGATTCGGTAGCGGTTTCGACGCTCTGCGCGTGTCGTACTCACCGACCATAGCTCGAAGGCAACCGCACTCAAAGTGGCCGCAAGTGAAGTATTTCCAGTATATGTAGAACGAGCGTCGTGCAGCGTGCGCAAGCTCGGCGCAGTGGAACACGATCACGTGTTTATATTGTCGACGCGTTCCACAAGTATCTGGTGTTAACCGTGGATATGGTCGCGCCTTCAATCGTCTGAAAAGCATTCAGCTGCAGTGTGCTTGGCATTCGGAACGAGGGATGATGGCAATTGGAGATGCGCCTGTGCTGAACCACACTCGTTCCTGGCGCAACCTGACAACGGATCCACCGCGTTGGGAGGGATCCTCGAGGAACCGATACACTTTGAATACCTGGGAGTGGGCTTTGGCCATCCTGCGTGGTGGTGCAGCAGCGTATCGGGGACATGGCGAGCAGGAAAGGAAGGGCGCGGACGTGATGCCTGGAAAGAAGCTCGATCAGGCCCCATGAATAGCGCTGCTCAAGCGCCCACCGCACATGCTGCAGTCGACAGGCCAGTGCCAGGCCTTTTCCTCCGCACTTCCACCTCCATCTCTTCTCCCTTTATCGTCGTCCGCCACAACGACACACTCGTTTTCCTCGGTGCTGGCCTCTTCTTTCCCTTCATTTCCTGCCATGCCTCGCGAGAACAGCTTCAGCGACTCTGAGGGCCGCTCCCTCACCCCCGACCCCGAAGACGGCATGGCCACGTCCCCCACATGGGATGGACAGACCGCAGAACGGGCCCCGTGGTCACCACCACGCCGGCCATGGCTTACGCCGCCGTCCAGCAGCACCGTAGCATCTCCAGGCGCTCCCTCGCCGCCCCCACCTCCCCCGCGCGCCCGACCGCCTACCCCTCCCAGACGCCGAAGGACCGCTTCCGGGCGACGGTGCGCAAGGTGATGGCGATGAGCCGCACGTCGTCCCTCATGGCCCGTCGCGGGGTCGGCGCGGAGCCCGGCGTGGACCCGCGGCGCGCGAGCGCGTTCGTCAACTACGGGCACATCCGCCAGCAGTGCCTGATCGAGGTCAACGACTACTCGACGTTCCGGACGAGCTTCGGGCGGATGACGAACGCCGAGTTCATCCGCCTCCTCAACGACGAGGGCGCGAGCAAGCGCGAGCCCTGGGTCAAGGTCCGCTGGATCAACATTGGCGGCATCAGCTGGGACGTGATCAGCGCGCTCGCGCTCAAGTACGGTGCGTGCCCATTCCTTTCGTCTTTCCGCTTGTTTTTTCGTATGTTTCCTGCGAGCCCCGCACATCTGTGGGGTAGGGGTTGGGCGTGGGCACTCTGGGCGTCGCGTCTATGCGGCTTAGGCACCGTCTCGCGATCAGCAGGAGGCAATACGCATTACCTTGTGATTATCCCACCGCCCTCCCCCCGGCGTGACGTTTTTTTCGTGACGGGAGCCTGCACGCCGCATGTTCTCACCCGTCGGACTCGGTCCCTGACGCTGACATGCGCCGTTACCGACAGACCTCCATCCGCTTGCGCTCGAAGATGTGCTCACGCAGCGCGGGCACGCGCGCTCCAAAACGGACTACTATCCTCAGCACCTCTTCATCCGCATGCTCTGCCACACGCTCGGCGCCGAGGAGGAGGCGACGACGCTCGAGACGACGATCTCGAGCCTGCCGCGCTCCGCGTCCCCGGCCCGATCGGCGACGACGACGAGTACGAGGACGAGGAGGTCGACGAGAAGACGATGCACGGCAGCGCGGACCGCGCCAAGTTCGCGAGCATGGGCCACGCCGGCGGGCTGCGGTACCGGGGGCGGCGGGCGGACGTCGAGCAGGCGGGGCCGACGGGCGCGCGGTTCGGCGGGATGGCGGAGAGCGAGCAGGCGCAGAAGAACGCGCGGAACCGGAAGCTGGTCAAGGAGCTCACCCGGGGCGACCGCGTGAACGTGCAGATCCGGCCGATGTGCCTGTTCCTGTTCAAGGACGGGACCGTCATCTCGATCCACAAGGGTGCGTCGTATGCGCTGCCTGGCTGTATGCGCTGCGGGGCTGACGGGGCGCATAGACAACACCCTCAACTTCACGGCACCGATCACGGAGCGGTTGAGGCAGCGGGACACGGGGCTGCGGACGACGGCGGACCCGTCGATGCTGGTCCAGTCGCTGCTTGACCTCGGTGAGTTGATTGCCTGCTACTTCAGGATGTTGACTGAAATCTCTTGGGGATAGTGGTCGACTCGGCGATGGAGGTGGTGGAGGAGTACCAGGGGAGGATTCTGAAGGTCGAGCAGGCGGTCCTACTGAAGCCCAGCATGAAGACGGTCCGGAGACGTGAGTCTCTTTCCCCGTGTGTTGTCACCCGAATGGCGCGCTCACCGCGCTGTGCAGTCCATATCCTCCAGGGCGACCTCATCCTCCACAAGCGCACTCTCGAGCCAATCAAGACCGTCATCTATGGTCTCCGTCGGTACGATGTTGACCGTGCGATGGCGTTGAGGGAGCACGCGGATGCGAACGTGAAGGAAGAGGGTTACATGAGCCATAAGGCGAAGATCTACCTGGTGGGTCCTCTCGTTCTTTACTTGGTATCCTGCGTGCTCATCGGGTCGCCCCTCGGTCCCTTCTACTTGCATGATTTTCGTGCAGGCTGATGTCCACGACCACATGGAGTATATCCTCACCAGTCTGGACATGATCGCGGGGATCACCGAGAACCTGATTAATTACACGTTCAACGTGAGTGGATACTTCCTGTGACAGAGCAACACGCAACCTAACTGTGGCCTCTGCAGATGGCGTCATATGAGATGAACGAAGTGATGTGGGTGCAACGTACCTTACAATCTGCGAATGGGCGAACTGACCACCTCCGTTCCCCAGGCGCCGACTGACCCTCGCGACAATCATTTCCTTCCTCTCACACTGCTCACTGGGTACTTCGTAAGTCACCAACTTGACTTCTCGAGCAGGCACTCAGACGGCTCCGCAGGGTATGAACTTCGATCCAATGTGGTCCGTGATGGAAAACAGCGACCTCCTTTTCTGGGAGATCGCGCTGCCGCTCATGGCAGTGGTCATCCCTCTGTTCTTGTTCAACGACTTCAAGCGGATGGCGCACTACATCGAGAAGCGGCTGACGCGGCGCGCCGTCGTCAAGGTACGTAGTGTGTTCTTCGCCGTCGATCGTTCACTGAGCTGTCTTTGTAGTCCTTCAAGAGGGCGTAGATGATCGACTATCGTGCCTTCGACCGTCTCCGCGCGTCCTTCCTGTGACATACCGGGCCCCCACTGGACACCACCTGTTTCACTCGGTCGCTTGCATCCCCCTCGACGTCGACCCCCGTTCCCGGAACTTCACGACCTTTCACGCCCCCACGTTCGGTCAAAATCTCAACTATCTGCGCTCAATCTATAATCTATACCGGTGCTCGCCGTGCCCATTGGCTTTGTGATATCGGACCCATATGTACATGGTTCTTGTGTGTTCCGAGTTCTGCCACTCCTTGCCCTGCCCTGCTTACATTACACTATCCTGTCGCTATGCTTTGCTCGCCTTCCTGTACTCTTACTCCTCACCCCACCCCTGCGCTCACTCGTTTGGTTTTGTACCCCTGGAACGTGGACCTCTGACTATAGATTTAAGCGGTGCTCCGCGACCACACCATCACTTTGGCGGATGGATATGCCGCCAGGTAATCTCGGACACCAAATCAGAGACCCTAAAAGACTCTGCGAATACATCTTTTCAGATGGGTCTGTCGCCGAGTGCATGTACGATGCGCACACCACCTCCTTGGACGGGTTTGGTGGGGGCTGGTTACTCTATGTGGACAGTCTCGGGCGGGGAGGTGATGAAGACCCTCGTACCTGTGCGCAGAGCTTCTTGCTGCAAGAAGTCGGGATCCTGGTTTGTCCCGTGTGGCTAGGGACGACCGGAACACCTGCAGCAGATTCTTCGACTCGCTGTCACCGCACTTAGCCTCGCCGCCACGCCTGCTCGTGGAAGAACCACACACCTGTTCGAGCCCATGCTCACGGCGGCACTCGCCAGAGACCTGGCAAACGTGATCCCCTCCAGCGCGAGTCGCTCCGCAAAGTCCGCGTTCTCGCTCAGAAAGCCGTAACATGGGTGTACAGCATACTCGACGTGGACGGTGTATGCGCCCAAAAATTGCGAACGCGTATGTACCTCCGCACGGGTTCCGTGGCGCACTTCCACGATCGTGTCTATGCGCAGCGGGTAAAGTCCATCTCTTGAGGACAACATGCGGATACAGTAGCGGAAGAACTCACGTGGCCCTCCGCGGACGACGCGGGTCTGATGCAATACACCTCATCCGCCTACATCCGCGCTTCAACCCCCCGTGAAGGTCTCTGCCGTGAGGAAGGGCGTACGAGCTTGACAGAAAACGAGTGCGTGTCCACGTCGCTTAACACCGTAACGGTCTTGACCACGAGCTTCCGTGTGGTGCGTATCACGCGGCATGCGATCTCGCCGCCAGAGAGAGGAACGTGTCGTGCTCGGAGGTGTATTTTGAAAGACAAGACTTAAGCTTACCGGTTTGCAATGACATATAGGAGCGACTAACGGATATCCCCCTGCAGCACCTCGATCTGCCCATCTGCAGGGGGTCACGGGGCTATTGGTGTGAGCCGACGACGGTCGTGGCCGATGTAAAAGATGAACAGTCCGGAAGGCCCTGGACGGCGCGGGCTACGTTTTAGATTAGATTAGATCAGGCGTCGCCAGCTCATCGATATGGAGCACAACGTCCGCAGGAAAGAGGTTGTCCAGCACTCGCCGCTCGCAGCCCAGGATGGCGCTCGGACCGCGTCTGCGCGAAGACGAGCTGGACCAGATCCTCAGCTTCCTCGACCGCCAAGATGCGCTTTCCGTCGCTCTCACCTCCAAAGCGCTCTACGTCCTCGCCATGCCATATATCATCGCCTACGCCCGCCTACCCGAACACCCCACTATGGCTCGGTTTTCAAACGAGAACTACTTCCTCCTTGCCCACGACACTTTCCTTCCAAACCCTCGCTCAAACTACGCTTGGCACTTCAACTTACCTGGCCACAAGGCCGCCAGTGGGGGCAACCTATGGGACTCCCGTCGAGGACGCAAGCGCCACGTTGGCCGGGTCCTTACGGTGCTCAAAAGACTCCCTCATCTGCGCTGCGTAACCATACCAGCTACTGAAGAATACGTGCAACGAGCTCCCCTCATTCTGGACATCCTCGCCACCTTGCCTCACCTAACCGCCCTTTGGCTCCTCCACGCGTCCACACTCACGGTCGGTTTACTACCCACGGCGCTCGCCCCACTCACCTCTACCCTCCGTCACCTCTTAATCTCCTTAGAAGGGACCGACACCCCTATTCCCACCAGCCACTTCTCGCGCCTCTTCCGCGCACTTTCCGCCCTCCCTTGCCTCACCAAGCTGGCCATCACCTCCGTCTACACGTGGGATCAGCTGCTCGCCGACTACCACCCTGGGTCCCCGTTCCCCCTCTTTGCGCCCCTCCCAAACGTCCGCCACCTCACTTTGCTCTCATGCCCGATGGAGATCGTCCCGTTCTGCCCACACGTCACCGACCTCCACGTTGAGCAGCATAATGCGTCTCTCGAACTAGCCCTCACCCGGCACGAGTGGCCGGCCCTCCGCACGCTCACATGCGAGCTCCCGATGATCGGAACTCCCCCGAAGCCTCCTGCCCCGTCCTCCTTACTGTACCGCCCACCGCCCCACGTCGGCCGGCTTTGCGTACCAGAGGGCATACCGGTCGTGCTGAACGCGTCCGACCTGGAGCTGGGGAAGGAGTGGGCGCTCAGTGCCCCTCTTGGGAGTTTCCTTGAGCTGCTCTCGGGCGTGGTGTCCGGCCTGGAGCTGCCTGTGTCCGTGGAAGCCGCGGAACCGTCTCGTACGCGCACGGATCCGGAGAGGCCGCTGTTGTGGCCGCGGATGGCCGGCCGTCTGCGGACACTGCACCTCACCATCGCGTGCGACATGAAGTGCCCGAGCGTGTTCTCGGAGCTGATGGTGCGTTCCTCGTCGTGAAGTTTGTCTCCTTAGATCCCTTGCATACTCACGTCTGTGCGCACAGACAGCGCTGGTCACTGTGCTTTCGACCGTCTCCCCCGTCTACTTCAACGCCACACTCGAGCCGAAGCCAATCCACCTCTACGGCGGTGACATCGCGACTCTGGAGAACGGTGACTTTGCCGTCGAGCTCGAACGCGTCCGCGCCCTCCGTGTGGCACTTCCGGCCGCTCTCGCAGACGCAGCGCCGACGCTCCGCGTCCTCGGCTTGGGATCCTGCGCGGTCTCTGAGGAGATGCTCGCCCAGATCGAGGAACGCGCTTCGAGTTCTCAGGACGAAGGCACGCGCGGCGACGCAGAAGCAGACCAAGACGCGCAGACGTCGAGCGCCCTGTGCGCGGCGTTGCAGCGCATCGCGCAAGAGCCGCTCAGCCGCGTCCATCGGTGGTGGTGGATCGAGCGCGGTGCAGGTTCAGTCGGCGCCGTCGAGATCTGGCGTGAGGTCGGGGAGCGGGCGCGCGGGATGGCTGAGCAGGAGGGTTTCGATCCCGACACCGGCTTCGACGGTGAGTCGTTTCTGGGCGGCTGCGCCGGTCGGTGACGAGCATTTTTTGCAGGGTTCTTCTCCAAAAGGTGGATCTACGAACCATAAGTTGAATCCTCTCCGCTCCACGCGATCTCGTATCACAATGTTTCTTCGGTAGTCGCACGCGTCGTTCTGATTTCGGGCTTCGACCGCGTATGTGCGGGAGACCGAGGTCTCTATCTGCTTGTTACTAGCTGTGACGAGGTATGTTCTGGTATTCCTTGTGTATACCGCGCTCGCATACAGATACCCCTACGTAGTCTGACTGGGTCTCGTTTTGTCGGACCTCTGCGATGCGTCAATTCGAGTGCTCGACGTGGCCGTGCTGAGGTCAGGGAGTGAGAGGGAGAGAGCAAACACAACGATCGTTTCGACGCAATATTTTTGGCCCACCCGAAGACAAGCGGAACAAACGGAACAGGCGGATGTCAATGTGCGGAAGCAGATGGTGAGATTGGGCGGTCTAAGACGCGTTGGTGGTCAGGCACACGCGCAACTGCGCACTGCAAGGACGCCTGCGTGAGGCATGACTCGGCCTGGCCAGCAGCACCCTGTACATGGGCATAGAAAGCGAATCTTCGTTCCAATGCGAAGGGCCGTCGTAAGTATATGTCCTCGCGCGTACATTGCGCGGTGCGCTCGTTCGAGTCGCGCGGATCCAAGACTGCTGCTCTCGGTCGCATGGCACGGTCCGGAAGATGCCATATATGGAACAGGTGCTATGGAATCGCCGGGGCGGTTACGGGGCGGGCGGTTGTGTGAGTTATTTCAGGCGAGGGCACAGGCCTTTTTCAATTTGAACGCACTGGTGCAGAAGACGTGCGAACCCAGCTGTCATCTGCTGTCAGATCCAGAGCAGGCCTCCAACCTCGCCCCGCTCGCCCCTCCTCTCCTCTCCTTTCGCCTCGTCGTCCATGCGCTGATTCTCTGCACTTGCCCCATTCACCTCCGCGCCATGCCTCGCGAAAACAGCTTCAGCGACTCCGAGGGCCGCTCCCTCACCCCCGACCCCGAGGAAGGCATACTCTCCTCCCCGACCTGGAACGGGCCCTCCGCCGCCCGCCATGTCCCTGCACCCCGCACGAACAACGTCGGCGGCATCACCCCCGCCCAAGCCCTCGCCGCCCGCCACCGCACCGCGTCCACCGCCCCCAGCCCCATACACGCCCCACACATCGTCCCCATGCCCGTGCTCTCGCCCACGCCTTCCCGCCCAGCCGCACCGTCGCAGCCCGTCCCCGCCCCGAAGGAGCGCTTCCGCGCGGTCGTCCAGCGGGTGATGGCCGTCCGGCGCGCGTCCGCGCTCTTCGCGCACGGGGGCAGGGCGCAGCGCGCGGCGGCGGGTGCGGAGCCCGGCGCGGACCCGCGGCGCGCGAGCGCGTTCGCGGCGTACGGGCACGTGCACGCGCGGTGCGTCGTCGAGGTGTGCGACTACTCGACCGTGCGGACGAGCGTGGGGCGGATGGGGAACGACGCGTTCGTGCGGTACCTCGCGGACCCGGGCGCGTGCGCGCGCGAGCCGTGGGTGAAGGTGCGGTGGATCAATGTGGGGGGTGTTAGCTGGGACGTCATGAGCGCGTTGGCGTTGAAGTATGGTGAGTCGCTCTTTACCTTCGTCTGCGTCGTTTGGAGGCAGTGTGGTGGGGGTTGGAGGGGCCCCGGAGGCACGTCGATTGGCGGGTCGCGGGTCGCGGGAGCCGCAACCTACGCTCCCTCCGCGTACGCCGTCCCATCCGTTCATCCTCCGCGTCAACGGTCCCCTCCGCGCACCCCGCGCCCCGCCCGATCCATACTGCACGACCATGACCGCTCACCGCTGACCACACCGCCCGTCCGCCCGCAGACCTCCACCCGCTCGCGCTCGAGGACGTCCTGCACCAGCGCGGGCACCCACGCTCGAAGGCGGACTACTACCCGCGCCACCTCTTCCTCCGCGTCCTCTGCCACACCCTCGGCCTCGACTCCGATGACGCTTCCTCTTCCTCTGACGTCTCCGACGCGGAGTACATGGCTGGCGCGTCCGAGGGTCTCCCGCGTTCGGCGTCGCCCGAGCCGCTCGACGCGGACGCGGACGTCGACGAGCGCACCGTGTACGGGAGCGTGGGCCCCGGGAAGCTCCGAGGGACTATGAACTCGGGCCTTCGCCAGCGCGGCGCGGGGAAGGGGAAGGGGAAAGCGAAGGCGTGCGTGCAGGTGGACGTCGAGGCCGCGCCGGGGGCGTTCGGCCTGCGGTTCAACAACGAGGCGGGGGACGGCGGGGACGACGAGAGCCAGGCAAAGCGGCGGCGGAACGCGAGGAACCGGGAGCTGGTGAGGGAGCTCACGCGCGGGGAGCGCGTGAATGTGCGGATCCGGCCGATCTGCATCTTTCTGATGAGGGACGGCACTGTGATTTCGATCAACAGGGGTGAGTTCAGTTCAGTTCATGGTTGAGAGAGGGGAGAGGGAGGGGACGTGAGACTGACTGGGGAGAGGGTGCAGACAACAACTTGGACCTGACCGCGCCGATTTCTGAGCGGCTTCGGCAGAAGGACACGGGCCTCCGGGCGACGGCGGACCCGTCGCTCCTCGTTCAGTCTTTGTTGGATCTGGGTAGGTGTGCCATGGTGGGGACTCCGGGATCTGGACTCACTATATGCGCTCTATAGTTGTTGACCAGGCCCTGGAGGTCGTCGAGGAGTATCAGGGGAAGATGTTGAAGATCGAGCAAGCTGTGCTGCTCAAGCCGAGCATGAAGACAGTTCGCAGACGTTGGTCCCTGATCTCCAGAACCATGATCTGGATCACGAACTCACGCGACGTCTGGCAGTTCACATCCTGCAAGGCGACCTCGTTCTGCATAAGCGCACCCTAGAGCCCATCAAGACCGTCATCTATGGCCTCCGCAGGTACGACGTCGACCGCGCCATGGCGTTGCGAGATACGATAGAGGATAAGAGGAAAGAGGAGGGCTACATGAGCCACAAGGCTAAGATATACCTCGTACGTCGCACATCCCCTCCCTCAACTTACTCCGAGCTGATCGGGCCGGGTTTGCATGGGTGCTTTCTTGTGCTCCGGGCACTTTCCGCGCGGATTGGCTTTGGGTCACACAGGCGGACGTGCATGATCATATGGAGTACATTCTCTCCAGCTTGGACATGATCGCGGACGTGACATCGAACCTGATGGATTACACTTTCAACGTGAGCGTTTCCACGTCTGCGTGCGACATCGTTCGCTCACATGTTTTCTGCTGTGCAGATGGCATCGTATGAGATGAACGAGGTCATGTGCGTCGCCACAGGTGCCTAAGGTTGCCGGAGGGCGGGAAAGCTGACGGTTCGACCCACAGGCGACGCCTCACGCTCATAACCATCATCTGCCTGCCTCTCACCCTGCTCACCGGGTACTTCGTACGTCTCCCCCCCTCGTCCGCCCATTATGCTGCATGCTGAGACGCGGACCGACGCAGGGCATGAACTTCTATACGATGTTCTCCGTGACTCACCACAGCGATATCTTGTACGCCCCCTTTGCGTCCTGTCCGCCACGTTCTAGCTAACCGTGCGGTTTCTCCGTAGCTTCTGGGAGGTCGCAATCCCACTCATGCTCACCATCATGCCCATGTTCTTCCTGAGCGACTTGCGGCGCCTGAAGCACTACCTCGAGAAGCGTACTCAGCGCCATGCGATCAAAAAGGTGAGCGGGAGCGTCGTCGGTTGCAGAGCGAACGAGCGAGCTAAGGCTGAAACTTCGGTCAGGCTTACCGGTAGATGTCTCTCATTTCTTCCTTGAGCGGTCTTGGCTTCTCGTGGCCCCTCCCACAAGCTGTCCTCCTAGTCAGACCCCGCGGCACTCTCACGGCTCCATCCTCATGCTAGTCCCCGTCCTCTTCCACTCCTCACGCCACAACCCCTACACCAGCATCTAATTTAACTTACACGCCGTCTGACTATCCCGCTTTGGCCCAGTGTTTTGCCACCCTCTCGTCATGCATTACGTCTGGACTCCTCTCTACCCACTTCCCACGTCGACCTCCGCATACGCGCCCCTCACTCTGGATGCTGGACTCTGCTTGTAACGCATAGGAGTCTGAACTGACTTGGTACTTGCTTGGTGCCGAGCCAATTGAATGCCCTCCCGCGACTCTGGCGGGTTGTGACTCCGGAGCGGTGCGGGCGCCTCGTTCCCCCGCGCGCAGCCCGCGCGTGCTCAGCGCTCAATACTCAATGCTCGATGTTCGATATTCCGGGGGCCCGGTGGGGCAACAGCCGACTCGGTCGTGATGGGGGTTTCGGACGCAAAAGTTTAGCGGGCGTGCTCAGAAACCCTCTCAACTTTGAGGGTCATCCGGAATCGTGACTTGGGGTCGGGTCACCTGATGTCGTCGCGATAGTAGTTAACGCGCATCAACTCTCTCTCTCTCTCTTCTCTCCCCCCTCCGAAATCGATGTTGGTTCTCTCCCTTCTTCCCTCTGCGCCACGCAAGCGCACCCCTTCCCCATATATGCGGTAAGCATAATAACGGGCTGAGTACAAATCCCGCGCGATGTGACCCTCCGTCACGAACCCCAAACGGTCCTCCCCCGGCCACAGCCTAACGGCTGGATCCAAGACCAGGGCGCATGCACCTGTTTCCATACACCCTCGCAGCTCTGTCTTGGCTCTCTGATGCACGGACTCCGGCTTCTTTTATCTGCGATCAGCGGTCCTCAACTTACCTCAAGGCCTCACCAGGCGTGCCCGGTGAGTGCTTCGAGACGGGGCGCGGATCACCACCCCCACTGACTAGTATGGCGCAAATGTTCATCATCCAGAACTTTACTCAACGCCGTGAAATTAAGAGTCGAAGAGAGCTCTGATTTCAGACACCAAACACGCCCACGTGAACGTTCTGTCCATCGGAATCGAACATTTACCTTGCAAAGCGAGTGCCTGGTACTCACCGACGCCGCGGCAACGATAGCGGCATTCCTCACGAATATCCAGACTCCAGTTCCACTTTACGTTGCCCTTAAAGTGCTGCAAGCTACCACAGGCTACCGCATCACGGTAAAAATGTCCACAACCATTGTTGGAGTCGGCAACGCTTACAACTTCCCGACATTGCTTCTTTGATTTTGACGACAGGCCAGTCCTCTCCGACAGGACTCCATCCCAACGGCTAGCGAATTTCTGGACAATATCCAACCATCAGAGGCGTACACGTGATGTGTCGCCTTCCCTAATGCGTATCGCCCGCATGGTCATCCAGCCCGGGCCTGCACACTTCGGCCTGTCCATCGGCAGCTCCGAACCGGCACGGATGGGACTCAAGTGCTCATGCTGCCCTCCACGGCAGCCTGCAACGCTTCGCCCGCGTCATGGCACACGCACGGTTCCCCGTCTCGTCTAGGTACCACTACTTCCCGGATGAAGATCTATCATCTCACCTCCAGCTAGCGAATTTTAGACAAGATCTAACCATCAGAGACGCACACAATGTGAGCGCTTGGCTGCCGCTGGTCTCCTCGCCCGATCCATCGCTCCCCGCCAACCTTCACCAAACCCTTTGGCCGGCGGATGTGCGGTATATCTAGCGACCAGCTGCTCGCCCGTGCACGATCTTCGAAGATCTCTCCCCCTTCCTCTTCCCTGTCCTCTCCACTCTTCCTCCTCCCTCCTCCCGCACTCTCGCACGCGCCGCCCCTCGCGCGCCACCCTCGCGCGCCACCCTCGCGCTCCCCCCCCCCCCCCCCGTCTTCCGCGCGATCGACGCCCCGCCCAAGCCCGCGACAATGTCCGCCAACTCGACAGCCGCCGACCCCGCCGCCGCTGCCGCCGCCGTGCTCGCGGCGCTCTCCTCTATCAGGCTCGACAACACCCTCGGCGCGCAGCTCGTTGGTGTCCTCTTTAGCGTTCTGTACGTTGCGCCGTCTCCTCGCGCGCGCCATGCCTATGTCGTGCCGCCGCCGCCCCCGCGTCCCCATGTCCTGGGCCCGATCGGCAGTCGGTAGCGCGCGACGCGACGGCCGCAAAGGTCGCGCTCGCTCGAGCGGCAGGGCCCACGGGACGCTCAGGGCGGCGTGTGGTAAGACTCACACCCACCACGACGTGCTGACACCTCGCCCCGGCAGGCTGAACGGGATGCTCATCAGCCAGACGTTCCAGTACTACCGGGCTTTCCCCAAGGACAAGCCCCTCCTCAAGGCATGGGTGGGTGCGACGCACGTGGATCGAGTGGGCACTGACAGACGTCCCTCTAGGTTGCCATAGTGGTGTGCGTGCATCCCCGGTCAGACGCCAATGGAATGCGATGCGGCGCTGACACCCGGCTCGCGACAGAGTTTTGGAGACGTTTACGACGGCGTTGATCTGTCACACTGCGTGAGTCCCGATTCGAACCGTTAGTGTGCTTGTGGCTGACCTCGCGCGCGCTAGGTACTTTTACCTGATAACCAAGTACTGGGATCCGACGTATTTCTTTATCGGACCCCCCGTGTGGTCGATTAACGTGAGTTCTCGTCACGCCTGGACTCAGCCCTTGCTCATGGCGCTCTGTTGTCGCAGTTGCTGCCTCCTCCCGCTGTAAGCGTCGCATCATCCTGGCGTGCATGGCGTTTGTGCTGAACTGTGGATTTACAGACCGTCGCAGCCCTTTTGTCCCAGAGCTTCTTCGCCCGTCGAGTCTGGTTCAGTGCGTGCACCCAGCCCCATCTAATTGCAGAACTGATCACCGGTGCCACGGCGTAGTCGCACCGAAGTTCCGACCCATTGTAGTGATAGCAGTCAGTGGCATACATATTCTGCGTCCATACACCTGCTCACCCTCTTTTTCCAAAAGATCATTTTGATCGCAGGCAACGTCGGTGAGAATATTCCGCGTGGCTTGTGCATCTTCACATGCCAATGCTGAACTGGGTGTGTTCTTATCTCGCTGTCTAGGCTGCTATAGCGGTGAGATTCGACTCCTTTTACACACATCTCATAATCCGGAAGCTGATCTGTGCGTCTTCGTCCCGATCAGCCATGTCTGTGATGATGTCAGTAGTTCTTCATGCCTCGTGATATTCCAGCTTTCTCACCACTAGGGCGGATGCGCCGCAGGTTCCGGGCGTCCACCATATCAGCATGGCTTCAGTTCTCGGTTCGTATCTTGCACCCCGAATCATAAAAAGATATTCTTTCTGACGCCCATTGTCTCTTATGACAGTGGCTCGCTACTGTTGGATCGTCTATCCAGATGGGTGGAGACTTGATGATCACGTCGACCCTCATCTATGTCCTCAACACCAGCCGCACTGGGGTGAACAAGTGCGTATGCAATATTCCAGGAAATGCACATCCTACTTACACGATGGGGCCACAGCACCAACACCATGCTCGACACGCTCATCACTTACGCGATCAGCTCCGGTACGTGCCATGTCCTCCTCTTTTTATTTATTGCCGTGTCCTGATTCTAGATCGACGAATACAGGTTTGACGACTTGGTGAATCACAATTTCTCCTGCACTCACCGGCATCTCTGCTAACGACCCCCGCCCTCCACTTCACGCAGCGTCGTGCACATCCTAAACGTCGCCTTCGTACGCGCCCGTCCCATCGCACTATCCAAAGCCGATCTGACGTCTTTCGCCCGTGCTAGTCGATCAAATACCCGGACAACTTCATCTACGCCGCGCTCTCCCTAGTGCTCACCAAGCTGTACGCCACCAGCTTCCTCGTCGCGTACGTCCCTCCCCACGCTCCGGCCGCTCACCCTCGGCTGATCTCCCACTCGCTCGCGCGCAGGCTGAACACCCGCAAGTCCCTCGGGATCATGAGCGCCGGCACGTCCGAGCCGTCGCCCTACCACGGCTTCAGCGGCGCGTCCGTCCGCATGAACCACCCGCCGCCGTCGAACGTGCACGTGCGTTCCGACCGTCTTCCCGCTCTCCGCCCCGCGCGCTGATACTGACAGCGCACCACCGCAGGTCTCGACTGGGGGGTACACGAAGCCGTACAGCCAGAACATGTCCGGCGGCCCGATCGAGCTCAAGGTCGTGACCGAGGTCGTCAACGACGTCTCGGACGAGTACGGCCGCCGCAGGGGCAAGGCCACGCAGTACAGCGTGTGAGGCACCCCCGCGTCCGTCCGTCCGTCCGTCCGTATGTCCGCGCAGGCCGCCACGCGTAGAGCGTCTCGGCAGAACCACACACGCTGAATGGCGCTTCGTGAGCCGGACTGGATTGTCTAGCCGTGAATGCAATTTAGGACCTTTGAGCGGGGGTACGCGACGAGGGCGATCTCTGGCGCGGAGCCAGTGTCGATGGGCCGCCTCCGCCGCGCGGATGCTTCAGCCGGGCCTTGTTGTTGGTACACGCTGACTAAAGGTCAGCGTAGACAGGTTATAACAGCTGATTCAGGCAGTGTAGTCCCGACTGCTGTCGTGTTCCGTTGTATGACCCAACTATGACTCCCTATGCCTCTGGTTTCTTCTCGATCGTACGTAGAAAACCCCAGACGAGATTCGGAGCGGCTATATTGTATTAGTAGTGCTTCCCTACGCTCTTGTATATATATCCCGCGCATATATCCCGCGCATCGAGCAGTGAGATCTCAAACTCGACTGAGCGCCGCAATACACGCGCCGCGCGCCGCACAGATGCTCCCCGCACGCTTCCCGACGCTCGTCGTGTACCGTCTACGAGTGTGTTTAGAGGAGGAGCTGTGGCAAGCAAGACGACTTTCAAATCACGAAACGCGCGCGAGATAGAACGGACACGATCTCCAAAGCGCTCGTTGATCACGATATGAACTGTTTTCGTCATCGATATAACACATGATCATGGTTCGTCTAGTAGAGAAAATGTAATCAACTATTGTCTTGAGCTGAAATCTGGCGATCATTTTTCAATCGACCCGACAATTATTAGATCTGTGAATGTGCAAATGATCGTGGGTACACTGAGTGCAGAACGTGAGATGACCAGCAAACGACCATCTGACGATCGGCTGCTGATCAAGCCCCAGTGGCCGGGAAATACCAGATACCATGACGCGCGTCGAAGGCTCTTCAGGGTGCTTCAAGCCTTCAAAGCTTCAAGACTGCAGCGTCCTCTTCTCTGTGCATAACATCTTCGCTCTTCTGCTCCAACGTGGTACATGAAATTTTTACAGGAAGTGCTACTACAAGAACCATGCTCACGCGCGGATTCATCTACGAGATGCAGAAGAGGTTTCAACGAGCGGAGGTTGATCGAGACAAAGAAGAACTGACGCGCAGAGGAAATTGGCAGAACAGGGCGAGAGAACATGCGCGAACGAATACAGGGTGTGGTTACGAGAGACAGAGGGTGTAGAACGTGGTGGCAGGGAAGGGCCCAGCCAGCGCTCGACCACGGCGGCGACGAACTCGTCAACGTGCTCCTGCTGGCGCTGCGGCGCCTGCGTGAGCGCAGCGGACTTCTGCAGCGGTTTGTGCAGCCAGCCCTTGAGTGTACTCGCGTACGTGAGCTCATCACAGAGCACCTCAAGCGGCGCGAGGACCGCCAGCTTCTGGCTCGCGTGCTACGGCCGCGCGAGCGACAGCATGCGCGGCACCTGCGGTCCATGTTCGCGCCGTGGGGGCTGCCAATAATGATGATCGCAGGCTTGCACTTCCCGCACGCGTGGGGCGGATCGCTGGGCGGCGCGGCTGGCGCGTGCGCGTGCGCGGGGACGTGTAAACCCGGGCCCTGCGGTGATTTCTGTGAGCTGGGGTCACAGCGAGACGAGAGCACACGGGGGACTCGACGTAGCGGAACTGTGGGCCATACTGCGCCGCAACCTCGTGCTCCCTGACACTCGCGGAGGAATTGGCAGTGGCAGCGACCGCGATTGGGGGCTGCGATTAACCACCATCTCGCGTATTGTTGCGGATATGTGAAAGGCACGGGTGTGGCGAGGGAGGGTGTCGGACATGGGAAACCACGCACTATTTAAAACACCGAGTTCAAGATTAGATGGGGATGGCGAGCCGCGAGCGGTGGGAAGACGCACCAATCACTCCTAGCCTCCTTTTCAAACTGGCCCAGGACTTTTTCAAGCTGTAGGCGCATAAGTGCCGGTGATGGTGAGGCCACCCAAGGGCATATGCACGCAAGACTGCATCTCCAAAAACGCAAGACTCACCGGCCAATCACCCTCTTCTGTGTATGCAGCTCGTCTGCGGGGTCCACATGCCGCTTTCCGTGTAACGCACACGATCTGGCGCACCCGCCTCAGCTTCGGATGTAGCATATACACGGTGCAGAGGGCGAGAGTGCGAGTCGGAGAAGAGACGTCTTCAGAACAACTAGCGCCTGCCCCCGCGCGACGCGGCGGACGCGCGTGTGCGCTTCGACGGCCCCTCTTTCTCGTTCCTCTCATGTCAATGCCTGCTTATCCGTTCGTTCTATACGCCAATAGCTTCGCTTCTTATACCCGTCCCCAACGAAATGCCTCTGGGGGAGTCTCAACCTTAAATCCGCCACTGTACAGTACCTCAGCCTCACGATACTCTCCGCCGCGGAGAGTGCTCTCCTCACCTTTGAATTGATTTCTCTCCATCCCCATTCTCCCTCTACCACCACCATGGCCAGCACCTCGCGCAAGGAGCCTCAATCTGCACAGCGCACCACTGATGTGCCTGCGCGCCCAAACGGACTCATCGGAGTCATACCAACGGCAGCACTCCTCCTAGCTTGTTGGTTTCTTCGAGTACGCCCGTCATTCTTTATCTGGCGTCTTCTCCCTCTTCCCCCCTTCCTATCGCGTCCATCCAACTACGTCCGCGCACACGCTATGTGAAGATGCGCACAACTCAGACGACCCGGACTTCCAGCTCCCAGCGCCGCCACCCCCCATATCCTCAAAGTCACTATCGCGGATGTCCTTCACCACGCTGCGGTTCAACTGGCTACTGTGCCCACCGGTCCGCATCAACGTCTTCATTGTTGCCTCGTCCTCGTGAGCGCCGCCTGTCGCGGCTCACCCAAGATCCGCGCTCGCGCTCTGCCACTCCGCACTCCCAGCCAACGGTGTTCTCTTTCGTACTATTTACCCCTTGTTTCATCCTCTTGCCGCCGCATCTCCCCGTCTTTACCCTCGCTCAAGCCACCCTTCCGCCGCTGACGACTTTGAACCTTTAGTGCGACCCATTGCCCTGCACATCACCGAGCTGTCGTCGAGTACGACAGAGACCTGGACTGAGTATGGTGAGTCGTCCTTTATCTTTCACATTCCGAATCACTGCGCAACTTCGTTCAGCGTTGTTGCTACCACCAAAAAAGGCAACACAATGCCGTGGCACCGCAATGTCTTGCCAGTATGTGCTGGTGTGCTCATGCAATCTGTCCGCCTGTGAGCTGACGAATGCCGACAGGGAGATCTTCTCGCCTATTGCGGAGGCATGCGACTCCTGCTTCTGACCCAGACTTCGCCATCATGATGGTGGCATGAGATTGTATGAGTCACTATTTGTCTCCCTTCGGAGACGTGTCGTGACCGAATGGCTCACCAACATGCTCTTCCCCCGCCCGTTCAGCTCGAAAACCGATTCCGACATGTTGGAGCACCAGCCGACGAGCACGCCCCTGCCCATATGCACCCTCCAGCTCCCGAGCAATGCCGTCTTCAGCGGCCCGATCAGTCCGCTGTGAGAGGCCACAAGGACGTGGACCGGCTTCTCCTCGCCCTCATCGCTCTGCGCGGCTGGCTTCCACGAGCGCAGCGCCGCCGCGCGCACGAAGAACTCTGCCATCGGCTCGAGATTCGTGGAGGTGTCGCCGCGCTCCGAGATGAACTCGCCCTGCCACTGGTCGCCCGGCCCTGAACTACCGGCGGTGCGCATGGCATTGTTCGAAGCCGTCGCCATCTGGAGCGGGTGCGGCCCACCGGGGTAACCCGTTGATCGCATTTGGACAACACCCCTGTTATTGTTGCAATCTGTCGCCCGCTCGCTCGCTCGCATCCATATTGTGCCTACGTACCATACTACTGCACAGACCTGAATAAAACTGGATTTTGCGCATATATGGGCGTTTGTGTTCGACCGGCAACAGCAAAACATTCGGGCAATCTGGATCCGTCCTTTCAGGTCATTGCACCGCCAGGAAATGATCGTTTTGAAGTGCGCTCACGGTCATGTCATCCTTGTGCCATGAACTGGCCAGATCATATTGTACCTCAGCAGTGATCACTGCGCACCCCATCTCAGATCATCTGTACGCCGAATGACGCTCAGGCCAGATAGCCACTCTCAGAGAACATGTTCATCGCCGAACATGGTGTCCCCAGCAGCTGATCAGCGCCGTTCATCTCGGCCCGAGTGAACGACCGGCACCGTTCTATCTCTCAGATACAAATGATGAGCATGGATCAAGCTACACCTAGGTGGTGACCATGCTCTGAACTGTGCGAAGCCCAGACATGATAACCGTCCGTCATTCATCCCCTTACGAATGTTCGTCGCTGCTCATCACCCCCGTCTGGGATGGTCGGCCCCGTTCTACCATGACAATTTCTGTCATAAATTGACACTGTCCGATCAACAATGAAAGCCATGATCTCCGTAGACTGCACCTGACCTGTCGCGACCATCTGTAGTTCTTGTCCGCGCGCGTTTCGTGATGGCCTTGAAGCCAATTCAAGTCAGTTCAAGCGGTCGTCTCGGAACATTCGCGGGCCGCCTACCCGCGCATGATGTTCCATGCTTCGATCAACCCTGCACACGTACGGCCGTTGCCACCGACGTCCATCTTGCGCTCATGCCCCCACCATCTCATGCCCTCGCTCTTCCTGTATTCTGCTGGCTCTAATGCGCGCGGCCAGCTTGCGACAGGCGACCAAGGGGATGCCCACCACTTCACACCTTGCCGGTTCTCCGACGTGACTACCTCTGGCCGCCTTCCCGATGGTGCAGTGGGGCTAAGACAGGTCGCGTGCGGCGCAAACCACACTCTTGCCCTCCTAGAGATGCAAGACGGCGTTCTGGAGCTTTGGGGGTGCGGGGACGGGAGACGCGGCCAGCTAGGCCCTTCCATCGACTCCAATCTCGCGAACACGACGTTCCGCCCGCTGGACCTGCTCGTTGGAGGAGACACGGAAGGATACACGGTGCGCCTCATCGCTGCTGGCTGGGAGACGTCCTACGTCGTCCTCTCGCACGCACACGCCGACGACGTTGTCCTCTCCATGGGCGCGGACGACCGCGGCGCACTCGGCGTCAGCGGCGCAGACGCGACCTCCTCAACCCCATCCGCGCTCCGGACAAACACCGTCCCCCTCCGACCCCTCCTCTCCGACTTGGGGCACGAAGACGCCATGCTCCAAGTGCTCTCCCTCTCCGCGGGCCCGCACCACGTCATCGCCCACGTCCGCGCGCTGCGCCCCGACGGCTCCGCGTTCGCCTTCCTCGCCGGCTGGGGCGCCGCGCGGCACGGCCAGCTAGGCCCGCTCGACGTGCCCGCGCCGTTCCTCGCGCGCCCGACGCTGGTCTCGATGCCAACGACGCACGCGCTCTCGGCTGTCGCACTCGGGCAGGCGCACTCCGCCTTCCTCCGCGAGGACGGCACGCTCGGCGCGATGGGCGCGACGCGCAAGAACCAGTACGCGGGCCTCGCCGGGCGCGAGCACGTCGCCGCCGTCGCCTGCACCTGGCACGGCACCTACGCCCTCTTCCGCAGCGGCGTCGTCGTCGCCGCCGGCAGCGGCGCGCACGGGCAGCTCGGCCGTGGGCGCGAGGGCGTCGAGCGGTCCGCGGGCCCCGCCCCGGTCCAGTTCCCGTTCGCGATGGAGCCGGGGCGGGCGGCACGGATCGCGTGCGGGAGCGAGCACGCTCTGTGCTTGGTCGACCAGGGCGAGCGGGGCGGGATGGAGGTCTGGGGGTGGGGGTGGAACGAGCACGGGAACTTGGGGCTGGGCTCGACGGAGGACGTGCACGAGCCCACGCGGGTGTGGCCCCCGGCGGAGGAAGGGGCGCGGAGGAGGGGCGAGGCGATCAACATTTGGGCGGGGTGCGGGACATCCTGGGTGTTGGTGTTGCGATGAGAGCCTTTGTGGTTTTCATTGTTACGCCGGTGAGTGCCCGTTGTGTATCATTGCCTCGTCACTCATCGTTTTACTCCATTGCAGATAGACATTAGCACTTTGACAAGCTGCGCCGCACGAGTCTACTTGTCGCGAACTCTTGACAATTGCTCGCCAGAGGCATAGCTTCATCAGTAGTACCTCATCTATTTGCATCTCATGAATGAACGCGCGCTCATATCTTGGCTGGATATTCATCTCGGAATCGAGTTCACGAACGGACGACACCCTTGGCAGCCCGATGGCTGTGCCACGTTGACTCACCGTGCCTGTGGTCTTCCCGATCAGGATCTCTCACGGACCCGAAGTCACCGAGGTCGCTTATAGGAGCTTGAGCAACACCTCCGTCAACATCAGCTCATTCCCCACCCTTTCCCATGTCGCTAATCTTTCAACGCGGGTTTCTCGCCCTCGCAGGCCCTCAGATCGATGCACTCGCCCAGAAGGCCATCGCAGACTTCGAACACACGACCTACGCTGAACATGGCAGTGCTCTCCACGATGCGCAATTCTCTAGCTTTCACATCACAGTTTGCACCAAAGACGAGCTTCGCGATGGCTCCGTCAAGGCAGCACTCCCCTCCCTTGACTCCGTCGACACGCAGCATCTCTACGTCGTCGGGCTGGCCGGTAACCCCAAGCTCGGAGTGTTTTACTTGGTCGTCATCTGGGCCCCGGGACAGAGTCTGCGGAAACGGGTTGGACTCAAACCGAAGCAGTTCCACATCACGCTCTCAAAGCACGACGACCACACCCTCAACAAGGGCTTCGACGCCGTCCTCCCTCGGAACTACTGCTCAAGCCTCTCATGGATGAATACAGACTTTCTTGATCATCTAGCGTTCACGCTGCACGCAGAGGGCAACTTCACTCGCGCACGTGAGATCGCCAGCAAACTGATCAACGTCGATCCTCAATCGGAGTGTGGCTTCCTACGACTCGCCGATGCTGCGGTCAAGGAGGGCCAGTTCAAGCTCGCCATGCTCGGCTACGCATGCGCCTACGACCGGTGCTCGGGTCCGAAGGCTCCCGAGTACTGCCTCGAGAAGCTTGAGGACTGCGCGCAATACACGGAGTGGGGCTGCCTTGTCATGGACGACGAGCGCGGGCAGATTCAGCGCGACACGCCGCGCGAGCTCCTTGCTCCTTGGTCGCAACGTGTCCGCAACGCGGTCACCTCGAGGGGATCCTTGAACGCTTCGTCGCTCTGCGTCCCCTCGCGCGAGCATATGCTCGTGCCCCACCCTTCCAGGCCGTTTCCAGAGCTCTTCCGCCTACCCCGGTTCTTCAGGTGGCTCATCCCATTCCACATCGCGCTCATGTCAACACCTCGGGGCGGAGACGACATCGAGGTCCTGGCGGCAGCTCATCTGGCCATTCGCCACGTCGTCACCCTGACCGACGAGATGCCTCTGGACCGGAGTTGGTTCGCACGACGTAACATTCAGAACACGTTCCTCCCCGTGCCCGACTACCGGCCTCCCACAATCGAGCAGATGGATCTTATACTTCGTCTTCTGGAAGACCGCAAAAACACTCCCATCCTCATTCACTGTGCTGGCGGAAAGGGCCGCGCCGGTACCGTCGCCGCCTGTTACCTCGTCGCCTACGGCTTCGCCCTCCCCGACTCCTCCCGCACGGAACCCGCCATGACTGCCAAACAAGCCATCGCCGCTCTCCGCGCCATGCGGCCAGGAAGTCTAGAAAGCGAAGTCCAGGAAGACTTTGTCACAAAGTACTGCAGCGCCATCTGGAAGCGCCACGCCATCCTCCCCGACCTCGTCCCCGAGCCCCCACCTTGCCCCCTGGAGATCGAAGGCATCCTCCCGCCCGACGCCGACCTCTTCGTCCTCGTCGGCCTCCCTGGCTCAGGCAAGTCCACGTTCGTCCGCGCCCTCCTCGCGCGCGACCCCCGCGGCTGGACGCACATCTCGCAGGACGAGTCCGGGAGCCGCGCCGCGTGCGAGCGCGCGATCGGGCACGCCGCCCACGGCCGCGTCCTCCTCGACCTCTGCAACGTCGCGCGGGCGCGGCGCGCGGACTGGCTCGCGCTCGCGGGGTCGTGGGCGCGCGCGCCCGTGTGCGTGTTCTTCGACTACCCCCGCGCGCTGTGCGAGTCGCGCGCGCAGAACCGCGCGGGCCACCCGACGCTCCCGCCTGGGGGCCGCGTGCGCGCCGCGCTCGCGCAGATGCACGGGCAGCTTGAGCGCCCGCAGACCGCGGAGGGGTTCGCGGCGGTGTGCGTCGTGCGCTCGTTCGCGGCGGCGGACGCGCTCGTCGCGCGGCTGTCCCCGCCCGTCGGGCTCTTCAAGTTCCCGCGCACGCCGCACCTGCTCGACCTCGGCGCCGCGACGAGCGACGACGTCGTCGTCGCGCGGCTGCCAGCACCCTCCGTCGACGTCAGCGGGGCCCCGGACACGCGCGTCGTCGTCACGGAGAAGGTCGACGGCGCGAACATGGGCTTCTCGCTCTCCGCGGACCGCGCGTCCGTCGTCGTCCAGAACCGCTCGCACTTCGTCAACCCTGCGTCGCACGCGCAGTTCCGCGCGCTCGGGGCGTGGCTCGCGCGGCACGACGCGGCGTTGCGGCGCGTGCTCGGGCGGGACGCGCTCTTCGCGCAGCGCTTTGTGCTGTTCGGGGAGTGGCTCGCGGCGACGCACTCGATCGCGTACTCGCGGCTCCCGGGGCTGTTCGTGGCCTTCGACCTGTACGACCGCAGCGCGGACCGGTGGGCAGACCGACGGACGTTGGAGGGGCTGTTGGCGGGGACCGGCATCCCGCTTGTTCCGCTCGTGCACGAGGGGAGGATGCTGGAGGAGGAGGAGCTGCGGCGGGCGGTCGAGCGGCCGTCGCTGTTCTACGACGGACCGGTGGAGGGGGTGTATGTGAAGGTGGAGAGGGATGGGTGGGTCGTCTCAAGAGGCAAGGTGGTGCGCGCGGACTTCATCGCGGGCAACGAGCATTGGTCGAAGGGCCCGCTTCAGCTTAACACTTTGTGCATCGAGGACAGCGAATGGTTTTGTTTACAAAACTAGTGCATTGTGTATACAAAGATGACACTTCCTGCAATACCACGATACTCTACTTTCGAACATCATGTCTCCATAGGGCTCCGCCTCAAGGGCAATAGACGTGGATCCAAAAAACACTAGTGCAGACGAACCACTGCACGGTTAAGAAGGCGGTTCAGATCTCCCTGTCGCAACTTGGTACACTAGCGGGAACGAGGATGAGAGTGTGCCGGTGTGCGCATATTTGGGAAGAAGCAAGTGTGGAGAGGGCGTACCGGTTGGTTGGTGTTCGGGGTGCTGTCGGAGAGCGTTGTTGACCGTTTCGACCCACCGCAGCGAGGAGGGCGTCGTGGAAGAGGCTGATACCTGTGGGTAGAAGCGCATACACAAGGAGTATGTTCGAGCAGAGATCCTGGGAAGGATTCCGGAAGCCAGGTCGAGGGAAGAGGAGGGAGGAGGTAACGAGCTGTGTAGCGATGCCTACCCATCGGCCGGCCCGACGGGTCCGTCAAGCGGGTTTCACGAAATGTGCACCTTCCTTCGTCACCATTTGGTCTCATCAAACATATACCTCTGCTCCATGTTTCTGGACCCACGTACTCCCCACATATTTCCCGCCCGTAGTAAGGCAAGGTCTTAGTCCGTACGATTATCAGTCACGGGTTCGAAGGCGGAAATCCTGTTGGCCGCGGGACGCGAGATACTTGCCAAGCCTCCTACACCAAGACCAGCACAAGATGCAGGTCTTCTGGGATGACGACGCTCTCCTCCATGATCCACCCCACGAGATCCTTTCTGGACGACTTGTGCCCTACCTCGAAAGCCCCGACCGCCTTCACAACATCCGTGCGGCTCTCGAGGCCGGCAGGGACTTCACGATAACCCCAGCAGACGGAGAATGGCCTGACATTCTGGATCGCATACGTGCTGTCCACTCAGAAGACTATACCGAGTACCTTGCAACGATCCACGAGGAGTGGACAGCTGTTGGTGGTGACAAAGTGAGTCCCCTCAGTTCACGAAATGGTGCATATATCGACCTGCGACCGAAGACTGCAGTGTTCCCAGAGACGTTTCTGCATCGGGGTATGCAAAATTTCAAAATCAAGTCTCCGAAGACTCTCTCGCCTCTCGCCAAGCCCGGGCTCTACACCTTTGATCTCAGCTGCCCTATTACCGCTAGTGAGTCCCATCTGTTCGTTGACGCGCTTCGTGTCTTATAGACGGCTTGGAGATACGTACAAGGCTGCACTGGCGTCCGTCAAAGTGGTGTTGAGTGCAGCACGCGCACTCGCACAGCTTCGTGCGGCTTCTTCGCCAGTGAAGGGCGTTTTCGCGCTAGGGTATGCACTGCGCTTGCTTCTCATCCATCGTGTTGACACTTGACCCACAGACGACCGCCCGGCCATCATGCACAAGACGCCCTATGCGGCGGATATTGTTTCTTGAACAACGCAGCCATCGCCACCAAGTACCTTCTTGATTCTCATGGCGTTCGCAACGTGGCCATCTTGGACATAGACTATCATCATGGGAATGGGAGTGAGTACTCCGTAGTCTGCCGTACATGCGGCACTGGAAGTGAACGTGAACCGTTTAGCCCAGCAGATCTTCTACGCGGAGCCGAGAGTCCTGTACGTCTCGTTGCATGCCGAGGGCGATTATCCTTGTGTGTAGATACCCCACGCTAATTCTACAGGATCTGTGTGGCTGATATGTACTTCATACAGACTTGACTGGGTCCTCAGACGAGACCGGTGAAGGAGCTGGACTAGGATTCAACTACAACTATCCGCTGCCACAAGGGACGTCGGATGACGGGTACTGCGCAGTACTTGAGACCGCGGCAGAGACGATACGGAAACACGACGCGATCGACTGCGTCGTCGTCAGGTGAGCCCTCTATATTTCGGATGCAGGTGGTCTTACTAAGCTCGTGACGGCTAGCCTGGGCGTAGACACTTATGCAGAAGACCCAATCTGTGAATTCGCGCTCTCCAAGCAGTGTTATCCGCGGATGGGCAAGATTATCGGCGCACTCGAACAGCCGACGCTGTTCGTTATGGAAGGGTGTGTCCGTCCAATATGCATGGCTACCTACGGAGAGCTCACCGTCGTTTGGCGATGATTAGGGGATACCATCTGGAGTCGCTCGGAGAGAATGTCCGGAGCGTGCTGCGTGGCTTCATGTCTGTCGCGGAGCAGGCGTGAACATTGGATTTTCTGTGCCTCCGGCTGTTGAAGTCGAGAGAGCGCGTTACCACTCGTTCGTTGTTTGTTTACCTGTATTCCGTTGTACTTGAATGTGCCCGCGCCCTAGCGGCTCCTCAGGCCTCAGTTCTCGACTACGGGACTGATAGATGTATTCAATGGAGGCGAGCTTCGGCCGTCCCCTCCCGAAGACTGTATTCCAGTGCGCTCGATTAGACGAAGGAGGGGCTCCTGCAAGATTCGAGATGTGGTCTTCTTGCTTATTACATAAGATATCTGGCGACATGCATTAGGCGCCCGTTTCCGCGCTGTCCTCCTGCGTGCCGCGGCGTGCTTGCGCTCGACCCTCGACCCGCCTCCTCATCGACACCCTCCCTCCGCCGCCTACGATGGCCGACATCGCTGCGCATCCCATGGCCGTAGACTCAACAGGCATTCCCCCGGTCATCGCCCCCGCCCCCGTCGCCGCCCCTCCCGACCTCGCCGCTCTCGCGCCCGCCGCGCCCGCCGAGGAGACGGCGACGGAGACGCTGTACATCCAGAACCTGAACGAGAAGATCAAGCTGCCGGTGCTCAAGGCGTCGCTCCGCGGGCTCTTCAAGAGCTACGGGGAGGTGCTCGACGTCGTCGCGCACTCGAACCTGCGCATGCGCGGGCAGGCCTTCGTGTCGTTCGAGAGCCCGGAGATCGCGAAGAAGGCGCTGAAGGAGGTCAGGGGGTTCCCGCTGTACTCGCGGCCGATGGTGAGTGCTCCGCTCGGGGTTTGATCTTGGCTGGGGAGGGGGGAGAAAGGAGAGCGGAGGCTGATGCCCTCCGCAGCAAATATCGTTCGCGAAGACACGATCGGACGCGGTGGTGCAGAAGCTGGACGAGGACGGGCTGGAGGCACACAAGGCGAGGAGATTGGAGCACAAGAGTGAGTCCGTGGCCCGGTCGTGCGTCCGGGTGTTGCTCACCCTACGCAGAGACGACACGCTACACCAACCCCATCAAGAGGAAATACCGCCAGAAGCGTCTCGCGGCAGACGGTGCGTCCCGTCTCCCTCCTTGTGTCCGTCGCGCTGACCCATGTATCCAGCCGATGGGGCTGGGGCTGTTCCCACCGCGAAGCGGCCAAACGTCCAGATGCCGGACGAGTACCTGCCGCCGAACAAAATTCTGTTCTTGCAGAACCTGCCCGAGACGGTCACCAAGGACCAGCTCATGGGCCTCTTCTCGCAGTACGTGTTCTCTGCGACCGTCTACGCGTCCTCCGACCCACCCCGCCTTCCAGGTACCCCAACCTCCACGAAGTCCGTCTCATCCCGACGAAGAAGGATATTGCCTTCGTCGAGTATCTGGACGAGGGCAGCGCGACGGTGGCGAAGGACGCGTTGCACAATTACAAGCTCGATGGCGAGAACAAGATCAAAGTGCGTGTCCTCCGGTCCTCTTTCAAACGTTTGCTCATCCGTGGTTGCAGATTACTTTCGCAAGGAAGTAAGCTCTGTGCGGCCGCTGCTATGCTATACTGTATCCCCTTGTATTGTTGTTTATGCGGGCAAATGTATACTAGTGTGTCGTGGAATGAGGTCTCTCTATATCAACGAGCACGTCTACTAAATGTTCAGCTTCAGCGCTGAGGATTGTACAAAAAGTCCGGGTATTCTGCGATCCATTGTGTTTCCGCGATCCTATCCCTCACTTCCTCCACGTCCCAGTCTACTCCCGCGCTGCCTTCCATAAGGGCTTGCTGCGCCACGGCCACGGCTACCTCAGTGTTCACCGTACGAGCATCGGCGAAATCGGGAAGCAGGGCATTATCTGGGTCCTTCAGCGCAGGAGAGAGCGACGCCAGACGCTGTGCGCCAGCGATGATCATCTTGTCCGAGAGCTTACGGGCCTGCGTGATCATCGCTCCGAACCCGAGACCGGGGTAGATGAGGGCATCTGCGAGTAGATGGCCGTAAGCCGGTGGATTCCCACTGAGCGCACCCAGCGAAGACACGTACTGTTGCACTCCGCGATCTCGTATGTCTTCCCATTCGGCATCTTGCACGGCGGGAAAGGGCTGCCCGTCGCCATCAACGCCTTCCCGTCCGTCCACGCGTTCGCGTCCTCCGGCCGTACCTCGACGAGCCGCGTCGGGTTCGAGAGCGGGAAGATGATCGGGCGCTCCGTGCCCTTGGCCATCTCCCGCACGACCGTCTCGTTGAACGCGCCCGCGTGCGTCGAGCAGCCGATGAGCACTGTCGGGCGCACGGCCTTGACGACGTCGAGCAGCCCGACCTCCTTGCCCGTATACCCCGCCCACTCGCCGGAGGGACGGGAGAACTCACGCACGTCGGGGCGGACGTGCGACGGCGGCAGGTTGTCGGTGACGAGCCCGTGCCGGTCGAGGAGATAGAATCGTTGGTTGGCGTCTTGCCGCAAGAGCCCGTCCGCAGCGATGATGCCGTCGCGGATTTGGCGGGTTATGCCCAGGCCGGCGGTGCCAGCGCCGTAGACGACGATCCGTTGGTCTGCGAGCGTGCTCTTCGTCACACCGACGGCGGACATGAGGGCCGCGAGGGTCACGGCGCCGGTCCCTTGACTGTCCGGAGGAACGAGGATAAGGGCGGGAAGCGAGTGGGATGGAAAATGACGTACACGTCGTCATTGAACACCGTGTGTTGGCTTCGGTAGGTATCAAGAAGACGCTGCGCATTGCTGACGCCGAAATCCTCGAGATGCAATAGGCTGTGAGGGTAGTGCTTGCGAACGAGTTGGACGAATCTGCGTCATTGTATGCGTCAGACTCGTGACTGACATTTCGAACGAAGCCTTACCTGTCTACAAATCTGTCGTAGGCTTTCCCCCGTACACGGTTCTTCGGCCAGCCCTAAGTAACGCATCGTTAGAAGCTTGCGAGCAAGGAGATCACGAGACCGGGCTTACCACGTAGAGGGGGTCATGAAGCAAGCTATTGTTGTCCGTCCCGACGTCCAATACTACTGGGAGAGTTTTTGAGGGGTCTATCCCTCCCAGAAGCCTGAATATGACGCATAAGCCACGCGCAGTAAGAAACAACAAGAGCTACACACGTATAGATCGCTGATTTTGCAGTCGCAATGCCGATGCCCTGAACACGGCGGCGAGTTGTATGAGTAAGATATATGCGCCTGCGAAACGCAATGTGCGCACCCCTACGCCCTGGTCGCCAATGCCGAGGATGGCTTCCGAGTCTGTGACGACGACGAGTTGGATATCGCGCCCTTTCGTCGCCGCAAGAAAGTCCTCTTCCATCTTGTCGAACTCTGGGAACGAGAGGTAGAGACCTTCGCTCCGGCGGAAGAGTTCGGAGTAGTTCGCAATGGCATCTCCCTAAACAGCCATTCTTGAACACTCTACGCGGCGGAGCGATAGAAGGATGCTTACTTGTGTAGGGGTGTAGATGATAGGGATCAATTCCTTCAGATGTCTGCTCAGAAGGCCGTAGTAGAGAACCCAGTTCTGGTCCTTGAGACTCTGCAGAAAGGTGTTTTTGCGCAGCGGTTCGGCGCGAGTGTTGAGTTGGTCATAGGCCCGTCTACACTGCTCCTCGAGGGTATTGATTCGATATGGAAGTAGTCCGGTGAGTCCAAAGGCCCTGCGTTCCGACGCTGTAAACGCGGTGCCCTTGTTGAATCGGGGGTGGGTGAGAATGGCCTCGCCACGGAGAGCGACACGGAGAACGCGGTTTGTAGCTGTTGCCATCGAGGACGAGATGATAAGCAGGCTGCATGGCGCAGAAGACGGTATTTATGGCCGAGTCCATGCGGCGAAAGGGAGGAGATGATTTGGAGATGACATCCGAAGCCAGCCTTCGCGTGCAGCACCATTGGGCAGCATTTGGCGCGAGGCTCGCAGGCGCGGCCGGTCTCGAGGGGGCCGCCATCGCCGGTCACAGCGCCCGCAGCTGTACACCGCTCCAAGGAATGCATCGTCGCTCCATACATCCTCTCTTCTCTACCATCATCACTACCTGAACAAAACTATGGGCCGCTGGACGCAGTATGACGAGGTGCGTTTGCCGTAGGACCAGTTGCCTGAGCACTGCGTCTAACCGTCAACGTTCTGTCCAGGACTCGTACCGCCTCCCCGCGGGCATGAAGCGCGTTGGTTACGACTCTGACACCGGGAAGTACTATTTCCGTGGGCTCGATGGGTCGCTCTGGGAGGGTCCGGAAGGCGCAGAGTTTGGCGAGATGAGGCGCGGTGAGTGCATGGTCTTGACACATACACACCAGCGCGTTCTGAGCGAAGTGGCTGGACGCAGTCCAGGAGGGTGGCCCGACCCCGGACGAGGAGCCCGAAGACGAGGAGGCCGATGTGGGCGTCCGTTCGGACGGGTACGCTCCCCTCGCGATGGACTCGGTGCGTTATGCAACATCTTCGCTCGAATGTCTGCTTATATGCGGTCGATCTGCTGCAGAACGGCTCCCTGCCGTCTGGGCAGAAGGGTCGTGCCAACAGCGCCTACCGCACTATCTTGCCTTTCTTCCTCATCATCGCCGTCGTTCTTCTCCTCGTCATCCGTCTCGTTGGTTCCGGCAAGTCCATTGCTACCGTAGACTGTCCCACCAACACCCAGGTCTACAAGATCTCCCGCGGAAATACGTGCTGGAACTTAGCCGACGCGTGGGGCATCACAGTTGACGATGTCCTTCGTGTCAACGAAGGCCTCAACTGTGATAAGCTTCTGCCAGGCCAGGCCATCTGCCTTCCCGAGCGCAAGAAAACGCAGACTTAGCGGGCCCGAGTTATGGACTTTACGCCGGATGTCTCGCCGGCTGTATCATTCTCCCCACTGTATACTAGTACACATCCGCGGACAGTGCTATCTCACATAGTCGGAATTCACTCCTTTCTCGCTGTGTCTCTACCATTCCGCGTGGCCTCTGCATTCGTCAGGTTCTGCGCATGCAAGCGCGCAGCAGCTTCATGCAATTGTCGGCGGTAAGCCTAACACGTTATCTGTCCCGTATTAATATAGAATACGCCTGACGGAACCGCCGGGCCGGTCGATTAGTTGGACGCTCGCGATCGCTGCGGTGACATAATCCTTTACCTCCTTCCTCCTCTTCCCTCCGAGTCCTGGCTTCCAGACTCCTTCCCGGAATCTCTGCTCGAACACACTCCTTGTATCTGTACTTCTACCCACAGGTATCAGCGTCCTCCACGATGCCCTCCTCGCCGCGGTGGGTCGAAGCGGTCAACAACGCTCTCCGACAGCACCCCGAACACCAACCAACCGGTACGCCCCTTTCCACACTTGCTTCTTCCCAAATATGCGCATGCCTGCACACTCTCATCCCCGTTCCCGCTAGTGTACCAAGTCGCGACAGTCGACGCCTCCGGCCACCCACGCGTCCGCACCCAAGTCCACCGCGCTTTCCACCACCCACCCGACCGCCCCGACCTCCCACTGCTCGTCACCTCGACCGACGCGCGCACGCACAAAGTCACGCAGCTCCACGCCTCCGCGCGCGTCGAGCTCTGCTGGTGGTTCCCCGGCACGCAAGACCAGTTCCGTATCACCGGCTTTGCGCACGTCCGCCCCGCGCCCTCGCCCTCGGCGCCCGCGGAGCCGACGCCGATCCCCGCGGGCGCGACCGCGCTCGAGATGCTGCGCGACGGCGGCTTCGACTGGGACGCGAAGCGGCGGGAGGCGTTCCTCGCGATGAGCCCGGGCATGCGCGCGAGCTGGTGCGCGCCGGACGCGCCGGGGTCGCCGTTGGGGAGCTACGAGGAGCAGAAGGGGTGGCCGCGGAGGGTACCGGCTGAGCCGGAGACCGAGGAGGACAGGAAGAATTGGGAAATGTCCCTGGGGAACTTTGCGCTGATGCTGGTCGAGCCGGTTGAGGTGGACTGGGTCGAGCTGGGCGTGAAGCCGAACCGGCGGACGGCGTTCAAGAGGGAGGGCGAGGGTTGGGTGGAGCAGTTGGTTGTTCCGTGAGCGTGAGTGGTCTCTTTGGCGTGGAAAGGAAGTCGAAGCAGCGTGTACTACTTGTTGTACTACAGTCATGACAAAGCAATCTTGCATAGAGCGGTGATATCTATGACCTCTTTGAGAACGAGTCTGGCCCTCGGGGTAAGTGAAGAGGTCGTGTTCAATGAAACGCGTTGCAAAGCCCAGGACAATGACGGGAGTGTGTTCAGTGGGAGACATCCGTACGACGAAGAACCAGGGGGAGAGAGATGGCAGATGGGCATTGCTTTTATACACGAGCGCGCACACACTGTTGGAGCGCCTCTGACATGGTTGAAGGAGATTCTCTACCTTCTCATAATGACCGCAGATCTAGTCAGGGACGTCGTAAATCGTCCGGATGACATGGTCCGCCTTGCGCCCCGTGTGCCGCACGAAGCCCATGTAGTCCAGCTCATGCAGCGCGCGGACGAACCGCGCCTGCACCTCTACCTTCCACGCCTCCTCCGCCTCCTCACCCACCTCCTCGTCCTCGTCTTCCCCATCGGTCGCGGCAGCGGCCCTCCCCTTCCCCTTGCTGGTCTTCCCGTCGCCGTCGGCCGCCCGTGCGCGCCGGCGGAGGTGCTCGCGCTGGTTCTCCAGCACGAGCGCGAAGCTCTCGAACCAGTCGAACACGTTCACCATCCGCCCCGCCTCGACGTACCGCCGGAACGCGATGCTCGTGTCCGGCACCTCCCATAGCGCCTTCTCCCCCTCGTCTCCATCTTCTCCCGGTGCACCGCCGAACGTGACGACGCCCCCGGGTCGGGCCAGCTGGGCGTGCGCCCGCACGAAGTCGTGCGGGCGCAACAGCGCCGCGACCGTCGCGGCGCGCGGTGCGGGGTTGATGAGCTCGGACGGGAACGGGGCCCCGCCTGTGTACCACACGTCCCAGAGCGCGCGCTCGTCCAGGCGGTGCGCGAGGTGGTCCCTGGAAAGAGGCACACGTCAACGTCGAGTGCATAAGAGTGCTTTGGGCTCACTCAATGTATTCCAGGAGCCACTCGCCCACCTCGGCCGCGAGCGCCTTCGTCTCTGGGTCGGGTGGAGCCATAGGCGCGTCGAAGTCGGGCGGTGCGGACGGGTCGTTGGGCGCAGGGTCGACATTATCCGGGAGGCGGCTGTTGACGCCCACGAGCCAGATGCGAGCATCTCCCTCGTCGTTGCGGAGCTCGACGCTCCGGATATCGTTCCAGAAATTGTGCAGCTCCCCTAGCAGCACACGCAACTTCTCCAAACGCAGCTTCCTGTGGTGGGCGTCAGCAACGTGTGATTCGGACAGGACTCTGGGGCGCACTTTACCGCGACGCAGACGTAGCGCACCTGCGAATCTACGCGCCCCCGCAGTACGTCGCTCAACGCTTCCAACATGCCCAAGCGATTGCCATTTGCTGCGGTTCGGGAAGAGGACTGCGGAGTCTCTCCGAGCGCGACGCGTTCTGCGAGACGCGCGACGGCGAACCCGACCCGGACGCGCCGCGCGATCTGTGCGAAAGCCGCATGCGCACCCGAGACGCGCTCAAGGAGGCCGTTGAAGGTTTCGGGACGCGGAAGCGGGGTACTTTCGTCTTGGGCGGTGGGAGGGAGGAGACGGGTGTGCAGTTCTCCCAAAGTCGACGCGAAGTCCGGGGAGGAGGACAGCGGCTCGACTTGGCGGGCTATGTCTTCATCCGCGAGTACGGTCAACGGTTGGGCAAAGTGCTTCATGTGCGCGAGCTGGAACACTGCGTCAGGCACTCTCTTGAGCCCTACGGAAGGATGCTCACCTGCAGCATTGTGACGAGCGCATCCGGAGACGCGGAGTGTCGCCGAGCAAAGTCGGCGATGTAGTCAAGGGACCCTGGGCCGAGCATGAGAGCAGGCTCGAAGTCGACGTCAAAGAACGTCTGTAGTAGGTTGAGTAACGATGCACGCGAACGGTCCGTCTGTAGGATACACTTACCTTCGATAGCACTTCGTTGATCATCGCCAACCCACCGGGTGCGATAACTTCACGGATTCTCAACAGCGCCAGGGTTGATCTCGGATACATGGTGTGTAGGAACGACGGTGTCGGAGGCGAGGTCATGACTGTGACGAATACCAACGGCAAGTGCGGTACGTGCATACTGTGCAGGGGGTCAGCAGATTCACGATCAGCGTGAGGATACAATGCACCTGCCTACATATGTAGAACACGTCCTTGACCACCTCGGCGTCGAAACGCTCGAATTCGTGGAGGAACGCCGTCAACCGCGGCCGTGGCTGTTGGGCCGCATGCCATGCGACCAGTAGGTTGACGTCGAAGGCAGCGAGGGACGTGGCCTTTCGTTTGCTGGGTCCTGTTACTTATTTTGGGTCGCGTCGGAGAGGACGGGGAGGGCGAACGCAGGAAGTGGAGCGGATCTACTCACCTTCTTGGTCCACGAAACCCGTAACCAGCGCCCTCATCATGTTGATGATGCTACCGCACTCTGCTGGATAAAGATGGACGTGCAGAGCGTGAGCATCCCCGAGTTGGTCTTGTTCGTCGGTGGCGGCTTCTTCATCATCCTCTGGCTTGTCCAGCCGCTTAACGACGTCGGAGAGTATGGACGCGTTCATGCCTACAGAGGTGTGAGTGGGTCCACGATGATATGAGGTCATTTGCATACCAAACAGAGCAATGACTGGAAGCTCGGGATACGGTAGACCAGGGAGCACGTCGGAGTATGCGTGGATAACTTCGTGCGCGACCTCGTCCACCACGGAGGCACTCAACGCCTGCAGAATGGACTTCGAGGCACATGGGTACTATTTTCGTGATAAAGCTTCGCATTCGACTCACTCGGACGTGTTCCAAACATTTGGTCCAGGCCACTTTGTATGCCTTCATACGCAGCGCATCCTGCGCGTCGTCATCTGCATCCTCCGTCGTGCTTGATGCATCATCTGCGGCAATATAGCCCGTCAATAACAGAAGCATCAATTCCAGGCAATCACCGACCTGCGTATCCGGGAGTCAAGTATGCGCAGGTCTCACTAGAAGTCAGCTTCATATGCGTGGGTTCCTTGCCGCCATGGATGCTTGACGGACCTTTGTAGGATCTTGAAGATCATTCATGGTGGTACATCCAATGAGGGCACTCGTTCGTAAGGCCAGAGATGCGGCCGTGTAGCCGTTTTCAGTCAGCGAGAGAGTGTGTGTGCGGTTTTGGGGTGGGGTATAGACTGGTACACACTGAGAGCGACGGGCCTGGACGACTCGACGGACGCGTTCATCACGTGATTGTCCGGTACGCGTCCTGTCTGTGTTTGGTCGTCGATCATGTTGTTCCTCGTCTTCCATGTCCATAAACCAACGTGCACCTTATGGTCCAGATGGACATGAACCTCGTCCTCGTATCCCTCCCAGACCCGTTCCCCATTGGTTGTTTCCAGGTCACCCGAACCCTCCGTTTCCTAGTCACCCGGCGTCGGCATCATGTGCAAATAGTCAAATCCATAGCTGCTTACACCCTCCATGACCTCGCTGGTAAGCTAAGCCATCTACATCCATCGCTGATGTCTTCATACAAGGAACGTGCTCCGTTTTTCGCGACATATCCGAAAACGCGGAACGTCCAGTCAGGGTTCGCTTTCGTACGCGCTGCGGAAACTCGGTAGCTGGATCCGGTCGCAGTGGACCCTCTCATATACCTATACTTACATAGTCCATGCAGTGCAAATGTGCAAACGGACTCACTCCGCTCATGCCAACTTGGCAACGAGTTCCGGTCCTCCCCTCTTCCGACACTCCACCCAGAGAAGGAGGATAGTGAAAGCCGCGCCGGCGGCGGCTCTGCGGCCTCTTATTCGAGACCGCTTCCCGCCCCCGCCAAGACGCATCTGTCCGACGCCTCCCTAACGTCCGCCACCACCTTGCCCTTCTCAGGGGAGAAGAACAACCGCACGGCCGCAAGTTCGCGCACGGCCTCGTCCTAGACCTCCCGGCACTCCTCCACCGACTCCTGGCGGGAACGGAGCGGAGGAACATCGTTCGCGGGAAGCCGTACGTGCAGGAAGCGGAGGCCTCTATCGTTTTGTTACCAGCTGTCAGAAGACACCTGGATCCATGTGAAGCGGAGTGTGTGCAGGCGTGCGCATTTGGGGCTTCAAGGTTACATTCAAGTTGACGTACAGAGCACACAGGTAGTAAATCGCATGCCTACGAGGTTTTGAATACGGGTTCATATACGCTACATGATGAATTGCGGTGTTTAGGACGATCGTTCATGATCACTGGGCGATTACGGCGCGAGTCAGAACCCATGCACACTCCATCCTTTGAAGTGAAGCGCTCACCTGTCCCTCTCCCCGGGGCAAAGCGGCAAGTTCCTCAAGCTTAAGCTTCCTGCTTGCAGTTGCGCTCGCCTCCGCGCACGCCTTTGCCAACAGCGCCAGGGCTTTCCTCTCGTCCAGGTCGCGGAACTCTCCCCACACGGCCGCGTCCACCGCGTCCGAGATATCCTCGACCGCCTTTGCCTGATCCTCGGGGGACACCCACTCGCCCTCGTCGGACAGGCACTCCGCTATCTTCGCCCGCGCGACCGCGAACTCGCCGAGCGCACCGTCTTCGATCGCCCGGCACGCCTCCGCCTCCGCCCCCTCCAAAACGGCGTCGAACTTCGGCGGCTCGGACGCCGCGAGCAATCCTCCGAGCCGGCCTGCGAGCCACGTACGCCAATCCGGCGGGTACGCGACGTCCGCGCTGGCAGCGGGCACGAGCCGCTCCCAGAGCGCGCGCGCGAACCACGCGTGCGCGTGCGTGTCCCCGCAGGCCTCGACGTGCAGCCGGCGCAGCGCGCACGCAGCGACGACGAGACGGACGAGCGTCACTGGGGGGGCGCGGCAGGAGCACAGGATCGTCCGGCGGCGCCCCGTCAAAGGGTCCAGGAACGGCCCGTAGACGTTGGCCGCGTCGTGCACTGGGAGCCACATGGCCCGGTTCGCGTCGCTCGAGCAGCCGCATTTGTCGTACTGCTCGACGGGGATGTGGTGCTTCCAGCAGCGCTCGAACTTGACGAGCCCGATGGGAAGCGGGGGGCCGGCTCGGACGGAGGGGGTGCGTCGGGGGTTTTGGTGTGGGGTAGAGCGACGTGGGCGACGATGTACTCGCGAGGGTGTCCGTGGTTTGGGTCCAGGATGTGGTCCAGCCGGGTGACAATGCAGGAGTAGAGTGGTGCAGGAGACCGAACGTCGTCTACCGAGATCGTGCGGTCGATGAGACTGTTCATGAGTTCGTGGAGCCCCCAGAAGTGCGTTTCACCCTTCTTGCAACCGGAAATCCAAACAGGCAAGACGGGGTCGGATTTGTTAGCAGATAAGATCCACCAGTAGAACGCAGCGTGGTAGCGGAGTCCCTCGCGGAGAGTGTCGAGGAACGTCATGAGAGACCGTAAAAGGATGAGAGCGGTGGTCGGTGTAGGTGGTGAGATGTATGGAAGGAGAGTCGCCCCTATGGTGAGCGAGCAATTGAATGTTTGGAGGTTGGATAGAAAGGGGTCCGTCGAGAATTCGCATGGCGCGGTTGATTTCGTGTGTTCGCCGCGCGCCGAAGAAATTCGAACGTTCGAAGGCGCGGCCCCCGATGATGGCTCAAAGGAATTACACTCGCCATCTCATTCAGAAAAGACCTGGATCCATCTGAAGCGGAATGTACGCAAGCGTGCGCATTTCGGGCTTTAAGGCTACATTCACGTTGACGTACAGAGTACACAGGTAGTATATCGTGCGCAAGCCTACAAGGCTTTGAGTGCGCGCGGCGAAGGTCATAGAACACGTGCACGCTATGGATCGCGGCATTTAACATGGCGGAAGCACTGCGTTCACTGGGCGATTACGACGCGAGTCAGAACCAATGCGCACCCCATCCTTTGAAGTGAAGCACTCACCTGTCCCTCTCCGGGCAAAGCGGCAAGCTCCTTCCTGCGCGCGATGTTCGCCTGGAGACGACGTTCCGCCTCCGCGTTCGCCAACGCCATCAATGGGTCTTTCCTCTCGCTCAAGTCGCGAAAGTCCCCCCACACGGCCGCGTCCACCGCATCCGAGATATCCTCGACCGTCTTTGCTTGATCCTCGGGGGAGACCCACTCGCCCTCAGGGGAAAGGCACTCCGCTATCTTCGCCCGCGCGGCCGCGAACGCGGCGAGCGCGCCGTCTTCGATCGCCCGACACGCCTCCGCCTCCGCCCCTCCAGAACGTCGTCGAACTTCGGCGGCTCGGGCGATCCTGCGATCCTGCCTGCGAGGCGGCTGCGCCAGTCCGACGGGTGCACGACGTCCGCGCTGCCGGCGGGCACGAGCCGCTCCCAGAGCGCACGCGCGAACCACGCGTGCGCGTGCGTGTCCCCGCAGGCCTCGACGTGCAGCCGGCGCAGCGCGCACGCGGCGACGACGAGACGGACGAGCGGCAGAGGGGCGCCGTAGGAGCGCAGGACCGTCCGGCGGCGCCCCGTCACCGGGTTCATCGATGGCCCGTAGACGTTGGCGGCGTCGTGCGCTCGACCCAGGACGTTCCGGGACCTGTTTTTCGAGACGCCGCATTTGTCGTACTCCTCGACGGGGATGTGGCCCTCCCAGCAGCGCTCGAGCTTGACGAGCCCGATGTGGCGCGGGGTGGCCGGTTCGGAGGGAGGGGGTGCGTCGGGGGTGTTGGAGTGGGGTAGAGCGACGCGGGCGACGATGTACTCGCGAGGTCTCCGTCGTGTGGGTCCAGGATGTGGTCCAGCTGTGTGATGATGCAGGAGTAGAGTGGCTCAGGGGACCGGACGTCGTCTACTGAGATCGTGTGGTCGATAAGCCCGTTCATGAGTTCGTGGAGCCGCCAGAAGAGCGTATTATAAATGTTCTTGCACCCGGAAAGCAAAACAGGCAAGACGGGACCGGATTTGTTACTAGCAGATAGGATCCAGCGGAGAATGTCGAGGAACGTCATGAGAGACCGTAAAGGATGAGAGCGGGGTGTCGCCCCTATGGTAAGCGAGGGTAGAAAGAGGCCTGTCGAGAACTTGTATGATTCAGTGGTGACTAGGTGACGGTCTGATGTCACTGTCACTCACGACATTTCCCTCGAATTCGCCCCAAGCACGCTTTGCGGACATAATCCACCAGGGATGATCTATCCGGCGGAACTGTTCTCGATCGCGTTTTCCCTCTCTTGCCGGCGATTCATCGATGTTGCGTTTAAATCCCCGGGAACTGTCAGCCTGATTCGGGCCTGGGTTATGTGGGTCACCGCGAGTCTCCGAGTACACTCGTTACCTTCATTACAAGTCAAGACAGATGACCTGCGTCCAACCATCTGGGAGGTCAGGAAACGGGAGGAGGCAAACGCGATCGAGCGCCGAGGGTGCGGGGGGCGCGCACTGGCGCGCAGCGGGCGCCGCAGCCGCGTTACATAATGCAGACTGCAGACTGCAGACTGCGCCATCCCGCACGGCGCACGTCTCTCGCCTCCTCTCACCTTGGCGCGGGCCCACCCGCTCTGAACGGACCACGGTCGGCAGACCGTGCCATTGGCAGCGTACCAGCGCTGCAGGGCGCACTGCGGTCGACCCGCATCCACACCGTCCCGGCGCCTCTCAACACCTCGCCGCACGCAATCCGCTGAGCTCGAGCTCCAACGACCATCGCCGCCCCGATGCACATCTCTTTGGTCGTCCCACCCGTGAGTTTCTGCGCTTTGCTCTCCGCGCGCGCGCGCTCCAACAGCACCTCGCCCGGTCTCCAGATCGCTTTGACTGACTGCGCGCCACAACGCGCCGGCGTACCCGCACCTCTCAACAGGCTCGCCCAACATACACCGCCGTCCCGTTCATGCACGCCTCTTTGGCGGTCCCCTCCGCCCTCCACGCATATACCCACTCAACCACACTTGCTCGCCCGATCTCCAGTCCCCATTTACGCTCTGTCAACGAACACCCACCATCGGCCACACGCACCAAGAGATCCGGCGTCCGACGTACCGTGGCTCCCTCCGCATCGCTACGCCCAATGCCCGTCATCTTGTAAAGGCCGGGAGCGGCGGTAGACGACAGAGTTTCGCAGCCACTCCCTCGTACGTGCTTCCGCTGCGCCCGTCCCTCGTGCTGTCCACACCTCCTACCGCCGGTGAAGCCCCTTCTCCAGCCGTTCCCTCGCCCCTTTTGCGACAGAAATCAAACATATCGTGTTCTCGCCCCGCACGTGGATCCCACTTCATCGGACATCGGATCAGCACTCGGCCACCCACACTCACCGGATGGTCTGTACGCGTCGACGAGCAACACGACCGCGGGCGTCTTGCGCCGGGGCGAGCTGCCGTCCCCCCTACCATTGTACCGCGCCCGTTCCTGCCCGCTCCTACAACACGTCGTTCGCGCCTGGCATCGCCACGACAAAACAGACCTCGCTGACTTACACAGGAACAGGCCCGCCCGCCCGCCCGCACCTGATTTCGCCGGCTTTGCAGTAACCACGCCCCCGGCTGACTTCATTCCATCATCCATCGGTATCGACGCTGCCCACCTTCTCGCCGCCCTGCTCGACATCCGTCCGTTCAAGTCACCGTTCCCCTCTCCCAATTCTCACACCTTCCGTGCCCCTTCATTGTACAGTCATCCCCCTCATAACCCATACCCCCCTCAACGCATACTCACACGCAACGCGTGGCTCGAGGCCCTCCGGAGTTGGCGCAGTGGGCATAACACATACGTATCCCGCATAACGCACAACGCATAGGTTGGCTGGGGGTCCATAACACATACTGGGCACTCCCCGAGGGGTATGGGTTATGAGGGAGATGACTGTACCACGTCTGTGCCTACCGGCGTCCGCTCTCCGCGCTAACCGTGCCCTGTCACCCCCAGTGGAAACCGCCATTGGCGGGCCTTGTTCGCACAAGAACGCGCCAGATGAATGTGGCCGCTTCTGCGCCGTGTCCGAGGCGGGGGCCCGGACTTCCCTAGCCCACGACCACACGTTCACATCCCGTGCAGGCGGGGAATGCGCAGAATACGCGCGCGCTCCACGGGTCCCAGAGAGAACATTCGTTCTCGCAGAACACCACCCGCGGTAGTCGACATTTCGATGCAGTGAGTCTGATCGTGGCCGCGCACTGCAAGCGTACCGGGCTAACGGCAAGTTCGATCCTGTGCTGCCAGGACCACACGCGCCCACTTGATGGTACCGGATGCACGCGCGCCCGTCGACGCCGAACGATGCTCGCAATCGCCGCCAAACCTCGCCCGTTCGACTCGAGCCACTCGCTGGGCGCTTGCGTACGCCCGGGCGACGGCCGTCACCCGGCACGACAGAGCACACCGCGGGGGTCTTCTGGGCCGGTGCGGGGCAGGACAGTACCGACGGGTTTGCTCACACTGTCATTGGTACCTACGGACACGACTCGGACGGCGATTCCCTGCCCGACTTGTACACCCCCGAGTCCGTGTCTGATACAACAGACTCCGATTAGGCACGCAACTACGTACATTAGCAGGGTCTAGGTAGTACGGCTATGTACAAATGGAGCGCGCAAGTACCGTTTCTGCGTGTGGATCCGCGACTCAAGTTTCAACGTCAACCCGCGGTTGAGCCGTGTCGGCCCGGGATTTTGGCCGGCCCGATCTGGTGCCTCACTGAGCCGGACCCACTAAGACTCCGAACCACACAGCTCGTGACGCGACGGATAATCGCGGACTCTCGAGTCTCATGCGGGCTTAAAGTTAACGTTAGGACCTGGCTACACGCGCACAGGCGACCGGCGCTTGTATAAGCACATGGGTGTTTGGTCAACCTCGTCTGATCGTACTCCTGCTTCACGGCTGCGTCATAAAACAAAAATCTTTGTGTCGTTCCCAGCGCTAATGGAAGACGATGGTTCTTCGCGGCTCCAGCGGCTCGGACCCTGACCCTATTGGATCATTTCTGGCTCGCTCGGAGCTGCCCGGGACCGAGCCGAGCCGAGCCGGAGCCGAGTTGCAACCCCAACGATGACAGCGGTGTTGATTATGTCCGAACGTTCACAGATGCGGGAGACGGCTCCTGTGGATCGCGACCACAAGACTGTGCATGTGCGAGGGCACAAGACTCCGCGAGGGCGAGTACTTAAGCCTTGTCTCTGGATTCCTGTTCATTCATCCTTCTGCATTCGCAGGAAGACGTCGTCGCGCGATACCTTCCTCATCGACCAGCATGGCTCCCGTTCCCGGCGTATACTACGGCCCCGACGAAGACGAGGACACTATCAATCTCGAGCGGTTCTTCCTCGCCAGCGACCTAGTGTGTGGCGTCGGTTATGGTTTGTCACTTCCAATCCGCTGGTAGTTTCTTGTCTACTAGTTCTGACAGGCTGCTGCAGGTATTCAGCTATTCATCTGGTCCTCGTGCACTATGTACCTCCGGAAGCACCGATATCGCGGGAGGAAGACGATGTTTCTCCTCGGCTACCTTGTGCTCCTCTTCGCGATCGACACGATTTTCGTGATCGATCAGGCGCGCACCGTCCAGGTCATCTACGTCGAGAACAGGAACTACCCCGGCGGCCCATGGCAGTACTTCCTCGACACTCAGTACCTCGCGGTCAACGTTATCTTCTACGCTACCTTCTTTATTATGACGTTCATGTGCGACGTCATCGTTGTGAGTATTCTGAAGGCTGTTGCATGCGGAGATGTCGCTTATAACCAATCCCAGCTGTGGCGTTGCTGGATCATTTGGACGTCGTCAGGGCGTATGCAAGCATATGCGGTCACGTTCTTGCCCTGCATTATGCTTGTCGCGTCCTTTGGTGCGCCTCGCCCGCTTCCTACCGCGGCATCTCTACTTACAGCCCCACCCATGCAGTCATGGGCACGCTCTGGACGTTGCAGTCGAGCCACCCCGGCCTCTCGCTATACAGCAAGACGCCACTGGCATACGGCACCGCATACTACACCATCTCGCTCAGCACGAACGTCATCCTCACCGCGCTCATCACCGGTCGCCTGCTCGCACTCCGCCGGACGCACCTCGCCCACCTCCCGCCACAGCACGCCCACCCGTACCTTTCGCTCGCGACGGTCGTGGTCGAGTCCGCGGCGCTCTACTCCGCGTTCGCGATTGCGTTCCTTGTTTCGTACGCGCTCGACTCGCCGGTCAACCAGGTCTGGCTCGGAGCCGCGTCCGCCGCTCAGGTGCGTCGACCGCGACGACCGCTCTTGTTCGAGCACTGACAGCTGGGCAGCAAATCGCGACGTGCCTCATCATCTATCGTGTCGCGGACGGGACGGCGTGGACAAAGGAGAAGATGGAGACACAGACACAGTCCACGTTCCAGGCAGGAGATGTGGCTCGCGCCAAACCGGAAGCTACGCCGTCCGACCCCGGCGTGTTCTCGACTGGGATAATCGCCGTGTCTGTCGGCGATGACTTCCTCGCTGAGTCGAAGGTGGAGTATTCGTAGCGCAGCTTTCGATGTCCTTGTGTGTTGTATCGTACGGCTTGTTGTTCTATAATCAGTGCATCTTGTACCTTCAAGCTGTTAGACCTTGTCTTCCCCTCCGGCGTGCCTGCGGTCGCCCACCTCTCCTCCCCCGCTCCGCGAGACCGCGACCTGTTCGCTCTATTGTACCGAGTGCATGACGCCGCTGGGCCCCACCCCGAGCGGCCAGTAGATTGGATTGGATCTATCGACTTGTAGTACTGTCGGGCAACCCCCTAGTCCATACGGGCGAATGATAAACAGGGAACAAGCAAACAAACAGACTTTATCTGGCTGGCGGGTACTGCCTAGAGATGATGCTATTCGGAAAGGTCCATTTCTTTTCCTTCGTGTCGAATGCACAGTCAAGTTGAGGGGTTACTACTTGCGGAAGCAGTGATCGTCTTGCAATGGGCGCCCGGGGACTTCGGACTCGAGGCAGTGATCGAGCGCCCGTGTGATGACGTACTCCGACAACGTGGGCACGTTGCTCTGCGTAAGTTCTCACCGCGCACGCACTGATGGATGCACATATGGCCCTTTCCCCTGGCGGCTGGGAGCGCTGCACCGCTGCCCGAATTCCCATATGGACACCACGCGTATATGCCTCCTCAGTCACACTTTCACTCCTGGTCCAACACCTTTTCTTCCCGCGTCGCACTCGGCATCCGTTGATTGCGTACCAGCTTGGCAACCGCGGCGCGTTCAAGACGCTCTAGTTCAGTCCAGGTGGAACCTTGAGGCGCCCTCCACTTTCACTCTCAGGCCGCATCCGTTCAGAGCCCCAGGAGAGCGAGGACAGCATGGCGGGTCTGTTTTTGAGACAGTTTTGGGCCTTGTTTTGGTATCGTAATGTCCAAACACCCCTGTCGGAGAATAATGAACAGTTGAGAGAGGCTAGTCGAGACCTTGTATGACGTGGTTGATCCGTGCGTTCGTCACACACCGAAGGACGACCCCCGATACATCCTAAACCTCGTGTTAAGTCCCAAGTGTCGTGAAAAGTCATCATGCCACGAAAGCAGGCGGTATACGTGATAGGAGCGATGCCTCCCAGAAAATGCGGAAGGCTTGCTGGTACGCAGACGTGTCTTCAGCCTGACTTGTTACTCCGGTCTGCCCTCACCCAGACAAAGCAGATGACCTGCCTCGACTGCATGCCGACATGGGAGGTCAGAAACCGTGCATTAAGAATCCCTTATTGATACAAACAAATAGATCACTACACCGTCCTATACAACAACCAACAGTCCGTATCGTTCGTGAGAGATGACAGCGTCTTGGGACTCGGGCCTACGCGACGAGACCTCCGCTGAACCCGTCTCCTCGTCGTGAGGCAGAGATGCCGCGAAGCAGGGTCACGAAGAGAGCCAAGGTGATGAAAATCCTGTGCGAACTTATGAGAACACTCTTGTAGGGGAAGAAACCGCTTCACAACGTACCAGATAATCCACGCGAAGCCTTCAAGTGCATTGAGCTGGCCGCAGTAAACAAAGTGGACACTGGACGGATGACCATCGGGTGAGCCGCTTGACGAGGGCTCATGAGCTAGGGATACGCACCTGCAGTTCAGCCCTCCACCGAGAGCGGCCGTGATCGACGCCGCGCCAGCAGTCCAAAATATCCATGCAAACGTGAGGCTGGGCGATTGGAGGGCATTTTAGGACCCGGCTGATACATAACAAAGTGGAGAGTACGCACAAGACGGCGTGGCTGAGAACGCTGGTGAGGGCGCTGCCGGTGGGCGAGTGGAAGAAGAGCGCAAAGTAGAAGAGAGAGAAGAAGACGGTCCAAGAAGAGGTAAACAGCAGGAAGCGCGCCCCGTTGCGGACGGCAAGGGATAAAAAGTCGTGGCGCAGGTTGAAGCGACTGACGAGCCAGGCGGCGATCGCGAGCTGCCACACACGCCATTGAGCAACGCTCCGCAGAATGTGACGGAGGGACTCACCTCGATGATGCTGAAGAGGATGATGAAGCCGAAGATGACTGCGTAGGGGATGCGTGGTTAGAATGGGAGGGGCGACGAGGGCACGGCGCACGGACCTGGATGTCCTCTGGTGATGTGCTTGTTGTAGTCGACCATGGTGTGTGGGAGGTGGGTATGGGCGTCGTGGGCGTCGTGAAGCGGATTAGCACGGGGGACGGGAAGTCGGGGAGGGGCAGGTGGGGGCGGTGGGAGCGCAGTGGGTCGGGTTATGTACCCCGACGCGTGGACGACAGAACGGCGGGGGTGTGGCTGCGGGGAGCCCAGCCTGACTGAGCGCCGGCACGAGGCGTGACGTCATCTCGTCGTGGGCCGTCGTTCGATCACCGTGGTTTTGGCGGGTGTTGCTATGAGTCGGAATGCACAAAAGGCGGGAGGACAGACATGCTAACAACACGTTCTACAGGCGTTCTCCCACGGCTATTCATACAATTCGAAGCGAATAATAGGCCATTCCTGTTTGCTGTTTCCCCCTAGTACCACATCACCTGCAGAAGTGCTCAAACCAATTGACAATGGATCGCGCGCTCTCCTCCTTCGCCCATCCTGGAACAAGATCAGTATGTACGTGTGCTGGTTTCGATGATAGCCAATGTGCTTACTCTGGACCGGAATTTTCGGATCGCCGCGCAGCGCGAAACCGTGCTGAACCGATCCGAAGACCTGGATGAAGTACGTTGCCCTGGTCTCGACCAGAATGTCTTCGGCCTTGCGCCGCGCTTCGAGACCGAATGTGTGGTCGATTTCTGTGTCTGGTGAGTCCTCGTGCATCAAGAATCAGATGGTTGCCTGCATACTTACCGGCGCAAGACATAAGCAGCGGCTCTGGATAAATAATAGGGATGACGTCAGTGGCATGCAGACAACCGATTAGACGCCAGCGCTCACTCCGAATGTTTCGGAAGTGGTCCTCGTTCAAGAACGCCGGGTGGGCAAACGCGCCTGTCGCGGCCGTGAGCTTATTCTTGCAGAATGCCGCACGTCCATACCTGCCACGAGCCAATCCTGTGCAAGGTGCTCCATGACGTACGGCGCTCCAAAGCAATATCCTAGTTCCAGGATCAGTCATCGTGATATGCAGTCACTCGCTCACAATATTCTCACCCACACAAAAGTATTTCGTTTGGCTATCGCCTGCATGTATAGCGCGTGAATCTCAAAGGAAAACAGCAACTAGGGCCCCATATGCACCGAAGTCCTTGCGAACCGCTTCAACCCAGGGTCCAATGAGCGCCTGAGCACGATCTTGCTTCGGCTTCACCCATTTCATGAAATCAAATACTTCTTCACCGGAGTGAAGGATCATCGAATCGCGTTCAAAGTAGTCTAGGCCAACGACCAGATAACCTAAAATGACGATAACAAAACGTCGTTCAATCTTCAATCGCGAGCCCAGCTCACCTTGGTCAGCCCAGAAGTCCATGATGAGCTGAGAGTTGAGATACAGGGGACTGTATACGTCCGCAAAGAACAAGACAATCTTCTTGTTGCTCCCATCGGCCGGCCGGGCAATGTATGTCTCGACTCCAGCCACAATCTCGACTTTTCCTCGGGCCTCGCCGACGTGGTGCACTGTCTGCCTGCAGCATTCCCCCGGCGGGCCAGCTAAAACAGCTGACATGACGTCTCGTCTGAAGTGGTGTCGGAAGGGATGAAGCCGAGAATGCGGATGGTGGGATTGGCCTCCATTGACAAGCCAGCTTATAAACGTCTGCAACAAGGTTTAGCTGATCCGCTTCCACGGTGTCCAGTGTGATTCAGTCACTTTGCACTCGTTCACAGGCTCTCTACGGCGAAACCCAGCCTCGGGATGTATTTCCCAAGCCCGAGAGAGAACCAGTCTCCCCTAGGCAGACCCTCCACCTTCGGAGTGGAGAGGACAAAATGACGAGGGCGCATGACGCACTATTTTGGGATGCCAAGGAACAGTCTAGCAGCGCTCTCATCGGCAGATGCACCGCGCTGGGGCGGGAGCATCACGAGCGACGACCGCGTCAGAGACGGATGATTGAACCGGTGTGCGATTCTAGTCGAGGAAAGGCCTGCTGACCGAAAGGCCCGAGTAATTCTGCGTCACAAGCTACATAAGTACGCGGAAGTCGGACGACGTAATGGAACGTACTGCGAGCGGAAGCTGTCCGAGACAGCGAGCGAAGATGGTTCCACATGACCGTCGCACGTTTGATGGTGCTGTGTCGTTACCGCAACCACTGCGCTCGGTTTGCGGGGAACAGACTCCAAATGGACGGAGGCCAACAAATCAGACCACTGCCACGGGGAAAGTCGGGTCAGGACACGATCACGTGAACGCGTCCCACCTCTCACTGCCCGCTATTTACGTTTTTTGACGCGGATACATATGCTCCCCGAGTACCCGGCCAAGCTGGCACACCCCTCCCCCTTCCCGGTCTCCGACCATGGCTGGCCCCTCATCTCTTCTCCTCCTCTCCCCAGTCGGAAGCCCTACCGACTCCGACTCCGACGCCGACGATGACGGTCTCGAGTTCACCGCCGTCGACTCCTTCCACGGAGTCCAGTCGCAGGACGGCTCGCGGTATTCCGTCGACCTCTCCGCGCTCATACACCACGGCACGACCCGCATCTTCCGCGGAACCCTCTCTGCCGACGGCATCCCCTACACCGAGGTCGTTTGCAAGGTTGGCACAGGCCCTCGGCTCGTTGAACGGATACGCCACGAAGCCAGGCTGTACCGCACCAAGCTCGCACCTCTCCAGGGCCGCTTCGTCCCACGATGCTTCGGGCTCTTTGAGGGTGTGGTGGAGGGCGTCGAGACGTCGTGTCTCGTGCTCAGCTACGAAGGCGAGCCGACACAGCACTCGCTTCACACCACAGGGATCGACTTCAGGTACGTCCTCGGCACGTTCCTTCTCCACCGAGTCTCATCAACCCCGTGGGGTGCATCCGTCGGCAGGAGGAAGGCCGTGTCGGCACTGCAAGCGCTGCACAAGGTCGGCGTCGCGCATGGGGACTTCAACGAGCGCAGCATCGTCCTGCGTCCGACCAGCTGCCCTGTCCTCGTCGGCTTCGGCGGCGCGGTCGAGCACTGCTGCAACCTCGGGCACCCGATCAAGTTCTACGAACCCCAGCCGCAATGCGACGACGTCGCGTGCGACGAGCTGTACTGGGCGTGCGTCATGTCTGCCGTCTGGCTTCCCGGTGTGTGCTTTCATTCTCTCCTCCGCGTACGAGACTTCATGGCAGTCCCTGCCTCTCCTTCCTCCCGTAGCCACCGTGGAGTTCTTGAATTGCCATGTCCCCATCCGCTGTGCGCTCGAGGGTTGTGACTCCCTGATGGCATGCGCGCCGAAGGGCACGGATCCGGACCTCGCTCGTATGCACGCCGAGATGACCCGCGAGGACCTCCTCGAGTGGATCGAGGAGCGCGAGCTCTACGACGGCCAGCCATTACCCATCAAGCTCAAGGACTAAGGCCCACCCTCCCACGGCCCGCTCCGCTCCGCAACACGCTCCTCATCACCCTGCTTTCCGACGCTGTCCATACTTCGCCCTTCTCCACCTCTCCTCTCCTCGTCTCGTCGGCAACCCTCCGCATCGCCCCGCATAGCTTTTGCAACTGTTTATTGCCTCTGCTCTCGTCGCACCTTCTCTCGTCGCTCCCTCTCCCATGTTGTCTCCCCCTGGCCTCCTTCCTGGACGCAAAAGTACGCTATCGTATAATTCTGTCGCATACCCCGCCTGCCACCGTGCCACCCCCACTCGTTTGTAGAGCCTCTGTTGTACACGGAGCTCGTGTAGTGACTAATCTATTCCCGGGCGCGAGCGCCGCGTCCGGCGTGGTTGTCCCCGACCGTTTCGCTCGGTCCGACGTCTTCGGGCGTGCCAAGAGCACTGTCCATTGGTGCCATTCGCATATTCAGCCTTACGGGCGTCGATTTGCAAGTACTGTTGGCGCGACTCGATCCTGGAACCACGCCTAAGTTTGGCCCAGGTTCTGCGAACGTTTACCAGCATGACGCTATCCTCGTTCTTCGTGCGTATGGTAGTAATAGCACGTAAGCGCAACGAGTCGGCCAGACCGTCGTTGTCGCTCATGTGGACGCGAGACCATATGCACATCTCGATGGCAGACAGCACGTGGGCAGAAGCCTATATCTCGTTCTCTGGCGCGGGGACGACGACAGGCGTCGAAGAGGACGCTGTGGGCGAAGACGGTGAGCTGCGCACGGGGCAGGCGATGGAGATCCGGTGGTTCTGCTGCCACGAGGCTACGATGTCAGTGAGCCCATCGGGGGTCAGCAGGAGACGCACTGGAGAGTCGCTGCGGCGAGGACGTCGGAGCTCGCAAGTACATTATCACGCTCTCCGAATTCAGCCGGGCGCGAGCACAATTCCAGCAGTCAACCGCCTTGGTGTTTTGACTCGAACGGCCGGGAGCTGTCGATATGAGCTTTCCAGGCGCGGGCAAGTTTTGACTGGTCTCGTCCCCAGCCGCTCTGTACCGCCTGGAAAAGCATGATGCGGTGCGGTACAGGGTAGTCTCCCCTAGACAGCCCGTATTCTGTGGGTAAGGACAGGGTGGCTGGGGACGAAACCAGTTGTGACCTGCCACAGCGCTCGGGAGCGCTCTTGGCTGCGGCCCGAACATCCGGCTCATAGAGCCCGGTATGAAAATCACTCTCGCGATGATGTTTAAAATATGCCCGGATTAAAGAGGAGTGAAACCCACTAGAGAGCTGTGTAGTCCACGATCGAGGTTTCATGTTTGTGTGCGCAGAGAGGGGTCAGCCTGTTGAACAACGAATGACATAAGAGCAGCCGATCGCGGATTGCAAATGCCGTTGGGTGCGACTTGTGCAGCGTGCTGCCTCCGATCCCGACAAACACGGATGTTACGGTACGACTGACGCCTTCAGATGTTGAAATCCGTGCGCGGGTCACAAGCAAGTAAGTACCGTACCGCTTTGAATGAGACCACAGCTATGCCCAGGCCAAACGACGTCATCTTGGCGGGATGCCATCATCCTGCGGCGGGCGCGGAACGCCGTAGGCCGTCGGAGTGGGCATTTCCTGAGCGCGCGCGCGGGCCGCGCGCGACCGCTCGCCTTCCGCCTTCTGCAGCCCGGTGCCAAGAGGCAGTATGCGATAACGTATGGGCGGATGTGCGATGCACGGTCGCAAGTGTGCGAGCGCGAGCGCGATGCGGGCGCGAGTCCAGAAGCCGGGGCGGCAACGGGGGCTGGAGCTCCAAGTTCGCGAGGCATCAAAAGTAAGCAGGACGGGACGACAGAGGCTAAACCGCTGCGCAACTTGCTTCTCCCCATCACTCGCCCCGTCTCACGACTCCTTCTCCACCTGTACTTTTCACGCCTTCCGCTTCTACGTCCGCGACGCTGTATTCTCCTTCCCGCCGATCGGATACCCACCCGACACCCCTAGAACGCGCATACACCTGCGGAAGAATCGAGAGCGGGCGCAGCCAATCCCGGTGAGATCCGCAGTCAAGTATGGCCCCTGGCTTCTCTCCAAGCTCGTCAAACCGTCCGCCCACTCCCGCCATTCGAGCGCGCAGTCGTCGCCCCAGTCTCCGAGCCGAAACCCCTCAATCAGCGTCAGCTCCGTAGGCTCTGCCAAGAGCAGCGTCGAGAGACAAAACGAAAGGCCGCGACCACAGCTCACCTACGACTCCGACTCCGGCCTCGACGTCACGGTCGTACCCCCCTCGCCAAGCCCAGACAGCAACGTCGTGCCCCTTCCCGTACCATCCTCACCCGCACTCCCTCGCCGCGAACTCGCACCGGACGGAGGGACGGACAGCGCGCGTAAGCGTATCCAATCAATGCCCTCCGCTTCTAGACCGTCACCTCCTTCACGCACGCTGCCGACTTCACCCACGTCCGACGACGGCCTCCCAACTCCTACTCCATCCTCCACGTTCGTACACCCCCTACCCCCACACTCTTTCAACATTCCTCGCCGCCATCCGACGAGATGCGGCCTGACGGGAAACGCGGAGTCCATCCTCGCTCGGCGACCGTGGTAGAGAGCAGCGTCAATGCACTGCAGCCCCCAAGGAATTGCGTCATGCGTCCTCGAACAAGTCCCTTCGCAGTAAGCTCTCCATCATGCTGCCCTCGCGCGATCCGCCGCCCCCGGTACCCCCTCCGCCCGTCATCCGCCACGAACGCACGACTTCCGCCCCCTCTCCGCCCACATCTTCGACGGCCACGCGCTCGTTGAGTCGCCCACCGGCCTCCACCACGAGCTCCCTTCCATCAAACAAACCCTTCCCCCAAGTTCGACCACCCCTCTTTCGGTCCCACCCTCCTCGTCCCAGACAAGTCGGACACCGTCTCTGTCCACTCGACCGGCAGCGCAACCTCCAAGCGTAATCCTTGGCGCCGACCCACTTCCCCTGCGGACGGCACCCCTCGCTCATCGACGTTCTCGAGCAAGCCCCCTGGGCTCGGCAAATCCCCTCCCCGCAAGAACACCGCCAGCGGCGGCCTCGCCTCCGCCCTCGCTGCTTCTGGGCTCGCGATGGCGAACCCGGCCATGATGTTCCCGCCCACACTCGCCCCGCGGAAACGACGTCGAGCCACGGACGCACGTCTTTCGACCGCAAGCCTCGCTCCCGCTCCCGCGGGCCGTCCTATGAACGGCGCCGCCAGCTTGTCAGACCGCGACTCGTACCGCTCCCTGAGCGACAGCGGGAGCTCGGGACGACAGCGACGACCTGCTCCTCGATCCCGAAGACATTCCCGTGACTGGCTTTGCGGTGGCGAGCAACAAGCGCAACCAGGACTTCCATGAGCTTTTCCCGACCGTGCCCGAGGGCGACTACCTCATTGAAGGTGAGCGCATCCGTCCCCCCTCTGCGGTGTCCCCTGCCAAGTGTCCCCCGATAGACTACGGCTGTGCGCTTCAGCGTGAAATTCTCATCCAAGGCAGGCTGTATATATCAGAGAACCATGTCTGCTTCC